GCTCGTCTGCACTGCTACTGTGGACGACTCGAACACGGGCTACTTGGACGGCTACGTCGTCGTTCCTCCTGCGCACAGCGCGCAGCGCGCCGCCTCTACCACGCTCCCGCTCGACGCTGCGCTCTGGCACCGCCGCTTTGCGCACGTCAACCATGGGGACATTGCGAAGCTGCGGCAGCGCAAGCTGGTAAGGGGCATGCGGTTTGACAGCAGGGAGGCGCCGGACCCGATCTGCGAGCCGTGTATCATGGGGAAGCAGACGCGCAAGGCGGTACCGCGCGGTCCGGGAGAGCGCGCAACGCGTCCCCTCGAGTTGGTTCACACCGACTTGAAGGGTCCTATGCCGGTCGCATCCAGAGAGGGGGCGAACCTCTACTGGATCACCTTCATAGACGACAAGACGCGGCGGCGCTGGGTGGCGTACTTGAAGCGCAAGAGCGACGCTTGGGCTGCTATCCAGCAGTTCAAGGCGGCTGCTGAGGTGGAGAGCGGTCAGCGTTTGGAGGTACTGCGCTGCGATGGGGGCGGCGAGTACATCTCCAACGTCATGAAGGACGCGGCGCTGAAGGAGGGGTGGCGGTTGGAGATCACAGAGCCAGATGAGCCGCATCAGAATGGCGTTGCTGAGCGTGCTAATCTCACTCTTGCCAATGGCGCTAGCTCTATGCTCTACGAAGCGAAGCTGCCGCCTTCGTTCTGGGCCTACGCTATAGCCGCCTACAACCACGTCGCCAACCGCGCTCCCACCTCTGCTCTGCCTGGGGACACCACCCCCCACATCGCCTGGACTGGCAAGACGCCGGATGTTGGCTACTTCCGCGTCTTTGGGTGTCTGGCCTATGTTCTGGTGAAGGACAAGCACCGGCGCGCGCTCGAGCCGCACTCTCAGAAGTGCATCTTCTTGGGGTACCCTCCCGGGACCAAGGCCTGGTTGTTCTACAACCCGGCCACCAAGAAGACGGTCATCTCGTCGCATGCGGTCTTTGACGAGCGCTACATGCCGGGTACGTCGCTCAAGAGCCTCAATCTCATCACTGCGGAGATTATAGACCGAGGTGAAGGCCCTCCGGACTTTGGGGATTTTGCTGATCAAGGGGGTGATGTGCCGTCGCCTCCTAGTCATCGTCATAGCGCAGATGACGATGATGTCGTCTCTTATGATGATCAGCCACCTCCCCCGTCCGGACAGCCCGCTCCCGCTGGTCCGCAGCTACAGACGCCGCCGCCTACATCGCCGCCGCGCGCCCCCACCACGCCTGAGCAGCCATCCACGCCGTTTCAGCAGCCAGCTGGGCCTACCACGCCGCCTAGTGCGCGTCCGCCGCCGCCCTCTGCGCCCCGTCCCCCTCGCACTGCGCCGCCTAGCAAGGCCGCGCTGAGAGGCAGGCAGGAGCGCGCGCAGGAGCAGCAGCCAGCGCCGCGCGCAGAGCGCAGTCCGTCCCCTGCTTGGCAGACAGTTCGGCCATCAACCTCGAGCGGACCGCCACCGTCGCGTCTGCCTCGGGCAACCAAGCCAACCCACAGCTTATCCGAGCGCGAATTGACGACCCGCGCTTGGCAAAAGCAGCCTGCGCCGCCTTCTACAGGCCGCGCTACACCGTCTACACCCGCGCCCCAGCCGCAGGTGACGTCCCCTAACCGGTTTGCGCCGTTATCCGGCCAGATTGAGGAGGTGGACGAGGAGGAGGAGGAGCAGGAGGAGCAGAGTGCGCAAGAGGAGCGCAGGGAGCAGGCGCGGGATGAGGAGGCGCAGGACAGAGAGCGGGCAAGGAAGGAGATGATGGACTGGGCTGGGAGTGATGATGAGCTTGCTTTGACTGACAGCACGCCTATCCCAGGAGCGCACGTTATGCAGGCCGGCCTCGACTACGTCTTCAGCGGCATCACTGAGGAGGACTGGTCGGTAGAACAAGCCCTCAACTACGCCCTTTCGACCACAGTCGCGTCCGACGCGCAGCAAGGCGAGCCCAAGACATTTGCAGAGGCGCTGCTACGTCCCGACAAGGCCAAGTGGATCGAGGCTGCGTTCGACGAGGTGCAGGCGCTGGTCGACAACGGCACGTTCGAGGTGGTCGAGCTGCCGCCCGGCAAGCGCGCTATTGGCAGCCGGTGGGTGTTCAAGGTCAAGCGCAATGCTGATGGGTCTATCGAGCGGTACAAGGCGCGCTGCGTCGCGCAGGGCTTCTCGCAGCGTCCCGGCTTCGAGTACACCGAGACGTTCGCCCCTACGCCAAAGTGGGCCGCTATCCGCGCTATCCTCGCCCTCGCCGCCATGGACGACCTCGTGCTCTACTCCATCGACATCAGCAACGCGTTCTTGAACGGCGACCTGGCCGAGGAGATCTACATGCGCCAACCGCCCGGCTTCAAGCTCGGCATTGATCCTGACAAGGACTATGTCTGGCGCTTGAAGAAGTCGCTCTATGGGCTGAAGCAGGCGAGTCATGTCTGGCACGAGACGCTGAACAGGGTGCTTGTAGAGATGGGCTTCACGCGCATCCTCTGCGACCACAGCGTGTGGGTGTACGGTCGCGGCGACGCGCGCATCCTCGTGCCCGTCTTTGTGGACGACATGACGATTGGGTGCAAGACTGACGCGCAGGCGCTCGGTATCATTGGCGAGCTGAAGAAGCACTTCAAGCTGCGCGAGTTGGGTCCTACCACCTGGCTGCTGGGCGTTGCCATTGAGCGCGAGCGCAGCCAGCGCACGCTGTCTCTTTCGCAGCGCCAGTACGCCACGGACATCCTCGAGCGGTTTGGCATGGCCGAGTGCAGCCCGGTCACCACTCCGCTCAACCCCTCGCACAAGCTCAGCGCCGCCGATGCTCCTGTCACGCCGGAGGACATTGAGTTCATGTCCACCCGCGCTAAGGAGTACGCCTCTGCCGTTGGCGCCATCGCCTGGCTCGCCCTCGCCACTCGTCCCGACCTCGCCTACCCGGTCTCTGTCCTCGCTCGCTTCACCGGCAACCCCGGCCGCCCGCACTGGAACGCGCTCAAGCACCTCTTCCGCTATCTCAAGGGCACGCTTGACTACAAGCTGACCTACGACGGCAAGGCGGTGAACGCGCGCTCCGAGCTCTTCTACACCTACACCGACGCGGACCACGGCGGTAACCCGGACAATGGGTGGTCCACCATCGGCCAGATCATCATGATGGCAGGTGGAGCGGTCTCCTGGTCGTCCAAGCTGCAGACTATAGTCGCGCTTTCGACCACCGAGGCAGAGTACGTTGCGGCGTGCTCTGCCAGCCAGGAGATCCTGTGGATGCGCAACTTCCTGACCGAGTGTGGCTACTCGGTCAAGAGCGCGCCCTCCACCCTCTACATTGACAACAACTCGGCGCTGCAGGTGGCCAAGAACCCGGAGCATCATGGGCGCATGAAGGCCCTCGACCTGCGCTTCTACTGGCTGCGCGATGAGGTGCATCGCGGCAGCATCCGCCTTGTCCATCTGCAGACAGCGGACATGCCGGCTGACATGATGACCAAGGCCTTGGGCCGGGTCAAGCTGCAGCACATGGCAACGCTCTCTGGCCTTGGAGTTGGGCGCTAGGACGTGCTCGATCAAGGGGGTGTGTTGGAATCGGTGTCTACGCGCTCTCTAGCGCCTATGGTATTTTTCTGTGATTTTTCGGACTTTTTCCCGGTACTGTACGCTTACTTACAGTCCTATCTCTGCGCTCGCGCCTTATTGCCGAGCGCCACATATTTCCTCGGCTTTTGCCGGTCCCTCCTGCCTAGAGCGGCGCATCCGAGTCTTTTCTCTTCCTGACTCGTTTGCTGTCGCTCTAGGTGCGTAGTTATGCGTTCTGTACTGCTGAATATATTCCTGACTCGTTTGCTGTCGCTCTAGTGTGATCACTGGCTCGATTCTGCCTCGGACAGCCCCCAGAGCTTCTTGGAAGCTCTGGAGGCCGGCAACCCCAAGGCGTGGAAGAAGTGGGTGGGCAAGCCCTGCCCAGAAGTAAGTCACGGTGGTGAACCCCAAGGGCGGTACTGATCCAAGGGACAGATTGGCAAGGTGGCTAAAGACATCAGGACCCTCCTGTCCTTTATGCAGATGCCTCGGAGGTGGCATTCTTGGGCACGGCCGTCCTCATGGTATGTTCCATTCTTACTGGGTGCTCTGAAAGATCTCTGAAGCATTCTCAGGCCCTTGAATGTGTTCTTTATGGCGGGGCCGACCGGCGGGGCTCCCACAAAAACATGGTTCATTGGCAGGTGGAGCACGTGACTGCACCACTGATTGCCTTCGCTGCCTCTGCAGTGCATCCATCTCCCTTCTGGCTTTCTTGCCTTTGACCCCGTTTGTCTAGGTTGTGGAGGCCTGCTTCAGGAGCCATGGCAGGAGCGAAGAGGGCAGCCAAGAGGGGAGCCGAGGTGGAAGGCAGGGTATTGGCTCCTCTCCCACTGGGAGGACCCCGGTGTCCAGCGCGAAGTGGTGGGGCCTGCCCAAGACCTCCTCCAGAAACTCTTGGGAAAGGTGAAGGCAGATCTGCCTGGTGAAGGCAGGGTTGGAAGCACTACCAGCCCCGCCACTTCTCCAGCCACTTCTCCTGCATCTGCTGAAGCTGTTGCTAGCAAGGCTGCTAGGTCGCGGTGCGAGTGCCTGCTTTCCTTGACTCGCAGGGTACTCACACATTGGCAGACCTCGCCCCACCCCACATCGCAGCGCGCATCCAGTAGGCAGACGTCATATCCCATTCCAGCACAGCCCCTCAGTGGGCAGGAGGACCGGTGTCCGCTTCAAGATGACTCCCCTAGACCAGGATGGGTTTGAGAAGTTCCTCAACGTCGCAGTGCAGGGTGATCTCCTTCCCCCCCTGCGGTGCAGCCTCCTCCTCAACACAGGCGCAGGCAGGCGGCCCCCCAAGCCTCTGCAGGCACTGCCCCACAGGATAAGACCCAGATTCGGGCGCCAAAACGGTGAGCTCTTCAATACCTTCTAGCCTGCTCGCCCTCGCCCTCGCCCTTCGCCCTTTGTTGGGATACAAAAGTGACCTGACCTGGGTTTGAACCAAGGACCTCCACCTCTCGGGGGTGACGCTCTAGCCACTGAGCTATCGGGTCTTTGGTTACTGAGGTGCTGATCACAAGTCAACACCCTTCGCTAACACACATGCCAGCGCACCCTCCAACCTGCCCGGGCACCTCTTGCTGCCCGGCTCAACAAGCCCAAGCCACACTGGGCGCCATAGCTTAGTCTCCTGAGACTCATAGGATCTAGGAGCATGGACCTTTATAATACTATGCTATCTTGTACGGGGGCCATGAGCTTGCACACACGACCGCGTCGCCGCCAGAGTTGGGCCGGATGAGCGGCATGGTTTATTTGTTCTTGTCCAACTCCCATCTGCGTGCGCACAAATTTACGCGGCGCAATTGTCCAAGGAGGGCAGTCTGGGGTCGTCTTGCTCACCGCTCTCATCCACGCATTTGCCCGCCATGGCGGTGGTCGCCGAGATCGCTTGTGGAGGCGGAACTCCAGGCGTGCGCGTGGCCGTCAGCCCCGAGGACGCACGGGGATCGCCACACATCCCAGCACAAGCCGCGGCGAAGCCGCGTCAAGGTTGTTGCCACATTCGACGGTGGGTCCCAGGGTCGTCCAAACGCCGGTGCTGCAAGCTCGTGCAATGGAGGAGATGCACGGCCCCAGGCTCTTGTGAAAGGCGGGAGGGGCGTGGGGCAGTAGGGGGTGCGCGAGGGCGCTGCAGAGGGTCGCAAGCTTGGCCTTCTGCACATCGGACGCCGTTCTGGCTGTAGGCCTGTGTCTCAGTGGCCCGCCGTTGGTGACGCAAAGGGGGGAAGGAAGGCGACGATCGGAGCCTTGATTGCCAGGCGCGGGCTTTTTGTCTGGCAAGGGAGAGCAGGGCGTCAATCTTTTCGGCCGCGCGCGTCCTTTGCAGGGGAAAAGCCGGCCGCCTTGCGCGGCGCGACCGCCTGGGTTTGAGCACCGAGCACAACAAAAAGACGGTGGTGCAGTTCGGAGCAAAAGCGCCAGTCAACGTGGGTGGGAGGAGAGGCGCGAAGGAAGCGATGGCTGCAGCAAGGGAGGAGGGGAAGGGGTGCACAAGTCAGCGGCAGAGCGTTATTAAGAGTAATCCCAGATGCACCTCTCGAAGCTGACAACACTTGTGCCTGGGCTGGAGGGTGCGGCTTGCGAGCGCTTAGCGCAAGCCGAAGGTGCTCCCCAGCAGCCCCTCCCCAGTGATGCCCTTGGCGTGCACCCAGGATTAGACGCATGGCTGCGACGAAGGACACCGAGAGAAGGCGTGGCCGGATGACTGCGGGGCGCACTCAGCCATTGTGGCTGTAGCGCCAATCTGTACCCGCGTTGACGTTGACTTGCAATTGGTGGAGGGCCCAAAGCCGCCATTGTGGCGATAGCACTGTGTGACTCGACAAGCAAGACAATCGCATACAGTCACACTTTGTTGATGATCACGCAAAGTGTGACTATACGCTCCCTTTAAAAGTAGCAGGTCCCTCCTCTTGATCCTCACCCCCTGCCACTTCGGAGAGGACCCCTCTGCAGGCTGTTGTGCGTAAAGCCGCGCCTCGCATGGGTTTTTGAAGTTGGGCTTGCGGGGTCTGAGCAAGCATCCCCCTACCTTCACGAGCTGCGCCACTCGGCGTCGCGCCTGCCCCTCAAAAACAAAGCCCTCATAGACCGGTGGTGGAAAGACCTCATAAGGGAACCGCGTCGGTCGCTACCCGCAGAGGTGAGCGCGGAACAGCGCGCGCCTCCGCCGGAGTGGAAGGTGCGCCCTGCAGCCCAAGCCAGGATTCCTTTTTTCTGAAGCCCCTCCCTTATAGACCGCTGCCAAGCGCTTGGGGCGCTCCTCGGCGTTGCTTTTCCCAGCACCCTTTTGCAAGCAAGGCGGCTTTGGTCACAAGCAAGGATCCGATTGCTTCCCAGCCACCCACTCCACACCCTCACTCGCCTGCCACTGGCCCACCCCGCACGCCGCCCTTGAGCGTGCCGTCCATGAACGCCGTGCTTTCAAGTGCATCTGCAACCACTATCTACGCGCCTCGGTGCTGATACTTTCCTCCAGCAACGGCCAGGAAGCCCCAGCGGTCCTTCACTGCCACGCGCGCGGACGAGGCGCCCCGCTGTCTCTGTGGGTGGTGACCTCGTCGAATTCCCCGAATTCCCCGCTATTGGATGAGCAGCGGCGAAGCTAACTGCGGCGCCCTTGGAGGACGCCGACTTGCCGCAAAACCCGTAATGGACCATCGGAGGTGCGTTCAATGCTTCCGCCGCCCCATTCCTCCCACTGACCGCGCCCTAGTCCCTGCGCCGCCAAACAGTTGGGAGCCAGCCCCGATGTGCTCTGGCGCCCTACGCCCAAAGGTTCCGCTCCAAGGCGCCTACCCAGCCTCCCGCGGCTTTCAAAGACGCGTACAGTCTATGCCAGCGCACCCCTTCACCTCTCCGACCGATGCCGCCTTGCTAATCCCCAGAGCCCCGCCCCGCTCAGGCGCTCTGGCGATCGGCCTCGACCCCGTGCGTCACCCTGGCGCTTGGATGGACGACGACAACACGTCGCTAATCCACGACCGCGCTCTGGACGAGGTCTCCGACGTCGGCACAGGGTCTTCCACCTCCTCCACCTCCTCCCTTGACGGCGCCCTTCCAGAACTTCAGCTCTACGCCGGGTGCTCGTTGTGGTACGCCATCGGTACCCTTGCGGGGTGCCCTCCGCCAGCTCGTGAAGACGAGCGAGCGCGTTGCGAGGGAGCGCCACGCGACAGCGGCGTCGCCGCGAGGACGGGGGAGAAGGGGGGTGGGGGGAGTCGCACCGAAATCGACTAAAAGGGACTGACGGCGATGCGGGCGCGCGCGGGGCGACTCGACGGAGCTGCAGGACGGTGGGGGCGATCTTTCCGCGCTGGGAATGGGACAACAGCGCGAGGAGAGGGGGGAGGGCGAGCCGGGGGAGGGGGGACGTCCGCAGAGGATTGCCGTTGCTGTAAATCAGATAGCTTTGTGTACCCTCGTGAAGTAGTTAGCCCTTGCAATAGGACGTCTATTTACCCTGCTAAACAATTGTCTCGACGGCGAGGGGGGGAGGGAGCGAATTAAGAAGGTGGGGGGAGGGGGGTGGCACGAGCTCGCAAACAGAACAAAAGCAGAGGACTCCCAGCTCGAATTCTCGGCCGACAAAGCAGCAGAGCATGTGTTAGGCGAGGTAGATAGACTACGTAGGCCTGAGATGCATTGATGCGGTGGAGGGGGGACGTGGAACTTGTTATGAGCAGGACGGGCATGAGCACGAGCCCACCAACTCATGGCGCTTTCCTGCCCAAATCTCGCCCTCGCGCGCCTCGTCCACACGTTGGGAATGTAATGGGAATCATGATACATTCGAAGTACCACCTACTACAGGTCCTTCTGCGCGTATTTACCCCAAAAAACCCTCCCAACTCATCGAGCAGCCCATCCAACTCACGCCGACTCTCAAGCTGCCAATCCTGGAATCAGGGTAACTCGTCGGCAAGTGTGCTTAACATTCAGATGTTGAAATCGGTTGTCCGAGGCAGAATCGAGCCAGTAGTCACACTAGAGCGACAGCAAACGAGTCAGGATCATAAGTAGCGAGATACAACGCATAACTACGCACCTAGAGCGACAGCAAACGAGTCAGGAAGAGAAAAGACTCGGATGCGCCGCTCTAGGCAGGAGGGCACGGCAGATGCCGGGAAATAACGTGACGCTCGGCAGTAAGGCGCGAGCGCAGAGATAGGACTGTAAGTAAGCGTACAGTACCGAGAAAAAGTCTGTAAAATTGCAGAAAAATACCATAGGCGCTAGAGAGCGCGTAGACACTGATTCCAACACCCTCATATTCGCCGTCGCGCACGCAGTTTGTGCAGAAGTCGATGAAAGCCTCTGCAAACGAGTGCCAGTTGGCCTCGCCTCGCAGCTTCTCCGTCTGCTGGAAGATAGTGACAGCATAGGAGGGGAGGGAAGACATGATGAGTGGTAGATGGTGCAGATAAGACCAATCAATCGAGTGAAAATTTTTGAGAATGAGAGAATGGGTTTTTCTGAAGGAAAAAGCGAGTTCTGAGAGGTCTGGGGGGTTTTCGGGTAAAGACTAGAGCGCGGGGCTCATAACCTGTTGAGATGGGAGGGCGCAAACACAAACAGCAGACCACAGATGACGGTCAGAGACGAGGTTAAGTGACAGTGTGCTACGTGACTATAGGTAAGTATCCCCTTTGGGACGGTCCAAGCACACCAACTCCAACAGATGTTCGCCCCTACGCCCAAGTGGGCCGCCATTCGCGCTATCCTCGCCCCCGCCGCCATGGACGACCTCGTCCTCTACTCCATTGACATCAGCAACGTGTTCTTGAACGGCGACCTAGCCAAGGAGATCTACATGCGCCAACCGCCCGGCTTCAAGCTCGGCATTGATCCTGACAAGGACTATGTCTGGTGCTTGAAGAAGTCGCTCTATGGGCTGAAGCAGGCGAGTCATGTCTGGCACGAGACGCTGAACAAGGTGCTTGTAGAGATGGGCTTCACGCGCATCCTCTGCGACCACAGCGTGTGGGTGTACGGTCGCGGTGACGCGCGCATTCTCGTGCCCGTCTTTGTGGACGACATGACGATTGGGTGCAAGACTGACGCGCAGGCGCTCGGTATCATTGGCGAGCTGAAGAAGCACTTCAAGCTGCGCGAGTTGGGTCCTACCACCTGGCTGCTGGGCGTTGCCATTGAGCGCGAGCGCAGCCAGCGCACGCTGTCTCTTTCGCAGCGCCAGTACGCCACGGACATCCTCGAGCGGTTTGGCATGGCCGAGTGCAGCCCGGTCACCACTCCGCTCAACCCCTCGCACAAGCTCAGCGCCGCCGATGCTCCTGTCACGCCGGAGGACATTGAGTTCATGTCCACCCGCGCTAAGGAGTACGCCTCTGCCGTTGGCGCCATCGCCTGGCTCGCCCTCGCCACTCGTCCCGACCTCGCCTACCCGGTCTCTGTCCTCGCTCGCTTCACCGGCAACCCCGGCCGCCCGCACTGGAACGCGCTCAAGCACCTCTTCCGCTATCTCAAGGGCACGCTTGACTACAAGCTGACCTACGACGGCAAGGCGGTGAACGCGCGCTCCGAGCTCTTCTACACCTACACCGACGCGGACCACGGCGGTAACCCGGACAATGGGTGGTCCACCAGCGGCCAGATCATCATGATGGCAGGTGGAGCGGTCTCCTGGTCGTCCAAGCTGCAGACTATAGTCGCGCTTTCGACCACCGAGGCAGAGTACGTTGCGGCGTGCTCTGCCAGCCAGGAGATCCTGTGGATGCGCAACTTCCTGACCGAGTGTGGCTACTCGGTCAAGAGCGCGCCCTCCACCCTCTACATTGACAACAACTCGGCGCTGCAGGTGGCCAAGAACCCGGAGCATCATGGGCGCATGAAGCACCTTGACCTGCGCTTCTACTGGCTGCGCGATGAGGTGCATCGCGGCAGCATCCGCCTTGTCCATCTGCAGACAGCGGACATGCCGGCTGACATGCTGACCAAGGCTTTGGGCCGGGTCAAGCTGCAGCACATGGCAACGCTCTCTGGCCTTGGAGTTGGGCGCTAGGACGTGCTCGATCAAGGGGGTGTGTTGGAATCGGTGTCTACGCGCTCTCTAGCGCCTATGGTATTTTTCTGCGATTTTACGGACTTTTTCCCGGTACTGTACGCTTACTTACAGTCCTATCTCTGCGCTCGCGCCTTATTGCCGAGCGCCACATATTTCCTCGGCATTTGCCGGTCCCTCCTGCCTAGAGCGGCACATCCGAGTCTTTTCTCTTCCTGACTCGTTTGCTGTCGCTCTAGGTGCGTAGTTATGCGTTCTATCTTGCTGAATATGATCCTGACTCGTTTGCTGTCGCTCTAGTGTGATCACTGGCTCGATTCTGCCTCGGACACCCTCCTGCCTAGAGCGGCACATCCGAGTCTTTTCTCTTCCTGACTCGTTTGCTGTCGCTCTAGGTGCGTAGTTATGCGTTCTGTACTGCTGAATATACACCTGACTCATTTGCTGTCGCTCTAGTGTGATCATTGGCTCGATTCTGCCTCGGACACAGAAGGGGCAAAGGGGGATGGGTGGGGTAAATAGTGCCTTCCCTCGCACTGGCTGAAGCGGGATTGCCCACCTGCAGCGCGGCCATACGCGTGACACAACCGCGTCCTAAGGAGGCTACGTGCTCCTAAGGAGGAAGCACGCAGTAATCCTCCCCTCTAGCGGGGCCAGCGAGGTGCGAGGGCGAGGGCACAGAGAACAAAGGGACGGAGGGAAGAGGAGAGGGGAGGAAGGGGAAGAGGAGGGAGGAAAGGGGGGAGGGAAGGGGGAAGAGGAGGGGGGAGAGAGGCGCACGACGGTTTGAGCCCCCGCGCATGGCCACGCCAGCTTGCCGAGTGGCGTGAACAGCGGGCAGCGTGAAGCGCTGCAGGTGCGGCATGTACGAGACTGCCGAGCGTTCAGCGCACTGCCAATAGACAGTACACCCCACGCACGATAGCGTTGTAAGGAGGGCAAGGGGATGGGGAGGGATGGCGGGCGGGTCAGCCGGTTGATCTGCCTCGTCTTTGTAGATGGGAAGGAGGGTGTTCGCCATCGCTGGCAGCAGAAAGGGGGTAGAGAGGTGGAGCGGTGCCTTTAGTGCAAGGGAACCGGTGTATGGCAGGACACAGCGCCGCTTGCGTCCGAGGACAACACCGAAAATTTTTGTTAGAAGATTTACTTCATTTTTCTACAGTGAAACGCACCTTTGGGGGGCTTAGATGAGCCCCCATTTCCCTCCTCCTCGTTTGCGCGCAGTTTTGGGCAGCCGTTGGGCAGTGGACGATGGACGGCGAGGGTGGTCGTGGTGGTGCAAAGGATAGCGCAATGCGTTATGTCACGTCACATGGCGCGTTAAGGGGACGCGTTCCCGAGACTCGATCACAGTCTGCAAGCGATCCCCTGCTTTCTGACTACCTTCCTCCGCCCCACCGCTTTGTATAAAACCTCTTCCTTTGCACTAGTCTCTCCTGGTGCCCCCTATGCGGCATTTACTGTGTCATCCCCCCTCCCCCCTTACCACCGTCTTTTGCGGCGCGTCCGGACGTGTGCTCGACGCGCGATGGAGGAGATCTTGCACATGGCCGAAAGACGTGTATCCCAGTCTATACTATATACATCCTATGTCCAGTCAAGCTAGTCCCGACGAGATGGAAAATATAGATGTATATACAGAAATTCGATAAAATGATTGTGAAAGGCTGAGCGTGTACGTGACGCATGAGGAAGGGCAAGGGTCAGGGTGGGAGGGAGACGTAATGGCGCGGGGCCACTGCAAGAGCAGCACAGCGCCTCCTTGTCAAGCTATCGCTTGACGGGGCGTATGGGGCTTCTCTGCAAGGGTGAGGCGCGGGCTCAAAAGCAAGCGATACACGATGCGCATAGCTCGCACTCTACGCACGCACCTCTCTATGCACACGCAATCGCGCTTGAGTGAATGTACAGGAGATAGGTACGGTGTGAGAAGGCGTAGGCCGCGGCACGGCGAGCAAGGTGCTCGCTCGTGCTTGGCACTGCTACCCTCCACGCTCCCCCCTTCCCTTCCCTTCCCTCACGCATCCCCCTTTGTTCACGCGCGTTCCGGATTGGGTGGCGCTCTGCACACGCGTGTCGCTCGATCCAGCCCCTCTGCACCTCGTTGAGCCGTGGGAAGTGTAAGGGGGCTGGCCGGGAGTGGCCGAGTGGAGACGGTAGCGGAGGCAAGGCTAACGTCTAGGCAGCCATGGTCCCCGGACAGCCACACCACCTAGAGGGAGGCGTGACGTCCTAGAAGGGTGAAGAGCGTCACGGTGGACGAGGGAGAGGATCGACGGTGATGGCGGGTCGTGACCGACGATAGAAGAGGGAGTAGGGTAGGGCGTAGCTCGGTAGAAGAAGAGGAACAAGCGTACTGAACACCACTACATAGTGGACCCATGCGTGAGCCATACATGGGGGTCACCCCACGAGTAGAGTGCCCGGTAGGCAGCGCCGCCAGCGCCTACACGAGGTGGAGGGTAGTGACGAGGGGGCGGCGTCACTAGGAGAGTGGGAGGCGTATTGGTCAGAGACGTGACCGGTGGCGGTGATCGATGGAGGGCGACACCAATCAGAAGAAGGAGGGGGTGCGGTGTAACGCCAGGATCGAGGGGGGTAGCCTCGATCGGCGAGGTAGGAAGAGGGTGCACTGGGGAGGGTGCCGAGAGATGCCCTACGCCGGAGGAAGCGCAAGGAGCGGCGCTAAGACCAGACGTACCACGGCGAGCATGAGCTCCAAGCCAGTGGGGGAAGGGATGACATGACGGATGGCGGCGTCAGTCAGGGAAGGGGGATGCGACCAGGACGAGTGGCCAGCGAGGCGAGGGGAGGTGAGCCCACAACGGGCCAATGGGAGCGGAAGGCCTGACGAGGGGTGGTACTCCTGAAGGTACACTTCCCACTGCTGCCAGGGGGGACAACCGACTAAGCCGCACCGGGGGACGAAGGGGAAACACACCAGAGCGAGGAGGCGAGGGGTGCCACGGCGTACAGGGAGGGCCGTTCCCCGGAGTACTAGCACCACAACCGCTGCAGAGGCGCAGGTGTAGACCAAGCCTGAGGACGCAACCCAAGCCAAGGGAGGCGAGCTCACTAGGAGGCGGCGGAGGCAGCCGAGGGTATGGCAGGCCCAAGGCGGCAAGGAGGGGATGGGGCGATCATCGATGGGCGACGCCCACCGTAGCCAACGACGAGCGTTTCTGGATTAGAGAACTCCCAGAGGTTAACTAAGAGCCAGGCGTAGGGGCGCGAGCTAGGCGAGCGGGGAACCAAGGTATATTAGCAGGGAACAGTAACCAGTAAGTACCAACACACCTAGGCGAGCGGGGAACCAAGGAGATCAAACCCAAAGGATCTCCTGATGCCCACTGCCTGTATATATACTGTAGCTATAGTAATCAAGGGGATAGGAGATAACTACTACAGTCATCAGGTCACAAGATCGGTGAGCGATGATGGTGCGATAAGGTGCCATACAGTAGTGGTGGTGGGAGACAGGTAGAGTACTGGCAATGTCCAGGAAGGGGAAGGGATAAATAAGAGAAAGGGAAAGGGGTAGGTTGCCAAAGGGAGAGGAGGAGAAGGGAAGTAGGAGATATAAGGGAAACACACCAGGAATGAGTCATAGGTAATGACTGATGGGGGCGTCAACACATGCAAACACCATCAGTCCACAAACCAAACAAGACCAAACCAGTTGAGTCCACATCACGCTTGTGGGCGCTTGTGGGTGGCGTGGATATCCCCTGACAGGAAGCGTGCGCCACATCCTGCCGCTGGCTTGAACCTGACGCATGGGAAAGATCAAGGGCAGCCAAAGAAGACGCACGGTATGTCGAGGGTCATCCCAGCGGCAGCCGCGCGAGAGATAGGGAGGAAAGTGGAGGTGAAGGTAGAGAGAGGCATTGTACGACACATGTAGGGGGGTGGGGATGATGCTAAAGCCATCAGGGAGTCGCCCAAGACAAATTGCGCATCCTAGGCGAGCTTGCCTCGTCCTCGCCTGTGTTGAGGGTTAAAATGGCGGAGCGGCCTTATCGACCCCGCTCAGCTTGCTGTTGCGCAGCCTGTGCAACGTCCTCATCGCTTTCCATCCGTTGAATAGACTAATAAGTAGCAATTTGAACGCAAAGCACATTCACGCACTGCTTTCCTTCTCCTCGCGCGCCAGTGGGTTGGCTGTTATCTGAATGTTGGTGTTGTCTCGTGCAACACGTTTGCCGCAAAAGCAGGCGCTTTTGATATGAAGTCAGGGAAGAGGGCCAAAGAGAATGAAGAAGAGGACGTAAAGAGGGGAAGAAGGACTGCACGCCATTCGGGGATAAGTGAACCGTGGGAAATTCATCACTGTCGAGCAGCTTGCTTGAACTCAATGTTCATCGACATCTGCAAGCTTTGTCAAAGTAAAAAAGGGCGAGTGGAGTACCCGGAGGTCAAGATGTGTTTCTGCAGCATTATCTTGATGACTTGAACAAATGACCGTGAGGAAACAGGCCTGTCGAATTATGTGGCAGTGCACATTGTCGGAATGTCCCAAGCACGTGGAGAAGAGTTGTCGATAGCTTCAACAACGTACCAAGTTCCCACCAAAAAACTTCAAAGACCTATACAGAAGCATCGAACGGATACACATGATTTTCTCTGAAGCAAGAAAATGAGAGGAAGGGTAAGAAAATGCCAGCGCCACATATTCATCCCGATTTGGAACATGCTGCTTGGACGTCAAATGGTGATGAATTCCACCGTTGTAAGACGATTCCTGCAAGCAGGTCTTGTAACTGGGATTTGGGCGCGGTGTGGCTCAGAAATGTGCGGGGCATGGCCTGCAGTGCCTCATCCCCTTGTGCGTCTGGCCTCTCACCCAACACATGTCCATCGCACTGTGCGTGAGATGATGTTGCATGACCATTGTCATTGCCGTGATGTACTGTGCTTGCCACTGCACACAGCACTGGCAACACTGTGATGGTGTGCTCGAAGAGTGAAAGAAAAAATGTATATGTAAAATGTATATACTATACAATGCGTAATAAAACGCTTTGCCCGTTAGAAGGAGGGAGGGGAAAGGAGGGAGAAGGGGGAAGGGCACATGCAGGTGGCAATATTTTTTGGCCAATCACAGATGGCAGCCTCGCAAGGGGGGGGGGCGGTATCCAAGTGCAATCACGGGATGTGCATTCCGTGTAGGGCCTGATTGTGTGCACGGAAGACGTTTTCCGACACCCCTCGGAAAACGATTCTGTCACAGGTAGTCACGTAGTGTAACATCTGTGACCCCAGCGCCGCCGCGTCGTGCTGGGCGCAATAAAGTGATTTATTCAACGTTCTCATGGCACCGAACAACACGCACTCTGCGGTCGCTCGTCGAAAGCGCGAAAAAGAGCGCCGAGCACGTGCTGCGAGGGTTCTCGTCCCTCTGATGTGCACGGCTGCAGCCTTTGTTGCGTGCACTGCTCTGCAGACCGCCGTGCCAAGGCCTATGTACACGAGCATCCTCACTGGGCAGCGCTGGCTCGATGAGCTGCTTCATGGACATCCCGCTCGCATACGTAGCCAGCTCGGGGTCGACACCCACACATTCTTTACCTTGCTCTTTGACCTTCAGCTGCACTGCGGCCTCCGTGTGTCCAAAACAGTCAGTGTTGGGGAACAACTGGCGATATTTCTGTACTGGGTTCGTCGGGGAGCATCGTACGCAGACATGAAGGAGCGCTTCCAGCGGAGTGCTTGGGTTATACACCGGTAAGCTGACCTTACATAAGCATAGCCTTATCTCATGTTTCCGTAGGTATTCGCACCGTATCCTGCGTATGCTTGTCAGTCCAAGCTTCTACCCTCGATGGGTGCATTGGCCGCCAGATAAAACCCCCTCGGAAATTCGCAGCAACAACAAACTGTACCCATACTTCCGAAACGCTCGTGGCGCTATCGACGGCTCCCATTTCTACGCATGGGCTCCACCCAATGTTGCAGCTCGCTACCGCAACCGCAAAGGCTTCCTATCGCAGAACGTTCTTGCTGCTTGTGATTTTGGAATGAACTTTGTGTACGTGCTGAGCGGTTGGGAAGGGAGTGCTGCAGATTCGGGTGTCTTCAACTACGCATGTGGACACGACTTCCTTGTTGGTCAAGGCCAGTACTACCTTGCGGATGCCGGTTTTCCCTTATGCAATATCCTCATGACACCCTACCTTGGTGAATGGTATCACTTGAAGGAATGGGGACCTGGCGCTCTCAGGTATGACTCCGACATCTCTTCTGCATGCAGCTACTTAGTCTTTTGACAGGCCACGAAATTACCGTGAGCTCTTCAACCTCCGACATGCTCAAGCGCGCAATGTGGTTGAGCGGATCTTTGGTCTGTTCAAGCGTCGTTATGGCATCTTCGACAGTCCTCCCGAGTACTTGGTCGAGACACAGGCCATGCTTGTTCCTGCTCTGGCAGGCATGCAGAACTTCCAACGACAGCACCGTGTTGAGGATAGCGATGATGAAGATGAGCGGGACATCCTCGTCCAGGGTCGATCTGACTCCAACGTCAATGGTGGGATGCATGCGGGACCGGTGCAGTTTACCATCTCACAGGAGGAGGCGAACCGTGCAGAGGAACGACGGGACAAGATTGCCCAGAAGATGTGGCGTGACTATGTGGCTGTTCTACAAAGCCGAGGAGAGGGCGTAAATGGGGTAATTACGGAGGAGGATCTATTTACTATGTAACGAACGTGGGGGTGGAGTAGTCTAATGGTCAGAGGAATCAAGTAGTAGCTGTAGGAAAGAGCAACGGTCATCCTTATCCTCCTCATACACGTACATACGAGTAGCCTCTGTGTCCCACATGATCGTAAACTTAGCCCTCGCACGCTTGGTCCTCGAAGGCGTGTCCTCCCCCAGAATGTCGTACTTGAGGAGCTCGATGACCTTGCGTTTGTTCTTCGGTGTCTCGGGCTGCAATGAGGCAGCAACATTGTTCATCGACTCCGCCATCGACTGAATTGCGTCAACGTTGCGGCGAGGCTTCTTGCGGGAGATCGTGGTTGACATTGAGATGGAGGTGATGGGCGTGGTGGCCGCTCGCTCCTGCACTTGCGTCTCAGGTGGGGGGGAGGAACGCATGAGGTCGGGATCGTTCTCGGGCGTTGATGGTCGTACAGGACCGAGCTGCGGGGATGCACCTTTTGCAGTAAGGTGGATTTAAATCCACCCCGACAATATACGTATCGTCAATTGAAATTTTTCACGACGTCAAATCGGCCCGAATCCCGTGCCCGGGCAGCCCGCCACAGGCGCCGGGACGTGCCCTAATAGGGCTCCGAGGCCGTGATGCGCCCCGCGCGTGGCCGCCGCGGCGCGGGAACGTCACGCGCGCGCGCCCCGGACGCGTCGGGGATGCGCCGCGTGCTGCCGCTGCCGCCGCTGCGCGTCGTAGCGAGCGCGAAATGTATGTAGGTGATGTATAGTAAAGCTTTATACCACGTATTCGAAGGAGGAGGGCCGGAAAGGATGAAAAAAAGGGGGAAAGCGGGAGCGAAAATTTTCGCTCGCGCTCGACGCGCTCTTGCGGCTTGGGCAGCACGCGAAAGCGCAGGAGGAGGGTATAAAAGGGGAGGGGGACATCCCCCCAAGCTACGTGCACCCATTCGCGTCGACAGACGCGTCTGTGGTGGCCACGTAGCACGATGGGGGGAGGGGGAGGGGACGGGGCGTTGCTACGCGCTCGTGGCACTCCCGGGGAGCGCGGAGTGCGTAGCTGTTAGGAAGGCGAGGGCGAGGGCATCATCCGAAGGTGAAAGGCCGCTGCACCCATGGCATGGGGGTACGCGAGGACCGCGGCGAGCGCGAGCTCGCCCGCGACCTAAGGTGCTTGACCTCCCCACTGTATCCGTGCGTTGCCAAGGCGCAGATACGTCGCGAGGAGGAATGTCCCAAGCCCTTCAGCCCCTTCCGGCAAAGGACTGGGCAGAAGGGGTCAGGTGGGGTTGGGTGGGTGCGCAGGAAGCGCCGCCAGCTGTCGCCCGGCTGCGTGCGCGGCATGCCAGGCTCATTGCTTGGTAGCGTTGAGTGCATCTCGCGCGACGCGGAGAATTGCCGCGAAGGCAATTCTCCAGGACCGCAGGAGAGGGGGAGGGGGGATGGAAGGGCGAGCGGCCCTATCCACTTGCGCTAGTCGCAATGGCGAGCGCGAGGGTGGGGGCACGAAGGCCACAGGGCTGTCGAGGGCTCACTCACGACGCGTAGTGCGTCATCGGAGAAGCCCTCGCGCCCTCAGACGTAGCCTGAGGGCGAATATGAGGGGAAAGCGGGGCGATCTTCGCCCCGCTTCTCCACCTCGGCCTCCTCGCGCCCCTCTCCCCTCTCCGCCCTCCACGCCAAAAAACGTAGTGGTTAGTAATGAAATAAAGAGCGGGGCGCGTTCACGCACCCGAAATCCTCCTCCTCATCCGGCTCGATGGCCGTTGCTGTTGCCGATTTCGCGTTGGTTTGTGTGACACGCTTGCTGGTGTGCGCCTTGGGGGCATAGATTCGAGGTGTTAGGAAGATTTAGGAATGTGCAAGGGGTGCCGGGGAGGGATGGGGTGGACGAGGGGGCGGCGTGGTGGTGGTTGAGGACGAGGAACGCCCGTCCCCGACGCGGCGGATGACCGGACCGGCTTCCCGGCCCGCCTTCCGCGCGGTGGCGTCATCGCTTTTGAGGGCCTCGGATTCAGGCCGAGAGGTAGATATGCCCGCGGTCTTTTTTGAATATATTGCTATACGTATGATAGAAATATCCCTGAAAGTTTCAAAGGATTTGGATTACGCACAGATGCTGAGTGGAGCTCGACATTGGACCTGCAAGAAGTACCGATTGATTACCCTTCGAGTACTGCCATCGGGCATTGTTTCGCTTCCCCTTCTCTCGTTTTTTCATCGATTTTCCTGAAGTAAGCTACAGCATGTAGGGGGCCAGTACAAGTACCTTTTGGTGTATGTAAAAGTCTGCAGAACAACGTATATACACGGTAAAACAGGATGAACCGACCTAGAAGGCTTGCTTTTCGAGTACTGGCAAGATTTCTTGACCTTCCTACTATCCCCTTCTCTGCAAACTCCATATACACATACTATAATACCTCTATGACCTTTTCAAGAACATTCCTTGGAATTCAGACTCCCTCGGCCCCTTTCCGAGCCCATTCAAGATGGCAAGGAGGAGCCTTGGGGGCTCGGTCCGGTCTCCGCGCGGTCCTGAAGAACAGCGTTTGAGGTCCCGAGGAACAACGTGTCGCGCGGTCACGATGGCTGCCTCTGCCTTCCACTACCACCGCGCCCTTTGCCCCGCCCTCCCACGCTGAGTCCACTCCCTACCCCCTCCCATTCCATCTCCACTACTACGCGCCCTCACAATGAAGATGAAATCCGAGAACTCGCCAAAAATGCGCCACGCGCGACGGCGGGCAGACTAAGGCGGCACTGCGATGTCGCGCCGCGCGGAACAGGGCACACGGTGCGTGAACGCGCTCATTTTCACTATCTGCTGCTAATCTTGATTTTCCGGGGCGGCGGGAAGCGTGAGGGCCCACGCAAAGGGCGGCTGCGTGTACTGCACCGCTCTCCCTTCCCCCTCGTCTGTCCCTCTCCCCACCCTCCCACGTTCCTCAAAGGGGTACAGGCTCTGCTCATGATGCGTGACAGCGTCATGAGCGAGCCTCACGCATCTTACCGCCAACCAGCGCGAGCTGGTGCGAGCGGCAGGAACCACCCTTCCCGGTCATCCCCCCTCTCCCCCCGTCATTGCGCCGTCTCCTGAGTGCCGCGCTCTCGGTCAGGACCGCGTTAGGCACTGCCAAGGCATGCCTAAGTGCGTCCGGCACGCGCTACGCGCAAGGGAGGACGCGTGCATACCCAACATCCACCCCCACCTTGCTACGTCACCACTGCAGATGCGCCCCTCGGCGCGAATGGGTGGACGTAGCTGGGGGCTACTCCCCTGCTCATCCCCCTTATTCTCCTGCGCTTTTGCGCGCTGCGCGAGCGGCGGGAGCGCCCCTAGCGTGGGCGAAAATTTTCGCTCGCGCTTTTTCCCCTTTTTCTCATTCTTTCCAGCCCTACCCCTTTAGATATGCAGTATATAGCTTCACGTACATCTTTTACATACATATTGCGCTCTCTACGATGCACAGCGGCGACAGCGGCAGCACGTGGCGCATCCCCGACGCGCCCGGGGGCGCGCGCGCGACGTTGCCGCGCCGCGGCCGGCACGCGCGGGGCGCATCACGGCCCCGGAGCCCTATAAGGGCAGATCCCGGCGTCTGCGGCTGGCTGCCCGGGCACGGGAGTCGGGCCGTATTGACGTCGGGAAAGATTTCAATCGACGATACGTAAATTCTCGGGGTAGATTTAAATCTACCTTACAGCATCAGCTGGGGGATGGTGATGGTGTCGGCACCCATGGGCCTTGCGAGGTCTCGATTTGGGTGTCGGAACCATTGTCGTCGTCGAGGGGCTGGGTAGGGGATGGGTCGAAGGACAACTGGGAGTTGGGGATGAGGGCCCGAAGAGCAGGATCGATTGGGATTGAGCTGGCCTCATGAGGAGCCGCAGTCGGAGGGGAGGTGGAAGGAGGGGAGGGCGTCGCAGGAGTCGCTTGACCGCCCGCATGGAAGGCGTGCTCTCCAGTTGCGACGATGTCCTCACAAAGCTCGGCCACCTTGTCGTACAGAGGAAAGGCCTTCTTCTTCCAGCGAAAGTACGGATTGACAGGTACCTTGAGATGCATTAGTTGTGTTGTGAGGGGGAGAAAATGCAACTCACCTTGCCCTGCTTGTTCTTCTTCTGATACTTCGGCTTCTTCGCCTTCTCCTCCTCAAGCTGCTTCTACAGCGCTGGGCTCGCGATGACCATCTTCTTGACATCGTCCCAGCCCCAGCCCGACCTCTCGCGAAGCGCCTTGACCTGCTTCCAGTCCTGCTTGAGCGACTGTAGACATGTGAGCACACATCACCAAAGGCGCGTCGTGTGAATGACACGCGCAGAGCATGGGAACGCACCTTTTCGAAGTGGGACTGGATCTTCGTTGACGTGAGATGTGTGAGGTTCATCTGCAACGCCTCCGGGCCCTTCGCGAGCATCTTGGCGAGCAGCGACGACCAGGTAATGCCGTGCCAGCCGGACTCTGCTTGCCAGGCTCGGCGATTCACGGGGTTGCGCATCTCGTCGACCATGAACTCGTCGGCGGCAAAGCTCCAGCGGACAGTGTCTCCAGACATGTTTGAAGATAAATAGATGCAAAATTTAGAATGTAGGGTAGACTGAATGTAGGTACAGAGGAAACGGACGAGGCGGCGACGCGACGCGCATGCGTGACAGAGTGTGATGCCTGCGTGATCTTCCGACGGTTTTCCTTCGGAAGACTTTTGGCTGTGTTTTCCGAGCTCGGAAAACGTCTTCCGTGCACACGATCAGGCCCGTATGTGTGCGACCTCTTCTCCCCGAAGTAGGGGAAGAAGCGTGCTACACGCTCCCACTCAGTGTTGTCATCGGGCACTCTTGGCAAACTGAGCACACCATTGATCACCGTGCTTTAGCCAGCATGTATGACATAGTGCGCACATCCTACAGAGTGAAATGATGTGACATACGTGCATCACATAAGCAGGAGGAAGGGGTGGGGGGAGTGGGGAGGCCTGTCGGTGGCTTGGTCTGGGCGGCATGACGTGTTTTGGGCCGTGACAGCAGCATGTCTGCTGCTTTTTGTGGGCAAAGCAGAGGGTATCAAACAAGAGAGGGAGGGGGGAGGGGGACATGGGTACAGTGACAGCGAGGGCAAGGGGGTGACAAGCAAGGCATTGCATTGATGATCAATTTTTGTTTGTTCGTGTTGTTATATTAATCACACGTGCGTCCGCAAAGGCACACGTTGGCGGAGGCCACAAGGGAGGACCGTCCGTGTCTCACTGCGGCGGAGGTGGCAATGGCCGATCCCCCCTTTGTATTTCCAAACGACACATGTCTTTGGGGATTCGTCCTTGACAAAGAATACATACAAAATACAATAGATTAGTGAGATGTGCTGGTGGGGGGCATAGCAGACACACCTGAGAGCCCTTTTGAGCCCCTGCACTACTCAAGCTGGGTGAGAATGATGTGGCTCGGTCATCACCAGGGTGTGATGCTAAACGAGCGCAAGGGGCGGCGCGAGGGATGTCACATCACACTCGCCCGCGAGCAAGGGAGGATAATCAATTGTTATCGTGGGAGTTTCGCGTGAGAAGAATCAATGTTTCATAGAGACTATACCTGAAAGTCGCAAGATTGAGGCTGAGATGGGTGCTCAGAGAGTGGGAATTGTCCGAGGCAGAATCGAGCCAGTGATCACACTAGAGCGACAGCAAACAAGTCAGATGTATATTCAGCAGTACAGAACGCATAACTACGCACCTAGAGCAACAGCAAACGAGTCAGGAAGAGAAAAGACTCGGATGTGCCGCTCTAGGCAGGAGGGCACGGCAAATGCCGACGAAATATGTGGCGCTCGGCAATAAGGCACGAGCGCACAAGTAAGACTGTAGGTAAGTATACAGTACCGGGAAAAAGTCCGAAAAATCACAGAAAAATACCATAGGTGCTAGAGAGCGCGTAGACACCGATTCCAACAAACCTTTCACGAGCTAAAAGAGCGCAGGACGCGCAAGACCTCAGTCTTCCTGCTAGGGAGATAGCAACTGAGGGAAGTTGGGAATGAGGCGCCACGTCGCCTGTATCTACAGATAGGGGCACCTTCCTAATCCGGAGCGTGACACTAGTGCTATGTTACGGTGGAGGGGTCGAACCTCCACTGTGTGACATGACACTTTGTGGCGCGTCACTGGGGAGAAGGCAGACTCGTCCTCCTACGCACCACTTCTGACAGGCAAGGCCCGGCACCGAGGCTGCGTATCACAGATCATCCACGACAAATGTCCGTAAGGTAAGCAGCCTCCCTATGTAAGTCCATATTGCGCCAATCTGATCCATAAGAATGATACATTCTGTCAATCTCAGAGGAACGACAGCACTTGTTGTTGCATTCCACTGCACTTTCAAGCCACCCAAATGCGCTGTTCCTCCGTAGACAGATGAGCTGATCTGCCTGATAATGTTCCTGGCACCAGGGCAGAGTGAGGTCAATGGTGAGCAAGGCCATCGACGTCAAGTGTGCAATCTTGTCGAATGTCTCCTGGGAGCCGTCAAAGGAGCATGGACCCAAACGCAGCAATGTTACTTCCGACTGCCCCAACGCTGATAGCAGCTCCCCTCCCACTGAGTATCTGCATGCGTCAACACTTAAGCGAGTTGTGTTGGTGTAGTAGCAGAAATGCTCTGGCAGTCTGATGATAGTGAGCGTGACCAGGTTGGGCAGAAGAGTAAGCACCACCATAAGATTGGTGTTAGGTCCAACTTGAGGTGCGTCGACAAGGTCGTAATAGATGTCCGAAAGGGGACCGAAATAGATATATATTGATAGTCAAAGGAAATGGGTTCGAGTCGAGGCGAAGGCGAGGCGTGGCGAGGTGTTCAAGTGGTTCAACAGAATATCAAGTCTAGGGAAATACAAGTAGCTAGAAGGTATATATAGGTAGAGTCCGAGGCACTGTAGGTGGCAGTGCCGCATAGGTTAGCATGGCAAAGCAGTGGATGACTGGGAAGCAGTCAGGTCCTGACATTACCCCCCCCTCTAAAGTCGACTCCCCGAGTTGAACGCGGTTCGTGGGTCTCGTGACCGCGAAGATGTTTCTTGATCGGTAATCGGGCCGGGGTATGTCGAGATCTCGACTATGATCGTGTCTCCTTCCCTCCCCAAGCTGCCGCCTGATCGAGTATTCCACCGAATCACCCTAAAGGCGGGGACTCGCTGGCGGTGAGGCCCAACTATTGGGGATTGTCCCTTGAGCGCGACCTGGGCCCTTCCGCTCGGTTAGATTTTATCTCGCTTAGATGTCCCTCCTCCTCCCCGTTGGTTGGAGGATTCCCGACCGTTTCCTTCCTGCGCGCAACCTCAAGGCGATGTTCTGGATCTGCGTCTCTAACGGCGTATCCTCTCGTTTTGGAGCACGGCGGTCCTGGTCTTGTGCGAGGGGGTCAGATTTGTGGGTGCGTGTGCGGCTCGATCAAGGGTGCGCTGGATGGCTGATCAGCTCTGATCTGTCTAGGACTTCATTTCGTGTCTTGGTAGACCGTCGCGGCCGGGTTTTAGGATATCTGCCCCCTCCCATTGGCGCTTGTGATCTTGCGCCACTCCCTGTTGAGTAAGGGAGGGCGGTCCTGGGCTCCGGCTTCCTGTGTCCTTGGGATCGTGGTGCCTCTTCCCGTTTCCCATAAAAAGGTGCGTGCTGTTCCTCCCTCTCTCCAGCTTTCTCCTTCTGATTCCCTACCCCCCATGGCGTCCAACTTCAAGTTCTCACAGCCCCCGTCTACCCCTCGCCACCTTGCACCAGGGTACGGTGCTCCCCTCCCTCTCATCGCTCCCTTGCAACCCCATCGCGCTCCCCGCGAGTCGGTCCCTCCTGCCGGTTCTCCTTCAACCCCTTTAGGTTGTTCACCCCCTCGTCCTCCCGCTCCGGTCCCCGTTCCCGCTCCCGTGGAGTTGTTGCCTTCTCCAGACTATATTGCGCGTTTGGAGCTCGAGGTGAGTGTATACGGGTCGCCTGGGGCGTTGTTGGTCATTCTCCGCTAATCCTTTTCTTTAGAATTCCCACCTTCGCGAAGATAATCGGGTCTGGAGGTCGAAGACGACGGCCGCGAATTCAGCTTTGCGCAGGCAAGTCTGGAGAATGTGGTGCATCGGCGTTCTCTGGAGGAGAGGGATGCCCAATTGCGGCAGACGGGCGTAGTCCTCGAGCAGCAACGTGGGTGTGTGGACGAATTAAGCCAGCGCTTGGCTCATAGCGTGGAGGAGTTGGAGGGGACTTGGGAACGTCTCGCTGACATGTCGACCGCTTTGAGCGAGGTTGGCGAGGGCCGAGCGGCAGCTCACGTGCAGCTGAGGGAGGTGAAGGAGGTCTTGCGCGGCGTCGCATTTGACCGGGACTTCCTGCGCGCTGCTCTGGGTGCGCGGGAGCGCAAGCTTTACTGGGTGGATCACGCTCTGGAGGGATTGGAGGCTCGCAACTCATCTTTGCGCGCTCCGGCGGGTGGATCGGCAGGGGAGCTTGACGCCCAGTACTTGGCGTTGCAGGGCCAGTATTTGCGGCTGCTGCGCGAGTTTCGTCGTTCGCGCGTCCCTCGTGCTCTTTGTCGGCATATTCTTCACGACCGTAATCGCTGGAGGGCCTCGTACCTTGGAACCGCTTCTCCCCCCTCTATTCCCCCTCCCCCTTACTCTGATCCCAGTTCCCCGATGGAATCTGTCTCCTCCAACGTTGCAGTCGAAGGCGCTGGTAGCGCGGTTGCGTCCGGTTCGCAGCCTCCCGCGAGAGCCGTCTTGGAGGGTCTGGAGGAGGGCGAGATTGTGGAGGATGGTGGGGTCATGGGGGCCGAGGAGCTTATGTATCCGGACTAGGTGGGGGCGTTGCTTTTCCTCTCTTTCCTTCTTTTTTATTTCGTGTCGGTTCGTTGTTTTATGTATCCGTTCTTCTTCCTTTTCTTCCGAGTTTGTTATAATTTAGTGGTTGTCCTCGTTGGTCTCTCTTGCTAGTTTATTCATCGTCGCTTCTTGTTTCTCTCTACCGCCTTCTTATTTCTTTTCTGTTCCTCCCATTCCTCTACCGTGCGGGGCTTGTCGGGGTGTTTCTTATGGAACTCGTTGATCTTTTTTGGCGCGTTCTCCAGGCTCGTGACGGGTTCCCAGGTGCGCGCTTCAGGACCGAACCCCTTCCAGTCCACCAGGTACTTGATCTTCTTCGTCTTTCCGTAAGTGAACAGTTTACAGTCAAGGATGTCCCCGACCTCCCACTGTTCGTATCCCTCCTCGTCGACTTCGACTGGGGGCGCTTGTTGCGGGGGTCGCCTTGCGAAGGTGTCTTCAGGTATCGCGTGTAGTAGGGAGACGTGGAATACGGGGTGTAGTCGTGAAAGACCGGGCGGAAGCTTCAGCTAATGCTGTAAGCCTGGTTTAAACCTACCCCTCTACTGTCATACTGTGGGTTGAAATCCCACGAAGCGGTTGTCGGGCCCGGCAAATGCCGAGTACCTACGCCGCCAGAGCCGCCAGCGCCGTCGGGCGGCTGCCTTATCCGGCGCCGTGGCCGTGATGCGCGCGTCGCGTGGCCTTCCCGACGTCGGGGTGGCGCGTGATGGTGTGATGGCGCATCATGGCGGCTGCGCGCTTGCTCTTCACGCGTCGGGACACGTTGCACGTGTGCTGGCGCTGCCCCATCTCGCTAATGATGCAAAAAATGGGATATATAGCGGTATATAAACTACATAAATGTATGCATGTTGAAAACTGTGAGAAATGAAAGCAGCACGCGCGCAAATTGCGTCGCGGCAGCAGCACAGGGTGGTCAGGAAGGGGCAGGGAGTGGAAGAGGTAGAGAAGAGAAGGTGGGTAGTGAGGGGGTGTTCTGGCGCGTCATGGGGGGCGTAGCGGGCATGGGGAGGGCGGGCGGGGTGATCGGATGAGGTGATCGGATGAGGTGATCGGGTGAGGTGATCGGGCGGGGCGGAATGGTCGCGGCGGTATTCCCCGGCCTCGCAACGGGATGGCAGGGTCACGAGAAGGGGGGAAGGGCGAGGGCGCGAGGGATGGTAAAGGTGAGGACGTAAGGGCAGCGAGGAAGGGGGTGGGGGAAGCCTGCTCGCTCTGCCGCGCGGCCACGTGTCGTGGCGTTGACAGCGCGCATAGCGAGCAAGGGGAGCGCAGGGGCATCGAAAGATTAAGTGAGCGATGCGGACTGCGACGCGCTCCATTCTAAGGGCGCGCCGCGTCGCATTGGGGGTGGGAGGGAAAGAGGGAGGGGGGGAGGGGGAGGGGCGGTTGGCCGAGTTGGTGCGGCTGCTGTTGCGGCCGAGCCGGGGCGTGGAGGTGGGTGACGGCAGCGGAGAGAGGGATGGGGCTGCTTGAGAAGCCCACTCGAGCTCCCCATCGAAAAAAGCAGTTGCCGCACCGCTCCTCAACGTGAGCGTTGAGGAGCAGCGCAAAAATCACATAGTTAGTACTTTATACGGAAAATAGTGGCCAAGGGATGCACCTTGGGGGATGCTAGAATCCCCTTTACCATCCTTCCCTGTTTTCTGCGCGTGAGAGGCGGCGCCGGCGACGTGGGGTGGATCGGGGTGGATTGGGGGTGGAGGTAGGAAGGGAGGCGCAGTGCAGCCGCGATTCCCATGATCGGCCACGATTTTTTCATGAGGTGTGTGGGGGAGGATGAGAGAAGAAAGGGGGGCGAGGTGGGGAGCGAGCCAGAGCGGAGAGGGGAGAGGGGAAGGGGCCATTGGCGGCAGTGGCTAGGTCACAATTTGGGACCGTTACCTCACAATTTGGGACCGGAGCCATCCGGACCGGCTTTCCGAGGGGTCGTCGTCGTCGTGCTCGGCGACGACCGTAGCACGAACGAAAAGGAATCAGGCTCTCAAACATCGCGGAATGTATACCGACAGTACGTCTATAGGGATATCTTAAGTTGTACTAATATTGGCTATTTATGGCGCTTTTATATGTGCTGGTTTCACGCGGAAGACTGCTCCCACAGATGAGATGTACATAGCAGACCTCGATGCTTGTTGCCAAGCATCCGAGTATCGGGGTCCCTCCAAAGTTTTTGTAGTATGTACATGGAGCTGTATTGACTATAGATACGCTCTTATATCTTGAGAGGAATCCTTCAAGAATGTACAGATCGAGAAAAAGTGTCATTTAGGACGCTTGAGCGCATGTTTCGTGCAATTACTATACCTTCCACTGCTCCCCCTGCTTCAAAAATTCATATAATTGTAGGTATACTCTCTAAGTAGTAGATCACAGGTTTTTAAAGAGATATATACGGTGGATGGTGCGCAGATGTCCGGGGACGGAGCGCGGACGCGTCTTGTCCGACGCGCCGTGTGACGTGACGTAACGCGTCCCGCTTTCCTTCGCACCACCACGACCGCCCTCGCCGTCCATCGCCCACACTCCACCGGCTGCCCAGCAACGCGCGAAAACGAGGAGGAGGGTGGGGGGGGGGGCTCGTATGAGCCCCCCAAAGGTGTGTCTTAATGTATAACAACAAAGTAAACGGGCTAACGAAAATTTTCAGCGTCGCTCGCGAACGCGAGCGGCGCTGTATCCCGCCGTACGCGCCCACCCCCACCGCAGTCACGCCGCCCCACCTCCCGCTGCCACTTGTCGCCGCCACCGACCGCGGACGCCCCCCTCCCATCCCACGAAGACGAGCAAGACCGCCCGGCCGACCTCGCCATCCCCGCTAACCCCCCATCCCCCCTACGGCGCCACCGCGCGTGCGGCGTACTGCCTCGCGGCAGTGCGCTTAGCGCGCGGCAGGCTCGTATATCCCACGCGAGCAGCGTCCCGTGCTGCCCATCGCTCATCCCACCCGGCGAAACGGCGCGGCAGCGCGCGGGGATGCAAATCGCTGCGCACCCCTCCCCCCTCTTCCCCTCCCCTTCCCCTCTCTCCCCTCGTCCTCCTCGCCCTCTTCCTCGCACCCACATCCCATGCTCTCGCAGAGCGAGGCTGGGGAGGGGCGAGGACGAGGGCGGGGAGGACGAGGGGAGGGAGGGGAAGGGGAGGGGAAGAGGGGGGAGGGGGAGGAGTACTGCGTGTTCCCACTTCGGGATCACGTAGTATTCCCGGGACGCGATCGCGTCGTGCGTACGGCCGCGCTACAGGGGGTGGGTAAACCCCCAATAGCAAGCAGGGACGACCGGCACCGCCTACCCCCTTCCATCCCCCGTCGTCCCCTGTTGCGCGCGCGAGCAGGTTCAGAAGGGGGCGCGTCTGGCTGGGTGTCACGCCCCCCCCTCCCTCCCTCTTTCCCATCCCAATCGCCGCAGGCCTGCGCCGTGCGTACCCGTCGCTATGCGCGCGGGATGCTTTTTACTATAATTTAGGTACATTATATAATCAATATACACGTTTTCAGTACGATACAGTGAGGGAGGGATGCGGAAACGCGCACGGCGGGCCCCGAAGCGTCGAGCGACGCCTCCCGACGCGCCATCGCGCCATCACGTGCCACCCCGATGTCGGGAAGGCCACGCGACGCGCGCATCACGGCCACGGCGCCGGATAAGGCAGCCGCCCGACGGCGCCGGCGGCTCTGGCGGCATAGGTACTCGGCATTTGCCGGGCCCGACAACCGCGTCGTGGGGTTTCAACCCAGAGTACGTTAGTATAGGGTCAGGTTTAAACCTAGCCTACTGCACAAGGTGGAAGCTTGAGACGGTATGCGTGTGTACCCACTTTTCTTTTGATGGGAAAGGGTCCTAACCGTTTGTAGTCCAGTTTCTTCGTCGGCCTTTTGGTCTTGACGTTCCTCAAGTCCAACATGACCTTCGTGCCCTTCGTCCACTGTGGTGTGCCGGCCCTTTTCTCGTCAGCGTGGCGCTTCATGGACTCGGCCGCCTTCATCAGTTCGTCCCTCAGGTGAGTTTGCAACTCTTGGAGGTCGCGCGCGACCATGTTGACCTGATGATCGGGGATCTTGTCGTAGACTACCGAGAGACGGTTGTGATATCCTTTGTTCGCGAAGAAGGGGGTTACGCCGGTGCTGGAGTGCTGAGTGTCGTTGTATACGAACTCGGCTATTGGTAATTGGGGTTCCCAATTGTCTTGTTCATAGTTGACGTACACCCTCAGGTATTGCTCGAGCGACTGGTTGACCCGCTCCGTTTGCCCATCGGTCTGCGGGTGGTACGCCGTTGAGAGGTTGTTCTTGATTCCCAGGGCTTTACACAGTTCCTTCCAGAAGGCGGATACGAACAGTGCGCCTCGATCTGAGACGATGTCGGCGGGTACGCCGTGCTTGCTGAAAACCTCCCGTATGAACAGGCGGGCGAACTCGGGGGCTTTGTCCGTCGTGTGGCAAGGTACGAAGATCGCTTGCTTCGTAAGGCGACAGACAATGACTAACACTGCGTCGTAGCCGTTGGACAAGGGTAGTTCCACTATGTGGTCTATCGATATGGACGCCCATGGCCTTTCTCCGATTGGCAATGGCTTCAGGTCTCCAAAAGGCTTGTGACGACTTGCCTTGTTGCGTAGACAGTCTGGACAAGTCACGCAATAGTTGTGGATATCTGCGCGCATGCCCGGCCAATAATATTCACGAGAGACCTTGCTCATGGTTCGTCGTACGCCTGGATGTCCTGCTAGCCGGTGGTTGTGTCGAGCCCTGACGATGTCTTGGCGCAGATTCTCATGGTCTGGTACGTAGATGTGACCGTCCTTGAGCAGGAGTCGTTTTTCTTTGTCGAATCTAAAGGCGCCATCAGGTCGTTTCTCCGCCTCTTCCCTCCCCTTCTGCGAATAGTCATCCGTTGGGGCTCTGCGGATGCGCTCTAGCTCAGCCGCTACATCTAATATGTGCGCGGCGCTGATACGTTCCACTGGGATTGCGATGCGCTCATTGAAGGCCTGCGCTTGGGCTTTGAACGATTCCTTGGGATATACGTCGGGCCTTCGCGTGAGGGCGTCCGGTTTGCCGCCGAGTCGACCCGGTCGGTAGTGGATTACAAAGTCGAAGGAGGAGAGGTATTCCGACCAGCGCGCTTGTCGACGGGTGAGTTGCTTCGTAGTCGTGAAATGCTGCAGGTTATTGTGATCGGAATAGACCTCGATGCGGTGCGTGGCGCCTTCAAGGTATGGTTGCCACACCTTAAACGCTTCCACTATTGCTAACAACTCCCTATCGTAGACGTCGTAGTTGCACTCAGCTGGCGAACAAGTGCGCGCGTGGAAGGCGACTGGGTGAAGTTCATGATCAGCGGGGTCGATCTGGGAGATGATTGCTGCAATAGCCCAATCGGACGCGTCGCTCTCCACTACTACCGGTAGGTCGGGGTTGAAGTGTCGCAGAATGGGTGCTTCGGTGAAGGCTGACTTTAGTAGGTTGAAGACGCGTTCGCATTCATCACTCCACTCCCACGTCCTTCCCTTCTTTAACAACCTGGTGAGTGGGTGGACTATTCCGGAATAGTTGTCGATGAACCTTCGGTAGAAGTTGACGAAACCCAAAAAGGCCTGTAGCTCCTTTATGCCTGTGGGTCTTGGCCAATCGAGGACGGTCTTGACCTTCGTTGGGTCCATCTTCACCCCCTCCGGTGTGATGATCATTCCTAAGTACTCGATCTCTTGTACGTGGAACGAGCACTTTTCGGGTCTGGCGTGTAGGTCATGTTCCCTTAGCCTTTCCAGCACTCGTCTGATGTGCTCGTGATGTTCGACCTCGTTCCTCGAGTAGATCAGAATGTCGTCTAAGTATACGACAACGAATACGTCCAGCATATCGTGGAAGATGTCGTTCACGAAGCGTTGGAAAGTGGACGGTGAGTTCGTCATACCGAAGGGCATGACGAGGTATTCAAACGATCCATAGCGCATTCTGAAGGCGGTTTTCCACTCGTCACCCTTGGCGATCCGAATGTTGTTATACCCCCACCGTAGGTCGATCTTCATGTACACCTTGGCGTCTCGCAACCGGTCTACCAACGTGCCGATGAGCGGGAGTGGATAGTGGTTCTTCTTGGTTATTCGGTTGAGTCCTCGGTAGTCCACGCACAATCTCAGCTTCCCATCCTTCTTCGGGGCGAACAACACGGGTGCTCCCGCGGAGGAGGTCGAGGATCTAATGAACCCCTTTCCCAGCATCTCGTCCAGGTACTCCTTCAACGCTGCGAGTTCCCTTTCTGACATGTTGTAGATTTTTCCGAACGGCGGGGTCGTGCCTTCCTCCAGTTCGATTTTGTGATCGTGCTCTCCTCGGTGGGGGGGCAGGTCTTGAGCTGTTTCCTCAGAGAAGACCGTTCTGAACTCGTGGTATTGCGGCGGTACGTGCGCGTTCATTGATTCGTCTAACCGGTCCTCTTCTCCTCCTTCTTCCCCCTTTCCCTTGTGGTCTTCCGCGGCTGCTTGAGCTTTCTCCTCGCTTTCTGGCCGTAGATATAAAAGGTATACCGGCTCGCCCTGCCTGATCAGTCTCGACATCGGGTCCGCGCCTATGAGCGTGAAGGCCGCCTCCTCTGCTTCTATCGGATTGTCGCCCCCATCGCCGTCATTTGGCTGTTCGTCCGTCTGGGGGATCGCGTGTGGTGGGGTCGGCCCTTTGCTGCGACTTCTGCTGTGTTTTGGCGGTTCCCTTCTTCCCATGTATCGCGATGGTCGTAGCAATTTGGCGCTCAACGGGGCAGGCGTAATGGCGGGCGAGGGGTTTTGCTTTGTCTTGCTCTTCGCTCGTTTTCTTTGCTTGGAGTTTTTCTCTTTAGTTGGTTCCGGGGGTTTTGTGGCTTGATCCCAGGCGGGCGTCGTACTGATATTCTCTACAGGCGTCTCCTCTCTAGTGTCTTCGAGTATCACCCGTGGATCGTCCGGTGCTTCTCCTATTGCGTCGGGTTCGTCTCGCGGCAGCTCCTCGATGATCGTTGTACCCCCTTGCCTGGCGGGTTGGAAGGTCATCGCTCGTAGGGAGGGAGCGAATTGGATGGAGAGGGTCGTCCAGTCAATGACGGGGTTGTGTTTACTTAGCCATGGGAGCCCCAGCACGATCGGGGTCGAGGGGTGTAGTCGGGTAATGAGGAAGTTTTCCTTATGTATAGTTCCATCCTGGAATCTCACCAACAATGGGATACTGTGCTTCAAGTTTCCTGCTGACGAAGGTGTGCCGTTGAATAGTGTGAGGGGGATTTCTCGGGGTAGAGCTCTTCTCAGGTAAGGTACACTGTGGCAGGCTTTGGCGTCGACGAAATTGTTAGTTGCGCCTGTGTCTATAAGGGCGTGTTCCTCGTTTTGATTTGTTTCGAGTACTCCTACCTCGAGTACGAATGAGTTGGTGGATCACGAGGGTAGCTGCGCGACGGCGTTGAGGAACTGGGGATCGGTATCGGGCAGAGCGGGGGGTGGTCCGGACGCTAGATTGCTCTGCTTGTATTCTAGGTCCGGCGTACATTTCCCGCGTCCGAGTAGCTATACAACACGGAGAAATCTTCCCCCTGCTCCTGCGGTTCTTCCTCCCCCTCTGTCCACTGCGCCTCCTCTTCCTCTCCTGTCGACTCGCTATCCTCTGGGGCGGCGTCTTCTTCCCATTGTACTGCGAGCTGGTCTCCTGCAAAGACGTAAGTAGATCGCCCCATCGCTGGCTTCGGGACTGTGCATACCGGGTCTCCCCAGTTGTGTCCAGTCTGCTTACATCCGAAGCAGCGGCCCTCCCGTCAAAGTCGGTCCATCTCCTCACGGGAGAGTCCCGTTAGTCGTTGGTAGGTCATACGTGGTCGACTATTTGGGGCTTGGTTACGGGTGTGGGGGCTCGCGTTAATGGGTGCCGCCGTGTTCAAGGGTAGGGCCGGGATTGGTTTTGCAGGCGGCGGCGAGGTGGCGTTTGCGGGAGTTGCAGATGCTGCCGGCGTCGTTCGCGTCGTCGGGCCGTAGGGTCGGGGTTCTGGCCGTCGGGTGAAGCGGTTAGCTCTCAGGTTGGGTACGGACTTAGCTAGATATTGAGCGCGTTTTTGGAGGGCTTCCCTTTTCTGCCGGTCCTGCCAGTACTTGTTGTCGAGGACCGTGTATAGGTTCTTCATCTCGCGGAAGTTGCGTGGCGAGGGAGCGTACTGGGCGGCGGTCAGAATACGGTCCGGCATGCTCTGCTCGAGTCGCGTCATCCAGTGGACTTCGTTGTACCCCGTCCGTTGCGCTACACTCTCAAAAAGGACAATAAAGGACGTGAATCGCTCACTCGACTCCATTGCCAACGTCTCGTACTCTGCGCATGCATCGGCCTGAGGGTCCGCGAGGTCGAACATCCGCGCGAACTCGTGTATGAATTCGTCGTAGTTGCTTCGCGCGGCGTGGTCGGGGTGGAACGTCTCGAGGTTTTGCCAGTGATCTTTGGCGAGATCCGTGAGGTAGGAGACGGCGAACAATATGCGTGATCTGTCCGTGCTGTAAGTGAGGGGTTTGCTATAAAAATGGAGGTGCACCGAATCGACCCAGCCCCTCCATTGGGAAGGGTCTCGTCCAGAGAATTTTTCCGGTTTTGCGAGCTCGACCTGTTTTTCTCGGGTCAGTTCGTCTTGGAGAGCTTTGCGTTCCCGCTCACGTTCTCACTCTCGCCTTCTGGTTTCCTCCTCTCGTCTGCGTCTTTCTTCTTCTCGAGCCCGGTGTTCCTCCTGTCGGCGTCGATCGTCTTTGCGACGTTGCTCGTCCCCCCTTCCTCGTCCCTGCCCTAATATCTGTGCGAGCTGCCATACCCATGGTGGTGGCGCTTCCCAGGGGTTGTAAGGGTTTCCCCCTCCTCCCCAGGGCGGTCCTCCTCCCGGCGGTCCGCCCCCGGGCGGTCCTCCCGGCGGTCCCCCTCCTGGCGGTCCTCTCCCGGGTCCCCCTCCGGGTGGTCCCCATGGGTTTCCTCCACCCGACGGACCATTCGAGGGCGGTCCTCTTCCTTGGAAAGGGTCAGGAAATGTCGCGTGCTGACGCGGTCTTCTACCTCCGGGTGTGGGTGGGCGCGAGGGCGGTCCATCTCCTCCGTTGCTGCCTTCAGGATCTTCGGGTGGTTCGCCCCCTCCTGCAACTGAGGTGAGTGGAACACGTTCCTCACGTTGGCGGGGTTGACTAACTCCTCCCAAGCTCCAGGCTTCTCTTCGAGCCCTCGCGACGTAGGGATTGGTGTTTGTGGATGCGAATGGATCCTGCATTTGGTCCGCCGCCGGCTCGGTGTGCTGGGTTTGCGCGGAGTGTCGAGAAGGGGAGTAGTACCCTGGCATAGATCGCGAATAGTCGCCCGAGGCCGTTAGCAACTGTCTTTCCTCGTGCTCGCTCGGCACGTACCTAGCCATCGCTGGATCTCGGGGGATCGATCCAAAGTATAGTGGACCCGTGTCTCTGCGGGTTTCGCTCCTCTCGGGTAGGCTTGAGGTCGGATGAGATACGCGAATGACCGGGGACGCGCTGTGAGGCGAGCTCGTCCGTGTGAGGGGAGATGTGGGCACGAGAGACGCTTGAGAGGGCTGCTCGGCAATGGTGGAGGTGGTTGGCTGGCGAGACGGGCCCCTCGTGGGGGGAAAGGCCAAGAATCCGTACGCTTGCCCTTCGCCTCCGATGCTGCTCATTGGGGGGATCGGGATTCTTTGTGCCGGTTCAGGCCTGAGTCGATCGCGATCCCAGAGGGTAGACTGTCTACGTTCGCTCCGGGGAACGTGCCCTAGCTGGTCGTGGGGGGATTCGTCTATGGCTAGGTTCGACCTTTGACTCATGAATGATCGTTCGGGTGCGGTGGTAGGTAGCGTACTGAGATTCCCCTCCTCTGTTAATCGACCTTGATCGGCGGGGGTCATGTTGCGTTCTGGGGTGCGACGAGTCTCTTCAGGCGCGGGGGGTCGAGGGGGGGCTCATCGTCTCGTCTCCGATCCTAATGGGTTCTTGGTTAGTGATAAGGATGGTTACCCCAGCCTCGCTGATCACCTGCACTGGCGTACGATGCGACTGCTCCGCTCTTGCGACGACTTCGGACAGATCGTACTCTCTCAGGTTCATGGGGTCTCGTGTCCCGGTGGTCGCGTGTAGTACTTCGTTGAGTCGTCGTACCAATCTCGTGTTATTGAAGAAGGGTAGGTATGAGGATGGCACGTGGCCTCGCAGGAAGCTCGTGGCTGCTGCTCGGAGCCAGCCGACTAGTTCGAAGTAGAAGGGCGTTGGGTCCGCGTCTACTCTCTCGTTGTGGGTTGCTCCTAGAGCCCGCAGTACCCGCCAGGCTTCTTCAGCCAGCTCTGCCCTTGTTCTCTCACTTTGTGTAACGGTGTCGCCTGCGGGGGGCGCGGCCGCCGCGGGGTTTCGGGCCGGAGTGGACATGCCCTCCGCTCGACTGAACTGGACTGAGGGATACGTGCTTTGAGGTCCGAGCGGTCGCGGTCTGCGTTCGGGGTCATAGCTTTTGGACGGAAAGGAGCCTGCGACGCGGGGTGGTGAGGCTCTGCTTGGTGTGCGAGCACCGCTATTCACGGCGGTTTCGCCTGGAAACGGCGTGGCACTAGGCAGTGGCACCGGTCCGCGGTGTCCTCTCTGCGTGATGGTGTCTGAGGTTCGCGGCGCTTGGGGCGCGAGACTTTCTTCTTCTTGGGTAAGGGTCTCAGTGGCCATCGCGGCGTCGTTCCGACCGTCGTCGATAGAAGAGACTTGATATTATGTTAGGTCCGACTTGAGGTGCGTTGACGAGGTTGTAATAGACGTCCGAAAGGGGACCGAAATAGATATATATTGATAGTCGAAGGAAATGGGTTCGAGTCGAGGCGAAGGCGAGGCGTGGCGAGGTGTTCAAGTGGTTCAACAGAATATCAAGTCTAGGGAAATACAAGTAGCTAGAAGGTATATATAGGTAGAGTCCGAGGCACTGTAGGTGGCAGTGCCGCATAGGTTAGCATGGCAAAGCAGTGGATGACTGGGAAGCAGTCAGGTCCTGACAATTGGCTTCTGCGATGCGCTGGCGGAGAAGGACCAAGACATGGAGTGCAGGGAGATTGCCAAATGCAACGATCGCGCGCGAGGCATTCCATGAGATGTGGGAAAGGCTGCTGTTAGCTAGATGGACATATATCTCTTCAGGAAATTGGCGATCTATAGAGTTGAGCACAAGACAGCATAGTTTAGGGAAGCTGCTAGCGGCAAGCACCGGCTGCGGAGACCAAAGTTGAGCAATCAGCACAACTCCTCCAGGTGGATGCATTGGAAGGGAAGGAGGATGAGATCTGGTTCAAAAGAGGCCATAGCCTGACTCATACGTCCTCCTGCCGTCCCGACGCAGCTCAGGTGAGCGCGTTGCAGGGAGGGGCTATGTCCAAGAATGTGCCTCCAGTTAGCACTGCCTGCACCAGAGTCCTCGATACTGAGGTTGGTGATATTAGCTGAGGAGAGGCGAACACCCCAACTAGTCGATGCAGCAAAGGACGGTCTGCCAGGCATGATTTCACATAGGTGATGGCCGCAGAGCAACAATGATGCAGCACCAAGCAGCTGTCACGAGTTGGTTATTGTTCTGTACAGCTTGACTCTAGCAGTCACTCGGTCACATCACGCGTTCACACCTTATATACCAAGTAGTCACACTTATACACTCTTTAGTCCATGTGTTGTCGCCTTCGGTCCGTGTCTGTGTTTGGTGTTGCTGCTGGGCGCACCAGCCCCTCCAGCCTGCTGCTGAGGGGGGCCTCTGAGGCCCTGCCCAGGGCTTTGTACCGGGTCTGTCGCTTGCCTTTTCTCCTTGCTGCTGCCATCCAACCGCTGGGTCGTATTCAATCATCCACCGCCGACGCTCCTGCTATCCGCAACCTCCCTACCCGTTGGTCACTCCTTGCATCCACTTCTGATAGCAGCAGTCCCAACTACAGTGCCAACCGCTTGAGGAGGGCGTCTTCCGGTGAAGCACACCAGTAGCAGGAGGTTTTGCGCAAATGCCGTGGCGCTAGCCACAAGTGCCAAATTTATTTCACCTGGCTCTAGCCACTAGAGGCTAGTGCCAGCTGCCAACGCAGGGACTTAGTGAAAATGAGCCTCAAGTGACCTAGCAGGTTAGGAAGGTTAGAGGCTAGGGAGGTTAGGTGGTTAGGTAGGTTAGGGGTTAGAGGTTAGAGGTTTAGGGTTAGGTGGTTAGGGTTTAGGGTTTAGAGTTTGGGTTAGTGGTTAGAGGTTAGGTTTAGGTTAGGGGTTAGGTTTAGGTTAGGGGTTAGGTTTAGGTTAGGGCCAGGGACGTTATTATCTGTCTCAGTTGTCTTGATTGTCTTATTGGTAAAAGGATAAAGTTTTCTAAAGTAACCTGTAAGGGTTAGAAGGATTGAAGGTCAGCAAGGCTAGTAAAGTGAGTGAAGCAGTAAGAATAGCAATACTAGTAAGGATATAAAGAGAAGAGCATGATTAGAAAGACAAGAAAAGGTGAGAAGGGGTGACAATAGTTGGGTAATGTATACTTTGTTGTGCCAACATACTTCAAGGTCCAATGGCTCAGCTGGTTAAGGTGTCAACCAAAACAGATGAGGATGTCTGGGGTTCCAACCCTGGTGATGACATTGTCAAATTGTACCATTTTTATGGTGGTATTGATGCCATCAAGATGATGAATCATCCTGGTATGAGTCACATCCTCTCCGATCAACTTACAGCCTTCCATTTAAGGAAATAGGTGGGTGTGTTGGTGCAGTGGCACTAGCCCCCAGTGGCTAGAGCCAGGTCAAATGTATTCGGCTCTTGTGGCTAGCGCCAGTGCCATTTGCCTCAGATCTCCTGCTACGGCTCTGAAGCAGTCATGCCCTTTGATGATTTTGCCTCATCAGTCCAGTAGGTTCCGGTGAGTGAACATATATGCACATACCCATAATGAATTGGCTGACTCTCTCTCCCAAACAAGCTTAAGGCGGTTGAAGTTTGGTGCAGATGGGATAGCGCGCAGGCCAGGTGGGAGGAACTCGACACCAATGATGGAGAGTGTACGAATGCGCGCGGCTTGAAGGGTGATGCTGTTGAGTACCTCTGCGACAGCGTCGCCATCATCCCATCCCCAAGGTGATGAGAGGGCGATATAGATGTGCAGTGGCTTGTCGGTATCAGTGCCACGCGACTGATCAAGAGCGCAAGCAATGGCCTCTTGAGCAGTCGGGACATTGGTGATGGACAGGACAATATAGACGGCACTCCATAGCTCTGCACGCTCCTGAGCAGCGATAGCATTCCAAGATCGGCAGACTCCTCGGATGTTCTCGAGTATGGTGGGTGTTGCCATTGGTGGGAATTGTATATAGCACGACATGGGGTCAACATGTTGGGCTGCTGACATCCAAGACCGGTGGAACTGCATGCGGGCCTCTTTGATTGCAGCGAGCACAATAGCGGTGATGATCTCGATAGGAATTGCCTATAGGAGCAAATGAGTTATCGCGCGCACTGGAGCCCAAGTGCTCTTACTTGTGGCATGTTGGATTGACAATTGATGTTGTCGTATGAGGACTGCAAGGTTGAGATGAACAACTCAGTAGATGTAAGAGCCAAAAGCACTGGAGCCCGGAGCCCAAGAAGAGCGCAGTGGCCTGAAAGCAGACATAGAGCCTCAGGTGATGAAAATCATATACAAATACAAAGAATTAGTGTTTCTTCTTCTTTGCGCCTGGCGTCTACATATCCTGCGCTTCCTCCTCTTCCATACTCATCCTCTTCTTTCCCTTTCCCTTTCCCTTCCCCTTCCCATCAATGGCGCCACTGACCTCGGCCTGCATGAGGATTGTGCAGCTGGATGGCCCCAAGGCTGGTGGCGAGATGGGAATCTGATGCGCAAGCATGGTCTTCCTGACACCATGGCCAACCACCTCAGATTTCCGATGGCCGGCCTTACCGCACAATGCTGGTGGTCGTACTTCACCGGTCAAGAGAGCATCTGCCAGTTGACAATGGGCTTGGAGGCTGTAAGGACCAAGCGTGCTGACGTGAGCGACTTTCTTGATATTGGTCTCCACGCGAGATATGCACTGCAAAAGATAGGTCAGGCAGAGAAAATATGATAAGACTGAGACCGACCGATGGCTGCATCCAATCTGGTGGCAATGATGCGACAAACAGGGTGTAGTAGTTGTCTTTGTCCACACGGAAGACATAGGTCGGTAGATAGACTTCAGCACCACAGGGATTGGAAGGAGGTTCCCTGAACGCATCTGTCATGGGCTGATGGTGTTGTCCTAGTAATTGGTGATATATGATAAAGAAAGGGCTATATAAATTGATTGACGTACCGGTTGCAGCACACTTTGTTGGTACAAAGTGGGCAGTAGGATAAACAATACTCAACTCCAGCGCACTTTGATATGCTGAGATAGTCAACCGGGTCCTTTTGCGACGATAGCATAAGATGGTGTGGATGAACCTGTAGTGCCCATTCTGATTGAAGTGGAATGGCTTGGAGATTGCCTGTACGGTGCTGGGCCAGGCGGTATTGTTCGCGTGCTTGTCCATCTCGGCGCAGTGGCTATGGAAGGCATGGACCAGTCAATTGAAGGCGTTGTCATCCGATCCCACCCAAGAGACAGGTGTTAGAGAGTGCAGTAGAGCAAGGACACATACATTGCAGGCCTCTTGGGCGTCCAAGCCATTGAACACGACCTGGTTGTGGCGCATTTCTCAGCAGATAGGTCAATTGCCCAAGCTCTTCTTGTTGCTCCTTTGTTTGTCGCGCCAAGTTCACAGGACATTCAACGACTCTGCTGATTCCAAGAGGGCATCTGGGCCATGGGTGACACTCCATATCCTTGCATAAATTTGTGAATGGTTATTCATGAGATCAGATAACATGGACTGTAGACAGCGTACTCTTGTTCCGGGAACAAAGTCAGACTCTGGTAAGCTTCTGCGTAGACACATGACGTGAAAGGACATCAGTACGTTGTGGTCGTTGAAGATGACTACCATCTGGCGGCACACAAAGGCGGCCATGATATTGACCAGAGGGTTGTTGATCCGGCCTGTGCAGAATTCAGGGGGAATATGATAACTTTTACTCTTTTGGCCTCGCCTGACCGGTTCGGCAGAGACAATGTTGCCATAGCATGACCTTCTTGCGTGAATGATATGCAAACGACAAACTGTATAAGTTCAGCCCAGAAGACTATAGAGCATATAAGTACTCACATTATTGCTTGTCCAGGTCGTTATTGATGACAATAGCCAACTCCTTTGCGCATGCTTTGGCGTAGGCGCAGCCTCTCAGGTCAAGGAGATTCACGACTTTGTCCGCTCTGAGATCTTTGTAAGACGCGGAGTTGCGCTGCGCAATTATCATGTTGTAATTCTGAAGACATCATTAATGCAGGCCAGGTAAATGATGGAAGGTACCTACAGCAGCAGTGGCTGCTGTCTGGGCAGCCAGTTTAGCGGTCTTTGACCCTCCGGGGGCAGCAGGATTGAACAAGTTCTAAAGACGTATTGATACATGCAAATATATTAATTTAATGTGAGCTTGCCTGAATGGCAGTCTAGGTGCTGTGCCATGTGGAGGGCAGCAGTCCACAGCCAGCGCATGCAGTGTTCTTGCGGCAGTTTTTGCGGTCTTTCTCCCAAGGGAGAAGATGGTTAGGAAATGAAAGAAGGCCGGGATCGGTATTGGCGGCGAGGTGCAGAGTTACAGAATGTCAAAAGCTGTTGGGGTCGGTAAGGCAGTCTGGGTGGATAATAAATGACCCTTCCAGGCCGTTCAGCTCAAAGGACACCTAGAAGGAGATGCAGTTGAACTGACCGTACTCAACAGGCTCTGTTACGAGACCTGCCTTGCAGGCTCGTCTTACCGCGGTGACCGTCATCACCATCAGACGTCAAAGCGGTCCATCAAAGTTATCTCCGAATAGAATAGTTTGCTCATTTACATCGTTTCCTGTGCCTTTCAACGGTCCGAAAAATTCCTGCGTACTCGTTTGTATCTTCCATCTCAGTAATCCAGAGAATTTTGCTCACTCCGGCACTGGTACCTACGTTATCGTCTTCAACTTCTCACGTGCGTGTTCGGTCCGAGTTTGCCTGCACAGCCACAACATTCGACAAGGCCGTTAAACTGTTATAGCGACTGCCCTCCCGCGTAATATATGTACGAAATATTTGTGAAGACTCTCTATACGTCTGAGTACCCATCACCAAAGCTTTGTGCTATCAGACGAACGGAATGGCCTTCAATGCTGGCTCGGGTCTTGCCGAGTGACCTTTGGTTGCCGACCCGATGTCACCGGCACTCATCCCGCGCCGCATGTTCTCAAACACCACCACCACTCACTCCTCATTGACCCCCACCAAATGTCGACCATCCTTCTCTTAACCCGCATGACATGTATAATGTGCTCACTATGTGCTGACCCTCTTCTAATCACGCTTTTTGACATGTTCTCAAGTGGCCAGCTTCTTCCGACTTCGGCTGGCCCTGCTCTCACAGGTCTCGTACATGCCGAATGGCCACTTAGCTAGTACAGGGAACTTTAAGGCCTTCCTCTCCTATTGTTCCAGGACATCTAAGAGAGACATGGATTTGCCTTGCAGAGCACCTATATACAAGAAATTCAGGCATATATGGACCTTGTGTGATGGAGGTGAGGTGGGGTGAGGTGAAGGTGTAAGCACAAGATAGCGATGTGATCTTGTGACGGCCATGCAGTCAACCTGATCATGTGACCAATTATATTGAATCGAAATATATCTATGCTAGGCTCAACTTGAAGGAACCGCTCACTGTGCGTGCAAGCGCAAGGATGAAAACTGAATACACCATAATGCTGTGCTTCTATAGGGCCTTGACCCACCTTGTGCAGTAGGGTAGGTTTAAACCCAGTTGACCGTTGTCATACTCCAGGTTGAAATCCCACAACGCGGTTGTCAAGCCCAGCAGATGCCGAGCCCCTAGCCGACAGAGAGGCCGGCGCCGCCGTATTCCTGCCTTATACGGTGCCGCGGCCGTGATGCGCACGCCGCGTGTCCATCCCGACGTCAGGGGCAGCACGTGATGGCGTGATCGGGCGGCGCAATGGCCGCGCGCGTGCAGGGCGACTGGGATGCGGACTCCCCTCACCCAAAGCTCGAGTAGGACGGCTGATTGTGGGGAACGAAAGGGGTATTAATTTTTTTGGACTTACGCTACACTACGCTACGTTCTGACCTGTATCTACAAGGCCGCCTGCAGCGGCCATAGACGAGTACTTACGCACGTGTTGCGGCGGCGCTCGATGGCCGCTGCATGTCTACAATGAGATCACCTTTTTTCACACGTACCTCCACCATCCCATCTCGTCGCCTGACGCGCCGAGCCGGGGTTTGAGGTAGGAAGAGGTCCTCTACAGAAGAGGGAGTCGCCTTAGGCTCCTCCGGGTTCAGTGCGCGTCGCTTTAGAAGCGCGTTGCGCCCCTTCTTGTCTGAGAACCACCTTCCGCCTCCGCCTACCACTCGCGAGCATCCCCACGCGGTAGACGTTCACCGCAAAGTGGACACTGTGGGATCTTGCGAGTAATCTCATCTCCTTCCCTCCTTCAAGCTGCATCCAAACGGAGCTCGACAGAGCCGGCGACTACAAGGAGCGCCAGTCGAATTCACCGGATCCCCGATCAACACCGGACGACTAGGTCGACGAACTGTCTCCGCGCCTGTCCCTAGCTGCATACCTCGCCGCTCTCTGGCGCGACGTCGACATTCGTCTGAGTCTCCTCTTACTCCGATATCCGACGTAGGATCGCTCAACCTCAAAGGCTTTGGCATCAACCAGACGCAAGAGCACATCTCCCTCCTAGATATTCAACTGGACCTCGACATGCCCGACTCGCCTCCCTCTCAGGCTGGCTCCGCCGCCGACACCGCCGAAGTCGAAAGGCAAGTCGGCTCGCAAGTCGGAAGGGTGTTAGGACCGTGCAACCTGCGCTGCTAAGCCCGAGATCGATCCCCTTTACCCCTGATCGGATTAGCTATTCATGCACGCCCAGAACATCGCAGGAAAGAGGGGGAAGGACAGGAAAGGACTGGAAACAGATAAAAGGCAGAAGGAATCAGGAAAGGAGTCAAGGAAAGGTGCAGGGTCGGCTGAGGAAAGAAGAGGATGGGTCTCAGAACTCAACAGGGGGTTTATCCTGGTTGATATTGAGCCTGTCTACTAGGGACTAAGCTACTGGCTTATATACTAAGCAGACAGTGGAATAAGGAAGGTCCGGAATTACTAGATAAGGAAAGTGCGGGAATCCGGAATAAGCGGAAACTAGGAAAGCACATGGAAACGCGGAAGCGAACCGTAAGTGCAGGGCAGGAAAGGATGATGACATAAGAGTCGTAACGAAGGAGCGGGAAGGAAGCGGGAATCGTAAGCGGAATATCGTAAGGACATGAAGCGCACCGGAAACTCGGAAAAGCGGAACGAAGCGGAATCCGTGTAGTATATAGGAAACTCGGAAACGAACCGGAAATATGCGGAATCTGGAATGGTGCGCTGGAATGGGTGTTGCGTGCACGTTGCACGTAACAAAGGGAGGAATTACCCCCGCGCGAACCTTCACCCACTCCCACCGAAGTTGGCAGGGGACGACTGGAGACGATACGAGTGGCCTACGAAGACGAGATGTCCAATGCTGACTCGCTGCTCCCGCCCGATTTGCGCTCACTGAAGGGAAGAGTGCGCAAGTACGCGATGCGCAAGGAGTTGTCCATCACGGACATCGTGGACTGCGGCAGAGGCCTGCACGACGAAGAGCCGTGATACGCCATCAAGGTCACGTTGACCAAACCCGTCTTTGACACCATCCGGTGCATGCAACTCGTCCTCAACTCCCTGGCCACCTATATCCCCGAGCGAACGCACACGTATCAGATAGACCCCAAGGAGTCCTTCAGCAAGATACTCCTGCATGCCGCTTCGCTTGAAGAGCTACAGCTTGCTTGGGTGGGCCTCACGGGACGCCTGATGGGAGCGCAACAGGTCTACGACAAATACTTCGCTGAGGCGCTAAGGGAACAAGGGGCTCGAAACGTCGACGCCTTCTCGCAGCCGGCCACCACGCCATCCACTGTCTACCGGCACATCGAGGAGGAGGAAGATCCCCATTGCCGATTGAGGCTCGCGCTAGGGGGGCTGCCCAACTCATGTCCTATCGGGACGGAGCCAGACCAAGACCGCAATCTGACACAATATCTGGACGCGAACGTCCGGAGAATGATACGTGTCCCTACTCCCATCGAAGACGCCTTTCCTCCCCGGGACCCGGAGGATAATCCCCACCTTCTGTACTACGACGATCTCAACCGCCGGCGTCTCCTCCCTCCTAAGACCACCTATCAGAACCCGCTAGGGTATTCGCCCATAGAGCCCCCTAAGAGCGAGATGGAGGGCCGAAGGTCAAATCCACCCCCGTCGCCGCCTCCGCCTCCTCCGCCTGTTCCTCTTAGGCCCCCGCGCTCAACGCGCTCATCTTCCTCGCGGACCTCGACGTCGTCGTCAAGTACCTCGACGTCGGCTCGCCCGGGGTCGAGCCACCCCTCGTCCAGCTCCTCCTCCAGCCTGTCGTCAAGGGACGGAGATCACCGCGAGCGCAGGCGATCGCGCAAACCGCGGCGCTCCACCTTCCAGGAGATGCATCTCCAGCCCATCGACGAGGAGGACCCGCCTCCCTCGGATCCCGACAACGACCCCTCCGATCGCGGGGGGCGCAGGTCCAAAAGGCACAAGAAGAAATCGGGGAAAGGAGACCACAATAAGGATGGAGACGGCGGGCCTCCTGCAGACGATGAGAACCCTGGGAGCAGAGCCGCGCGCACGCCTGTTCCAGGAATCAACCCCATCATCAAACCCGAAAGTCTGCCTTTGTGGGACGGCAACCGGGCCACCGTCATGAATTACTTCTGGCACATCGTGGAGCTAGCTCAACAAGGAGGTTGCATGCCGCAAGCCCTCGGAGAGTGGCTCTGGTCACAGCTAGTGCCCAACTCGTTGATCCAGCGCTGGTATATGACGCAGAGCGAGGAGAGGAAGGAGTTCATGAGGCAGGGCCACAAGAACTTTATTGCGACTATTAAGAAGCACTACTTAGGCCCCGCGTGGATCAGCGCGTTGTCCTCCGAATTCCGTATGCCAGCTGATGTCTTAAAGCCTTTGCAAAGTCACCTATTATTTGTAGGACATGCTTTTGCAAAGTTCACGAAGTGTTTACTTACACAGCCACAGCGCCCGGGATCTCGCCGGCGACGCCTCCGGGCAGCGCCCGATGCGGCAGGCAACCCCCCGAGCTCACCGTTCGGGATTTTCCGAGCATCGCGTCCGCCTCCCGCCGCGCACGAGGGCAATTGATGCGCCCTCCCGCGCTTAGTCAGCGTGCCGCGCAGCCTTGCGAGCGCGCGCGTCGCCGCCGCTCGTCGTCCTTCCTCGGGCTCATAGTAGCAGAATAAGTGTTGAATTGACAGTACATACACATAATGTAGGTACGAAAAGGTACAGGGATACGAAAAGAATGAGAAAAGTAGCGAGAAACATCGGCGAAAAATTTTTGCTGATGTGATGCACGTCGCGCAGCCCACGTAGGGAGCGTGTGCAGATGTGCGAGAAGGGGAGAGGAAGGGGGAGGGCATGGGGAACATTAGCCCGCGACTGAGAACGCGCGCAGGGGCTCTGGTCGTCGCGGGAAGCGATGCACGTTGCACGCGCGGCTGCGGTACGTGGCGTCCACAGCCCTTTTTGCGGACTGGCTGCGCGAGGGGGGTTGGAGGAGGGAGAGGGTGGATCAGGAGGGACGCGGCTGGCGGGAAGAGCCCCTAGGCGGGGTCGTTGGGGTCGTCGCAGGCGTCGTCGTCATCGGGCAGGGTGGGACGGCGCAGCGTGCTGACCTGCCCGTGTTGTCTGGCATTCGATGTCGGTGAGTGTGAGGTTAGGGGGTGTCGTTGCCGCAACTCGCGGCGACGCGTGAAGGTGATTGGGGTGGTCGAGGTCGTGGTAGGAGGCACGAGGGGGGCGGCCAATCAAACTGCCCCGCGCACGCAATTGCGCGCGCACGGACGCGTCGCCCCGGTTGCGCGCGCACAAAGCAACGTATTTAGTCGATATCTGAGTGCTGGATGTACCCACGTACCGAGCAGCCCCTTCCCGTGTGTTCCGCGCATGTATCGCCTGGTTTGGCTAAATCCCCTCAGGCGTGAGTTTGGTATGGTTGTTGATGTCGCTAGAAGGAGAAAATGGGTCGCCGGCCGTAAAACATCCATTTGTGGGGGGTGTCAAAAGTAGGGTATAGAGGGGCGAGTCTGCCTCCTCCCATGGGCGGACGGTTTGCCTCGCGTCCACGCTTTTGGTCCGCCTTCCTATTCGGGAAGAACTTTCCCACGCCGCTCCGGGGGCGTCCGTATTTATCCTTACTGTACATCTCTTTTCCCTCAGTCGCTATTCCACTAGCAGGAAGACTGAGGGTATGTTATCTCACTTACTATACTCATACTATTTACTGACTGTACTTTAGTCTTGCGCGTCCTGCGCTTCTTTAGGTATGAATATCAGTCGCTATTCCACTAGCAGGAAGACTGAGGTCTTGCGCGTCCTGCGCTTCTTTAGCTCGTGAAAGGTTATGAGCCCCGTGGCCTAAATCGAGCAAGACTTCGATCTGCGACTCACTCTATCCCACTCTGCGCCATGGCTCCCAAGGACAGCAAGGTCCCGACGCTCACCGACGCGGCGGACTGGCCGCTCTGGCGCCTCCGGGTCACCGACGCCCTCAACAGGGATGATCTCACCTCCGTGGTGACTGGATCGGAAAAATCCCCTCCCCCTGAGATTGCGGTGACTCCACCGACGCCAACAACGTCCTCACCCCCGTCCACGTCACCCGGCGCTCCGGCGACCACCACCACATCCACTGGATCGGGCTCCTCCTCCACCACTCACCAAGTTGCGCGGAGGGAGACCTGGTCCTGGCGGAACGCCCGCGCCCTCTCCACCATCCGGGAGCACCTCTTGAATGACATCGCCCTCGAGCTCCACGAGTACCAGCACGCGAGCGAACTCTGGGAGAAGCTCGTCGAGAAGTTCGAGCAGACCAACACCAGTGAGATGGCGGTCGCCGAACTGATCAAGATCTTCCGTGCGAAGCTCGCCGACGGCGACGACGGAGACGTCTCCCGCGAAGCGATGAGCGCGCACATCCACCGCGTTCGGCAGTCGGTCACCCAGCTCGCCACCCTCGGCTACCCCCTCAACGCCAACCTCGTCCCCCTTATCCTCCTCGCCTCCCTTCCCAGCTCGGAGAAGTGGAAGATTGTCTCGTCCGGCATCTCGGCGGGCAGCTCCAAGGCCGCGCCCCTCACCTTCTCCTACGTCGAGGCGAAGCTGATGGCACAGGTGACCAGCAAGGAGGACTCGGATGACGAGCAGGCATACGCCGCCTCCTCTTCTCGCGCGCCCCCACCGCGCAAGCCCAAGGACAAGGGCAAGAAGAAGGCTAAGGCGAAGGCGTCCTGCGTCATCCACGGCGAGGGGCACTCCACCGAGGAGTGCAAGACGATCATTGGACAGAAGGAGAAGGCGCTGAAGAAGCGGAAGGAGCGGGCGGCGGAGAAGGCGAAGGCGAACAAGGTGAAGGACTCAGACTCGGACTCGGACTCAGACTCGGACTCAGACGTAGACGACACGCATGTAACCGTCTCGCGCCGTGCCTATAAGAAGATCTCCGCCTATGTCCAGTCTGATCCTAAGCGACCGCAGCGACACCAAGGCTCGCACATCGTCGACTCGGGTGCGTCAAAGACCATGACCCCCGACGAGCGCCTCTTCGACGACAGCACTTACCGTGTCCTTGACCCGCCGCGCAACATCTACCTCGGGAATGAGTCCGTCATCAAGGCAGTAGGCATTGGCACCGCCTGCTTCGCCTCCAAGACGCCAAATGGTGTGCGCGCGCTGACTATTCGGAAGACACTGCATGTCCCCGACCTCGCGTTGACGCTCATCTCGGTGCCCCAGATCACTAAGCGTGGTCTGCGCGTGTCCTTTAAGGACAACGCCTGTACTATCCGCGACTCCTCCGGCGATATCGCCTGTGTCGCGACGCGCAAACACGGTCTCTACCACGTCGACTGCCAGCCCATCGGCACGGACGAGCGCGCCTTCACCGCCATCGACATCAATCGGCTGCACCAGATCATGGGCCATACGAACTTCGAGAGCCTGCGCAACATGGTCCGACACGGGCAGCTCGGGGAGGTCGACACGCTCACCGGCATCCCGTCCTTCTGTGAGCCCTGCGTCATGGGCAAGATGAAGAAGCTCCCCTTCAAGCGGAGCACCACACCCGCCTTGCGCCCGCTACAGTTTGTCTCCTGCGACGTTGGTGGCCCCGTCGACCCTGCTGCCATTGGCGGCTACCTCTACTGGATCGTCATCGTCTGCCACTACTCCTCGGGCGTCTACACGCTCTTCACAAAGAAGAAGTCGGAGGTCTACAAGAAGCTCCGTCAGTGGCGCATTGACATGGAGCATCAGCACCGCGACTCTATCGAGCAGTGGGAGTGGCTCCCCGGCTGGGTTGAGTTCACCCGCACAGACGGCGGTGGCGAGTTCTGCTCGAACAAGATGGAGGCCGAGTTCCGGCGACGCGGTATCATTCACGAGACGACGGCGCCCTACACGCCTGAGCAGAACGGCATAGCGGAGCGCATGAACCAGACGCTGGTCACCCGGGCAATCGCTAACCTCTGCGCGGCCAAGCTTCCCCGGAAGTACTGGATGTATGCCATGGAGTACGCCACCGACATGATCAACCTGTCACCCGCCAGCCGCCAGAAGGGAGAACTGCCCATCAACCGCATGCGCAAGGTCAAGCGCCCTATTGACGTCCACGCCCTGCACCCCTTTGGTTGCCCCGCCTACCCGCTCATCCCAAAGAAGAAGCGGAAGGGCAAGTTCGCCGACCGCGCCCGCCGGTGCATCCTCATAGGCTACGCTTGGTCTGAGGGCACAAAGGCGTACAAGCTCCTCGAGATCGCCACTCGGAAGGTCATCATTTCCAGGCACGTCAAGTTCGATGACGCCTCCCCCTCTCCTGACGAGATGCGCGCGGGCAAAGACGATGTGTCTGCCGAGCAGTGGGAGGACTTTGGCAAGTACTTCCGCCTGCCGCCCAAGGACACTCCTGCTCCAGATGCGGGCAGTGACAGCGAGGACGATGACGACGACGATGCGCCGGCCCAGCCACCTGCAGCCGGGTCAGTGGGAGCACCTCGTCCACCCACGCCAGAGCCAGTGGGAGATAATCGTCCGTCCTCACCTGACTCAGATGAGCCACCGCCTCCTCCGCGTCCACCAAAGACGCGCATACCGCGCCGGTCTCTGCCACCGGCCACGCCACCGCCAGCTCCTGCCCCCGCGGCTGGTCCATCACGCCGCCCTGGCCTTCGCAAGCCCGAGGAGCGAACAGCGAACCAGCACAAGGACCAGGGCTACATTAACGCTCGGGAGCGGCAGGAAAACCACCGGAAGGTGTCCGCCCAGCAGCGGAAGCAGCGCGAAGCAAACATCCGCGCGCGCGAGCAGCAACTCGAGGAAAATCGCCGACGTCGAGAGCAGCCGCCTCAGGCGGAAGCTCCTCCTCCTCCTCCCACACCAGCTCCCGAACCAGAACCCGCACCAGCGCCTACCCAGGGGGGTGGGGATCCCCCGGGTCAACCCAATGAAGAGGGCGAGTCAGTGAACTTTGCTTTTCTCAATGACGAACTCTTTGCGGGTGCGGCATCTGGTGGTCGGTCGAGCAGCAGCGCGCGGAAGATTCCCACCACTTGGAAGCAAGCCATGGCGAGCCCAGAGCGCGACAAGTGGTTGGATGCGCAGTCGGAGGAGTTGAACAGCTTCAAGCTGAACGATGTCTACGAGGAGGTACCCATCCCGGAGGGCGTCAAGCCGATCACCTCCAAGCATGTCTTCTCCTTGAAGGAGGATGCTCAAGGGAACATCGAGCGGTACAAGGTGCGCATCGTGGCGCGCGGCTTCACTCAGCAGGAAGGAGTCGACTACCAGGACACCTTTGCGCCTGTCGCAAGCCTGGAGTCCATCCGCATCATCCTTGCCCTCGCCGTCCGCCTCGGCCTCTACACTGACCAGATGGACGTGAACACCGCCTACCTCAACGGTGAGCTGCTACAGACGCTCTACATGCTTCCCCCGACTGGTGTGGACATCCGGGAGGGCTACTGCTGGCGACTCAAGAAGTCGGTCTACGGCCTCAAGCAGGCCGGTCGCGCGTGGAACCAGACGCTCCACAACAAGCTCGACAAGCTCGGGTTTGTGCGCCTCAACTCGGAGACTTGCCTCTACGTTTTCCGGGACGGCAAGCAGGTTTGCTTCCTCGTCGTCTACGTTGACGACCTCCTCCTCGCCGCTACCTCGCGTCCTTTCATGGACAGCATCAAGAAGAAGCTCACGGCCTCCTTCAAGATGCGCGACTTGGGTCCCGCCAAGTACCTCCTGGGCATCGAGATTATCCGGCACCCGGGCAAGCGCACGATCTCCCTCTCCCAGAGGAAGTACATCGACACCGTGCTTGAGCGGTATGGCATGTCGGACTGCACGGGCGTCAGCACCCCCATGTCCACAAGCACTTGCATCTCCGCCGATGACCCGAACGACAACGAGGTGCGCACTCATATGGCCTTGGTCCCCGGAGGTCCCGTTGTCTCCTACCAGAGCGTAGTGGGCTCACTCATGTACGGGATGATGGGCACCCGACCGGATACCGCCTACGTGGTGGGGGTTCTTGGCCGCTATAGCGCCGCCCCCAAGGCTTGCCATTGGGAACTGGCCAAGCGCGTCCTCCGGTACCTCAAGAAGACGCGGGACTGGTGCCTGGTCTACGATGGCGCTGACGCTGGCATGGACCTTGACTTCCACGGCTACACTGACGCTGACTGGGGCAGATGCAATGACACGTCCAAGTCCACCTCCGGCTTCGTGTTCATCTCAAGTCGGGGGGCCATTGGTTGGTCCAGCAAGCGGCAGTCTATGGTCTCTCTCTCGTCTACCGAGTCAGAGTACATTGGTCTAGCTAATGCTGGCCAGCACTTGGCGTGGCTCCGCTCGTTCTTCGAGGAATTGGGACGTCCACAGGCCGGTGCCACCGAGCTCAGGTGCGACAACCGTGCGGCCATCATCCTCAGCCAGGATGCCCAGTTCCGCGCCCGGACCAAGCACATCCAGCGGAAGTACCACTACATCCGCGATGGGTTGGTTGCCACCGGCGAGTGCGTCGTCCTCTGGTACCCCACGGACGAGATGGTTGCGGACATCTTTACCAAGGCACTACCTCATGAGAAGCATCTCAAGTTCTGCCAAGGTATGGGTTTACGGCCAGACTCGAGTGGGAGTGTCAAAAGTAGGGTATAGAGGGGCGAGTCTGCCTCCTCCCATGGGCGGACGGTTTGCCTCGCGTCCACGCTTTTGGTCCGCCTTCCTATTCGGGAAGAACTTTCCCACGCCGCTCCGGGGGCGTCCGTATTTATCCTTACTGTACATCTCTTTTCCCTCAGTCGCTATTCCACTAGCAGGAAGACTGAGGGTATGTTATCTCACTTACTATACTCATACTATTTACTGACTGTACTTTAGTCTTGCGCGTCCTGCGCTTCTTTAGGTATGAATATCAGTCGCTATTCCACTAGCAGGAAGACTGAGGTCTTGCGCGTCCTGCGCTTCTTTAGCTCGTGAAAGGGGGTGAAAAAGAGGCGGGGGAAGGTATAATGGGGTCTCGGGGGCTGCGGGGGAGGGGGAAGGGCCTGACACATCATCCTGAGTCGATTAGTGCATAATTCTGAAGTGCTAGAGATATAGCGCACCTAAGTAGGCGCTGTACAGCCACATATCAACTATCTTCTGATTCCGGTGATTTTTAGCAGCAGCGAAGGAGGGGGGCGACGCAAGGATGGCGGTGAGCAAAGAGATTGACGCGTTACGTCACGTCACGCACGCATCGATCTCGAGCGCGTCTGGGGCGAGAGGTAGAGCGATTACCGTCCATCGCGGATGATGATTGACTCAGAGACACATACGATGGGTATGATTTTACTTATCTTCTTGATATATGTATTGACCCTTTCGGTGTCTACACGAGAAGTAAGAGAAATTGACCTCTGTCAGCCAGATACTCGCCACCTACCAAAATCTTTCGCTCTATCCCACCCATCCAGACCTCTGCAGGAGGCAATCAAGCTATAAATTATATGTCTAGCTAAGCTGGAATACATATCATGAGTTTTCCTGGACGAGTCAGGTCGCAGGCCTTCGGAATGGTCCAAAGGCATTGTTATGCACAAGCGGAATCTGTACATTCCTCTCCGAAGGACATTTGTTATTTCCGATCCATTCTATGCACAGAACCCCTTGTTGAAACTCGGAATTCCCTTTAGATTGTGTACACCTCCCCATTCCAGCTTTTTTGCGCTCTAATTCGTCAATTCGCGTGCTCGCGAGAACGCGAGGCACGACAACGACGGACCTCGGACGTCCGGCCCGGGCCGCCGATTGCGCTCGATCAGCGCTTTTTCCAACCCAACCACCACATCCCCAGCCCATGTGAGGGCCGTTTCACCTTCTCGTGTTCTATTTAACGTATATAGCGTCTATTATACTTTATTTACGAAGCCTTTTAGCCCAGACAAGGCTCGGAAGATTAGGATCACAGGGAGAATGTACGCGAGGGCGGGCGAGTGGCCCTTACAGGTGCGTGGACCCCCTTCGTCGTTGAGTCCTACACTGATTCCTATATATCAAGTTATCTACACTATCTGCCACTGTGCAGCGCAGCCCCACGCGCCATCCTGCGCGCGCCACAGCGCGTTTTGGCCGACGGGCCGGCAACCCGGTCCGATCACCTGACGCGCCTCGTCGCGCGTCTCCTGCCCTTCGACCACGACCTTCGCGCGCACCACGTCACCCCGTTCCCCTCCCTCCTCCCTCCGCTCCCTCAAGACATTTTCTCTCTCATAACTCATGTACCGGTACAGATGCGATCACACGTCTGAACGCGTTGAGCGGCCCTACCACGCAAGACCAACCCGGCATACGACGCGCGGATGAGCAGCGGCAATCATCGCAACGGTCTCCACGATGCGCGAAATTGTGGCATGGGCAGCATGAGCCGCGTTTGGGATGCACTCAGGTGCGTCATTATGCCTCGCAATATGATTCTCAAACTGACATGCCACTTTTTATGCTCTTCATGGCTGTTCTGGCGCCGTGAAGGACCTCCTTGCCCCGCCTTCGGCACTCTCCGCCCTCAAGACACCCCCACACGCACCCGCGTCGTCCCTCCACTCCCTCCCAAGCCGAACACGTGTCTCGCGCCGAGTGCCCGCCGTTCGAGTACTCACCGCACCGGGAATTCACGGTGCTGGTGCTCGGCGTGGGGTGCGTCGTTCAACGTCCCGAGATCGGCCTGACCTTGGCCGGTTTCGGGAATGGTGCGAAGGGGTCGTACGTGTGCAGATGCGCGTGTGGATGAGTACGCGGCTGCTCAAGGGCGCGCAGCCAACACCCTGACGACGAGCCGAAGTGACGAGCCGCGCGAACTCGCGCTTTGGAGCCCAGCCCCCGCCCCCTCCCCCCATTGCTGCCTTCTCGACACGCGCTCGTCGTGTACGCCCGTACAGGCTGCACGATGCGCGCGGCGCCGGCGAAAATTTTTGCTGGCCCTTTTTCACCCTTTCCCCCCTTTTGCCCTTGCACGTACTTGTACACGGTGTATAAGTAGGATTGTATACACCATTTCTATGCTACTACAAGCGCGAGGGAGCATGAAGATTGGCGACGGCGACAACGCGCACTCGCGCGAGGCCGCGCGACACGCTGACTAAGCAAGCGAGACGCGCGGGAATGCGCGGGAGGGCGCATCAATCGCGCCCGCATGCGGCGGGAGGCGGCGCGACGGTCGGAAAAGCCCGAACGGTGAGCTCGGGGGTCGCCTGCCGCATCGGGCGCTGCCCGGAGGTGTCGCCGGCGAGATCCCGGGCGCTGTGGCTGTGTAAGTAAACACTTCGTGAACTTTGCAAAAGCACGACCTACAACTTAGAGGTAACTTTGCAAAGGGGGTACTTCCACAGGTGCGGGATGATGGGTACCCGATTGGATACCGCCTACGTGGTGGGCCGCTATTGCGCCACCCCCAAGGCTTGCCATTGGGAACTGGCCAAGCGCATCCTCCGGTACCTCAAGAAGACACGCGACTGGTGTCTGGTCTACAACAGCACTGATGCTGGCATGGACCTCAACTTTCATGGCTACACCGACGCTGACTGGGGCGGATGCAACGACACGTCCAAGTCTACCTCCGGCTTCGTGTTCATCTCAAGTCGGGGCGCCATTGGTTGGTCCAGCAAGCGGCAGTCTATGGTCTCTCTCTCGTCTACCGAGTCGGAGTACATTGGCCTCGCTAATGCGGGCCAGCACTTGGCGTGGATCCGCTTGTTCTTTGACGAGTTGGGATGTCCACAGGGAGGTGCCACTAAGCTCAGGTGCGACAACCATGTGGCCATTATCCTCAGCCAGGATGCTCAGTTCCGTGCTCAGACCAAGCACATCCAGCGGAAGTACCACTACATCCGCGATGGGCTGGTTGCCACCGGCGAGTGCGTCATCCTCTGGTACCCCACGGACGAGATGGTTGCGGACATCTTCACCAAGGCACTACCTCATGAGAAGCATCTCAAGTTCTGCCAAGGTATGGGCTTGCGGCCAGACTCGAGTGGGAGTGTCAAAAGTGGTGTTTAGTGGCGAGTCTACCTTCAGCCAGGTCATGTGACCTCAACCCTTGGAACTGCTTATGTAACTTCCAAGAGTTGAGATCACATGACTTTTCCCCACGCTTTGCCCAGATGGCCCCGTACATATGCGTGTACCTACCTTTCCTTTTCCCTCAGTCGCTATCCTATACGCAGCAAGACTGAGGGTATGTCTTTACTCATTTTACTCTTACTCATACTGACTGTACTTTAGTCTTGCGCTCTCTGCACTTATTGAGGTATGAATTAAGTCACTATCCTATACGCAGGAAGACTGAGGTCTTGCGCTCTCTGCGCTTATTTAGCTCGTGAAAGGACTCACTCCTCCCTTCACTCATTTGGATGTGCAAGAAACAGATTCATCTCAATCATTAGTCATCAAGTCATGTAATGCAATGCACCCCTTCCTCACCCTGACACCCCTCTCCCTTCCTCTCTCCTTCCCTCCTCATACCCCAAACCACCTTCCTTGCTCCAACCACACCATCTATCACCTCCCAAAATTCTCTGCACTCGTACTCTCCACCCACCCACCAACCACCAACCCCCCACCTACCCTACCCCTATACAAACCTCAACGGATGTGCATCCCTCTCGCTCACGATGACCTCGACCGGGCCGAGGGTGGTCTGGGGGTGGAGGTCAGTTGAAGGTGAATGGAGCAGTTAGCAACGTCGGATACAAGAGGGTCGGACACAAAACAAATGAAAAAGGCCCCGAGCACGTTCGGACGCGCTCAAACGTGAGGCGACGCGCCCGGACGTGGCAGCCCTAGTGCTCGTGGCAGCTCAAGGTGCCCACCCATCATCCTCCCCCCTCCCCCCTCCCCCCTCATCCTTCACGAAAAGTTCCGCTAACAGATGAAAAAAACCTCGCACCCACCTGCGTCTCCGCACTCAGCTCCTGCGCCAGCCGTGCCGCCAACAGCGGGAGGTAGCCGCGCTCCGTGTTCGTGTGGCCGCCTGGGGGGAGGGAAGAGGGTTAGTTTTTACGTGAGGGTTAGGTGTGAGTGAGGTGAGGAAGCGGCGAGTAGTCCACGAAAAGAAAGTCACGCCACTCACAAAGGATCACATACTTGCCCGCCGCGACGGCCGCAAGGACGTCGTGCTGGGGGTCGGGGGTCAGCATGGGGCTCGGGGAGTACGCATGGCGTTGAGGGCCAAGTATGGGAAGGTCGCGTGCACAAAAGACGACGAACGACACGGGAAGGGATGGAGAACGACACGCAAAAGAAGGCGGAACGACGCGCAAAAGGATGGAGAACAACACGCGGAAGGACGGAGAACGACGCGCGAAGCGAGGCAAAAACACCCGAAGGGAAACCACGGGCGGCATAGGCAGAAGGAAGAAGGGAGTGAGGCGGAGCCGAGGCCGCGACGCAACATGTCATGGAAATTCCGCATCGAGTACACGTCGGCCAGTCCGCATCGAGTACACGTCGGCCAGTCCGCGTCGAGTCCACGTCGGTCAGTCCGCGTCGAGTACAACCACCGACGCTCACCCATCCGCCCTGCGCCCCGCCGCGCCACCTACCCACCCCGCGCCCCGTCGCGGCACCGCTCCTTCTCGTGCCACCTGCCCACCCCGCGTCCCGCCGCGCCACCTATCCACCCCGCGCCCCGCCGCGGCGCCCACCCGACTACCCCTCCCCTCTCATTCCTCTCCCACCCCTCTCTCCCACTCCTCCTTCCCACTCCTCCTTCCCACCCCTCCCACCCCTCCTTCCCCTCGTCGCCCCACCCCACCCCTCTCCATCCCCTGCCCGCTCGTCACCCCTCTCTGCCACTCCCCTCCTCAGCCAACACTCCTCTTTCGCACCTCCCATCCCTTCGCCCACCTCCGCTCCCCTGCCCGCTCGTCACCCCTCTCTCCCTCCCCCCTCGTCGCCCACTCCCCTCCCCCCTCTGCTCCCCCCTCCCCCCCTCGTCGCCCACTCCCCTCCCCCCTCGTCGCCCACTCCCCTGCCCGCCGCGAGCACCCCTCTCCTTCGCACCTCCCTCCCCTCGCGCTCCTCCTCCTCCACCCCTGCTTGCCCCTCCCCCGCCGCGCAGCGCTCGTACATCGCAACGCGCGCAACACATCGACGCGCGGGATACATCCCCTCCACTCCCCTCCGCCCCCCACTCCAAAACCACCTCTCACTACAAAAACCACCACAACAACAACAAGTCCCAAAAACCGCCTCCCACTCCAAAAACCCACCACACCAAAAGCCCACCACACCAAAAAAACCTCCCAAAAAAAGAAAACCACACCACTCACATGGCCCATCTCCCCCGTCAGCAGCACGTCCGCCTGGTCCTTGCCTGGTGAGAAGGGTCGGGTCAGCATGTCATCCTTCTCCTTGTTGCCATCGCGTCCTCTCTCAGCTGTCAGCATCGCGTCCTTCTGCCAGCGTCGCCCTCTCGCGTCCTTCTGCCAGCGTCGCCCAGTCGCGCCCTTCTGCCAGCGTCGCCCAGTCGCGCCCTTGGCCCTCTCCCATATCGCAAGGACGACGGATGATCTCCCACCCCTCTCGCGCGGGCGAAGGATCATCTCCCCCTACTCTCCAGCAGTCCTCGGTCGCGTCCCTCCCTCGCGCGCGAGCGACGGATCGTCGTCCCTCTCTCTCCCCCCCTTCGCCCGCTCCCCCCCTCTCCCCTTCCCTGCCCCCTCCGCCCACGCCCGCCCATCACCCCACCGCCCCCCACACCCCCTCACCCCTTCGCCCCACCTCGCCCTCCCCCCACACCCTCTCGTTCACATCATAAAAACCTCCACCAATTATAAAACTACTCGAAACCCCTCCCACAAAACCCCTCAACACAAAGGGAAAAAAACCACCCCAAACCCCAACTCACCCGCCAACAGCTCGCCGCCACTGCCCGCGCAGATCGCGACCGTGCGCACCGTCGGGCGCGGCGTGGTCGGGTGCGCGAGTTGGACTGCGAGGGTGTGTGTGTGGGGGGGGGAGGTGGGAGGGAGAAGGGAGGAGGGAGAGGGAGGGAAGGGTGAATGCATTGTAAACAGCGCACATAAAAGCAAGAAGCACAAGTCAGCTTAGTACTTGCACAAAGATAGGCACGACGCACGGGTTTCCAGCCCCAAATTCCTCTTGACCCGCTTCACAATCTCATCAATCGGGACGGGGTCCTCGAGCACAACCAAGCGACCCTCGGCGCCCTCGCTCTCGCCCTGGACCTCGAGCTTCTTCTCCGCGGCGAGTGGGCCGATGTCGCCCGCGAGGGCGGGGGAGGCAGGGGTGTCGGTGCCTGGACGAGCGTTAGCAAGCGTGCGACTGAAGACCGGCGTGCGAGTGAAGACTAGCATGCGAGTGAAGATTGAATACTCACCCTTGACCAACGCGCCCCTGCCGAGTATACCCTCCGCCAGCCAGTCATTCACACCACCCCAGACGGCGTCGAGGGCGGTGTGGGGCGAGTAAACGCTGACGCCCTCTGCGGCGAGGCGGAGGAGGGAGGCGTGTATGGGGCTGGCGAGGGTGAGTGCGCGTGTGGGCTTGAACAATGGAGGATGATAGGCGATGAGAACAGAGGCTTCCTGTGCGAGGCACTCGTGCATGACGGGCGTGGTGAGGCTGGGTTGGGGTTAGTGATGGGTTGGAGGTAGCACGCGGGGATGGTTTAGACGAGAGGAGGTAGACGAGAGGACGTAGCCAAGGGAGGTAGACAGGCTCACTCTATAGTCAGCATAACCCTATGCCTCTGCCTCGACTTTTCAAACGGGGCCTCTAGTCGTAGATGAGCAGCCATCGCACGCCTCGCTTCAAACGCGTGGCGCACCGAGCAGGAGGCCGACCTGCACGCCGTCAGCACCGACCACAGCGACACGCTCGAACTCACATTATCCCACTTCTCGGCCAGCCTGAGCGGCGCAATGCGCTGCATGGCGGCCTGGACGGCCTTGACGAGCGACGGCGAGGTGGACATGGGAGAAGGAGGCGACGCGCCCAACACGTGCCCGCGACGCGCCAAATACCCGATCGACGACGATCGGGGCGTCTATCACCTTCAACCCTCCTCCTCGTCGCCGGCCATGTCGTCGTCGACCCCGCCGCCCTCCCTCGAGCACCTCGCGCTCTCCGCCACCCGCCTCGCCGCCCAACTCCCCCGCGACCTCGCCTTCCACCGCACCATCGACGACGCCCTCCGCACCGACCTCGACGACCTCGCAGACCGCACCCACGACCTCCTCGCCGCCCTCCTCACCCTCGCCCGCCCCAACGCGCCTATCCCACTCACCACCACCAACCACTCCGACTCCGCCCCCCTCACCTCCCCCGCCGCCTTCAAGCACGTCGTCGACACCGTCGACTGGCTCCTCGAGGGCGCAGACGACACCCTCGACGTCCTCACCGGCAAAAAGCGGCCTCCGCAGATCACCGTCTCCCAACAAGCCGCACCGGCCCCCACCCGCGTCCTCCCAAACCCCACGCCGGACAACCGGGACGTGCCATTCGCCTACGACGCCTTCAGCCACCCATACCGGCGCGCGATCACCCGGCTTGTCGTCCCCCACCATGTCCTTCAGCCCCTGCCTGCCATCCACCCCAAGGACACTGTCCCCGCTCTCGGCGTCGACGATGCGGCCTCAGTCCCCCCACTCCCCACCGACCCGCCCTCCTTCCACACCGTGCCTGTGCAGCTCATCGACACGCCCGAGGCCTTTGCCGCCTTGATCGGACGCCTTCGTCGAGACGTCGCGCGGGCGTACCCCAGCGCGGAGAATGTCGCCCGCGCATACCCCGACGAGAGGGACGTCACAAGAGCCTACTCAAATGGCACCCCCACCTACTCGAACGGCACCACCCCCACCCACGAGCTCCTCCTCGCCCTCGACCTCGAGCACCACTCCCATCACTCCTACCGCGGCTTCGTCTGCTTGCTCCAGCTCACCACACGCTTGCGGCCGTTGGGAGGAGGTATGTGCCTGAAATCCTCTCTGCCACGCTACCCACTCCTTCCATCAAGTCGTCCACGTCTTGCCCCCATTTGTCCACCTCTGCCCTGCCGTCTCCCCCTCCCCCCAACCCTCATCCTTCCCTCCCTCCCTCCGTCGCCTCATGGACACTGGATAACAACTCTTAACAGGCTCACCCGAACAAGCCGACTACCTCATCGACGCCCTCGCCCTCCGCGCCCACATGCACGCCCTCAACGAGTTCACGACGGATGCGAGGATCGTGAAGGTGCGTGTAATTCTCATGCATTCTCGCTGGTTATCCACATGTATCCTCGTTCGTCGTCCACATATATTCTTGCTGGTTATCCATATGTATCCTCGTTCGTCCCCCTCTCTCCCCTCCTCCCGCACCCTCCCCTCCTCCCGCACCCTCCCCATCCTCCTCCCCTCCTCCCCTCCCTCTCCTCCCATCCTTCCCCCCTCCCCCCCACCCCGCACATACCCAAACCCTAACCACCCCACCCCAGATCCTCCACGGCGCCGCCTCCGACATCCCCTGGCTCGCGGAGAACTTCGCCGGGCCCTCTTCGGGTAGTGATGGTACGTTTGCTCTTCTCCTCCACCTCTTCCCTCCCTTCCCCTCTATGCCAACCCTCAGCCTCTTCCCTTCTTCCTTCTCCCTGCCACGCATGAACGCACCTCTCCCACCCTTCCTCTCTATGCCATCCCTTCCACCTCCCCTCCTCCTTTTTCCCCTCCCCCTCCTCCCCCAACCCTCCTTCCCTCCACCTCCTCCCTCCATTTCCCTCTCTGACTGGGGCAAGAAACTTACTTATCCATCTAGCAGACGCCCAAAACAAACCAGGCGTCTCCGTACCCGCCAGCGCGGGCGTATCACCAGCAGTCAACCCAGGCGTATCCGTACCCACCGGCGCGGGCGTATCCACACCCACCGGCGCGGGCGTATCCACACCCACCAGCGCGGGCGTATCCCCCGTAGCAGACGCCCAAAACAACCCAGACGTATCCACAATCGGCAAGCAAGGCGCACAAAACGCCACGCCCCGCATCGGCATCTCCCTCGTCACCCTCTTCGACACCTACCACGCCGCGCGCGCGCTCGGGCTGCCCTCCCTATCTCTCGCGCACCTCCTGAAGACCTACTGCGGGTACGAGCCGGATAAGGTGCGTTTGGGGCGTGGTGTTCTTACGCAGGGGACATCAACTTCACCCGCGCTTCGCTCCTTGGGTCTCTCGCGCCTCGCTCTTGCCTTTCTATATTTCTCGGTCCGGCTTCGTTAGGGGCGCAAGCGCGCAGGCGACGGCGCGCCAGCTCGCAGTCGACGGCACGCAAGCTCGCAGGCGACGACGTGCTCTTGCCGTCGACTGCATGCTTATGACGCGCATACGGCCCCCCTCCCCTCACCTTGAGCTCCCCACCCCCTCCCCACATACCCCCTTCCTGAACTCCCCACCCTCGCCACCCTCAACCCCTCCTCGTCCTTTCTTCCTGACCTCCCTAGCCGGCCTTACTTACTCCACTCTCCACCCCCAACCTCCCCGCCCTCCACCTCACTCCCTACTAACACCCCGCTTCCCCACTACCCCCTCGAACCCTTCCTCCCCACATACCCCCTTCCTGAACTTCCCACCCTCGCCACCCTCAACCCCCTCTCACGTCCACCTCGTCCTTTCTTCCTGACCTCCCTCGCCGGCCTCACTTACTCCCCTCTTCACCCTCTCATCCCTCACCCTCACCCTCACTCCCTACTAACGCCCCTACCCAGCGCCTCGCCCGCGCCGACTGGCGCGTTCGGTGAGTCAGAGTTTTTTTTTCCCTTTTTCTCGCCCCCCTTTTTCTTCTCCCTTCCTCCCTCGTTATGTCTCTTACCCTCACCCCTTCCCCTTTCCCTCACTCCACCGCTCCCCGTCCCTCCTTCTTCGCCTGACTATGCCCGACTCCCTTCCCCCTAACCAACACCTATTCCCCCTTCCCTTCCCTCACCTCCCCCCCTCCCTACTCAACTCTCACCTCTCCCCCCTTCCCTCAATACCCCCTAACACCCCCCCTTCTCACTACCTAACGCCCACTCCTTCTAATTCCCCCCTAACAAATAACTAACCTCAAATGCTCGCTAACGCCCGCCCCCTTCTCCCCCCGCGTTCTTTAACACCCGCTTCCTTTCCACTCATTAACTAACCCCCACCCAGCCCCCTCCCCCCCACGCACCTCTCCTACGCGCGCTCGGACACGCACTTCCTGCCCTTCATCTACGACAGGCTGCGGGCGGAGCTGTGCGGGGGTGGTGAGTTCTGGTTCAGTCCTTATCGTCGGTTTGGTCTGTGGATTGCTTGTTGTTGTGTTTGGCTTTGGGACGTGTTTGGCTCTGGGACGTGTTTAGGACGTGTTTGGTGTTCGGTTTTGGGATGGTTTTGGAGTGGAGGTCGCCTCTGTGGTGTGGAGGAACGCCATCGTCGTGCGGGAAAAAGTGCGCTAGCGCCTCGCTCCTTCATGCGTCCCAGCGGGGGGCGACGTCGCGTCGCGTGCGCAGCGCGAAGGCGACTGCGCTCGCGAGAATCACCTCCTTCGCCTTTCTCCTACCCAACCCACCACTAACCCCCCACCCCCAGCGCCCCCCACCCTCCCGGCCGACCCGCACGGCGACGGCGAGGTGCCAGCCGAGACGCCGATCAATGTCTTCGTCGCCAGGGATGATGGCTTCGTCGCAGGACAAGATCACGAGGAGCGACCGCCTTACGGCTCGCCAGAGGAGCGCGCGCCCGAGACCGCGTTGACGGCGGTGTTGCAAGCGAGCGCCAGGGTGTGTTTGCGCACGCCGCGGTGGATCACCTCAGGTGCGCATCCCCCATAATTCGGCAAGAGACATGCTGCAATAAGAGACATGCTGACGCTCGCCAAAGCCACCCTCCCCTTAGCCGCCCTGGCCACCGCGCGCCGGGCGGGGCGCGAGGTGCTGCTCGACGAAGCCTGCCTCGACCACGCGATCTACCTCGCACTCTACAGGTGGCGCGACGCGACCGCGCGCGCGGCGGATGAGGGGGTCGGGTGAGTTTTAGCTTCCTTTGTCTTTCTCACGCCAGTTTCGTGCATCGACTGGTCCCACCCGCTCCTCCATCTGCCCCACTTCTTGCCCTCCATCTGCCTCACTTCTCGCCCCCTCTCTTGCGATCCGCGTCACCCACAGCGCAACACGAACAGTCCCACAGCACAACACGAACAGTCCCACAGCACAACGCGATCAGTCAATCATAAGGAGACTGCTAACCAATGTCCCCCAGCACCATCCTCCCCAACTCGTCCCTCCTGCTCATTGCGGACCGCTGGCGGAACCTGATCGCGGGTATGTGCTCTCGTTAGCTCCCTGCGTCTACTCTGCTGACCCCTCTCTGCTGCACTTTCGCCCCACTCCCCTCTACGCATCGCGCCTCTTTCTTCATAACCCTTCGCCCCTTCCTCTCCTTCGCCACCCTCGTCCCATTCTCCTCTTTCCACCCTCTGCCCTCTTTTTCTTCATCAACAGACACTTCGTCACCCCTCGCCTCCAACCCCACCCCCACCCCCCTCGCCCTCGCCGCCCCGCACGCGGCGCTCGCCTCGCTGGTGGCACCCGCAGCCCTCCCCGCGCCCGTCCGGCTGCGCGCGGCGGAGGTCGTGGGGGCCGTGCTCGGCGCGGTAAGGGGGTGGAAGGGGAGCGCGGTGAAGGGGGACAAGGTGGATGGGAAGGCGGCGGAGAAGGCGGGGAAAGAGTATAAGGCGGGACGAAGTGTCGAGGCTGCCAATGACAAAGACGCCACCGTCAACGCAACGGTGGTTGGGAAGGGAAATGAGGAGAAGGTTCAGGAGAAGGAAGAGAATACGGTGATGGAGACGAAGGAGGCGAAGGAGACAGCGAAGGTGACGGCGAAGGAGACAGCCAAGCTGGCCACCCCCGCCCCCACCGCCTCCCTCTTCGGGCGCAAGCCTGCCGTCGCGGCGAGCTCGTCATCCCTCTTCGGCGGCGCGCTGGGCGCGAGGGCGGCGTCGTCTTCGTGGTTAGGCGGTTCCGCCTCTTCAACCGCTCCGTCAGCCGTGTCAACCACCTCAGCTGCGGGAACCGCCACCCCAGCGGCTTCCCACAGCGCCCTCTTCGGTGGCACGCTACGGAAATCGGTCACTGCCTCTCCAACACCTACTCCAGCCGTTTCTGCGGCTCCCTCCCTCGCCTCCATCGCCGCGCGCGTGCACGCCTCGTTCGGGGTGCTACCCTCTACCTCCACTCCGACTCAAGGCGTCGAGCCCTACATCACCAATATCCAGAACTTCGAGCCCTCCGCAGCCGCCGTCGCCGAGCACGCCTTCGTACCCGCCGGGCAGCGCACGACGGTCTCGGCCCCTACGTTCTCGTCTGTGAGAACAGGTCAAAAGGGACTGACGGACGCGGAGCGGCGCGCTCTGGCTGACGCGGAAAAGGAGAAGGACGAGGATGCGATGGACGACGGTCAAGACTCGAGCTCGGGTACTGAGGACGCGGGCGGCAAGAACGCAACCGCGGGGGAAAGGGCCGATAAGCTGGGCAAGAAGGCCAAGAAGGCCGGCAAAGGTGACAGCAAGGACCAGAAAAGCAAGGCGACCGCGAAGGCCGCCCCCTCCGTCGCCGACGACGCCATCGTCGCGGGCGCGGGCGCGCGGCAGAAGAAGCGGAAGCGGACGAAGGGGTGAGTGCCACCCTTTTGACACATGCCTACCTTCCCCTCAACCTGCTCATACTAACACCCTCCTTCACCAGCCCCGCCCCCGACCTCTCCGGCGACGCCCCCACTGCGGGCACTACCTCCGCGATTGCCACTGCATCATCAACAGCAATGGCTGCAGCTCCTTCAACTACCCAAGACACCCCCTTCGACTACGCCTCCGCCTCCACCCCCTTCGACTACGCCTCCGTCCCCAACATCCTCGACGCGCCCGCGCCGCCCACAACGCCCACAAGCGAGCGCCCGCGGAAGAAGAAGCGGAAGGTGGAGGAGAAAGGTGCGTGGTTGTTTCCCCAGCTTTTAACCTATCTTGCCTCTTTCACTCGTCCCTCTCATCACCCTCCGCCCTTCTCCACGTCCACTTCGCTCGTCCTTCTCCCTCCTCCTCTACGTCCACTTCGCTCGTCCTTCTCTTCGCCTCCCTTCCTCCTCTTCTGTCGCAAGGCGACATCTTTCCGAGCGAACCGATATGCTATCAAGCGAGACGACGTGTCTTCGAGCGAAACGACGTGTCTCCTTCGCCTCCTCTCCTCCTCCTCCTCCTTCTGTCGCGACACGACATATTCCTGAGCGAATCGACATATTCCCGCCCGAACCAACGCTAACCACTGACCCCTCCCCCAGGCCCCCACTTCCGCGCGCCCGCGCCCGCGCCGGCCGAGGTGCGGGGCGTCAAGGTGAACTTGGCGCATACGTTCGGGAAGTAGGTTGATGCGTATGGTTGGGTGAGTTAGGAAGGATGTGGACTGCAAGTAGAGTAATACAAGCGGAAACTCTTAGGGCGGTTCTTCTCGTAGATGCTTGCATACTCAAACCTCTTGCAATGATGCAGCTTGCGATTCGATAGTGTGGCGTGAACTTCCGCCTTCGATCCGTCGAATCGGAACTCCAACAAGATCTTCGACTGGGTGTGTCGTCCCGTACTTCTGCTTCCTTACAGCCATTGTCGTTCTCACATACTGTCTACCCCTGTGCAACCCATCACTCCTTACTCACGTACGATGGTAAATACTCCCAGCGAGGGCGTCACCGAGAACCTTGGGGATGGCCCGAAAGTCGAACCGTGACACCGTAACACACCTGACTTCAGCTTTGCCTCCGCCTCCCCAAACACAACGACATGCCTTGGCGTCGAGGAGGCGGTCGTCAAGCAAATCAATTCCGCGGAGGCAATACTCGATTGTCGCTGCTACTAGAAACTCAAGCAATTCAACCTGACCTCGCAGACGGCGACCATGCCCTTGGCAGGTCGAGGAGGCCCCCTTCGTCGTATTCAACTAATCCTTCGTGATCGTCGCGCAAGAATTCCCTGAGATCTGTGAAAGTCCCTTGCGATCCGCGAGAATAATTCCCTCAGCTTCGCACGACGACGATCGCTCGCGATCTCGTCCAGATCTCTTCTTCCTGAGTTCCTGGCTCTCCGCAAGAAGAAGCAGGAAGAAGCATATCGTTCGCTAGTCCTTCCTGTGCCTATCATTTGCCTATCATTTCGACCATGTCAACCAACAGTCAAGAGTCCTTCCTCGCACGAGGATGGTGCGGAGTGGGCGGATGGTTGATCGCGAGAGAAAGGACGGTTGGCGCGATGTGAGACAATCTCTTGTGAGGTGGGGAGCGGGCGCCTCGTGTAGCAAGGGCGTGCAAATGAGTATGGCAAGCCCGACACGAATTTCGCAGGCCCGCCGCACGAATTTCGCAAGCCCGCCACACGAGTGCACCAGAACCTCCCAGCGTTTGCAACTTGTCAAGCCCTTGACATGCCCTACCAGTGTCGGCCGCCGCGCCCGCCACCCGCCATTCGTCAAGTCTCCCCCCACCATTCGTCACCCTGCCATCCTCAAGCACTCTCGATAGCACCCGCCGCCTCCCTCCCCTCAATAAACGCCAGCCATTTTCGAATGAAGTATGTCTCCCTCCAACGTCGCCCTCGACGAGCGCGACAGCCCGGAAACAAAACGCGCGGCTGTCTCGAGGTCGGCAGGTACGACCCCACCGTACCCCTCTTATTCCCTATTTGCACAAGTCGGGCACCCAAACCGCAGCGCGAGCCAGCGCGCGCCATCGCCCCGCCCCTGATGGAGTGATGCCCGCACCCCCGTTTGTCGCTCTCGCTGTCAAGCGCGCGATCCGATCAGCGCGCGCCCCAGAAGGAAAACAAGAGGGCTTTGATGCTCGAAAAGCCTAAAAAACAGACGTGCATAATCCTTCATCCCATTTTCTGCGCCTAGGCCTGCAAGCAGCTTATCGTCCGTCACCTCTAGCGCCTAATTGTGACCCGAAGGTGCGCGCCCGTCGCTGCGGCCGACGCCACCATAGCCGGACACTGCTCGACGATCGACTGAAGGAACGTGCTGAATATTCGATCTCACCCTACCTACCGTACTGGCTTGTACTTCCCGCCATTCTTCCGCTCACCGCAGACCTGTACACCATCGCAGACCTCGCAAGGCATTACCCCGTCTATGCTCAATATACCGTAGTGTACTACAGCGCGTTACTGGATGAAGTGCGGCCAGTGTACCGTTAGAATCTATACAAACGAAGGACAGAGTACAACAGTGACCGCACGGTCAGACCGGCACAGGTTTTGTAGCGTCTGGCGGCACGCGGCAATATTACACCTTGTCGACGCTCTGGGTCTCCATGCCGTGCTGTTGCTAGATGCCATCAGCTACACGAGAACACTTCCAGTCACAAAGGACGTACCTGCTTGTAGTCCTCCACCCCGCGATCCAATTGCTGCGTCGTATCGATGCGGATCGCGATGGCGTTCGAGCCGTTGAGCTGCAGGCCATAGTGAGCCTTGAAATCGCAAACAACAAGGAACAAGACCACTCACGCGTTGCCCTGACGAGAGGTTGCCACTACGGTCGCGGCTCGACATGGTGTAGTTCTCCCCTGAGGAGCCTGACAACGCACTCTTGAGGTTGGCACGGCTGTTGAGCGTCACCATCAAGCAGTTGGTGTCTGGGGGATGTTTTAGCAATGATCGTACGCCAGCGGCGAAGGCGACTCACATAACCGGCCCTCTGGAGGAATGGTTAGCGGCAAGTTGGGGTACATGGAGGGAGAGACGTACCAAGGAAGAACGTCAGCATGTACACGAACGTGTCGGGCCATACGTTGATCTATGAACCGTCAGAGACGTACTGCGGCGCCGAGGAAGGGACATACCGCGATGAGCGACCAGATAGCAGCAGCGCTAGTGGGCAAGCCAGTGTTGAAGGTGAAGACGATCAAACGGTTAAGGACATCGTTGCTGAAGGGCACATCAATGAGTACAGCAAGGACAAAAGCCCGGGCAAGTACTCACGATCGCTTGAAGCCCGTCTTCGAGGTGTGCAAGAAGAACACCATGGAGATGGAGATCATGACGTCCATAACCGCAGACGTGACGTTGATCGCAATAGACAAGGGCTACAGCAATTGAGCAAGCAGAAGGGATCAGCGAGCGAGAAACACACCTTCACGGTGACGAGGTCAGCGAAAAGCGAGTACTGCGCGATGAAGCCATAGTAGGTGGACAACACCGCTATGGGGAGGTCAGCATCAAGTAAACTAGCCGTGAGCTGAAGGTCACGCACCAAAAGTACCCAAGCAGAAGAGAAGCAGGAATCCAGCCACAAAGTAGTTTTTGCGGCTCACTGTTGACCGAATGAGACGCACATCGCGTATGCGACGGGCGAGAGGACTTACGCAAGAAGACTCGGTAGCAGTAGAACCTGCAGATCATCAGCTGTATATCATGCGGTACGATACGGGGGACATACGACTGCACAATGAGAGCAAGTACACCGATCAGTTCAACCTGTTGCGCCAGTTTGCTGGTTCAAGTTCAGTGGGGGAAGGAAGTACTGCACACGACAACGTACGCGTCCAGGACCGTCAAGGACGTCGGGTCGCCATGTGTTGTTACACAGTACCAGTATACTGAGGAACACATAAGCGAATTGAATACGTCAATGACCTCGGGGAACGTACCAGAAGCTAGCGAGCGATCACGACACTTAGGTGAGCGGGGGGAACTGGCCGAACAATCTCAGACGCGTACCGGCGTACATCCCTTGCTGAGCCGTGTCGATGCAGAAAAGGGTGATTACCTACAAAGGAGGGTAAGCGAACGTCGGGAGGAATAGGTCGTGCGACGCACCAGAGAACGAATGATCCAGCCGTCCTTCCTAGCATAGTGCCGATAATAATGCCATATCTGAAGCAGACCCGCTGCACGGCCGTCAGTACACAGTGCGGGGGATCGCCCAGACCGTGCGCACCTCCATACAAACTGAAGGGGACGCCGTGAGTTTGCGCGAATCAGGTGAGTGCGGGGAAGACGCACATTGCGCTCAGAACGAGCGAGTCGAAGAGCATGCCCAGCCTGGGGAAATCGTCAGCGTCCAGAGCACGGTCGCGCGCGCAGGCAGGCGGCGTACGTATTATCGAGAGTCGCTGTCATGCTGAAGGACGGCCAGAGAAGGAGAGGGCAAAAGAGCAAGAAGGAAAGCACGCGTGGTTCATATATCTAATCGGCCTGGAGCGGTGGGCCGCCGAAAAGTTCGTCACCAAGTGAGTCACCCGCGTCCGTTCATAAGAGGACACATGGAACCCTCACGCGTAACAACCTGGTTAACAGTAAGGCCGGAGGGGGTCTCTTTTGTCGTCCATGATTACCGGGGAGAGGAAGGCCGTATATGTCAAGCTCAACATGGCTGTACGCCCGAGGTTGACTTCTTGGTCTTTGCCTTCGCAAATCCTGAAGCCAGCGCCTCGAGGAAAGCTTGTAGCACGCCTGAAGTGCTTGACACGACTAAGATTTAGATGCCCGATGATGGGCGCGCCGCGCGGGGGAAGAGTCGATTTGAACATTCGGATGATTTACGTTGGAATGGGGTTCGTGGGATGGGATCAATCCGGCCAAGTTCAACTTTGAGCTAACCCGTTTTGGTGACTGATGATTACCGCAGAGCCGTCTTGGCTCACTTCCTGCCTTCAACGCGCAAATCCACCACCTCGCCGCAGTCAGTGAGCTCCCCCGAGCTGACATTCAGCTCTCACCTTTGACATGTCTGCAGGATTTTGATTCTTTTTATGGTGTTCAGTCTACAAAGTTGGTGCCCGTCTGACATATCTCTTGCCTAGGTGATTTTCAAGTTGAGTCGCCATCTGCCAGCCGAGGCGCAGCATGCACTCCAACCAATTCAGTTCGCGATAAGTCGTCTTTGATCCGCGGATTTAAACTGTTGCCATCGCTGTCTTGAACAGCGCCAACGCCATTGGATCGTAAGCGCCCGTGTTCCTTCCCGCAGATCATCTTCGCTGGTCCGCGCGGGGCGCAAGTCTCGAGCAGGTCTGGACAGACGACGAGGTCCACATTCCATGCCGCACTCCGCTCCCGCCGGGAATCGTGCCCATTGTGGTCGCGGCCCGTATGTCGCGCGAACATCCTAACAACGCAACATGATCATCAGAAGAGATTCTTAATTTGTTCAGGGTCCGCGGGCGGACGCTTCTCAGGGTCGTGAAGGATGGGTGAGAAACAAGGGGTCCCCGCTTTTGAAAACGAATTGAATTACGCGCGGCCAAGATGCCACCTTCGAAGCTTGTCACGCTTGCGCAGAGAGCCACGCCTCCCGCACCGGGTACTTCTGTTATCCAGCCTCGTGCCGACACCCATACTTAAAACTCATTCACTCGTTGGACCGGCGCTCTCCTCATCCTCCCCTCCCCCTTCACCTCTCAACTTCCATCCTTCGCAATGCCTCTTTCCGGCCTCGACTACGCTCTCGCTGGTGCGGGCACCTTCCTCGCCTACAAGTATGCGACCCGCCCGGATCCCCGCCCGCTCCCGCCAGGCCCGAAGGGCCTCCCTCTCATTGGCAACATGCTCGATCTTCCCCAGTACGTCGCGCAGTTCCTGGCGTACGAACTCCCCTTGCTGACTATCCTGTAGGAGCCACGCCTGGAAGACATTCGCGAAGTGGGGCGAGGAGTGTAAGCGCCTGCAATTGGTGCGAGTAGGACCGCTCGCTGATGCCTTTCCTAGACGGCCCGATTTGCTCTATCAACGTCCTTGGCACGCGCTTGGTCATCATTAACGACCCCGATGTCGCAGTCGACCTCCTTGACAAGCGCGCGAAGAACACCTCTGACCGCCCGTCCTTCCACATGGCCGATTGTACGTCGCATACCGCCGATATGAAAGCCGAGTACTGACCATCTCTCCAGTGATCGGCTGGGACCGCACCATCTCCAACCTCCGCTCCGAGAGTACCCACAAGGAGTACCGCAAGCTCGTCGGCCGTGTCATCGGCACCCGTGGCCACGTCCACAAGTTCGACCGCACGTCTGAGCTCCAGGCGACTCTCTTCCTCCGTCGCCTCCTTGAGAACCACAACGACCCCGAGACGGCCATCCGTACGACGGCGTTGTCGGTCGTTCTTGCTTTGGTCTAGTGCGTTTCCGGCTGAACAGCGCTCATATCGCGCGCGCTAATCCATTCATTAGTGGCTACAAGATCCAGGAGAAGGATGATCCTTTCGTCAAGATCGCCGACCAGGTCATGGCCGAGTTCGGTGACGTTACGCGCCCAGGCGCCTACATGGTGGACGTTTTCCCTGCGTGTGCGTCCCATCTCTTCTTTCATTCCCGTGCTCCCGCTCATCAGCTTCGTATTGTCCCGCAGTGAAACACGTCCCTGCTTGGTTCCCAGGCGCGGGCTTCCAGAAGAAGGCTGCTGAATACAGACAGACTCTTGAGACCTTCGCCGAGATGCCCTGGCAGATCGTCCGGAAGTCGGTGGTATGTATATCGGCGCTTCGCAACAGCCGGTTCCCACTCACGAAATTTTGCAGGAGGCTGGCGAGGACAACAACTCGTACGCTGCCAACTTGCTCCGTGAGGGTGATCTCTCGGAGAAGCGCCTGCACGAGATCAAGTGGTCCGCGAGCTCCTTCTACGCCGCCGGCTCGGATACGGTAGGCCGCAATTCTGCCCTCGGTACTTCCCGTATTCATTAAGCCCTCCAGACCGTGTCCATCATCCTCAACTACTTCATCGCCGCATGCAAGTACCCAGAGGTGCAGAAGAAGGCCCAGGCTGAGATCGACCGCGTCGTCGGCACCGACCGCCTCCCCTCCATCACCGACCGCGCGAACCTGCCCTACGTCGAGGCGCTCGTCACCGAGCTCTACCGCTGGCTCCCCGTCGCGCCGCTTGCGCTTCCGCATCGCGCCGTCAACGACGACGTCTACAACGGCATGCTCATCCCCAAGGACGCGACGATTTTCGCGAACGTGTGGAGCTTCTTCCACAACCCGGCCATCTACAAGGAGCCGTTCGAGTTCAACCCGGAGCGCTACCTGGGTGAGACCCCCGAGCGCGACCCGCGTGACATTGGTGTCTTCGGCTTCGGCCGTCGCTCGTGCCCGGGTGAGCACCTCGCGGACGTGTCCGTCTGGATCTCGGTCACCAAGGCCATCGCGGCGTTCAACGTTGAGAAGGCTTTGGACGAGCAGGGCAACCCCATTGAGCCGGTCGCTGAGGGTATGGACGGCATCATCTCGTGAGTTTCTACCGTCTCCCGCGTATCGACAAAATTCTGACAAGTTGCTCAGGCGCCCGCTGCCCTTCCCCTGCGTCGCCAAGCCCCGCTCCGAGCAGTACCTCCACATCATTGACGAGGACATCGCGCGCTTGAGCTAAATGCCTCGCGCTGTCGTCTACATCGTCCCTGATCTCACACTCCGCCGTCGAGCCCACACTACACATGCTCGTCGAGCTCACATACTACGCCGTTGAGCTATCACACTTCCGCCGCCGCTGAGCTGGTCGCGCCGGGCATTCCTCGTCTCGTCTCATTTCTCATCTGTTTCTCATACACATGTTCACCTGTTATATCTGTCTCGCACGTTCATTCACACTCGTCACTCCTTAAAAACGACGCTCCCTGGACTGTTTCTACCGTTTTGGATCTCTCTTAGTTCATTTCTGCTCCTCCCTAGACTGCAATTGAATGGATTCAGAAAACCATTCTTCGTATGAGCGAACCTCAACCCCTTGAGCAGTGCATCCCGAGACCTTTGCTGGTTTATCGATGAATTGCTCGTGCTCGAGATCCTTTTAGACTCGAGCCAGTCCCCGCTCCGCGGAAGCCGAGGTCAAAGCAAGCTGATACTTGCCCGATTAGAAGAGCGGAGCGGGGATTGGAACATCTCGAGCACTTTTTGGACAGTCGAGCTTTTTCCCACGATTTTGTGCGACTTAGCGAAATTCTGCGCGCTCTCGCAGCCAAACGACCCGTGTCGGACGCGTCGTCAGCCTCAATCGCTGTCTATTCTCGCGCTCTTAGACCTGATTTTAGCCTACAGGACCCTGCTCTGGCATAGAATCACGCTTCACGCTGCATTCAATATATCTTCCTTGCAATACAGTACACTCGAATATATGCACCCATGTTGCCGAGCCTGAGTTCATAGCGCGCGACGACGCGACTAATGACGACGACGACGCTCGTGAGACGAGCCGAATCGGCAGCTACAGGAGCACGGGAGGTGGCAGGGCTGCGCTGGTGATCGTTCACGGCCGCGGCGCCGCATAAGGGCGCCAGAGGCGGGGGGATGGGCGAAGCCGCCGAAGCGATCGTGGTGATCTTGGGCGATGGATACTTGCGATTTGGGATCCTGTATAGCCAGACCGAATAGAGAGAGACCGCCGATAGTCCAGCTTGAATATCACACGGGTCGGCGGTCGGGCAGCCACGCTTCACCGCGCGCTAGATGCTGCCACAATCGAAGGGCGGTCAGTACGACAGAGCGCGCGATTGAGACATTGCCACGCACCTCAAAGGGTCCCAAAAGCCTATACGCTCCCCCTACGCACGTACAAGTCCCCTGAGACCGAGAAAAAGAAGAGAGCGGGAAAGTGATGGACCTTCAGACGCGCCGCGCTGATGCTAGCCTGCGCAAAGACTGTCACTAAGACAGCAGCGTTCACGAGCCGTACGCCGGTTTTGAGGTGTCGAATGCCATCGAGGACCATACTAGGGCCATTTGGGGAGGTTTGGCGCGAAGCCAAGGGCAGAGGCAAGTCGAATGAGCGAAATCGCTGCTGGAGCTCGTCGCGATTTTCGCTAAGTCGCATATATTCGTGGGAAAAATTTGACTGTACTAGCTACTAAGCGAGATGTTCCAGTCCCCGCTTCGCGGGCACCGCGTTTACTTCCAACTATCTTCGGCTTCCGGGCCCGGACACCGTAGGTGGCTTCCGCCGCCTCCGCCTGCCTTTCGTTTGCCTTTCGCCTTCCGCGAGCGGGACTGGTTCGAGTCTAAGATCCTTTCAACACTTGGTCTTTTCCCTGTCAGTTGAACACGCCTTAGGCATTTCCATGAACACTGTGTGGTACATTCATGACTTCCATTGATTCTGCCTATCAGAACACACCCTCCGTGAAGTCTAGCACGGCGATATCCGCGACCTGCGAGATGAGGGTTTTCTGGTCAAGCAATCAGTTGGTGCCGCTCGATAAAGGATATGCGTAGCGAGCTTACTGCCAGCGCGGCGTGGACCGGATCCGTCTCGACATAATAGTCGCGGTCCTCCTCGTTCTAAGGTAGAATGAGCATCCAGATTGTCGGACATCCATCGAGTTTCCCTACCTCGAACTCGACTATGAAGACCCACTGTATGGATAACATCAGCAACTGGCCCGCAGGTGATGATTGACCTCACAGACCTTTATCCCCTTGTCCGCTCCCTCCTTGCTGTTCTGCTTGCCCCCTTTGATGGAGCGGATGTACGTCTTTCCATCGGGCTTCACGCATGTCGGCTTCAAGTTGAATATGCCATCGAAGACGGCCTTGCTGTCCGCCTCCGACAGACTTGGGATCAGGTTGAAGGCAAGAACGTGCTGCAGGACCATGATGAAAGATAGGTGGTGGGGGATAAGGCAGAGTGGTGGCTGGTGTGAGCAAGAACGTTGAGCCCCTTTTATACCTTCAACTAAAGCTGACAGAGCCCGGTTTGCACCCGAAGAGCCAGATGCTACAAGGGATTACTTATCCTTCTCACGCCAACAAGTCACTCAGTCCACTCAGCATTGCCATCTCAGGACATAGCCGACGATGAGAACGACTTCTGAGGCCGATGTTCATCGGGAATCGGAGTATACTACAATGCTGACGGAGAAAGGGACTACCATGACCTCGGTAGGCAACTCAATGCGAGAAGACAAAGGTCTATCCAAGTTGGGCCCAACTGACGTCGAAGTCCAGACGCGATCGGAAGCCCGGGACGGACAGCGCCACAAAATCATCACGTGCAGGTGACAACCTGACCGTGAAATCCCGAGCGTCTTGTTGGCCGCAGACATTTTCCTCAGCTTCAATGCTTTCCAGGACGCTCCTCGGCCGTCGCCTCGTCGGCGCTGCGCGCTTCTCGGTGAGCAAGAATACTGCTCTGCGCATCCCAAATAGCGTTGCTCACTGCCCTTACAGCGGCCTTTGCGGTCATATGCGACAACGACCAAGTTGCCCGCCTCCTTCACGGAAGTGACCACTCTCTCGAATGGCCTGACGGTCGCAACCGAGGCGCAGCCCCATGCGCAGACGGCAACGGTTGGGATGTGGATTGACGCTGGCTCTCGCGCGGAGACGGAGAAGAACAACGGGACTGCACACTTCCTCGAGCACCTTGCTTTCAAGGGCACGAACAGCCGCACTCAGCAGGCCCTCGAGCTCGAGGTTGAAAACCTTGGTGCCCACCTCAACGCCTACACCTCCCGAGAGCAGACCGTGTACTACGCGAAGAGCTTCCGGAAGGACGTCCCGACCGCGGTCGACATCATTTCCGACATCCTCCAAAACTCGAAGCTCGAGGCCTCTGCGATCGAGCGCGAGCGCGATGTCATCATCCGCGAGCAGCAGGAGGTTGACAAGCAGCTCGAGGAGGTTGTCTTCGACCACTTGCACGCTGTTGCTTTCCAGGGTGCGTCTCCCGCATGTTACCCCTCGTGCTCCGCTCACAACCCCTGTAGGCCAGGCGCTCGGCCGCACCATCCTCGGCCCGAAGGCCAACATCCTCTCCCTCAAGCGCGATGACCTGTCCTCCTACATCCAGAAGAACTACACTGCCGACCGCATGGTTCTCGTCGGTGCGGGCGGTGTCGATCACAGCGAGCTCGTCAAGCTCGCTGAGAAGCACTTCTCCACCCTCCCCATCTCCAAGAACCCCATCCCCCTCGGCCGCCTCGCTCACCCCAAGGCTGACTTTGTCGGCTCTGAGGTCCGCCTCCGCGACGACACCCTCGGCACGGCGAACATCGCCATCGCCGTCGAGGGTGTTGGCTGGTCTTCGCCCGACTACTTCCCCATGATGGTCATGCAGTCCATCATCGGCAACTGGGACCGCTCGCTCGGTGCCGCGCCGCTCCTCTCCTCGCGCCTTTCGCACATCGTCTCAGCGAACAACCTCGCGAACTCGTTCATGTCCTTCTCGACGTCCTACTCGGACACGGGTCTCTGGGGAATCTACCTCGTCTCTGAGAACACCACCAACCTGGACGACCTTGTGCACTTCACGCTGAAGGAGTGGACGCGCATGTCGATGGCGCCGACGGAGGTTGAGGTCGAGCGCGCAAAGAGCCAGCTCAAGGCTGGTCTCTTGCTCGGTCTCGACGGCACGACCGCGGTCGCGGAGGATATTGGCCGCCAGCTCGTCACCAGCGGCCGCCGCATGACGCCGGAGCAGATTGAGAACGCTGTCAACGCGGTCACCGTCGATGAGATCAAGCGTGTCGCGCAGAAGTACCTCTGGGATCAGGACGTAAGTCATCACTCATTCCACACTGAAGCTCCACTTAACCATTTTCACAGTTCGCGTTGGCCGCCATCGGCAACATCGAGGGCTTGTTGGACTACAGCCGCATCCGCGCCGACATGTCGTCCATGGTCTACTAGAGTGCATCGTAGGGGTCTTTGCGCGCACCGGTGTATTGCAGCTAGATGTCGTGTAGCTTCTATAGTACACAAAATACCTTACCACTGGCATTGACTGAGGAATCCCTGCTCTGAATAGCCTGAGTGCGAGGCGTCTAGTGATGTGCGCAAGCGCAAGATCTAATGCAAATGGTCCTCCCTTCCTTCGACTTGCAGACGAAGGTGAAAGGGTTCTGTACTACCACATCCATGTTTTTCAGTGAGATTGCTTGTCTCGCAGTCAGTACTGTACCGATGCCGACTGACATTCTGGCAGCTTCTGTGGCACAGTTGAAGGGTACAGCACGCATGTCCTGCTGAGACCGTCGTATATGGGGTAGCAGTTTACGAGAGTACAATTAACATTAGGAGTTCGATATATAATACAACAATCAGTGTGCTTCGCCCATATCGCAACTTCAAGGAGTCCACTCCGGGTCTGAGTCCACCTCCGCATCCATGTCCACGTCCATAGCTTTCCCTCCACTCGCCCTGGGCTTGACACGCGGCGTCCAAGGTTCATCGTACCCGCTAAGTACCTCGATGCCCTTCTCCAGCAATTCCTCGGCGTATGGAACCCAGAAGCAGCTGTCAATAGCGCGCCTACACCATCGACGAGATTAGCACAGCGAGCTTCATCGGTCACTCTCAAAGACGTACTGCTCTACTGGCCACCTTAGGAATCGCAAGCGGACAGTCTTGAGCGTCGGCAACTTGGCTGGATCGAGTGACGACAGTAAAGGACCCCAAGGGCGACAGGAAGGGATTTGGACGCTGAGAGCGTGGGTCAGGTATCTGCAAAGCCTCGCATAAGGTCAGACGCACGGTAGCCTCGAGGGGAACTCGATGGTCGTCAACGTATCCGACCGCCAATGTTCGGCGGTGTAGTCAGGAGGCTGAGCTCGCTGGTTAGCATGTAAGCTACATCCGGGTCATAGGCAGCGCACCAACTTGCTCTCACGGACACGGAGTGTCTGGATGGAGGTGCACATCTCGAAGACGCTTTCGGTGGGGAAGTATTCTATATCCAAATCCTCAACCTTCGGTCCGTGCTTTTCAAGGAAGTCGCCTGCGTCGTTGGCCGTCTGCGCGCGGTGGAAAAGAGCAAGGCGACGAAGACGAGGCAGTCTATCGAATTCAGACAGTCAGCGTCACTCCCTGCATATGGACAGAAGGTCGAGCGGAAGAAGATACGCACTCGAACAGGGTGAACATCTTGAGCACGGACGTATCTCCCGAGGTGAAGCGCAGCTCCTCGAGTACCGGGAAGATATTGTCTGGTATGTCCTTCTGCTTGAACTTGAGCTTGACCGCGCCGTCGAGTTCGAGGACCTTCAGAGAGCGGAAGACGGACAAAGGCCCGACAGGAACGGCGACGACCCTCTTCGCTGGGGGCTTCTTGCCTTGCTGTGATGCTCTAGTATCACCCGTATTGGCAGACGCTCCCGCTCGGGTCGAGGAAGCAACCGCCTCGCCGGCTTGTCCGTCACCCGACGTAGCCGCCTGGCCCTCCGACGCCACCTTCTCCTTGGGTTTCGCGAACTCCTGCGCGATCTTGACGCTGCGAATCTCCGTGATCCCTTTCGCCGTCTTCGCCAGCATCGTGAACGTCGCCCACTTCAACCTCAACCAGTCGGGCGTTATGCCGCGGTACGTCCATTGGCGGGTCGACTGCAATGACGTTAGGTTCGGCACGAGCTGAAGTGCACGCCGTGGATCCCAGAATCGATCGTGGTCGACTTGGTTGTGCACACTCAGCTCGCGTACGTGCCGTCCGAAAGCGGGGAAGGCATCGAGTAGCAGGCCGAGTTGACGGGCCTGTCGCCAGTCGGCGACGCCCATCTTCGTGTAGATCTTGAGCAGAAGTAGACGCTGGAATAGAGGTCAGACAAAGACCAAGGGATGGGAATGATTGCACGAACCCGGAACAATTGGCAAACTTGAGCCAGGGAAAGGAATGCAGGCCGACGACGACTATCGAGGCTACAGCCCCAGCGGTTCACGTCAGCCTCCACATGCTCGAAGACACGCGACCATATGCGCTCTTGCACGTCGACTGGATGCGTCAGGATCGGTATGGGTGGACCTGGCATGCTCTCCGTCGGTTGCGTCTCCTGCTCAGATTCTTCTTCGCTCATCAGGTCAAGAACATAGGCAATGTCGAAATCGGAATGATGTGGGTTTCTAGAGTGTCTGAACAACTGCCTCCCACTAGCAAGAGGAAGGTCAGCAAACACATTAGCGAGACAAAGGGGAACTTACTCAGGCGTATCGTACTGGCATAGAGCACTCAATCTGGGATCACCTATAACCTCCTCGTCCACGGTGTACCACTCGGCGCACTCATCCCACGGATCGAGTAGTCTTTCCTTTTTGAAAAAGATGCAGCGAAGGGAGCGATTCCTTCCCAAAGCTTGCAGTTGCTCCAAACCTGGTCGCTTGATGTCGGGGAATATAACCGTGTGGATTTGAGGCACATGTGCCAGAAGCTCGACAAGCACGTCGCTATCCTTCTGCATGCAGGGCATATCTACCACGCGCTGCGGGGCTGTATGAGAAGCGTTCGGAAGTCAAGGTATGGGTCTCACCAAGCTAGTCCACGTCGGAATGGTTTGCGTCAATGTATTCATGAGCTTCGCGCGCCCCTTCGTCGAACCCTTTGGACTGTCGGCGAGAAGAAGCATTGTAGGGTTGATGTGATCAAGCCTCAAGCCACGACAGAGATAGGACACGCTCTCCTTCGAGAAGATATGCAGGACGAGCGCAAGATGCGTCAGCCGCGGCGTCGCATTGAGAAGTCCAAGTATCTCCATCCCGATTGCACCTTTCAACCGCAAGCGCTTGACACATCCAGCCAGCTCTGGACGCACTCTGGTAATGGTTATAGTGAGCGCATCTGCTTGTCCTTTCGATCGAATAATAGCGGTTCGGTAGAGGATGGGAGTGCAGATGCGTTGCCAGTCCTTGCAAACGAGCAGGAGGGCGGGTGGGCGACGTTCGGCAGCACGCAATTCCAGAGGTTCGCGCCATCGGGCGGGCTTGTTGCTATAATACTCCTCTCGTTTGCCGTTGGAGCTGAAGAACTCAGCGTCGGTAGGGACGTCAATAACATAGCAGAGGACTTCGCGAATAAGCTCTTCAGGGAAGGCCTGGAAGCGCTGCATCGTCGATGGTCAAAGTCAACGATGGTGGTATGAGTAAAGGTGAGGTAATCGTCACACATTGGAGTGCAGCTATGAGTCGCGACCGACGCGATGGTGGATCGAGCCGCGCACGCGAGCGACAGCTTGGTCAATGGAACACGCGATCGCGTTGTTTATTGACTGACAACCTTTATTTTACGCATCTACTTCACCGACCAGACCAGGTTACAATGGTTGAGGCTGTCGGAATAGACCACGAGGCGAAACAACCTGTCCAGTGTGTAGAGAATGAGAACAGAGAGCGACCTGGGCGGAGTCGAACTAGTGACAGTCACAAAAGCAGTGATGCAGATTCGCTTGGAATTCCCAGGAACAGTCTCTGGAGCTTTCAATCATCATGGACGGCGACCGCAAGTCCACCGTGTCCTCATTCTACGGGCGACCGCGCTCCTCCTACGATGCCCTCAACCAGGACTACCCCTCCCCATCTGCACAACCCAGGCAGCCCCGCGACGACGCATCCTCGTTCTTTAATCCCGCCGCTCGGCCCCCCGGAGCAGCCGACCGCAACTCGTACTTCTTCAACGGCCAGAGCAACCAGGAGTACCGGGACGATGCGCATGGATACAGCACCGCAGACACCGGCTTTGACATCTACGCCGACTTCAACAATGCAGGACCGAAGTACAGCTCGGCGTTCGGGATCCAGCAGGACACAGGGTGCGTGGCGTGCAATGCCAGCAACTTCAGCTTACTGACGGATACTCTAGTTACCGCCCGGTCTCAACAACCCCCATGTCTAGCGCTACGACACCCAAGATCATAGAGGACAGCGCAAGCTCCGCTGGGCCCGTCGAGATGGTCACTGTTCCCGCGCTCGGCCCGGAGTGGGGGAAGGAAGAGATGCGGAATATGACCAAGAAGGCGAGGCGAGAGCGCAAGTACGAGTCCCGTCACGACAAGTGGGTAGCATGGAAGCGCGGAGAGCGAGGAATGTGTGGCAAGTGGTTCAACCGCAAGATGACCGCCTGGGTTATGTTTGTTCTGATAATCATGTGCGTAGTCCTCCGTTCACTGAGGCATAACAAGCTAACTCCCTCATAGTATTGCCCTCGTCCTTGCCTTCTGCATACCCCGCGTGCCTGCTGTCTCATGGGCCAACAACAAGCAGTACCTCGTCAATGTCACCGATGGTGATCTCGCCGACACCGAGCCCGAATTCAGCCGTGTTCCCGCCAACTTCTCCTTCGCAGCTGCTGCGAACTTGCAGATGAACACGCAGGACAATTTCCTCTCCGTGCACTTTTCCAAGATCAAGGCGAAGGTGTACGACTCGGAGACGAACGAGGTTGTCGCGAAGGGCGAGACGGGATCGATGACCTTGCCTGCGAAGCAGTACCCAAATGTGCAGATCCCCCTTCTGTTCGAGTACTCTGGGTCCAATGACACTGATACGACATGTACGTGTGCCATGCTCTGTCCGCAATTCGGTCACTGATGTGAACCGCAGGGCTAAATTGGTACGATGGCTGCAAAAATAAGGCTGCCTCCGTGGGCGGCGAGCGTCCAGGTAGGCTCGGCACCCATGCTTTCTCACAACCGAGCTAATTCACCACCGCAGCTCTGAAGTTCAAGGTTGTCCTTGACATGCACATCACAGGGCTTCCGAAATCCTACGGAGGTGCTGTCACCGCCAACGACGCCGAGTGCCCCTTCGAGCTATCCCAGAACGCGGCCTAATTGCGTCCTGCTCCCGTCGTCGCGGCCGTCCGTGCGTGGTCCTCCCCACTACCTACCTCCCTATCTACCTCCCCCCCGTCGCACTGCCTACCTACCCTATTCCCTATGCACACCTCCCCATCACGACCCTCTTGGACATCATCGTAGTCAGACGCTCGTTAGGTACATTATTATAGCAATTTACGCTCCGGGTTATGGACAGACTGGCACCGGTATAATGCATTCATTTTCCTTGGGACACTGTCTGATCGCGCCTTCACTATATCTATCGTGCATTGTACATAGTGTACTTGTAGCGAGCAATACATATGCATTGCATGCTACGCTGTGCTGTATCGGATTACTGGGTCTGGCGGGCCAGGATCCGTAGGTCTCCGTGCCACAAATCCGAGCTGGGATTGTTTGCCTAAGAGCGTGGGAAACCCGTGTTCAACTTCCTGGCTCCCACCGTCATGGAACGACGTGCGCCCTCGACTCTCGCAAGCTCATCCTCTCGAGACAGCATCCGCCGACGCTCCAGCGCAGCGCATACTACGCCTCCCGACATACTATCTCGCCGTTCTACAGTCACCCTCATCAGCAATGCCCACGCCAAAGTCCCACTCACGCCACAACTCCCGCCCTTCGTCTGTCTGAACACTGCTACTACATCCACGAACTCGAGTCACTATCACAGACTACCTCCCGGACTGGGCGCCTCGCATGATCCCCCCATCGAGGACGTCCCTCTGACCCCTCGCCTTTCACCACCACGTCCGGACCCACCTCGCCCTTCGCCACCACGCCATACCCGACACGAGAACCCCTCGCTCGTGCGCCTCCCCACACCTGACTACCCTCAACCTTCTTCTCGCTCCGTCCTCTCGCGCGGCTTCAGCTTCATCACCTTCCGATCAGTGCCTCAACAAGTGAACTCGTTCTTCACGCTCTCGCCAGCGACCAGCAAGAATGATATCCGCGCCTCTCGTAGCAGATCGTCTCGAAGCAGCAAGCCCTCTCGTGCTAGCAAGCCTTCCTCGCGCGCTGGCAGCAGTAGCGAACACGGCGCCCTCCTCCCTCCGACGATCACTACCGAGAAGTTCACGCAGAAATGGCCTCGCCCTCGTCCCTTTCGCAAGGGCGTGGAGGTCACGCTGGCGCAGGTAGCGGAGGATGGCCGCGGACTCGGCATGAACAGCGTCGACAAATGGACGAAGTACAAATGGGCTCTGCTACTTTCCGTCATCACCGTCTTCGCCTATGGCATTGTGGGCCTTGTCTACGCAATCCTTACTTGGTTCAGAAGTGCGTTTACAACTGTCTTGCACCCATTACCTCTCATTGACAGCGCTCATCATCAGCCTGGAAGCACGCCGACGTCATGTACGTTGCGGATAACGACGTGCTCATCTTGATCACCCTAGCGGCCTCGATCCTTACCCTCTCTGCACTCGTCGGCTTCACTGGCGCTCTTCTCAATTCGCGGCCACTCCTGGCCGTCTACGCCCTCCTTCTGTGGCCCGCCCTCATCGCGCTTGCTGCCGTCGGCTATGCCAGCTACAAACGTGCCACCTTTGCCCTAGACCGCAAGCTTAGCCTCGCGTGGAGTCAGTACTATACTCCGCTTGGTCGACTGCTCATTCAGAACGCACTGCACTGTTGCGGCTTCTATAACGCATTACACGAAGCGACACAAAGCACCCGCTGTTTTTCCCGCACGCCTCTTCCCGGCTGCAAGGGGAAGCTCTTTCGATTCGAGCGCGAAAATCTGGGCACGATCTGGAGCGTCGCATTCTCCATCGCAGCGCTGCACCTGATCAATATCGTCGTAGCACTTCTCTGCGCCAACCATGTCACAGATCGATTTGGAAAGGGTATCACGCCCAAGCAATATCGCTTGACCGGTGCAGACGTTCAGGAAAATGCGGAAAAGATAATGACGGCGCTGACAGGAAATAGAGGGGGTGTAGCGCGTCCGCCGATATCGAGGGCGTCGTCTAGCAAGGCGTTCCGCCAAGACAGGGAGGAGAACGAGCCCTTACTATCAACCTAACCGAGATTGTACCATCCATCGTCTATCATGATCAAGTATTCATCTATGCCTTCAGCCACCCCCAGGGCTTTACGACACCGTTAGCCCTGTCAGCCAATCTGCAGCCAACCAAGTTGAAGTTGAACTCCCCGCCGTCGGCTGCGCCCGAGCCTATCGGCATTGGGCGGCGTCCGTGAGCCCGCCCTTACTCTGTATCCTCCCACGCCCTGCGGTGTCGGCGGTGGCGTGCGCGCGACCACCCACACTGGCGCCCAATTTCGGAGCGCCTCCGACCCCCGTATCACTGCTCAGCGCGCTCGCCTCGTATCCAATTGGCTCGTCATGCCCCCCGCGTGACGACACTGCTAAAAGAGCAACTTGCGCTCTTCCTCTGACCTCACTCACCTCACCGTTCGTCGGTCCTGAATCCTGATCAACCACCCGCCCGCCCTCCTCTTTTTCGTGCCCCTCTCTCGGGCTGATTGATCTGCCTGTCCTGCGCGTGCTGTCCTTGTCTTCTGCCAACACCATGCCCGTCCTTCACGTCTTCAAATTTATTCTGCGCGGCGATACGCCTCAGTCAGAGGCGGACCGCGTCTGCAGCGGCTTCCTCGAGCTCCAGACTCGGTGTAAGAAGGATAACAAGCCTTACATCACCTCCATGAAGGGTGGCAGACAAATCTCGGATGCCAACTCAAAGACGCCTTCACTCCAGGTGCGTTCTGCGTTGGATGAGTTTTTGTCATGTTGAACTGACCTCTTATTCAGTATGTCTTTGTTTGCGAGTTCAAGGTACGGTTGCAGACGGTCGAGACCCAAGTCCATCCCCTAACATGGGTACAGAGCGAGCGGGACCTAGCATACTTCATGAAGGAAGACCCTACACATCGTGCCTATGCAGTACGTTCCTGACCCTCCTCTTCCACCCGAATATTCTGCTCACGACTTTCCTTTGCCTTTTTTATCCCCCTCCATTCCACCAGAGCACCTTGAAGCCACATGCCGCCGAGATCCAGGGCATGGAGTTCGGTGTAGGCAAGTTCTGAGTTGACCACGAACACCTTGAACGTCTTCCCGCTATTTGTATATACCCGTTGGGCTGCCGGCGTCGCATTTTGTCTCCCCAGTGTATCCTACACCACGGACTCTGTACAGTACATGCATTCCCTTGTACGTCTGCTGTATTACCTCTGGAAATGGAGCTGCTGTCCTCTTCGCAATTTTTCACGCGCGCGTCAGTGGCGAGTCACCATCGCACACGATGTTCTCAATGCGAGCGAGGTGGATGCGCAAGGCTTCGAAAAGGGTGAATATTGCATGACGGCCTCAGACGAGGGCGGCGGCCGCATGGTTCACGCGCTCCTTCACTCTGCTTCAGCGCTAACCCAAAACCCAAACGACGCGCTAGAATCTTCGGGGGCATGATGCCTTCATTCGGATGCAGGTGTCTATGATGTACGTACACAAGGGCGAACCCAGTCCATAGCAGAGAAGTCAAGACGAAGAGGCGCAGAGATGATGATAAGTAAAGAACGAGTCGTGGATGCGATTACGATACCGGATGCGATAGCTCGAAAGCAAGTGTGTGTTCATATATACGATGGTAAGGAATGTCTTGTGTAGTCGAGATTGCTAGCTGCCGTTCATTAGGCAGCCGCGGCAGAGGACGCAGGCGTGTTGGTCGTGTCGACGCCCTGCAAAGATACGAGTTAGCTTGGCTCGTGCATAAATCAGATATCAGCGCACCTTGCCACGGCAGAAGGGGCAGTTGTTCTTGCCGGTTTCCATCCAGGTGTCCACGCAGTTCTTGTGGAAGGCATGACGGCAGCTCATAACGCGTACATCGTCTTCGGGCTCGTATGCATCGAGGCAGATCAAGCACTGCAAAGGAGCGTCAGTATGGATTCGTTGCCACAAATGAGATCTTGTCGTACGCGTTCGATGCAGTTGTCGCGCACGGCTGTGCCCTTGGTGTCCGACTCCGGCTCTTTCTCGCCCTCCTTGGGCGTCCACACAACCAGATCCTTCGCCTTCACCACGATGAGCTTGCTCTTGATGATCTGCTCCTTCGACACAGTGGCCGCGCGAGATCCGAGCCCGCCCATGGCGAGGCCGATGGCACCGAGATTGCCCAGGTTCGCGAGATCCGCGAGCTCAAGCAAGGCATCGAACGTAGGCGGCGGAGGCGAAGTCAACAGTGCGTGAGACGGCGGGTAGTATGCTGCAGTATATATCAGCACATGCGAACCTCTAACGAGACTCAGGAAAGACTGACCTCCAATAACATACATGGCGAAGGTCCTGCTGCTTGGAACCTCGGACGCGCGTGCACCGTCTCCGCCATCTCTCTGCGCAGCTCCGTCTTCTGTTGTCGTCCCCCTTGCACGCCGTATAGTGCGACGGATCGTGTCGGCCGCACGAGAGCGCCAGGGCACGCGACCCGCCTCATCAGCGATTGGCTGGTCTGCGTCGGGGAGGCCGTCATCATCACCTTCCTGAGCGTCAAGCAAAGGTGTAGTCTCGTCGTCCCGAGTTTGACTATCATTGGTCGCAGGAGGTGGAGGCATAGTTGTATGCTCCATACCAAGGCCAAAGATGTTCTCGATGGACTGGATACCAACGATGATGACCGGGAAGACAATATGTGCATCAGAAAGGGGAGAGCGCGTGCCAGTAGCATTCGTGGGCGAAGTCGGCGACGTTGGTGAAGCGGGCTCGCTACTTGGTGCCGTCGGCGGGTTCGAAGGCGGCCCAGTCGGTGTTGCCGCAGCGTTATTGATGTTCGCGGGGTGCACGGGGCTAACGACAACAGGCGCAAACCGATACATGCTCCACCAGTTCACTCCGCCGTCTGGGGATGCCCGACGTCCACCAGAGCTTCGCACGCCTCCAAGAGCAGCCAAGGGTTGAGACTCAGACCGAGGCGGCGGTGCACTAGGCACGGATCGAGAACGACGAGCAGAGGCCATGGAAGAGCGTTGGCGAGCGCGCGAGGCGCCACCTTCAGCGCTACCAATCAAGCCACCAATACCAGCAAGTACGTCCAGGAGCCGATCACGCTCGTTCCGCTCGCGCGCGCCTGCCGTCGCAGACGCCAGCCCAGGAACAGGCGCAGCACGACGAGGACGCTGAGCAGCCGCTGCCTCAACAGCCTCCAACTCCGGCAAATCCTCGTCATGGTCCTCGACGAGAGACGTCGGAGACCTCGGTGCATTGACAGGCTCCAGAGCCGGCATGTCATCGTGACCCTCTTCATCCTCTGCATTATCTTCAGGCGCAGGCGTTGCCCCACCGCCAAGAGCAGTACGCAGCTCCGAGCGAAGGTCGCGCAAGAAGCTTTCAAAAGAGGTAGGCGACAAGTTCGCGTCCGAGCCATGGTCATTGCCAAAGAGATCGTCATCATCATCATCGGAAAAGGGCGCCCAGATGTCGTCCTCAGGGGAATGATGATGGTCATCGTCCGGCGCCTGATTGGTGCCGAGCTCGTGCTCGTGCTCATCATCTGGTGGGATACCCAACCGACCTCGAAGAGCGCGAGCCAATTCAGCGAGGCCGGCACTCGGAGGCGGGGGCACGCCAGAAGCAGCGTTCGCCGCAGCAGTCGAAGGCGCTGCAGAAGGAGAAGGAGGGTTAGAGGATGAAGGTGACCCTAAAGATGGGTTAGCAAGTACAGTAGAAGCGAGAAGGGCTTGCTCACGATATGGCGAACCCATCGCAGCACGAATGGCCCGCCTCTCGCGACTCCGATCCCGACGCTCCCTTTCCTCTGCACGCGTCTGCTCTAGCTGCCGTGATAGACGCTCTTCCTCGCGCCTGTGTTGCTCTCGACGTTGCGCGAGCTGCTCCAGGAGAACGTCGCGCCTGGAAGGAGTGGGGGCTGGCGTGGACGGGCCTGCCTCATTAGCGATCGTGGTGCCAGGCGCTGCAGTGTCGGATGTCGAGGTCGTAGGGCTTGGTTCCGCCGAAGTGGCCGCGACTTCCACGGCTGGGTCCTTGGCTGGCGTTTCCATATTGTCGGACGTCGCCTCTGTCACAACCGGCAACTCGCCAGCGGACACATTTGGGGCCTCCTCTGGGGCTGAGGTTGCCGATGGCATCGTTGCGGACGATGACGAGGGCGCTTCAGGCCTCCTCCTCCAACCGACCACTTCCTCGACTTCTTCCTCGTCAACCGCACCTGGCCGTGCACTAGTGCTCGCAGTCGACTCTTCCGACTCTTCTCGCCTGCCACCACCACGCCTTGCGCTGGACGTCAGGCCGAGACGATCATAAGCCGACCGTGCGCGAGTGCCCTGATACCGACGACCAGGTCGGCGTGCAGCCGTCGAAGGAGGTGACATAGGTAGGGTCGGCAGTGAAGGTGTGATGGGTGATGCGGATGCCGAGGCAGGCGGAGGCCTGGAAGTCGTAACGGGTGGTGCTAAAGGAGACGAGCCGATGACAGGAGTCTGAGGGGGAACAGCTGGTCGTGATGGTGCTACGACAGGCGCAGGCACATTGGACTCCTGGCGAGGCGGGGGAGCCACGGTTGGAGTTGCGGACACTGACGGCGTGCTTGCATTACGCTGCGGGGGTGCATTTTCCACCGTATCCGCCAATGGTGATGTGGGCTCGGGAGACTGGCCTGAAGCGCCGGTCCCATTTTCTCCGTCCCTCTGCCCAACCAGCCCAGAGTTCACGATCGGGTCGGCCGATCCGGTAAGCAAGGACGCCGCGGTTGCGGCTGCTGCAAGCCTGCGTTCACTGCATTAGCAGACCATAGATATAGTGATCATGACTGTGACTTACGAGAGATACGTGCTCAACACGTCGATGGTGTGATTCGGCAGAGGCGGGTCCACACGCGCAGGTCGTGGAGGGGGGACTGCATCGCTGGGACGCGCATCTTCAGATGGCTGCTGTTCGCCTGCATTGGTGGCGCTAGCGTTCGGCTCGGCCGCGGTCTCCGCAGGACCCACGGATGCCAGCGACGTCCTCGAACCGGCAGCACTATGCTCGTTAGACGCCGGAGTCCTTGCTGCCCGTTCGCCACTCGACCTCCTCAGCGAGCTGAACAGCGTCGACAGCCGCCTTCTCGTTCTCGTCGAGCCTTGCTCCTGTATAGATCCATTGGCAGCCTGAGTTTGATCACGCTCACCGCCAGCTGACGGCGCCGCCTCGGCATCTGAGGCAGTGGCCGTCGGCTGGGCAGTCGGCCTCGTGCTGGCAGTCACCGGCGCTTCGCTGTCCTCCTCCGCTTCCGGGTCAGATAGAGCGTTCTCAGACTCGGGAGAAGACGCTGGCTCGGGAGACGATGATCGATCTTCGCTATCGACGCGAATATCGCGCGTCTGGACGATGCCCTGCACGAGGAGGACACCCGTGGGCGGGGCGTGCGTGGGAGCAGGTGTGGCGTTGTTGTTGGGAGAAGCGCCAGAGGCGTTATTGGGTGCGTTCGTGGCGGAGTTGGCGGGTGGGGTAGGCGCATTTGGTGGAGATGGAGAAGAGGGCGAAACATCATTCGTCGAAGAAGTTAGAGGCGAGGATGTACTAGTTGTTGATGATTGAGGGATTGGGTGGTCGTGGCGAGCATCGTCGTGGGAATGGCGCTCAGAGGAAGAAGACGTTGGAACATTGGAACCCGAGCCGGTCAAGGGTCGAGTCTCGCCAGCGTCTTCTGTCACTCGATTGGGGGCCGAAGGTGTTGAGGTGGCAGAAGTCGCCGGTGCGACCTGCTCAACACCAGCCAACTCCCGCCGCTCTGCCTCCGCACCTTGGTTCTCGTCGACCCGAAGCCCATCCACCGCGGTCTCCGCAGCACCATTGCCCATTCCAGCTTCGTCGACCTCCTGCGCGCCGCTCCCAAGCAGCTCTTTGCCGATCTTCGAGCTCCTGCGGTGCTTGCCGAAGGTACTCGACAGACGCTTGCGCCATTTATTGCCGCCCTCCTTGTCCGTCGCGTTGCTCTTGTTGCGCATGTGCGTCGGCTTCGCGCTGCTGGTAGAGACGTTGCGCAGCCTATGCGCCTGCTCTTTCTTCACCTCCTTCGTCGCCCGACCAGCCGGCGCGCCATCGACGCGGTCGGGCGCAGTCGAGGGCGCCGACCCATTAGTCTGCGCCTCCGGGCGGCGAGAGTGCGACTGCCCCATTCGCGATTAAGCAGCTATGTGCCTCTGAGGTGTAAGAGATAGATGGATGAAGTTGGGATTAAAACAGGCGACGAGGCCGATGGTGGTTGACGATGACGGTGGAAAGAAAGACGATTGACGAAGGTGGATATGTAAGGTGTGATGTGAGCGTTATCGTGACACGCACAAAGCCGGCAAACGTCCGCGCCACGGCGGTTTATTGTTGTTCACGGCGTCCGGCTGCGCCTGTGCAGCTATCGAGGGCCAGCGCAACGCTTCAGGCGACGACAGTGAATCAGGAGGGTGAGCTGTGCGCTGCCAGCCGCACTGTGTTAGCTCATCACGTCATCGGATTTTGCCGCCGCTGGACCCACATAAATGACTGGCATTGCCACATACAGCCCTGGCCCGCCGGTGGTTTACACGACTACGGTCCATTCCACCCCTAAACGCTTCGAAAGATGGACCTTGCTTGGGCAATAACTGGCGGGGTACTGAGAGGCGCATTCTCGATTGCAAAGACCTCTGGAGGCAATGCTGAGACCACACCAGTTATGGACAACAACATATTGACAGGTTCGGCCAGTGCGATTACCAGTGTCACACTCAACCATCTGCGAGGCGCTGACAAACAAAGGCGAAGGCAAGCGATGATTGTTGTACAATGTAGCATAGCAGATGCCTGCGCATTAGGCGACAGCAGTGATACCAGCATCCTTCAACTTCTGCACGAGCTCATCCACATTCGCGACCTTGCCACCACCGACGCGCTTCGGTGGTTCAGTAACCTTAAGGGTCTCAAGAGCAGGAGTGAGGTCGACGCCAAGGTCCTGAGCAGTCAGCTTCTCCACTGGCTTCTTCTTTGCCTTCATAATGTTCGGCAATGAAGCATACCGCGGCTCGTTCAGCCTGAAATAATAGTCAAAAACCCTCCATCACAATCCTGAGCATCACACGCACCGCAAGTCTGTCGTCACTACAAGCGGCAGCCTGCACTTCAACTCCTCCCCGCCGCCGTCGATCTCCCGGGTCACCAACGCCTCCTTCTTCGCCGGGTCGACGTCCAGCTTGCTGATGAACGTCGCCTGCGGCCAGTCCAGCAGCCCCGCAAGCATCTGACCCGTCTGTCCAGCGTCATCGTCGATGGCCTGTTTGCCCAGGATCACGAGGTCAACGGGCGTCTTCTCGTTCTCGCGCTCGATGACCGCGCGCAGGGCCTTCGCCACGCCGAGGGGCTCGGGTGCTGGCGCGTTCTCCGGCACTTCAATGTGAATGGCGGAGTCGGCACCCATGGCGAGAGCGGTGCGGAGAGTTTCGACGGATTTTGGCGGGCCGATGGTGATGACCTTGATGGACTTGACCTCAGACTTGAGACGTTCGCGGAGGCGGACGGCCTCCTCAACGGCTGTGGAGGTGGGTAAGGGAATGCAGAGAGCACTTGTAGGATGGAAGCATTGAAGATGTACCTATTTCATCAAAGGGGTTCTGGAGGATGAGTTAGTGAAGGGGAAGTAGGCGGGTGCGGGGTAGACGCACCATGGAGTGCTTGACATTCGTGTCTATGCCGGTTTGTTGAGGATTGACGCGGATCTTGACAGCGTAGTCCACAGCGCTGCATACATGAACTTCGTCAGGTTCATGGTCGACCTTGAACGCCGCCGAGCAACATACCGCTTAACCGGGACGAGGATGTTCAGTAACCGCGCGCCGGATGGCCTCATCCTGGCCGCCGCTAGAGGCGTCCCCCGCGTAGATCGTGCTAGTGAGCGAAGCATCTTCAATTGGACGTATGCAAGAGACCCGGGCGCGCGAGCAGGTCAAGGTTCACGGAAAGCCTCAGCAAGGCGTAAGGCGGAGAAGGTCGCACATGTTTGCGACCCGGGAAACCGGCCCGAAGTTGTATCGGCCGAATAGACCCAGCGGGTCAGCTCGATGATGTTCAGCAACAACGCCCATACCCATAGCCAGAACTTCTTGTCTGGACCTTTCATGGACGATGCAATGAAAGAACGAAGCCGAGGGAGAGTGCGTGGCTCTGTGATCAAGAATGGCCTCCGATAACGCGCTTTCCGAATGCGGAAGGCCTGCTTGTAAATTGGCTCGAACTATTCACAGATAGATACAATGAAGCATTCCACCACTTGTTCAGGCTTCGTCCCATGCAAGGCGACGAATGAATCTTGGATGGCCTGTGCTGTGCATATATCTACAAGTGCGTATCGAAGTTAGATGCTCGATGACCATCCTCACATACTGCCTTTTGTGGCGTCAGCAGACGCGATCGAGCGAAGAGTTGCGTCGCATTCGGACTTGTCCCATATCCAGTGGTAGTGGGTCCGTTGGCCGCCCTTACTATGCCTCCCTCAATTCCTGAGGAGCTTCTACACGACATCCTCGAGCATCTCCTTGACTTTCCTACTGATGCCGAATTCTTCGTACTCAACGGCAGACGCGACGCCAAAAACGCCGCGCGCTGGCGCATTGCCGACCCCGCGCTTCGCGATCTGTCCCGGCGTCCACCAGCTCTGCTACTCGTTTGCAAAGCCTGGCGCCGCGTTGGCGTCCCTCTGCTCTACCGCACGGCGATTATCCGCTCCAAGGGGCAGGCCGAGTCGCTCACGCATGCCATCACCGCGCTGTACCCCGAGCGCGCTCGATTCGTTCGGCGCTTGCGGCTGGAGGGCGGGTTTGGGATGGACGCGTTCAAGCTTCTGAAGGCGACGACGCGTCTCACGCACCTCGCGATCAATCTCCATGTCTTCGCGAATGAGAGTATTATTGGCTTGTGCCGGGGTCTGCAGCTAGAGCACGTCAATCCGACGGTGCTTGTGCTCGCAGACACGAAGGAGAACTCGAAGAACCGGGCGAAGCTGGTGGACACCGTGACGGACCAGGTTCCTAGATGGACGAAGCTGGAAAGTCGTCCGGACGCTAATCCACGTCCTATCGAACTTACCTCCACCCAGATGGCCGTACACCTTACGTGCATAGAGTGGCATCTCGGCCCCTACACGACTTCAATTGTTAGGCTCCTCGCCAATGCTCCCGCCCTACATACGGTCGTCATGCCGATAGATGGCCGGCCTCCCTTGAACGACATCCGCATCCTCAGCCGAAATCGCGCCCTCGGCTGTCTTTTTTTCACCTCCGAAAGGACTTTCGCGAACTACTACCATATGGATGCCAATGAGATCAACGCCGTTGAGGCCAAGATCGCGGAAGACCCCCGATTGAGCTCAATATGCGTATATGACACAGAGGAGTAAGTCTTGCAGCGGGCTTCCCCTCTCAGCTGGATTCTTGCTAAACATTCTCCAGCGGAAAAGCAAAACGCTGGGTCGACTCTCATGAGTACCACCGCAATCTATATCTCGCTGACGTAGCGAGGAGGAAAAGGGTTCCCTCCCCCGAGCCTACGACTTACGCCTCCCCTCCGCCAATGCATCTACAACCTCTGGAAGTCCAGCAGAGGATTTGGCTGCGGATCTTCGACTTCGTGAAACCGACCTCAATCCTCAGCCCAACGGTTGTGGACGTTAAGCCCGCGCTCCTCAGCTGCAGCCGTGTATGCAAGATGTGGCGGGTGAGCGTGTCACTCGATGCGCCATATCCTCTCCTGACAAATGTCCGACGCAGCGCCTCGCCCTGCCCCGGGTCTACGCCAACATTTCGCTCATGTGGTCTTACAAGACGCAACACCTGGCCAAGAGCTTCGAGATGAACCCACAGCTCGGCCGCTACGTGCGCACTCTTGGGCTGAACAACCGGCTGAGGGACCTCAAAGACGACAGCAGAGACGGCCAGATCATCGACATCGATGCCGTGCTGGGCAATGTGCCGAATCTGCGGGTTCTGTCCGCCAAATGCACCGATCTGACCTCTGATCAACGGCGACAATCGGATGCTCTGAGAATCAGCTGGTCTCGGTTTACCTCGTTGCCCCAGCTATCAAGTGGTCTCACCGAGAATGTGGGCGTCAAGATCCCGAAGGAATATGCGCCGCCGGCAGAAGGAGAGGGTGAACAAACGCAAGAGGACGAGCATTTCCCTGAGGGCAGCGCTGCAGCAACAACAGCAGTCGACACAGCGGGCGACAAGAAGAAACCTGCTCAGAAAGAGCTCACGGTCGCCCTTGGTCCCCTCACCCCCTTCCGTGCTCTGAGGGTGCTGCATTTCCACGGCGCCGCCAAGCTCAAGTTCAAGGACGCCGATGTTCCTAACGACATCTTCCCCGTTCTTGAGGACCTCAAGTTCATGTCGTGCCACACCTCCTTCCTTCGATTGTTCAACCTTTTCGAGCTGCCGCGACTTCGCAAGCTCGCTCTCCACAGCAGCGCGCAGACCTGCGAGGATGCAGGCGACTTTCTTGAGCGACACGGGCCGAAAGTTGAGGAACTCGACCTTGCATTCTTCCCGACTGATACCGTACTCGAATTATGCACGGCGATGCGAACGCTCCATGTTCGTGAGCGGAAGCCAGTGCGTATCATTGACGATACTTTCTGCTACCTAGGCTCATCACACGATTACAGCCCTCGAAATACAGCGCTGCGGGTTGGCGGTCGAAGACGCTCTCCGTCATCCACTTCACTGATGAGATGCCGTGCGTGGTTCTGCCTCATCCTTGCATTCTGATCTGACTCCGCCCTCCTCAGAGCCCGAATACAAGCCCAGCGCCCCTGGGCTCCCGTCTTGTCTACCATCGACCCGTCTAAAGTCCCGAAGCTGAAGATCATGCACATGGGCCTTTTATGGCCGACAGACGAGTGAGGGTCCTTCATATCTTCACGCAATGAATATATCTGACTACACATCGCAGGCGCTCAATCTCCAGCAACTTTTGGATCCCCTTCGCAGAGTCGTTGCTGCAGAAAGGCATCGAGATTCGGGATCAGGATAACCTGCCATGGATACCGAGGCTACGATCCCACCGTGAGCTCAAGCGCAAAATAGCGGACATGAGCGAGTCCAAGCATGAATCCGATGACTTTGACGACGATGAATGAGGGCAACTTGACGCGCCCATTCCCATCAATCACTACGCCATTTGACTTTTACTGGTATATTGAATCATACCTCCTTCCATCCCTCTATATCCTACAAATACCTTACATATCTGGTTTCCTAACGCCAATGGAACTTGCTGACGCTTGTGGGCGCCTTCGCCTTCAAGGCACAAACAAAGAAAATATGGCGTCAGGAGGGCGAGCAAACAACGCGATCGCGGCTTTCGCGCGCACGTTTCGCGTCGCGTTCGTCGCGATGTCAATTTCATGTCTCAGCCGGCTGCGCCCCGATCGTCCTGCTTCATTCCTTCATGGCTCTTGTCTCTGTACCACCACCACGAGAGATGACCTCGACGATGCTGCCCTTCCTCGCCCTCCCCGAGGAGCTCATTCGCGAAGTGCTCAGTCATGTCATCGACGTCGCTACGGATCGTGAATTCTTCAGCCTTGATGCCAATCGTGGGCGGCACGGGTATGGGGGCAATAAGCCGGCGCGCTGGAGCGCATCGCGTGAGATGCGCGCTCCCGAACATCGTCCGCCCGCGCTGTTGCTCGTCTCGAAGGATTGGCGGCGTATCTGCACCCCCCTGCTGTACCGTACTGCCATCATCCGCTCGAAGGGCCAAGCCGAGGCCCTTACCACCACCATAACCTCCCTCCGTCCGGAACTAGCCGCACGCGTTAAGCGCCTCCGGTTCGAAGGCGCATTCGGGATGGAAGGTTTCCGGCTGCTCAAGGCGACGACACACCTCACCCACCTGGCACTCGTGCTTCACATCTTCGCCACAGAGGGCGTCGCTCCCCTCTGTCGCGGTCTCAAGCTCGCGCATATCAGCCCGAGGGTTCTTGTCCTCGCCGACAGCCGCCAGGACTCTAAGAATCGCAAGATGCTAATCCAGGAACTTGCGAAGCTCATCCCTTCGTGGACGCATCTGGTACGGCTCGTAACGTGGTTCGACAGATTGTCCTTTCTTATGTGTTGCGTCCCAGAATGCCGTACACATTCCTTTCCTCGACAACGAATATGGTCCCGCTACCGATGTTTCTGCCATTCTCGAGTCGCTTCGGAGGGCGCCGAGCTTGCATACGCTGGTCTTCCCGCCTTCCCACCGACCTGACTTGGAAACACTGCAAGCGTTGAGCCGGAACCGCGCCCTGCGGTGCATCTACTTCGCCAGGACCAAGGTCAATTGGAACGACGATGACTCGGACTTGGAGGACACTGCGAATGAGTCAGACTACGTCGTGGATGAAGAAATTGTGGACGATCCTCGCCTGAGCTCCATCTGTCAGTACGACACACCGGGGTATGTCACTAAGCACACTGCTACTCGCATACTGAAGCGCCTTGCTCAGAGGAAGACCGGTACGAAGATTGAGCAGATACGAGCTTCTCGGCATGAGGCGCAGGAATCTCTACATTCCCAGTAGCGAACCGGAGGAACACGAGGAAGACGAAAAAGTCGAAGAGCCCGCGCCGCCCCGACCTCCTCTTCCGCTGCTCTCTCACCCCGTCGCTGTGCAAGAGAAGATCTGGCAGCACGTCTTCGAGTTCGTCAACGGATGGGCCATCGATCCGTTTTACCTATACAATCGCCGCCCCGCTTTGCTCGTTCTCGCACATGTTTGCAAGCTCTTCAGGGTGCGCATGCCTGTTATACTCTCACCAGTCCACCCCTGCTGACGTCTCGACAGCGTCTGACCGTTCCCCGAATCTTCAGCAGCCTGCGCGCGAACTCCTGGAAAAGCACATACCGGCTCTCCATCGTTCTAGAGGGCGACCCGAGCCTCGGCCAGCACACCCGGGCTCTATCCTTGAACAACCGCCGCGACGCCAAACGCCATCTTGACATCGGCAGGATTTTGCAACATACGCCCAACCTCGCTCACCTAGATGCGGAGGATCACTGGCGCAGCGATAATACCCACGACAATCTCAGAATGCGGTGGTCCACGTTCACCGCCATAGCTCGCATCGCGCCGGCCATCGGTACAATCAACAACATCAAGATAGCCAAGCAATTTGCGCCTCTGCCGCCCAAAGGATCATCCGACGGTCAGGCCGACGCCTCGGCTGCACCTGACGCCCCGGGTCCTCATCAACAGAAGAAAGCGCCAACGGAGAAAGAGATATCCGTCCCGCTCGGGACCTTGACCCCTTTCCAAAACTTGGTGGTTCTGCACTTCGACGCCGCCGTCAAGCTGCAGTTCAAGAAGAGCGAAGTCCCTGCGGATATCTTTCCCAGATTAGAGGCCCTGCGTTTCACCTCTTGTCATACATCGGTGCTCAGGCTATTCACGCTATTCGAGTGAGTGCCCTGCGGCTTCCTCCCCTGCGTAGATCGATACTGACTTCGTGCCGTAATCGCTGCCAGGCTTCCTCGATTAGAACATCTCGGTCTCTTCAGTCGAAGCCAGACAGGGCGAGACGCGGGCGACTTCCTCGAGCGTCATGGCTACAAAATCCAAGAGCTAGATATACAGTTCTTCCCTACCGATAGCGTCTTCGAGATGTGCACCGCGCTTCGGACTCTGAAGATTCTGGAGCGTAAACCTGTGCGTATCTAGCTTTTCGATGCGTCCGAGTCGTATTAACGTACCTCCAGCCGCCTGACTACAGCGCCGCAGGATGGAAGTCGGACACACTGACTACAATCAAGTTCACTGAAGCGATACCGTGCGTGAAATTTTGTAGCAAGCCTTGAAGCGCGTCAGTACCTTACGCCTCCTTCAGTCGCCAAATTCCAGCCTGTCGCCCTTGGGGCACCCTCCTCGCATCTATCGACCCGGCGCAAGTCCCGCGGCTCAAGGTACTGAAGATGGGTTTGAATTGGCCGTCCGAAGAGTGCGCTTGCCTTCCTTCGCCCCGGCATACTTCTGACCATGACTTAGACGTGAGATCAACGCCTCCTTCTGGGTACCGTACGCCGAAGATCTCCTCAAGAAGGGCATTGAGATACGTAGTAGTTACGGTGAGGCGTGGGTCCCTCGGGTGAGGGCACACCAGCACAAGCGCAAGAGGGAGAACGTCGATTGAAGCTGCATCTTTATCTGCTCGGACAGTGGTCTATCTTTCAAGCAATATATTACAGCGATGTAAACGACACTATACACTCGAATTAATCAGAGTGGGCCAAGCTCACAGCCGGTACAGTTGCCTCGCCGTACTCCACTGCAGACCGGCGCAAAATGCCGCATGCATGACCAAACAGCAACGCGATCACGCGTTGGCACTCGCTTACACGTCGTCCCACCGCGTCACGGTATGAACACCCCTCCGGACCTGGACTCGCGTCCAGCAAAGCGCGCGAGAACGGAAGACGAGTCAGAGCCCGTCGTCTGTTGCGAAGAGCTCTGGTACGACGACGGCAACCTCGTCCTCCAGGCGGAGCGAACGCAGTTTCGCGTCCACAGGAGCATACTATGCAAGCAGTCCATCGTCTTCAGAGACATGAAGGAGGCGTCTTGCACGTCCGCTGCTGGCTCTGCCAACGTGGATGGATGCCCCGTAGTCGAGCTCCAGGACTCGGCGGAGGCGATACGATATATGCTTCGATGCATGTACGACACGTACGTGGTCACGTAGTGGAAACTGGCTGTCTTACTGATGTATCCCATAGCGGGATCCTGGAACGTCCCCCGACCAATACAGAGATACTGTTGGCACTGCGCATGGGTCACAAATACCTGATCTCGACTCTATTCGAATACGCCGCAAGCTACATGCATCGCCTTTTCCCATCGCATCTCGCCGATTACGAGGCAGACGGCAGTCTCTTCAGTTCAGCTGACAGAGACCCCTTCGAGTTCCTCGCCATCGCCCGCTCCACTGGTCTGGAAACAGTCATTCCCGCACTTTGTCTTTCGTATCTCAGGGACCTTGACCCTGTGAGTTTCGTATCTCATACAAGCAGTAGAATCTCTGTTTCTAACTTCCCTCCCCAGGGTGACCTCGCCAAGAGCGTGAAAGACCACACGCTCAGCCCAGAGGATGGCTTCATGCTGCTCTTCGCTCGCAACAAGATCCTTGATTGCACTTTACTATATTGCTTTAAATGGGCCCTAGATCAGCACCGACATCCTCGTTGCGTATCCGTCGCTGCGTGCGACCAAGAGTGCTTGGTGTTTCGCGACAGAGTCTCCGATGAAACTTACCTAGAAGCGGCCATCGACCTCGAGCACGGTTTTCTGGCACCCTGGGATGACCTTGCTCTGCAAGTGAAACTATGTCCAGCTTGCAAAAGGAAGGCAGAGCGGATGCACGAGGAAGGCCGAGGAAAATTTTGGAAGGATCTGCCGTCGTTCTTCGGCCTCAAACCATGGGAGGAGTTGCATGACTTTGCCATAGAGTAGCTACGTTACACCATCGTGATTCACAGGTCTACGATGCCTCTACATATCATGAACGCTTGACCATACACACGAACACGAACGAAGTCTGGAAGTCATAGTACACGGCTGCCACGGTTCGGTCACACTTCTCTTCGGGCTTCCAGTCCAAGTTGACCCCAAATTCAGTCCATCGCATCGCAACACAACATAATAGTGCAGACATCCTGTAATACATATGCAATTGTTCTCTACGTTTGGAGACACGATCTACTGGGACCACATCATACCTACGCGAGCGGCACAAGCTGACACTAGCTGACATCTACGCATGACTGTCAATCTCTAGCCAGACGTCCCCAGCACCGCTGTCACCGCGGTACTCTCCGCGGCGGGCGTAGGTCCCTCTCACGGCTCGTAAGTCCCTCTCACGGCGCGGAGATGCCTCACACCACGGCGCCAATTACTCCCACACCCCACGACGCCCTCACACCGTCGCGCCCTCCATCGCATCACGCACAACCTTTCCACCCTCCTCCACCCTCGGCCGCCAGAGCTTGCCATCCTTGAAGACGACCGGGCCCTTGGGCACCTTGTCCCCGATCGCCGATCGCGCCGGCTCGTCAAGGACAGGGTCGTCCTTGAAGGTGAACTCGAGGTTGCCGCCGTAGGCCTGGGGAGGGGGTTAGCCGGGATCAGCAGAGGAGGGGGATACCGGCGAGCAGGAAACGGATAAAATAGACAGAGCGAAGACGCGTATGAAGAGGGGATTCGGCAGATGAGGCCGCAGAAGGAGGTCGTGGACGGCCCGAAAAGGAATTAATGGCCGAGGGGACACGTAAGGAAGCGGTTATACGGCGTAAGGAGGACGATGTCAGCGGCAGAGGGGCGCGGCTGAGTTCGGGGAAAGACCGTAGGCGTAGCAACCAGTAGAAGACGCCGTGAAGGAGGGAAGTACGGGTAGGGTGAATGAAGAACCAGCAAAGAGCTTTCCACGCCTCTGACAGTGATGCAGGAATGGAATGACATACCTTAGGCAAGTTGTCCGCGTCGATGAGCTCGCGCAATGTCGGTCCCGGATCTCTTCCCAGCACATGCACTTTCAGCCTCGTCCCCTCGTCAAACCATGCCTGATATAATACATTAGCCACACCGCACGACATACTAACCCCCTACGCACCTTAATCCACCCCCATATTGTCGGGAAGAATGACGGCGAGTTCACGACAATCGTCGAGTGCATACATTCCGGATAGTGGGCCGTCGCCAGCCCTGAGGCCTCCTGCAAATGATGCCGGAGGGACCACATCGAGGAAAAGGAGACATCTGCGAGGTCGATGATGCTGGTGACAGCACAGATGTCCGCGTTGTTGTCTCGAGGAAGGGAGTTGCAGAGAGGGAGGGCGAATTGGCGCATAAATTCCCAGAGCGCGACGATCCGTTGGTAGCGGCGTTCTGGCGGTACCGCATTCAACTCCTTTTGGGTCGCCTGGAGGGATGCTAGGTGGAAGACGTATACGGGGTGGCCAGTCTACGACAGTAAGTATCGTGTATCGTGGATGGGATGGGAGGAGCACGCACCTTGTCTCTCCTCCCTGTCCATCGAGGATAGAAGTGCTTAGCAGCCTCGAACTCCTCGGGGTCGAAGGTGGCGTATAAGCGGTCGACATCGTTCTCCTTCCGCCACTCCTCAGTAGCCGCAAACTGCTTCTGGGCAGCCTTGGGGTCGAACTTGCGCGCACGCAGAAAGCGCAAGAGCGTCGAATCGTCATGGGATGGCTCCTCGCCGGGCGTATATAGCTTCGCTGACTCAAGGTCCGCCTTGAATTTCGCAAACGCGGCCTGCTGGGACTCGTTGAGATGGCCGAGACGGCCAGCGAGGATCTGGTGGTGCTCGAGCCTGCTCTGGCCGGGGACATCGTGCGATTCTGCGGACGAGCGCCTAGAGGAGAACCAGGACATGACCGCTCGGGAAGGGGGCGTGATGATGACGTCACGCGACGCCCCTTTCCCCTTCCCGATCGCCATGTTCCGCGCATCCGCCCGTCTCGCACACGAGAACCCGCTGGGCATCCCTCGCGCGCGGACGCTCCCGAAGGATGTGCCCTCCCTCCCCAGGCGCGGAGGAGGAATTGAGCGCAGGCCCATCGCGCACGTCCGCAGGGTGATCGCGGTCGCTAGTGGTAAAGGCGGCGTCGGCAAGTCCACCATCGCCGCCAACCTCGCCGCCACGCTCGCTTCACACCTCCAACTGCGCATCGGCCTCCTCGATCTCGACGTCTTTGGGCCATCTGTACCCACTCTTCTTGGTCTTCACGATGCATTCGAGCCGGAACTCACCGACAAGGGCGCCATTCGCCCCCTCGTGAACCACGGAATGCCAAACATGTCCATGGGGTACCTCGTCCGCCCCGATGCCCCCGTCGTCTGGCGCGGGCTCATGGTACAGAAAGCTGTGCAACAGCTGCTTTTTGATGTCGACTGGTCCGCTGCTAGTCCTGCAGGACTCGATGCGCTCGTGGTGGACCTACCTCCGGGCACGGGCGACGTTCCCCTGTCACTCGCTCAGCTCACCAACGTGCACGGCGCCGTGATAGTATCAACACCACAAGACGTCGCTCTCGCCGACGTGCGCAAGGGCATCAACATGCTCAGAAAGGTCAACGTACCGGTACGTCTAACGCATTCCCCCTTCCATCCACTTGTGCACATACTCACGCATCATTCCAGATAACTGGCCTCGTCCTCAATCAGTCGCACTTCCTCTGCCCCTCATGTACTACGCCGCACTATCTTTGGGGTCCGCCAGACCACGTCCGCGAATTCGCTAAAGACACCGATATTGACCTTCTCGCCGAGCTGCCCCTCGCCCCTGCAGTAGCCGCCGCGGCAGACGCAGGCGTGCCGTACCTCCTGATATCTGGGGAGAAGCGGAAAGACGATGGTCCTGGGGCGGAGCAATGGCTTGATCGTATGAAGTCTATGGCGGAAAAAGTATGGCAGGCTATTCCATGAACGCAATCGATGACCTGGCCAACTTGGAATGGATAAACGACGCGAGCTGCCTACTGCATATGGTCGCAGTTACTAAGTACGAACACTGGACGCGGATGATATAGATGAAGCACATCTCGAAAACATCAAGCAAATAGACACAAGTGCGGGAGTAGCAAGGAGACTTGCGATGCGACGTGAGGGAAGGACAGATGTGTGAGTCATGGTGTATGGCTGGTGTATACGACGAAGCCGCAGACCAGAGCGGCCGTTGAGAATTTCGACGATCTGCGAGATGCGGTTGGTTTTGCGGTCCGGGTGCCGCGAAGCGCCCAAGCTCGGAACCGGTGCACGTGAAATGCACGTGTAGAAGGGCTTCCTCCCTTGAGGTTCAATCTGCAAGGTTCCTCACACTCCTCGACCTCTCCTAACAAGCCTCAAAATACCCTTTGTCCCTCTTCTGGTCCGTCTGCCACTACCCAAGATGTATGATATATACGAGTGCCCAAGTATGCGACAAAGCTGAGGGTATATTAGTGGAACCATGTACTTGCTAAGGGAGACGACAGACGCGGACTGGGTACATGTACAAGCAAGCTACCACTGTGAAATGCGGTGGTATGAGGTGTACAGTACAGAGAGCCCGCCGTGTCGCGCGCGCATAAATATCTGTCTGTATACAATGAAGTATGCCCTACGAACCCGGCGCGTGTTGAGTGTGGTGGATGAATGTAACTAAGATGGATCGATGCGAACGGGTACGGAGCGGTCGCGTAGGTGCGACATGAGTGCTCGACAAGGTGAGATATCAAGAATTAGAGAGCGACGATGCGACGCAAGTCATCGACTAGAAGAAGCGTGTGCTGATGAATTCCCTTTGGTCGACGAGCCGTCTGTGGACGATGTTGCTGGTGAAAGAGGACCACTGTCAGGGTGTTAGCACGACGAATGGAGAACAGGCCCTGCATGAAAATACTCACCCCATTGCCGATGAAGACTGCCGCTAATCTTGCCAGCTCCATGTCCACCGCCATATTCGTGTCCATCGTTTCCTGGTCGAACTGCAGATCCTTCGTCGTGACGATCGTACCCCACCCGTCCTTCCTCAGTGCATCCTTGAGCTCGTCCAACCACACGCTCTCGTCGTTGGTGAGGATGTACATGACGTCGAGCACGCGCTTCTCCCCCTTCTTCTCGCCCTCCGCCAGGTAGTCGCGCTTCGCGTCCCTTGTCTTTTGCACAATAGCCTCAAACGTGGGCAGGCAGTGCTCGAGGTAGAGCGCGATGTTCTCCTCGGTGTTCCACCCCCACCCGCCGCCCTCGTGCGCGGTGAAGCGGTCGGGGAGCTCGGGCAGCAGGTTCCAGCTGTAGAACGTGCTATTCCACGCCGCGAGACCCAAACACGCATCCTTGAAGTCCCCGCGGCGGATGTGCATCGCGAGTGTGCGCTCGAAGGGGTCCAGCGGACCGCCCTTCCCCCGCGAGCGGAACAGGGGGGTGTTGCGCGCGACGCCTGCGGCGACGACGGACGAGGTGGCGTGCAGCCGCGACACAGGCGACTTGATGAACTCGTCGTACAGCGACAGGATGCGGTCGGAGCCCCACAAGAACAAGTCGAACACCTGCGGGTATCCGTCCTTCTCCCTATCCTCTGATACGATCTCGATGCACCGCTCGGGCGCGTCGAGCAGCAGGTCCCGCCACACGCGGAAGATCACGTCCCCGGACTCCCAGCGGTACGTGTCCTTCACCTCGCCCGTGGTGATCACCCGGCGGTGCTCGGGCGGGCAGACCTCGTCGTAGTACGCCGTCGACACGGAGCGCGGCGCAGGATCCTCGGGATCCCATTCGCCGCCCGCCGCGGGCCCCGCAATGAGCGCGTTCATCGGCGTGCGCGGCGCGGGGTCGAGGTACTGCGCTTGCTGCCAGGGGTAGTATTCGAGCTTCCAGATGTAGTCCTGGAAGACGTATGCGCGCTTGCTCGCGTACGCCAAGTGGGCGTTCATCAGCCTGGAGGTGCGAGGATGAGTAGAGAGCTTTGAGGATGGGCGGACGACGCACCGCTCATTCAACGCATTGTTCCACCCCAGCTGCTGTATCTCGCAGGAGAACTTGACGTATCGACCACTGGCGCCCTCGGGGAACGTCAAGTTCGGATTGTGTTGCGGCAGCGCCGCCTCGTACGCCCACATGTCCGACCAGTCTGGCGGCCCACCGAGCAGCGGTGGCCCGTCCAACAGCCCTCCCCCTGCTCCCCTCCCCCCGAGGGCGGCAATGACAACGAGGAGAAAAATGAACGCGGCGATGAGCCCGAGTACTAGCGATCGGCGCGCATTCCGCACGTACTGCACCGCGACGCGCGAGTAGTGGCTGGCATAGCCCTGCACTCGCCAGAACGCCGGCGGCGCAACGTTGGTGGGCAGCTGCGAGTAGCCGTCGAACGTGTGGGGCGTCATGGCGGGGGGAGGGGAAAGGGAGGGAAGGGAGGGAAGGGAGAAAGAGGCTAATGCAGAAGGCAAGCCATGATGGTGGCAAAATAGCACTATGCGCGCTGGTGAGGCACTGCTTTCGTACCCACGGTGATCAAGGCTGCAGTTCGCCGCGTTCTCACCGCGGTCCGAGACGATGGGACTCGGGAACTCGCTCAGAAAGGTACAATAGACGTTGGCTGATCCGGGCGGTGTGCCTCGGGATGGTCAAATATCGACCTTGGCTTGGGTAGTGACTTCAACTTGGCTATGGCCTACTACGCTCACTTCGTTCTGCTCAGAACAGCGAGGCACTTAAACTCATCGATGGCAGAGGCCTTGATACTGTTGAGAGGCTGTGTCGAAATTGTAGGAAGAATCCGTGCTGATATCTGTCTGATGGGCGCTATACAACGCCGCAGGAAGAGAGGTCACCTAGATCCGCATCGTACGTTATATCAGTCCAGTTCGCCCGAAGGAAAACTCCCGCTTGAATTGCGATGGCCGTATTACATGTCTGCGGTGACTGAGGCTCTTGCACTGGCCCAACATCGGCAGACCTTGCTCAGGAACTCCTGGCCTAAAGAGCCCGGGACACTGCCTCTATATGGATGGCGGAGTGTTAGAGGGGATAGGCAAGGCTGGTCTGGAGAAACATATTTGAGGGCGTTGTAGCAAGTGGAAGTTGAACTCAGGATTTGTCGACGGCAGCCGATCGCGTTCTGTTAGTGATCGAGACGGATCACTGCCCCGAGGAGCGCTCATTCCATCGCGCGCGTCACAGTAGGCTATGCACCTCTTGCCTTTCCCCACCATGGGCAACAAACTGTCCTACGCCTACCGCCAGCTGCACAAGCCCGCCTCATCTTGGAGACGCATCCGTCTACGGCGCCTACTCACCGCCATCTGCGCGACAGTCTTCGTCGCGATCCCCCTCGCCTTCTACCTCCATCCCAAGACGCGTCACCTCCCCGTGGGCTACCTGCAAAAGTTCACCGGCACTGCCCTCCTCGGCGGTCCCCCAGACTGGTGGGAGCTGGACAAGTGGGAGGATGCGCTACCGCAACACAACTTCTCCCTCCCGCCGCCCGAGGGCTACAACGGGCGCTACGTCCGCTTCACGAACCAGATCGCTTCCCTCGGCTGGAATAACGTCCTCAACGAAATCCTCATGAACGCCCATCTGTCCTACGAATCCAATCGCTCGTACGTTTTCCAGGACTATGTCTGGAAGACGAGCTACTACCCGTGGCCTTACGCTCAGGCACGCGAATGGCCTCCCCACACACCATTGAACGCCCTCATATCCGGCCCCGCCGCTGGCGCACCTTGGCCAGCAGGCGATCCTGCTCCCCGCGCCGTCAATGATCACTACTGGGATCGCGTCTGCCCACCACATCGCAGGCGGAGAATACACACCCAGGACGTCAAGGAGCCCATCCGCTGGGAAAACGGCACGGTCATCTTCGAAACGTGGAAAAAGCTGTTGCTTGACGCACCCGAGCACTGTATCGAGATCATTCCCGCACCCCTCGAGGTTGACGCCGTGCCTCAGACGTTTGACCTCTGGCTCTGGGGCAGCGAGCGCATCCTGTCGTTATGGGACCGCTTCTCGAAGGGACCCGTTTCGCAGCTCCTTCGCACGTCTCCCGTGGTCGAAGGCGGTGTAGCGCGGAACGAGCACCTCTTCCGCGTCGACAACAGCACCGCATATGCGGACCCCTACTCGCGCATGCTCGCCATTCATATCCGCCGCGGCGACTTCAAGCAGGCCTGCCTTGACCTCGCGACATGGAACAGCACGTTCTACTCGTGGAACCTCCTTCCTTTCCTTCCTGATTCCTTTATTCCGCCAGATCCCCAAGGAGCGAAGTGGGGGTGGAACACGGAGGAGAATAAGGCGTACTATCTGCAGCGCTGCCTGCCGAGCTTCGATGCGATTGTCGAGAAAGTGCAGACGTCTCGGCGAGACTACGTGAACGCCGGGCGCGAGCTGGGGCACACAAGGACACTCGACGTGATGTACATCTTGACGAACGACCGAAGTTCGTACGTGGACGACCTCAAGAAGGCGTTGAAGGCCGTGGGGTGGAAAAAGATCGTCACCACGGCGGATCTGGAGTACAATGCGGAGCAGATGGATGTGAACATGGCGATCGACATGGATATTGCGAGAAGAGCAGCGGTCTTCATCGGGAACGGGGTATGTAGAGCTCGCGACCCGTCATATTTGGGCAAGTACTGATCGTTTGCTGCAGTGGTCTTCCTTCACCAGCAATATCGTCCACCGACGACTCGTGGACGGCAAGGAGCCGATCAGCATTCGATTTTACTGAGCTGGTTCTTCAAGTACGATGCCACTAGCGGGCCTGCCGCACACAAACACTCTGTTCGGCCGTTCCCTCGGGTGACCTTGAGCGGGTACGGAGATCATGGGGAGCGCACCTGTCTACCGACTTCTTGTTTGCGCTCGTGCTAGGTTGGCCGCGCACATTTGAGCTGTCCTGCTCACAATTACCCACTTGGTAGATACCGCGTGCCATTCACTAGACCTGCTTTGCTGCTCGTCTCGTCTTGCGCCTCGCTCGTCATCCGCCAGGGATGAAAGGGCCTCCTTGAACCATACCTTCACGAACACTGCCACGGACATTCACGCGCGTCTGGCAATGAATACCTACTGATGTTTCGCAATGGATCTTTGTCGAATACACGTACGCTACGCACGAACTCCTACCTTACTGACTACATACCATAGCACTACTGTTCGTGTATCGTACGCACTGGACTCCTTCAAGACTCGATGTCTGTAACTTGCTTATATATCAACTGGGAGATGGCTGGTCGTCAACACTCACGTCTTTGACGCTTTGGGAGCTGTGTGGCAATGGACCTACGACAGGTGAGAGACAGCATGACCGTTCATCACTGCCAGTCAAGTCCCACTACATTGATGAACTGTGACCGTCACAACACGGAATCTGCCGGGCGCCATGCGACCAAAGCGAACATGGCTGCTCTTTTCTTCCTGTTTCTCCAAAGCAGTTCAAAGCCACATACTAGCTACACGTCTTTCGCATGAGGATCTGGGGCAAGTCACAAGAGCCCCTGAATGTAGCGGTGGTCATTGTCGGTGCGTCTTCAATGGTCGCTTTCGGCAGTTCTACGTTCAACAATGACTGAATGAATCTTAGGTCGTCCGGAGTCGGGCAAGAAGTCACTGGCAAAAGCTTTGGTGCTTTTCCCTTCCCCCCTCGGAAACCAATGATTTGAACACTGACTCCTACACTCCAGGATGGCAGTATCTACCATCGCTCGCATGACAACCAGTCGTTCCTATTCGATGTCGAAATCCACGACGGAAGTTCACCCTCCACCAAGTCCTCAAATCTCCCGTTCATGGCCCTCATTACGCTGGCTTATTCACAGCGGACACGCGACGAGCACTTCGCCGAGCTAATCGGCGTCGCGGCGTCAGTTTCGTCGAGCCACTGCTTCGTGCTCACCAAAGTGGACCTCGTTCCTCCCGGAGCTAATGAGGAGCGCATCAATTGTCTTCGAAAAAGGGCTGCAATAGCATGGTCTTGCGCTTCCGCTGCTTTTTCAGCAAGCTCATTGACACATGAAGGCTTGGATGAGCTCCGTGGCTACATCGGTATGTGGCAATTTCTATGTTGTACGTCGTACTCCGCTCACTGGCCGAAGCTGATCAGTTTTCCCCACCTGTCGAGACCTTCGGCATTCGCAACTTGTGGTCTCTGTGCTGTTCGTATGTGCTGGACTTTGTGGCAACGTGTTGTTCTCTCCCTCTTTCTACAATGAGCAGCAATGTATGGCACTTGTCATGCATCATCGAGAGAAAAGTGCTGACTATGCTCAGGTCGACGAAGAGCTGGCCACCATACATGATGATGATGCCCTCAATCAACTGCGCAAATTGTCGACAGCGAAGCCTTGGAACCAGCACATACAGCGTGTCCTCGGCGCAAGCGAGCCAGGGCTTCTTCCCGTCAAGCAGATCACCGACTCCTTAGTCGTGAAGTGGCCAACGTCCTCTGAGCGAGCATGCTTGGAGTACATCCGGAACCACACCACTATCCCTGTGCCAAGAGTATACCGTCCTGACTTGTCGTCACTCGTCATGGATCTTGTCGAGGGTGAGAACTTGCTCGAGTGCTGGAATAAGCAATCGCGCTTCATGCAGTTCCGCATCGCCTGCACCCTTCGATTATACGTCAAACAACTTCGCTCTCTTACATCTTCGCGACTCGGCGGGCCGGAGAACGGGCGCGTTTCTGGTCTCCTCTTTCGGGACCAGGCTTATGGACCCTTTCGATCCACTCTTCAATTCCGACGATTCTGCGAGTACGTCGTCGCTGTGTCCTGGGATGACCTGGACGCGCGAAAGTGCGCATCTGGCGCTCCTCTGCCACCTATACCCCAGTGCAAGGGAAGTTGGGACCCTGTCTTCGTACATGGGGATCTGAATCCCAGCAATCTGATCCTTGACAAGCGCAATACGCTGTGGATTGTCGACTGGGCGACAGCGGGCTTTTATCCTGCATTCATGGAGTCCCAGACCATGCGGTACTTCAACGAGTATGTGTGGAGAGACGACTTCGACAAGATACCACGATCATGGAGGCAGTATAGAGAGTTTATCGCTGGAAAGACGGATGCGGAAAGTGATAGATTCTGGGATTATTTCGAGTACACAGTCTATCGGTTTGGTGGGGATCCTTACGTATGAGACGACGCACTCAGTATACTCGCCTCTGATTATACATTACCAGTATACACTCGATCGCATTCACTTGGCGAAGGTCTATGGAAATGCGGGTTGTTCAATCCTCCCAAATTTCGCTCAGAGAATAGGAAGGCGGTGACCACATCGCAAGGTTTCTGTCGCCGATAGCGATGCAAATCTAGATCTGTTGATTATGGCTAGCCGTGTGATGACCGATAGAAGTACAGGAAAGAAATGGTATACATTTGTGAAGGAGTTCGTGAAAGAAATTCAATTCAGCATAAAATCAACAGTCCTCGCTGCCTCTTCTATAACGAGAAGGCTGCCCCTGCAAATGCAGAGCTAACATGTTTCGTGCGGGGCGACGATGGTGAAGCTGGGGACTTCGCTCCCGGAGCTACGTCGTGAGATCTCCTTCCTCCGTGTGCGTCGTGCGCTCTTCCCCCGGTATGAGCACCGGTACTGCTATGTGGTGTAGCTACCATCGAAGAGGGTATATGCGCAGGTGGTCGTGGCGTTGTCTCCTGGTTCGCCCGCGCCGCTTCCTGCTGCTGCTGTTGCGCCGCCGCTAATTGTTGCTGTATGCCGATCCCCGAGGATGGTAAGTGCTCGCCCCGATGCTCCGGTCTATGATGCCCTCTATAGTCTCCCGCGTGCTGCTCGCCGCGGTGGTGTTCTCCTGACCTTCGCCCGCTGTGAGACCCTGGGCCTGCCCGCTTCCGATAGTAGATGACCAGCTCCGCCGCCTGTCGCCACACATACTGCCGCACTTGCGCCAAAGTCATGTCCAACGGGAGGACCACATTGTTGCAAAGGACTTCGTATGTCTCTTCCGCACGCTCGACGGGGTGCGCACCAGCGCCCACACCGGCTCCGCCGCCCAGGCCAGCACCGCCCATGCCGGTACCGCCTGCGCTTGCGAGAGACGATATTGACCCGCCTCGTGAGCCGCCACGGATCTTCTCAAGCTTGTCCTGAACCTGTTTTTCCGCACGTCAGTGTGTTTCATACGTGAAAAGCAACAGCTACTTACATGCACGACCAGTTTCCTGACCCTTAAATACCGGCTCGCCGTCAACTTGCTTTGCGCGCTGTGAAAGAGGGAATAGACGTCAGCGACCTCGAAATGTTCGGAAGACGGCGTCCCACGCACGTATTCAACAAATCAGGCAGCTTCTCCCCGTCCTTATCCGGCCACGGCAGCAAAACGAAGCTCAGCTTCACCGGCGGCGGTATAGGTGCGCGATTCATCAACAAGTACTCCAGCAGCCACATAGGTGCCACAGCTTCGAGCGCACGTACATCTGGGCGGCCTACCAATGCACGGTACACGACCTTGTACCCGCCAGCAGCAGGACCGGTGTCCGACTCTTCCGTGATGAGTACACAGACGTCGTGAGGGAGGCTATATCGAGGCGCCTCCGCTGACGACGGCGGGGTGAACTGAGAGGCGAGCAACGCTTGTCGAGGGGTGGAAGGTGTTTCAGTAGGTGGCACGGCAACTGGCTGAGCGTGGTCGTGTCGCTCCTACCAACCTTTAGCATCATTCGCACATCGAAAAAAGTCCCGCCCACGTACCTCCGCCGTCTCCAGCGGCGCTGGCGAAGTTAGGTCGTTGGCCTTCTTATTCGTTTTCCCCAAGTTCTTGAGCCGACCCATCAATCCGCTGGGAGTAGTCGGTGTATCCGGTACCCGTCCATTTTCAATCGGACGCGGCGTCTCATCCGGCGTCACCGGCGCAGCCCCCACCGCTGTTGATGGCCGGCGCCCCCTCACCGAGAAGTAATCGTGCTCCCGACCTGGAGAGATCACCTCGGCCGAGGTAACTGCCCGTAGATGTCGCTCTGGCACAGGCGTCGCCTCGCCAGACTGCGTTGCAGCAAGTGCAGCAAGCGGGATCATTGGGGTTATCAGGGGTGAAGAGCGTGCAGCCAATGGCGATAGCGCAGGCGGGAGCACGGGCACGATGTGTGGTGCGACGGTCACTAGGCCCGCTGGCCATCGTGACGGACCAGGCGGATGTGATGTGCTTGTCGGAGACCCAGGGCTCGTTGGACTCCCTGGTTCGTGCCGCCGTGCGCGCTGTTGACGTGACTCTTCGTGGATGAACTCGTAGAAGAGGTTGCGAAGCACCCAACGGCCCAGGTTAACTGAATGGTGAATTCAATATCGCGACGACCGACTGAAGTGCGCTTACTCACATCGCCCGTCATCTCCCCACCTCCTATCGCCTTGATATCCGACCTGGTCTGCGTAAACCTCCGCTTCGAAGCAGCGGTCGGTCACCTGCATAGTCAATCAATTTTGTGGCACGAATGCGGAACTTCGAACTCACATGTACGGCCAACACGCCCACCTTCGTCTCCACCGAACACCATTGCGGAACCGCCGCCTCTCCCTCCACTCGACTTCGCACGGCGTCCAGCAACTCTCTCGGCGACCTCCTCGGTTCATCCAGTGGAGCCTTATGCTCGTGCTCGCTGTTCCTCCTCTGCGGCCCAGAGGCACTATTCGCCCCCTTCTCTTCGCTCCTCATCGCCTTCACAATATCTTCCCTCAACCACCTGCCCAAGCACTGACAGCGCAAGATATCCCAGACCGCGACCTCCTCTTCCGTGTCGACAGTCAGCACATGCGTACGGTCGTTCAGAATCACTGAGCGAACCTAATCAGCCTTCATTAGCTTCCTATATTCTTCTGCGCTTCACACACATGTGCTCACCAGCCCCTTCGTGCCCTCGATCAGATCCAGCGGCTCCGCGTTCAAAGGTATTGCATCCGCCGCTAACTCTCTCGCCTCATACTCTGTCCGCGCCGTATCCTGCCTCACTAGATGATGCGGCTGGTGGCTCGACGGTTGGGAGTGCCTTCGCCCCATAGTCGAGTCCGGGCTGGGCAAGTGACTGGGCAGATTCAGCTTCATCTACATACCTTACGCCAGCAAATCGAGTCTACTTACCTCCTCCTATGTGGGAAATATGCGCTCCCTGGGCTACGAGCCGCACGCGGGACGCTCAAGATGCTCGCCGCCGAATACAGCGTCGCCACCTCCGGATCCGCATTCTTCATACTCGCGTACGGCGTGAACGGGTCGTTGGGCGACGTCAGGCGCACTAGCGAGTCGAACGGAATACCATATAGGGTACTCATGCCATCGCTGGCGTGCGCCTTCTCATCGCCCGTATGCGGCTTGCCGTCCTTGCTTCGGTTGTCATACGGCTCGGCAAATGATACCGTCGAGTGGTCCGCCGACAAAGACAGGTTCAGCGAGGCCGTATCCTGTGCCTTCTGCCAGTCGGGGCTAGAGCTGCGATGCGTCTCTTCGCCGCCGCGAGAGGCTTCGCAGTTCGCTTCCTCTGCGGCAAAGATGGCTCGTGCGCGCTCCGCTCGTCTCGGTGGCACGTTCCAGCGCTTAATGCTCGCCGAGCCGGTTGCGGTCCACAGGTAGGTATCGTCGGCAGCCACGATGCGGTTGATGCCCTCGGACTTGGTGGGTGGCTACGACCAGTTAACACTCACAAATCTTTTGTACGATCCAGTAGTGAACTTACTGAGGTAGTGCTAGATCGCTGCAAGAGGAAGCACGAGCATGAGCAGCGAACAGATGTAAATTCGGCAAAGGAGAAACCAACCGAATGTCGCGCGTCATCGCATAAAACGATACACTCGCCCTCAGATATATCCGCGCAGTCCTCGACGTCGACCTTGCAGACTAAGCCAGCGCGGTCGCCGGAGTAGAAGATCTGTGCGAGTTGTCATCATGGGCACATCATAGTAGAACAGATCGAAACGGACCTCAAGCGACCTATGTTCGCTCCATAAGCTCCAGACGCTCTCGGCATGGTGCGTGAAAGTGTGTAAACAGCGCTGACTGCGTAATGACCATAGCTTGACGGAAGCTGAAAGAGAGCGGAAGACACATTAGTATGAACCAGGGAAAGCCGTCAGTGGGTTCACCATCCGCGGACCCAGTAAGTAACTGCGAAAGAGATGTGAGGACAAGCGATATTGGGCGCTTACATGGGCACTCACATAATTCGAATCCTCGCTTATGAGGATGGAGCGAATGTTGTCGGTATGTCCAACGAGTTTGCCGGTCCGCTTGCCGCTACGCGGGTCCCAAAGACGAACTACTCGCTCTGGGCTCCCACTTGCAATCGTGTGACCGAATGGGTCCGCCGCAAGCGCGTAGACAGAGGATTTGGGAGAGGACGACGACGGCGCTTTAACAGCGTTGTTGCCGATCTTGGGTGAGAGGGGGTCTGTAGCGATAGTCAGTCGACTAGACGCATATATGCAGTTCCGTGACGCACCAGAGGTAGAATGCGACGACAATGTCATGAGCGGGGTCGGCTCGCTCGACGGCGGGGCGCCCAGGTCCCATATCTTGATCGTCCTATCGAACGACCCCGAAGCAACCCAGTTTTGTGTCCGGCACTGCGTCAAGCATCGCACATAGTCCGCGTGTGCGCCAATCCGCACGGGGTCGGACAACGAATGCGGGTTCCACGCCTTCACTGAGCCGTCCGAGGACGCCGACACGACAGTCTGGTTCTGGTTGCAGAGCAGGATATCATTCACCCAGTCGCGGTGCATCTGTGCGCTCTGCCGGAACTGGCTGCGGGGCGGCTGGGCGGGTGAGCATGGTGGCGCACACGAGATCGCGCGCCACACACCTTATTCGAGCTCGCGGACGCCAGCGCTGCTCTATCAACCTCCCACCGTGGCGCGGGTGCGGTGATGGTGTTCGCGCGCCGCCGGGAGATGGTAACATCGCCAAGGATATCGCCGTCACTCGTCGGACGGTCCTCCCCCTCCTGCTCCTCGTCGATCGCGTCGTCCGCCCAGCCGGTCATGATCTCCCAGCGCGCGAGTCCTCGAGTCGATCCACCAAGCTGAGATACCCGTCTGTGTCTCCGCATAGGCAGTCCGAGATCCCAGGCAATGACGAGTCCGTCCTTCCCGCCGGAGTACAGGATGCCCTCCGGTGCTGCGCGATTCTGCAGCTGCGTCGTCGTGTCTAGCGCCAGACATGTTACTCCGAGGCGATGTTGAGGTAGAGAAGATGAGGACGAGGGCGGGGTCGGTGGGGGCTGATCTCGAGCAGGGTGCAGTAAAGGGCCAGCTTGTCCCAAGCGCGGAGCATTCGCAGGAGGGAGTACGAGGCGGGGGGCCGGTTCAGCAGGCGGCGGGATCACATAGGTTACGCGTCGGCGGGGCTCCGTCATCACCAACGATAGCAAGGAGCGTGCTCGCCACGACCGCCGGCGTTCTTCACAACCTCACTCAGCGCCCCGACATCCCCCAATATCACACCCCGCCAGGCACCGGTCCGTCACTGCGTGATCTCGCGTGCAATCCGTGACTTCATTGCTGAACTTCAAGTTCATGTTTTCAAGTCTTTCTTTGACTCTCTGGACGATCCCATATCAGCCCATGTCCCCCATCTTCGCTCTCGTAGCACATTTTGAAGATAGCAGAGGAGAGGTCTACGGCTCAGCCACGCTGACCACGGGTGACCTCGCCAATCACTCGCCTTCTACAAATTCGAACGTAAATCCATCCATGCGTCCTTCGCCAAGTATCCGCATAAAAACATAGTGACCGAGTCCCAATCATTGCCCACTACATCAGTATACGACTAAACAGACACGGTAACAAAACGCATGGAAGGGAACGAGAAAACCAAAATATCATCAGCACAAAAAGAAAAAGGAATAATATAGAGCAAAAGGTATAGCGTGACACACGATGCGGCGAGGGCGGCGGGCGAGCTGCAGCGAACGTGGGCGCCACCGTAGAACAGCGTCCGTACCAGTCAGAGCAGACAGACGCACGCACACGCCATCTCAGGTCAGGTCAGGTAAGTAGGACCGTCGGCCACGCCTTGCCAGAAGCCGAGGCCCAGTCCAACGGCGGTGGTAAACGAGCGCACGTATGAATCCCAAGACACGATGCCGATCCCACCCAGATAGCCGCCGCCGCCCTCGTCGAACCATCCATCGCAGCCCTTGCAATGCTCTATCACATCCGACCAACATCCAGCCAAATCCGCGCCGCACGACGGTGTATCTCACCAGGTGCATATCAGTAATCGTACACCGGTGCGGGATCACCAGTTCATGCTCGACTCCCGCAGGATGGGCGCAGAGATCGCCGCAGGCGCGATCCTCCGCTGTGTCATCCCCTGGCTCGGGCTCGTCCGCGCATTGTACTGGTCTTCCTCGGGGTGTTCGCCCTGGAAGCCCCGCAGCGAGTCCTCCGCGTAGTAGAAGCTGCGTCTCCGCTGGCCACCGACGCTGTCCTGGTCGAAGTCGCGGTCAGGCGGACGCGCGCCAGCGACCTCCGTCGGCTCAGAGAGACGACGGTGGGCGAGCTCCCTACGCCGTACGATGCTGCGGTAGACAAGGAAGGCGAGCACGAGAAGGGCGACACCACCAAGCGCGCTGACAACACCGATGATGGCATCCTCGCGCGTCTTGCTCGCACCGCTCTCCGAGGACGCACTGCCGTCGTTCGAGCCCGAAGATGAACCACCCGAGGCCGAGCCACCACCGTTCGGGTCCGAGATGGAGAGGACAGAGAAGCCACTCTCGACCTTGTTGGCAAGGGACTCGAGCGTCGGGTCACCGGTGCCCGTGTAGAACGAGCTGGAGGTGTCCTTGATGAGCGAGGCCAGCGTGCTGACCTTGTCCTGCGGGATGTACGCGAGGAATGTGGTCCCGAGCTTCTGCACGTCGCCAGTCGAAGTGTATGCATCCGTGACATACACTTGCAGCGCAAACGTGATCATGTCGTCCGCTGTTGTCCAATTAGCGAGCAACCCTATCCTCAACGAGATTCGCACTCACAGGTGATACCCAGGCTGGTTTGAATGATAATCGGCATGTACGCAAAGATTTGCGACGCCGACACATCGCTCGTAGACACGAAGTCCCAGTTCAGCGACCCAATGTTGAACAGCAGACTGATCAGCGTCTTATCCGACGTCTGCGAGTCGCTGTCGAGGCCGTTCGCCGGGTAGATGCGCCGCGGCAGCGAGCTCGGCAGCGCGGACACCGACAGCGTCGTCGACGGCTGGATCGTGTTCGGATCGAATGTCGAAGTCGGTGCGTCCGGATCCGTGTTCGTCGTCGTCGGCGTGTCCGAGGTCGACGTCGACTCCGGCGCGAAGGCGAGGGACTCGCTGGTGATCCACGAGTACTGCGAGTTGACCGAGAAGGACGCAGTAGTGGTGGACACGGCGACGGTCGTCGCGGTGGTCGTGCTCCACAGCGTAGAGGTGCCGCTGCTGCTGTTGGCCGGTCCCGACGGGAAGCTGACCACGGCGCTGCTCGTCGCGTTGGCGCTCCCGGAAGCGGTTTCCGTCGCATTGGCAGAAGCGGTCACGTTCACGGAAGCCGACGCAGTGATACTACCCGACACGCCCGAGGATGTAGCCGTCGCGGACTCGGTAATGGTGCTCGAGTTCCACGGTGCGGACGATGAGTCCCAGGGAAGCGACGATGATGCATTACCCGGGAAATCGGAAGACGTGGCAGATGCCGAGAAGCTGGTGAAGCTGGATGAAGCAGGGAAGCTGCTTGAATTGTCCGAGGCCGTTATAGACGGAATGGCCGACGAATCGGTGATCGAAGGAAGCGCAGACGAATCCGAGAATCCGCTCGAGGCTGGGAACGACGAAGACGGCGTCGCCGTGTCCGTGAGGCTGCTCCACCAGCTGGACAGAGGGTTGCCATCGCTTGACGAGGATGCAGCGCCCGAAGACGGGGCACTGTCCGAAGGTGATGCGGTGGTCACGCTGTCGCTGGCGGCCGAGCTCGCAGGCACGCTGGATTCAGACGCCGTGGGTGGTACGGTCGAGCTCGCGCTGCCACTCGCACTGCCGCTTGAAACGGCGCTGGTAGCCGCAACCGATGTTCCTGAAGAGCTTGTAACGGCGCCCGAAGACGCGGAGCCGCTCGCCGAAGTCGCAGGTGCGGACGAGCTAGTCGTTCCCGCAAGGCCGCAGGACAGACCACCCAGAAGGCCAGCGCAGCTGCTGGATTCAGCCTGCGAGCTCACGGACGAAGAACCCGCGCTAGCTGATGATGTGACAGTACCCGTGACAGATGCTGAGGTGGTAGCTGCGGACGTGCTGGCGGCGGCGGTGGACGCCGTGCCTGACGAGGCTGCGCTAGCGGAGGATGAGGCCGTCGTGGAGGGGACAGAGCTGGTTGTTGCGGATGCGCTGCTGCTGCTGCTGCTCGTGCCGGTGAGCCAGCCCAAGTCGAACGGATCGCTGGACGAGGAAGACGCAGCACTTGAGGTGGTCGTCCCCGATGTTTCGGTAGAGGAAGAGGACGTCCCCGAGCTTGACGAAGAGGCGCCAGAAGAAGTGGAAGATGAGGAAGAGGAAGAGCCGGACGAAGTCCCACTGGCAGAGCTCGAACCGCTAGCCGCTGTTGACGTGCAAGGAGATTGTGCGGGGATAGAGAGAAGGGGGGAGTATTCGTCAGTAGTCAGTCGCCACTTGTGAAGAAGTACACGCACACGTCGAAGCACCGGGCTCCGCCGACGAGCTGTCGCCCAGTCCGAGGATGTCCAGGATGCCTTGGCCACTATTAGCCGTCTGCAAATTGCGCACCGATCAGCACGCACCGTCACGTCGGTATACGGTCTCTATCGCATCCCTCCGGCCAACGCGCTTGACCATGCCCCGCTTGTGGTCAAATGGTGTCGGGACATGGGCGTCAGCAAGCTGGACGGAGTATGCGATGAGAGCGAGGAGCGTGATAAAGGATTGAACGAGCATGTCAAGTCTTCAGAGTGTATGTGTTGGAGGGGGGAACGGATTCGGGTCCGTGTTATTGTGTTGTCGGTGGTGGGTGTTGCTGTCGAGCGTGGGCGAAAGGAACGTGGGGCGCTGGGTAGCGGCTAGGTATTTCGGCGCGGGTGCCGATGGGGGCGATTGCTCGTCGGCGTCGCGGAGGCAGGATGACCACCGGAGGGGCGCAGCAACGACGGCAAGGCCGCAGGTTATAGAGGACAAGTCTAGCGACAGCGAAGAGGAAAAGAAGCAAAACAGGGACAACGGCCTGTTTGATCTTGTTTGCTGATGGCCCTGCCGTCGTGACGGGGCGTGAACGCGGGCTTCTTCTTGTGATGCGCACAAGGCAGATGCGGACGATGCTGAAGAGGTGTAGCGCCGCTGAGCTCGCAGGGCGGACACGGTGTCTTCAAACCAAGGACGAACAACCTAGACCCGCAGCAGCTCCTGCTCCTCAGCCTTGCCTGGGTTGTTGCCATGGGACCTTCAGTTTACCCAACTCGCTCGCATGCCCTCGCCCTCAATTTCACCGACCCGATCAATCCCCGCAGCCGCACAGCGTGGCCGCCTCAGCTCGCCTTCAAGCCCCCCTTGTGCCCGTTGATAGCGCTATAGCGGGGGCGTTGCCTTTCCCGATGGGTCCAAGGTGGCCACCATGGCCGCGGCGCACCCTCACTAGCCCTACCACACGTCACATCCGCAATGGAACTGAACTTCGCTTGATTCTCGCACCCGGGCATTCACTCAAAACTGGAAACTATCCTGACCATATGAAGGCATGGTTGCATTTATAGATGCATGGGCATACAGCATAGACGACGACAATGAGTGATGACAGCACAAGCAAGAGACCCGATCAACGTATGCCATCTCGCGAAGTTCAAGGCTTATATGAAGCCGATCTATCGTTATCGTTAGTACTGCATCGCGTACATCACCAGCACAGACCCTCACCTTGTTCGCAACGTCGAGCGCGTCGTGGTCCGCCGTCAAGCGAACGTACGCCTTCTTCTTGCCATCAGGACTGCACAAGAGTAAGCAGGACGTCCGGCTAGCACAAAATGGGGACGACGCGAGGAAACATGATCGACACGAGATATCGCCGTCGCCAGGGTCCCTCGACTAACGGAAAAGGGATGAAGGACAAAGGTAAAATCAACACGTACCGGATGAGCGTGTTCACCCGCGCAGCCTGGACGTCGTACAGCTTCTTCACCGCGTCCTTGATCTGGCGCTTGTTCGCCTTCAAGTCCACGATGAACACAAGCGTGTTGTGCTCCTCGATCTTCTTCATCGCCGACTCGGTGTTCAAGGGGCTGTGGGGGACTTGCGTCAGCTTTCCTACTCTTGTATTGTCAACCTTGCAGACGCTAACTCACCTGACAATCGTCCTGAACTGGTCCATCCGCGGCGCATGGGGAACGCTCTTCCGCGGGTACTTCGGCTCGCGCGGCAGGCGCAGCGTCTTCGGCCGGTGGAAGGACACCGAGAAGCGCGGCTTGCGCGAGGAGTGCGAGTGCACGCCCTGCAGCGCCGCCTTCTTCGCCAGCTTGGCCTTCGTGTCTTTTGCTGAGGTATATATTAGTATGCGGTGCAGGGACAGAGCCATGAGCGATGCAAGCGCGGCGAATGCAGGGGAAGATATGAGTGGGAGGGGTGGGAGGACATGCGAATGCCGTGATCGGGGGGTTGTAGAGGGTGGAAGAGGCATGGTAGGAGCGCATCGCTCGCGTCGCGCAGCTTCGGATACGCACTCTTGGGGGCCGCCGCCTTGGCTGATTTTGCTGGTGCCATTGCTGGAAAGTCTATGCGTCAAAAGTCAGCGATCGATCCTCCCAGATAATCCGTCCTGTCCTGCTGCACAACGTCTGGCACAAAGAGGGATGTAGCGGAGTGCGTATGGAGTCCACCACGAATGTGCTTGGTCGAAGGTGCAGGCGTGTCGAGCAGGTGGATGAATCCCACCGATATAGCAGGTCCCTCCAAACCCGTCATCCATACCCTCCCACCCAAATCCACCCCTTCTACCGCTTCTAACCGCACCAAATCCACCCAGCGCACTCCCTACGTCCCTCCAGACGTTCCCCGAGCAGCAGGACGGCCAGGAAGTCGGGCATGGGCTCACCTTGAGGGTCGGCGGACGCTGTCTGTTGATCGAGCACAAATCTCCACGGACGACGTGACGGGGGTGTGACGAGTGCGTGATGTGACGGGAGCCGTGTCATTGGCCATGTGCGGGGTGGACTTAGCCGTGGGTGGATGGCGCTTCTATGGTCTTTCATATGTACCCCCTCTGAGTAGGTACATGCCAAAACTCAGAGTAGAGACTTAGCTACTACAGATTTGCCTCTTTCAAAGGCCCTTCAAGCCACCTGTTTGGATCTGTACTCCGGCTTGCGGCAGCGCATAGAAATACCGAAGACGTTGGTAGCAATAGCTGGCAGCTGGATTATGGCACTGCGTTGCATATGGCCTTCTCAAAAGCGAGCGCTTGCGGCTACCCGTCTTGTATGAGAGCCATGCGTGTTTGCTATATTCGCAAGGGGAACAACGACTCAGGTGCGACGCCAGTGCTGTCGTTGACCTCAGCTGTCACGCAGGCAAGTCCGAGTCGTGCCAGCGACAGCGAGACTCGGTTATCGCTCGGGCGATTGCGTATTCCGTAGCGTAGTGAATGCGGCTAAAGCTTGCTCAGGTCGCTTTCTCGAAATCTTCGCTCAGGAGGGTAAGTTACCATATCATAAGTCTTAAATTCAATGACTGCGCTACACTTCGACGACATTACAACAGACATGGATTCGTAAAGTACATGAGTTGGAGGAGGAGAAAATTCGTTAAGCATACACAATAGGATAGAAGAAAGTACATAGAATCAAACATGGCGAAAAATATCCGGCTCGCCGAAGGTAATGCCCATCTGGAGCCCCTTTTCGCGTATTTCATCGTCGACCTCTTCCACGACTTCGACGTGCAGAGGACCAGTAACCCCCTGCCAATGATGGCGCTGCCACAGCGTCTCCAAGAGCAGGTCGACTTCCAAACCTTTCTTGCCGGTGAGTCGCAAGCAGAGGCGGCGCAGACTGGCCAAGCAGTGAGAGGACGGGTCCATCAAGCCCTCGAAGATTTGGTCCTGGACGTTAGACGTGGACTCTATCTCCAACGAGACGAGGCGGGAAGCTTCCTCGGAGAAGAGGTACGCTCGGAGGGCCAGCTTGTCGCCAAAGGGAAGGCAGAGGCTGAGGTGCGTAAGCGCATCAGCTTGCTTGAGAAAGACGTATAGATTAGGCTCCGATGATTTCTGCCGTGACCCCTGAAGAGCAATCCTCGCACTGACGAGGCCCGGTGCGTCCGTAACACCAAGCACCCGATAGAGTTGCGATAGCGTCTCTGGCTCGATCTCCTGGCCATTGACGACGAAACTGACGAGGCCGTGGGCGTTCACATAAGGGGGAATCTCCTTCAGCAAGGCATTTGTAAGGCTGTATGCCACCTCGACACCAAACCTGGATATGCCCCTCTCTCTGAAGCGCTTGAACTCCTTGAGAAGCGTACCCGTATTGGCCAGTGTCAATCGGCGGTTCGTGTAAGACGATGGGAAAAGCGGTGCGAGGCTTCCGATCGGGGTTGCTGGACAAACTGGCAAAACATTAGCGACGACGATACGGATGATCCCTGGACATGATACGTACCCGACTGACTAACCGGAATTATGCTGGCAGCACCCAGATCGTACACCCGCTTCTGCGCCTTCGTGGGTCCAGGATTGCGGCCAATTTGCCTGAGCCATGCCGATGAGCATAAGAATGACTTTCGTGAGGATATATTTACTGACCCCTGGGATATCGTATAGTCGATCTTGGTCGGCTTCTTCAAGGTCTTCTTGTAGTTGCGTCCCATTCTGAATGCGGTCTTGCGATGGTATTGGGGTATGTAGGCTTTGGCTTGCGTTACTGTAGTAGACCATCGTGATACTCTTTTATATGTTAGCTATAAGCGCCGCCGGACGACATAAACACTGTAGCCTCATGGCCCAGAATAACTGCCCGCCGTGCAGGAAGGTCATAAAGGACAAATTATTCCGCTTTGACCTAGTAGGTCGATACCTGAGGTACCTGAGGTGACTCGATTGGTGCACACCTTTGAGACGTCGTGGCAGTGTGGGCGCTTGTGAACTGGCATGCCTTCAACGAGTGCTATCACATGGAGAGGCAGTACACGAAGTAGTGATTGTGGCAACGCTAGCAGGCAGAAGCCAGGTCAAATCACGCCTTGGCCTCGTGTCCTCGACCCCTTTTGGGTAGCTTGAGGATGCTGCCAGGGGCTGTGTTCAGGCCTGCCGGAGCGTGATTGTGTTTCGAAGCCCGGCCAGTAGACGACGCCGACTCGTCCAGAGGAACAAAGACCAGGAGAAGGTGTAGTGCACAGCCGAAGCTCCGGGTAGGATACATGCGGGTCACAAATCCAAACAATCTGACCCAACCTGCCAAATGGGTTACGCTGATGGGCGGGCCGCCCAGCCGCATCTGATATAAAAAGGACGACCTGCGCTTTCGTTTGACCATGGACCATCGGACACCTACCCAACTGACTACCTGGATAACGTTGGATGGACCTCCTCCAGGCAAATGCGCTTGATCATCCGTTTCGTACGGGTGGTTGAGCGTGTCTGCTAGGCTCGATAGGGGCTGTCAAGTGCGCGACGCGTTAATGGTAGATGGGTCGCTACTGCTGTCGTTGCCGAGGCTGTTCGATAAGCAGTCAGCGCCAACGACAGCGGGACCTTGCCCGGGCCCTCGAGCGTAGCGTGTTAATTCACACACCTTGATGGGTGGGTGGTGTCCACAGCGAGAGAGCGCGGGGCGTCGTTGAGATCGTCGGCTACCTTCACCACGGTGAGGGTGGCCAGACGGTGGAGATGTCACACGCTCGCTCGCTGCCACCATCGTGCACGTCCGTTGATACCTCTCGCAGCAAAGCGAGCGGAGGAGGCGGTGTGCGATATGTGGCGTGGCCATTGTGCCCGGTACAGTATACGTAGCCATTCGAAGCACATCCTAGTAGTTGTCTGTCGACGACATTCAATGAACGAATCCCTGCCTCTGCGGTTATACTATACTTGCCGGCAATTTTTGGAAACTTTCCATGCCCTCGACGGGGCCGTCGATGCTTCGCATCGTCTTACTGACTTCCTATATAGGCCCACACATCGTTCTCTCGGACGCGGAGAACGCCGTCGGGTCGCAACGCCAACTGGCTGCCATGCCTAGTTGCCGGATGTTACTCCCCCTCGAGCAAGGCTTGCGGCATATCGCTTCATGCGGATAGTCAGCGGTCTTGTGGCGTTTGGTGTTGTGCACGGTCGACGTCCTTGCCGCGGCAAAGCTGGTAGATGGGTCGCACCAGTTGTTGCTGCTGAGGCTGCCGGCTAGGCAGTTTCCCCAGTGATGGCGAGACCCATCAGCGCTCGGGGCCCATTGTGCGTCTGCCACGCTTGCTCTTTAGCTCGCGAACACCACAATGGGCTGGCTTGCGATCGCGGGCGGACGCGCGGCGCCGTCGAGGCTGCCTGCTATCTTCTCCAAAGTAGTTGGCTAGCGGAGGCGTTGCGTGGACGCTCGCTGCCACGGTCGTGCGGTGTCGTCCTTGCTTTCGGGCGGACGGCGGCACCGCGCGATTCGTAGCGTCGACGGGGTGCGGCGTACTCCTCGCACCTTGTCGTCATCGACCGCGGTCTTGGGGACGCGTTCGCGCCTTCTGCGACGCGTTCAGCGCTTGCGCATGGACTCTTCGGACACACGCCCAACCGGCTACCTGGATAACGTTGGATGGACCCCCTCAAGGCAGATGCGCACGATCATCCGTAACTGGTCGGGCGTGTATGCTATGATCGAAAGGGAGCTGTCAGCCGCGCGACGCGTTAATGGTAGATGGGTCACCTCTGCCGTCGTTGCCGACGCTGTCGGGTAGGCAGCGGGCGCCAACGACGGCGAGACCCTGCCCGGGCCCTCGAGCGTAGCGTGTTAACTCACACACCTCGATCGGTGGGCGTGTGTCCAACCCGGGTAGCTGAGCGTCTTCGCGGGCGTTCGGCGAACGGGAAAGGTCTAAGTGGTTTGGCTTGCCCTTGGTGACGTTGATGACCATTTCAGTTGTTTCGTCGGGTCCTTTGTGACCTTCGTCTTCGGACATCCCGCCCAACTGGCTACCAGGATAACGTCGGATATGGCCTCCTCTTGGCGGGCGCGTGCGGCTGTCGGTCTTGTACGGCGATCGTCCATTTCGCATGGCGGTCGTCCGTCTCGCAGGGCAGTCGTGTGCGCCTGCTAGGTTTGAAAGGGGTTCTGCCAGCTGTGCAACGCGATAATGGTAGATGGGCTGCCGCTGCCGCCGTTGCCTTGATCGCTGGGTAGGCGGTTAGGCCAACGACGGCGAGCCCCGTCATCGTTCGGGCTCTCGAGCGTCGCGTGTCATCACACACCTCGATGGGTGGGCGGGTGTCCATAGGGCGGGCGCGCGGCGTCGATGAGGTTGCTCTACCGTCTTGCCTGCGGTGGGAGCGATTCTCATTGCGGCGGCAGTGGCAGGGCGGCGGAGGCGTTGCGTGCTCGCTCGCAGCCGAGGTCGTACGCTACCGATGATGCTTTCCGAGGCAGAGGTGGCATACGGTTCGTGGCGTCGAAAGACGGACAGTTTTTGGGACCCATACATGCCATCGTGCACGTGCGACTCTTTCTTTCGATCTTCCAATGTATCTGTTTTCATGTGAGAAACTTGGCTAGGCCATAGATTGCTTGCCAACGTACCTATGTAGCTTACAGCTCGCGTTCATCGTACATACACCATACTCTCACCAACGTACAACCTACAACACCGATTTCCACGGCCTCACCTTCGCCGCATCGCCCAACGTATCGCACAACCTCCTCACGACGCCCCTTTCCTGCTCGCTGAGGAACAACAGCACCATGTTGATGCGCGAGACCTTGCTCAAGCCGTTGAGATACGACAGGACTTTCGGTGCCGTATCTGGGTTGTTGGGTAGTACGTCCAAGAAGGTCTGCAGCATCGATAGCAAGATAGGCGGCTCGAGATTAGACTGGAAGAGAGCGGGTAAGGTGGATGGGTCGACGTATTTCTGCAACAGGCATCGTTAGTAAACAGATGCTCGCGCCTGAAGTGCGCATAGTCACGACGCACAGTCAGATACGTCCACCTCTGCTCTGCGTTTCCTGCAAACTGCATCGCGCGCGTGAAGTCGTGCAGCGACTTTGGAGGGGCGGCGAGATACGCGTTTGTCGCCACGCTAGGTGCTGGTGCCGGAGTAGGAGGCGCCTCATCCTCCTCGGGCAGAGGGAACCTCGTCTTGGGCGTGATTCGCGAGTGGTTTCCGTCTACGCGATACAGCCCGCCACCGACCTTGCTCTGCTTCGACGCGTCCCGACTTTGTTTTGCATCTTGGAACGACGAAGAGGCCTTGCTTGCGGACGAAGACGCATTGCCTGCTGACGAGGACGTTCCTAGCGCATCGCTCGCAGCCGGCTTCGCGGAACGCGGCGGCCCGTCGTCCACCACCTCGATCAGCACTCTTCTCCTCGGGGGCTTTCCTGCGGACTGTGAAGGTGTCAATCGAGAGATAATCCGTCATCATGGAGACACGTACATGCGCCGCCTCTTTCGTGACCTTCTCGATCTTCGCCAGCTCTTGCTTGACTGCGTCGTTGTTAGGTTCCCTCTTTAGCGCAGCTTTGAGGTCTGCAGAACCCCGTCAGTCAAATAGATGCCGGATCAGCACCCATCGCACCTTGTATCGCTTCCTCAAGCTTCCCAATCCCCTGCCTGGCTTGCCCCCTTCGGAACAGCGCCTTCACATTCTGAGGGTCGATCGACAGCGTCGAAGTACAGTCCCTCTCTGCATCTTCTAGTCTGATAAAGTGGGTCAGTGACGCACACAGAGGCTTTGTTAGTGTGAACGTACTTGCCTAGCTTGAGATATGCAGCCGCGCGGTTCAGGAAGAAAGTCGGATCGTGCTTGTCTGCAAGTATAGCCTCGGTGTAATGGCCCACCGCCGCGACATAGTCGCCTGATTTGAATGCCGTATTCCCCTTCTCCTTCGCTGCTTGCGCCTTCGATGCCATGTCCGAGATCTTGAGCTCTTCGCGTCGATCTGAACGCGCTCTGGGATGGTGATGGAAAGTGGGAAAAAGAGCTGACCACGTGCTATCGCGCATCACGCGCGCCGGACGCGCCTTTGTTCCCGCAACCATCAAGGCACGCTCATTATGGACGGCCCGTCCGCTCTTTCCTCGATGCTCACCTGTACACCGTCCGCACGCCTCTTTCCATGAGGACCGCGTGGTTCCTCGGCCTCAGTAACCATATCCCAGGCTCAACAATGGTCTTGTGGCCTTCCCGACTTTGTCATAGATGTATGTTGAGAAATCGATGTCCGGTCTCCCGCCCCAGGGCCGAGTCCATAACTTTGGCACAAGCACTTCCTCCCATCTTCCTGACGACCAGTGACAACGAGACCGCGCCGCTCGTCTAATTCTCGGAATGAGCGGGGTACAAAAGCCCGCGCCGCAGAGCACGAAGCCCGGCCCTGCTCCTCCTTCCTGTACTCGTCCCTCCCAGTACTTACCTCTACACCTCCGGCGTCGCTCGTTTTGCTGGCAAAATGCTGTCTTCGCTTGTCTCCCTGTTTTCTATTGCTGTAGCGGTCACCTCCGCCGCGTATGTCGGCCCGGGCGTTGTAACGGGCGACACCGCCGTGCACGACCCGACGATGTGCAAGGACTCGAGCGGGACGTACTTTGTCTTCTGTATGTGTGCGCCGTACTTTCATCGGTGCACTAGACTGAGCCAAACCAAGCTACCGCGCCGGGCATTCAGATCATCACGTCGACGGACAGGACGGCGTGGACCAGCGCTGGACTCGTCTTCCCTGACGGAAGCGCTACCTGGACTGATGAGTACACCGGGGAATCGAACGGGTGCGTGCAAGTATCTTCGTGTGGGGCAATTCATCTCACTATACTTTCAGCAACCTTTGGGCGCCTGAGTGCTACTATGATGGGTCGCAGTTCTACCTGTATTACGCTGCCTCGAGCTTCGGCTCGCAGAAGGTATCATCAACTCATTTTCAAAAAAAAAAAACTCGAATCTCACATTTCATTTAGTCCGCGATCTTCCTCGCGACCTCGTCAACTGGAAAGTCCGGCGATTGGGTCGATCACGGCGAGGTCATCGCGAGCAACAGCGGCGACCCTTACAACGTGAGCAGTCAATCTCCTCTCTCCTTCGTTCTCGACTAACATGCGACTCTCTTAGGCTATCGACCCTAAGTACGTCGCTACAATATACCTCTCGCTCTACCACTGACAATGCCCTCCTTCACTTACAGCCTTTTCATCGGTATGTTTGTCCGTCGCGATCCCTTCACCCTTTCCTGACCCAACCCCCTCAGACGGCTCCACCTGGTACTTCACCTTCGGCTCCTTCTGGAACGGCATCTACGGCATGACCGTCAGCCCCAGCAGCGGCCTCGCCGACGGTTCCTCGCCCGCCAACCTCGCCGCGCGCCCCAACAACGGCGGCGCGCTTGAGGCGTCCTCCGTCTTCAAGTATGGCGATTCGTACTACCTGTTTACGAGCTGGGATAAGTGCTGCTCGGGTAAGTGCTCGATCAATCGTCCATTCTCTTCTACCCAACCCTTCTTATCCACGTATCTCATTGGCCCTTCCCCTCCCTCCCCATCCGCTCGCCAACTCATTCGCCCTCCCAGGCACCTCCTCCACCTACAACATCCGCGTCGGGCGTGCGTCCTCCGCCGCGGGCCCCTACACCGACGCCGACGGCGTCGCGCTCACCTCCGGCGGCGGCACGCTCGTTCTCGAGACGCACGACCAGATCTTCGGTCCTGGCGGGCAGGACGTGTGGGAGGACGACGATGGCCCGATTCTGGTTTACCGTGAGTGTCGCTTTGAGACTTATCTCTCGAGTTCAAGAAGGGCTCACGCATGCCTATCTACAGACTACTACACTGACGCCGGCAGCTTCCTCGGTATCAACCGCCTCGACTTTTCGTCGGGCTGGCCTGTGGTGGCTTGAAGGAATCGGTTGACACATGGAAGGCTCTTTGTAGCAATACAACGAAAAGAGGATAACTAGGTAGGTAGTATATGTAAAAGTCTTGCAAAGGGAATCCAGTTGCGAATACACGAGGAAAGTTGGATGCAAATTACAGTCTGAAAGAGGACGTTCGCAAGTAGAGCGTGTTTCCGTCCAGGGGTTCCGTGGGCGAATTATACAAAGGCAGAAAGCGTACGTGTGCGGGTTCTACGAGTACGATGATATGCAAGGGAGTTCCAAAAACTGACGTCTTTCACCCAGACTGCTTGTCGCCCGGTCAACGACTTGCGGCGGAATGCGGGCGAGCACGCGCGACGCCTCAGCCACCCTGCCACACAAGTAGCTGAGCAACCTCATCGGCATCGCGCACCCGCCTTATGGACACCCGCCCACCCGTCGAGGTGTGTGCATACGCACTGGCAACGCTCGAGGGCCCGAACGATGACGGGTCTCGCCGTCGCTGGCGCAGCCGCCTATCTGGCAGCTGTGACAACGACGGCAGTGTCGACCCATCTACCATTATCACGTCGCTCAGCTGGCGATCCTCTGGCAAACATAGCAAGCGCGCGCGACACGGATGTCACGGCGGCATGCCTTGAGAGGGCTGGTTCCGACGCTATCCTAGTAGCCAGTTGGGCGGGATGTCCGACGATGAAGGTCACAAAGGACCCGACGAAACAACTGAAATGGTCATCAACGTCACCAAAGGCAAGCGAAACCACTTAGACCTATGCCCGTTCGCTGCACGCCCGCGAAGACGCCCAGCTACTAGGGTCGGACACACGCTCGCCGATCGAGGTGTGTGAACTAACACGCTACGCTCGAGGGCCCGGGCAGGGTCTCGCCGTCGTTGGCGGTGACTGCTTATCTGACAGCCCCGGCAACGACGGCAGAGGCGACCCATCTACCATTAACGCGTCGCGCTGTGCAATTCCCTGTCGAGCATAGCACACACGCCCGGCCATCCGCACGAGACGGACGATCGCGCGCTCCTGCCTTGAGGGGGTCCATCCGACGTTATCCAGGTAGCCGGTTGGGCGTGTGTCCGGAGAGTGCGACATGCGAAAGCGCTGAACGCGTCGCAGAAGGCGCGAAGGCGTCCTCCAGACCGTCGCCGATGTCGACAGGACGCGACGAGTATGCCGCACCCCGTCGACGCCACGAATTGCGCGGTGCCGCCGTCCGCCCGAAAGCAAGGACGACACCGCACGACCGTGGCAGCGAGCGTCCACACAACGCCTCCGCTAGACTACTTCGAAGAAGATAGCAACCAGCCTCGACGGCGCCGCGCGTCCGCCCACGATCGCAAGCCAGCCCATTGTGGTGTTCGCGAGCTAAAGAGCAAGCGTGGCAGACGCACAATGGGCCCCGAGCGCTGATGAGTCTCGCCATCACTGGGAAAACTGCCTAGCCGGCAGCCTCAGCAGCAACAACTGGTGCGACCACATCTACCAGCTTCGCCGTGCGCAAGGACGTCGACCGCGCACAAGAAACGCCACAAGACCGCTGACTATCCGCATGAAGCGATATGCCGCAAGCCTTGCTCGAGGGGGAGTATCATCCGGCGGCAGCCAGTTAACGTTGCGACCCGACGGCGTTCTCCGTGTCAGAGAGAACGAGGTGTGGGCCTATATAGGAAGTCAGTAAGACGATGCGAAGCATCGAAAGCCCTGTCAAGGGCATGGAAGGGTTCCAAAAATTGCCGGCAAGTATAGCATAACCGCAGAGGCAGGGATCCGTTCATTGAATGTTGTCGACAGACAACTACTAGGATATGCTCCGAACGGCCACGTATACTGGACCGGGCACAAGGCGCCATATACCGTACACTCCCTCCTCCGCCCGCTTTGCAGCGAGAGGTATCAGCGGAGGTGCGCGATGCTGCAGCGAGCGAGCGCGTGGCGCCTCCGTCGTCTAGCCACTCTCACCGTAGTGAAAGATTCAGACGACCTCACCGACGCCCCGCGTTCACTCGCTGTGGACACCACCCACCCATCAAGGTGTGGGAGTTAACCCGCTACGCTCGAGGGCCTGGGCAAGGTCTTGCTGTTGTTGGCGTCGACTGCATTCAACAGCCTCGGCAACGACAGCAGTGGCGACCTATCTACCATTAACGCGTCGCGCGGTGAAGGCCCCCCTTTCGAGCATAGCACATACGCCCAACCAGTCATTCGAAACGGATGGTTCAGCGCATCTGCCTTGAGGGGATCCATCCGACGTTATCCAGGTAGTCAGTTGGACGTGTGTCCGAAGACGAGCAAAAGCAAAGCCATTCAGCGTTCTGCGAAGGACGTGAACGGGTCTCAAAAATTGCCGTCAGTGTCGACGGGGAACGGTGCACTCGCTGAACCATGTATCCGTTCACTGAGCATCATGGAGGCACAGCTACTAGGACATGCTCAACACCGGTACACCATACCCCGCCGACGCCACGAGTCGCACGGCGCCGCCATCTGCATTCGAGGGAAAGCATAGACAGCATCGGGCAACTGTGGCAGCGAGCGTCCACGCAGCACCTCCATCGCCAAACAGCCTCACACAGAAGGCAGCAGGCGACTTCAGCGGCACCACGCGTCCGCCCGCGGTCGCAAGCCAGCCCATTGTGGTGTTCGCGAGCTGAAGAGCAAGCGTGGCAGACGCACAATGGGCCCCGGACGTTCATGGGTCTCACCATCGTTGGATAAGCTGCCTAACCGACAGCTTCAGCAACGACAGCAGGGGCGACCACATCTACCAGCTTCGCCGTGCGCAAAGACGTCGACCGTGCACAAGAAACGCCACAAGACCGCTAGCTATTTGCATAGAGCGACAGCCGCAAGCCTTGCTCGAGGGGGAGTATCATCCAGCGACTAGTTTTGGCAGCCAGTTGGCTTTGCGACCGACGGACATGAGGGGAGCAGAGAAGAGCGCCAGCGACCAGGTATATAACCATGGTTGCCGGATCTCCGGGCCGCGTCACAGCCTCCGGCGTTGGTCTGCACGCCGCCATGAGGCTTCCACGAGTTCGTCGTCTTCATTCATCGCCATATGTACACTCGGCTTCTTGGTCTTCGTCGATTCAAGCAGTGCTCACTGACACTGCTATACGACACATGCGAGGCCATGCTAGGCGCGTGGATCACAAGTCGCTCGTGGAACTAGTTACTGATCGCTCTGAACTCATCAGAGAAGGTGTTCGTCGAGCTTATGGCGTACAGGAAGCGTCTCAAACCTCGTGCAAAGGTCACAAATCGTTGATGATTGACCCGTACAGCTATTGCCAGGGCGCCACTGGAGGTTCACAAATTCCCAGGCTGGATTGGGGCTGCCACTTAACCATGTCCAAATACACATGTCCCTCTACACCTTTGTGAATCGGCTGGCGCAGCACGAGGCTAGGTCATAGTCGTACTTTGTGACCTTTCCAGTCATATAAAGATGCCCGCTGAACATCCAGGGATCCAGCAATCCAACCTACTAAACACCAGTAAACGCGTCTTCAAATTCCAATATGGGTCGTCGCCAGCGCAAGGATAATGACAAGCCAAAGGTCATCGACTATACCTTATCTCAGGGGTAGATTTCCCATTTGGTCCCCAAGTTCTTCGCACTGAGGCCGATTTTCGTAGTCATATTGGTCGGAATCCTGGCCCCACTGCTGCAGAGAAAGTTGTTCAGCGCACAGGTTATGCCAGCGTAATTCCGGGCAACTGGTCGGGTAAGCGTCCAGTCCATGGCTATGGCGCCTTGCTCACCTACCCTCTAGTCTCAACGGCACACGCCGGCCATATACACTCTCCGACATACCCTGGCGCCTATGTACGCTATAGGCTGCCGGTCGCATGCAGGAACAGATTCCTCAGCACAATTCGGAACCATCGCGCAGGAAGCCAGGCTTACTATGGGGTCACTGTGCAGACGAACATCGTGCACACCTCGTCTAAGCCTCCGCGCGAGACTGTGAATGCCCACGGACTCGTCGATCTGAACGTCAATGGCGAAGACCTGACGCTCGAAACGCAGCGACAGTTTGCGCAAACGCTGGACATGATTGACGCGCCAGATCTCGTGCACGTGCGCTTCTCATTCGTCGGCCCATTGCCATCGTTCTTCCAAAGATCCATCCTTCGCCTTCTTGTCAATGCTGGGGACACGCTTACACATCTGAGCCTCAGCATGACCTTCCGAAGCGAGAAATTGCTGCGGGATTACTTGTATTCTCCCAAGGCCGTCAATCTTGTCTCCCTGGAGATAGAGTCCGCCCATAACGTCCAGGACTGCATCCTCGAAGCCTTGATGTGCCCGCAGTCGCATTGCCTGCGCAACCTACGGCGCCTGTGCTTGCGCATTAAAGACCTGGAAGTCGACCTGCTCTTCTCGGCGTTGTGGCAGCGCCATCATTGGTCGGGAGTTACAGGCCTTAATCGCGTCGAAGTCGTGGAAGAGGTCGACCCCGAGATACGCCAAGACGCGCTTGCCATGGGCATCACCTTCGGCGAGCCGGATATCTTTCGCCATGTTTGATTCCATGCACATTCGCCTTTACCAGTATGCTTGCTTACCGGACTCTTTCCAAGTCATGTACTCTACGAACCCATGTCTGTTGTAATGTCGTCGAAGCGTAGCGCAGTCATTGAATCCAAAGCTTATGGTTATTGAGACCTATCGTCCGGAGCGAGGCTTACAATAGGACGTCAAAGTGTCTGAAGAGAGCGTGGCCGCATTCAGAGCAAGTTTGTTTAGCAGCATCGCATGCGAGGCTCGCATACACACAAAAAGATAGTACAGCATGGACCTAACGGATGCACACTTTACACAACGAAGATCACGCAGATCTTCTGCTAATCGTCCCGATAGTCCCAAGCACAGACCGCGGTACCGACGACACCCCTCGCGCATATACCTGATTAGTATACACCTGCACAGCAATCAGCACAAGGACGACTAGTCAGTAGGAGTACCACATACCAGCTCGTCATAAATGATAGCAGGCACTTTCTTCTCGCACAGCACCGAAGCGGGATGGATCTTTACCGCCTGCAGTCGCACCGTCAGCCCCATCTCTACGATCCACGAGAGCAAAAGCCCACTCACCGCCCCACCCATAAGCTGCTTATACGTATTATCCGGCTGCAACAACGCCGAATTCTGCACCAGCCCATGCGCCATACTCCTCACCACCGCATCCTCCCTCCCCGGCCCCTCCGGCAAACTCGCCTTCCAATCCACGCCCTCCCGCTCACAGAGCCCCCTCAACTGCTCCCTTATGTCCCTTGCCTCCATCAGCGCGCGCTCGTTCAGATAGTGCCGCCTGCACCACTCCCGCCTCGCGCCCTTCTTCTCCGTCGCCACGTCGTCGTACGCGCGCAGGACGGCGAGCACCGTCATGTGGTCCCCGCTCCCAGCGCGGAACTTCTCGCGCTCGGCCGCGATCGCCTGGCGCGCGTCCGCGACGTCAAGGAAGAGCTTCGCGGACGCGCTCAGCACGGACACGATGTCGAGCACCTCCGCCGTGCAGCCGTGCTCGACCGCGGCGAGCAGCGCCCTCGCGTATACCGGCTCGAGGGGGAAGACCGCCATCTTGCGGCCCAGCGGCGTCAGCTGCTTCTCGTTGTTGATCGCCTCGAGTAGCCAAAGGGTCTTGAGCGCGTTAGCAAGCGAGCCCTCGTCTGGGCGGTCGATGAAATCGATGGCTTCAAGGTCCTGCCCGAGGCATTTGAGCTGGAGTAGACTGGACGTCAAGCTGCAGCGAAGGATCTCAGGCTCGGCAGCAGGCTTGAGCTTCTTGTAGTCGTCGGCAGTATAGAGCCGGAAGCAAGACCCAGGGCCCTCACGTCCTGCACGACCAGCTCGCTGCATCGCAGAGCTCTGCGAGATGTCCTGGGTGAGCAGCGTATCGAGACCTACATGCGTGTGAGTCTAAAGTCAGTAACGTCGAGGGGCCATGCTTACCGCTCCCTCCCCCAGTCGTCGATGCTAAGAAGCGCTTCTCCTTGCACTTCCCAGTATCGATAACATACTTGACGCCCGGTATCGTCAAACTTGTCTCAGCGATGTTCGTCGCCAATATGCACCTGCGCGTATTTGGCGCGTTCGGCGTGAATATACGCGCGGTTTCGCCAGGAGGTTGCGCCGCATACATGGGCAGCAAATTTACCTGCTAGCAATCAGTAAATCAACAGCCCGGTCAAGATGTGATACCCACCTGCATCGCCTCCAGCGGCAACCTTGATGCAGTAAGCTCGATGCTCTTCTGCAAGGACTCGATATCGTCCTGACCTGGGTGCGACGTGGTCAAATGACTCGCAATCACGATGTATGGCCTCAACTTACCAGGTAGGAAGATAAGAACATCTCCCGCAGGATAATCCGTGTGTATTTGCCAGAAGGTACGGCTAGCAGCGTCAAGGTAGTCGAGCTGCGGTTGCGATGCATGGTATATCGTTACGGGATGCTGGCGTCCCTTCACATATAATATGCGAGCGCTGTGAAGCATCAGCATACGAGCGAGAAACAAGCGTGACATTGCACATACCCGTCGAAATAACGGCTGAACTTGTCGGCGTCGAGCGTCGCAGACATGACGATCACCTTGAAGGGCTTCTCCTTCCCCTTGCCCTTCCCGTCGGCGTTTTTGCGCGCCTTCACGATCTCCTTCAACCGCGCGAGGAGTATATCCGTCCGTAGTGTGCGCTCGTGCGCCTCGTCTACAATGATCACATTGTATTTCTCCAGCAGGGCATCCCCCATCATCTCCCGGACGAGCATACCGTCCGTGACATACTTGATGTTCGTGTTCGCGCTGCAGCGCTCGTCGAATCGAACGCTGTAGCCGACGCGCGTGCCGATGGTCGTCCCTTGCTCCTTCGAAACGCGATCGGCGAGGGACGTCGCGGCCACTCGACGCGGTTGCGTAACCGCGATCGACTGATACCCTGCTTCGAACAGGTATTGCGGGATTTCTGAGGGGAAGTCAACGACTGGGTAGAGATCAGAAGCAGGCGCTCGTACGAGTAGTCTTCCCGGATCCAGTCTCCCCAACGAGTATAGTCACATCGTTGGCCTGCACGGCTTCCACTAACCGTGCTCTCCCTGAATCATAAATTAGCCAGCCAGCTCAGAACGTTCCCCGCGACCTCAACGCACCTGCGGTTATCGGGAGATCCATCCGCTGCTTGCGGATAGCCTCTTGGGCCCGCTCCTTCTTCGTAGAAGCCTCTGAGGGCAGCGGCTCATCCGCCTCCTCCCTAAGAGCCTGCATCATCCGGTCCAGCTTCTGGCGTCGGGCGTCCACTTGCTTGGTGGCATCGCCATTGAGTACAGGTCGCCTGAACCCAGATCCCCCCGAGCTTTTGGGCTTTCCGTTCGGTATCGCCTTTCCATTCGCGCCTCTGAACTTCTTCGATGGCGGCGAGTCCTCGTCCGGGTCGATGTATGCTGGTTTGTAGCGTTTCGGGGGCGGCGGAGCAGCCTTAAAGAACTTCATCTTCCGTGGCTTCGGTGGCGTTAGGACTGCCATGCTCATCGTCAGCGACGGGGAGCGAAACGACAAGCAAAGAGGTGCGGCAGGGCAAGTGCTAGTAATGGTCAAAGCGCGCGTCGAAATTTGATCGAATACTTCTCGAAGGGGATATTCCGCTTCCGGTGGACCCCTTGTTCAATGTCACTGTGACCGATCGCGTGTCGGAATGCCCCTCACCTCTTGCCGTCATCACTATCGCGCCTTCTGTACAGTCAGGATCCCTGTCTAGGCTCCGATGCGATGAGCACGCTGCCAGCGGGTGGTCAAGGTTAGTCCTCGGCCTTCAAAGAACACTCACACCCGGCTCATACGTCGGAAGCAGCAGCGCTAGCCAGTGAAGCCTCAACCCACGCGGACAACGGTCCTGTTGAACAGTCTATACCCATCGCAAATGTTGATACCACCAGCAATCAGCAAGTGCTAGAGATGCTCCGCGCCGCTCTCGCGGGTATCGCGCAACTCCAGACCACTGTCACCCAGATTGAGCGCAAAGTCGGCAGTCTCGAAGGCGACGTGCGCGGCCTGCACCAAGCTGTCAGCCATCTCGAAAGCTCGCTCCTTCTGTCTCGAGATGACTATCGTGGCGCAACAGACGAGGTGCTAGAAGCCGTCGAGCAAGCTAAAGACGAGGTGCTAGACGCTCTCAACGAGGCCAAGGACGATATTCTGGAAGGGGTGGAAGAGCGCAAGGATGAGGTGGTCGAATCTATCGAGGAGCACAAAGACGAAATCATAGAGGCGGTGAACGACGTCAGCAGCGGGCTCGAGGAGGTAGAGAACTACGCGTCGGAGACGAACAACAAGGTCGGCGATATCGACGACAACGTAGCGGGAACGCAGAGCAGCATCGACGACTTGCAATCATCCATCGAATCCCTCCAATCGAAGCTTGACGTCCTTCTCCTGCGAACTCGTCTGAACTAGACCAAGACTTCGCCTTTGTGAGCCAACGCGTCCGCTTCAATCCCGCACCAGATCTCTCTGATCATAAACGTCAGCTCGGATATTTCGTCTTCAACACCCACCATCTTGCACCGACTATGTACCATCTGTACCAACATCTGTCATAATGAACTTTCGATATATACTCTGAGCGGCCATTGCGAGACCGTCACAGAGGACTTGATGCCCATATCAACTTGACGGTAAGGGTTACTTCTGACATCGGTCTGGTAACTCCTGCTAGGCTCTGACCACATAGGTCGAGAAAGGGGCCTGTTGGAGCTTTCGGGACGAACAACAGTTCTACATCGTTCGTCGACCTGCCAGGATATCCTGCCGCGTATTGACCTCGATAAGGTAATTCAAACACCACGGCAATTACCGAATGCGGACCCACAACGCCGTCAAGATCAGAAGTGCTGAGACTCGCAGGAGTTCGCCCTGACTTCGTGTTGCCTGAGTCTCCGGCTACGTAACGTTGAGGATGTGCTCAAATTACCAGCATACATCGCATTAGCAAGACCTCCGACGAGCTCAAAACAGGCTTGAACATCCTACAGACAACGCAATAGAACGTATTAGTGGGATGAATTATCAGCGCGTTTTGCATCAAGTGCTCTTGGCGCAGCTCACTTGCGGAAGGCTTACTAGATCTTGAGGCACACAAAGATGAGGGAGAAAGGGAAGAATGAATCGCTCCAAGTGATATTTTCGCCCTGTCGGGCCTCTATATAAGTTAACGTTGTACATGAAGGAAACCAGGATCTTCTACGAAGATTCACAATGATCCACAATGATCCACATGAGTCACCTGAGTCACGACTCGGACACGATGTCCGGGTTGGACCCACAAATGTCAACAAGTGCCCATTGTTCTCAATGGGCAGTAGATGCAAAAACTTCTGATATTTATCGAAACTAATACGTCCTAATGGCGAAAGTATACATCTTCTGAAGGCTGTTGTCGTACCTCTTACTCAAAAGCGGAGATGAAAATGCGGACCTCCCCTCCCCCATCTCTCCCTCACCCGTCTACTCCTTCGCTCGAGTGCTCCGTCTCCTGTTCTATCTCCAGGTCCTCCTCACGCAAGCGTCGGTGGGTCAGATGCAGAAGGCTAACCTCAATCAACTCAGTTGGGCGAAAACGGCACGCAGAAGTTTGGTCGGCGCAGGGCACACTATCAGTCGAGTCCAGCCGGTGACCATGAGCTCAAAGGAGTCGAGTACTTCGAGCAGACTGCTCGGGAAGTCAGTGCATCATTCCGCAAAAAGTCAGCCCAACGATGTTCATGAAAGGGTCGAAAGAGCCGTACATGAGCCCACGTTCAGTATGCCTCCGCCGGCTAACCCCGAGATTCTCACGCCACACCCAAAGCTCAACATAGCACGTGACACTCTTGCTGACGATATATGCTTGACTGTTCGAACCCTTCCGGAGTCTATACCTTCATCGTCCAACTCTATCTCCGTCGACGTCCGCCATCTCAATCAGTGTATGCCCCTGAGCATTTTCGCCTTTGCCGACACCAGGTTCCGGCGGAACCTCAGGCTGGCGTGTGAATCTTTGGCTGAGCGACCCTTTGACTCAACTTCGACTCGTCTGAAGCTGCCAAAGATAGGTAGGGGGTTATTGTTGTTGATATTACCTTGCCTTGCAAGGTCTCTCCCGCCCTCATTTGACCCCATCAATTTGTACGGTGCTCTTGGACAACAATCGTAAAGTCACGCGCGCAACGAGAGTCCCGCGCACAAACCCAGCCCACAATCCCACATGCAAGGCAAGATCAGAGCCGGCGAAGCCGGAACTTCCTCTAGTAGTGATTTTCCGGTAAATAATTAGATGGTAAAGGCTGAACAGTGGCAGGCTATGATATGAGTATTCGCTTTGCTCAGGTAAACCTTGCGCTGGAGCGAGTATGTGCAAGATGAAGGTCGCCGCCGCCTCCCCTCCTCGCCAACCGCCTGCCGTAGGCAGGCCTCAAGAGCTACTATAGATAGGATTTGACGACGCTTCGTCTATCCCTTTTGATAGTCTCTCGGGGGCAGATGTTGGTGGGGCTTCGCAGTGAGGGATCGAACCCCTTTTGACATTCCCTTTCTTTTCCCCGCCCATCACAGGCACACCCACAGGCCCAATGGCCGAGGAACCTTTTGCTATGTTCGCCCCCGGACGCGTCCTCGCTTTGGACACCAATGACGGCCGACGCCTTAATTTCACTGTCGACCGCCTATTCACCCCGGTCACCAAGAGCGTCGTTGTCGTCGCGCGCTGCGATCAGTTTGGTCCCAGCCTGGTAGTGCTCAAAATATACGACCCTCGCTTCATCAACGAGCGCAACGGGCACGAGAGCAAGTTTGGGTGGAGCAAGCCCCCACGTCCGTGGTCTCTCGCCGCCGAGCGCGCCGCGCCAGCCACATTCGACTCCAAGGCGATCTATCTCCCCGAGCCACCGGCGGACGACCTTGCTGGCCAGTTCGAGCGCGCGGCGATCTGGGAGGCACACCTACGCCAGGTGATGGATGAATCATTCTGGTACGAGCGCGCGGCGTACCATAATTTGCGGGACCTCCAGGGCGGCGCTATCCCGCGCCTGCTCGCAGAGGGCCGCTTCATCCCGCCTGACAAGCGCGCATACGTGCCGCATTCGCTCGTGCTGGAATACATCGAGGGCGTCACCCTTGGCCAAGCACCGTTGGAGCTGTTGACGCCAGCCGTAGGCGTTGCGCTGGTACGCGCCGTCGAAAGCTTTGCGGCACACGGCGTCTTCCACCATGACCTGAACCCTGGCAACGTGCTTGTCACGGCCGATGGGCGCGGCGTTATCGTGGATTTTGGCTGCGCGGGCGTGCGCAACTCGGAGAACGTGTGGACGGACGAGGACTGGGCACAGCACATGGACGCGGTGGACGAAGGGAATGCCATCAGGTTTATGTTCCAGCGGAAGGGCGTTGATTGTAGTGGGGAGTTAAAGCCAAGGTGGCGCCATTTCGACGTCAGAACGGGATCCTGGGCAGACGTGGTGGAGGGCAGTGAGGCCGTGAATACTGGGTCAGTTGGCGCGAGCTGAGACGGGAGGTTTAGGCCCTCCTTCGTTCAACAGGGAGGTTCAGGCGCGAGTTGACACGAGAGGTTCAGGCGCGAGATGGGACAGGGAGGTTCAGGCCCTCCTCCGAAACGCGACCCAGCCGAGTAGATTGGCGCGAAGTCCCGGCCCTCTCGCCATCCCATCGCCGACCCGACCGGTTTACTGCCGATCCGACCGTCTTACTGCCGCTAGGCAGCTTCCCTGACGGACTGCCGCTAGGCAACTTCCCTGACGGAATGCCGCTGGGCGACTTCCCTGACGGACTGCCGCCGGGCGACTTCCCTGACGAAGATGGTGAACGCACTGACGAGGATGGTGAACGCACCGACGAGGATGGTGATCGCACTGACGAGGATGGTGAGCGCACCGACGCAAAGCCCATTTCCGCAGATGAACAGAACATAGCTATCCACATTGGATATCGTCGATACATGTACAACTTAAAGTTTATCCCTATGGGTAGTTGAGTCTGTCGGGTCATCGCGCGTGCACTGTTCGATATATCGATCCAGAGAATGACATGGCCACATAATCCTGGAACCTTGCCTTAGCATTCCTTCATTCCGTATCCTGGCACAAAGCACTCACAATAACTCAACACGCCTGCACCCATCACTGATCGTACCAACCTATACCCTCAAACCTTCGGCTCAGCAGCGGCGGGCGCAGCGGGTGTGGCAGCGGGAGCGGCCTCACCGCCTGCAGGCGCTGGCGCCGCAGCCTTGTGCTCGGCGTGTATACGCTTCGCCTCCTCGTGGATATCGAGGACCTGCTTGGACGCCTGGGTGTAGAAGGCGAAGACCTTCTGGCCGAGAGGGGAGGCAAGGGCACGTTCGTAGTACTGGAAAATGGGGTTAGTATGGGTGTAAGTAGACGAATGGACGGTCGACGTAGGTAAAATGAAGAAGACAGTTCAGGAATTGAGACAACTCGAGAAAGTATACTTACGCTGCCGGCTGCCTTGCTGATGCCCTTCTGCTCATCGATCGCCTTTGCTTGCTGCGTCGCGGCTTGTGCGGTCTCCAAAGCCTTGCCGGACAGCGTCTTCTCGGGACCGACTGCCTTCGCACCGAGCGTCTTGTCGAGGTTCTGCAGGTACGCGATGAACCTCTGCGAGATCCCGCGCTGCTCTGGAAGCAAATATCGCATTCAGTGGGAGCATGCGCGACACGGGAAGCAATAACATACTGTCGACTTCGATGGCGCGTTGGAGGATGTCGTCGGTTAGTTTGTAACCCTTCGCGAGGATTTCCGCGACGACTGGAAAAGAAGAAATGTTAGGTATGATACGTCTGTAGATTTCGCAAGCAGATATGCTCACCTGCGGCGCGGGGCTTGTCGGCCTGGTCGATTGTCGTGCCATCGGAAGGACCGTCGTGCGCGTCAGGGTGATCAGCGTCGGCTGTAACAGCGATCGCAGAGCCGTCGAGGGTACCGCCGTTGAGCTGTAGTGCGCAATCAATGCATTGAACGAGGATTTAATCAAGCGCACACACCATCACAGCGGTCTTGACCGACGACGGCTTCTCGAAGTGGATGGTGGCGGCCGTGCCAGAGTGATCAACGGACTTGATTCTGCGCAGATGGGCGGATATGTCAGGATGGAGGGAGGGATGAGGCTTGGGAGCGAACATACGAGCCGCAGAAGCTACGGGAAGCTGATCAGCGCGCGTATTGGACAGACGGTAACGGAAGTAGGCTCACGAAAAGAAGTTCTTTAGCGTCTCCTCGGTCGTCGTAGCCGAGAGATTGGACACCTGTGGATCGTGAGCGCGGGATATTGGCGGCGGAAGGCGGCGGCGTACGTGAACAGTGTAGTCGGACATGGTGGTTGCTGTAGAGATCTGGAGTTGGCGACTCAAGCGCGCAGCACCAGGGCAGAGAGGCTCGGTGACGTACGTCTTCGCGAGTCGCGGTCGCGACCATGACGTCACGCATCGGTTGACGCCTCGTGTCACGCGTGCCGTTCGCGAAGATGCAATCGACGGCTTGCGTCCAACGTCCACGCTGGCAGCCAGGATCCGACACGGCGAGGAGCTTGCCGCCAGCTCACCGGTGACACCTGGCAGCCAACGCCTTGGCGCGTTTTCGAGGGTGTTTAGGGGAGGCCTGGACTGCTCCCGCGGTGCTTCCGGTGGGGTACCCCTCCTCCGTTTTATTTCCGCCGGAGCTGGCTGCAGCGATCCCACGGCCTTTGCCCATGCGTATAGTACTTCCTGAAGACAATAAGGCCCTGCGAAATTGGCGACGGACGGCGGCGACGGCGGGCGCATCTCATGTTCGGCCCTGGGGCTTCTGTCCTGGTTTATTGTTCCAAGGTTGGCTGTCATTGTCCTTGATCATGGGTCGCGACGCGAACACGCAAAAGATGGCATCAACGCGATCGACACGCGCCAGGCTCCGGCCACGGCGTGCGAACCTCGCACGGAGCCGAAAACGCGGTGATACCCTGCTTGTCCGCGTCCATATAAAGCGTCCGACGCGTTTCTTCCTACCACCACCGCACCACCACACTCGCTCTCCTCGTCGGCGCGAACAGCAGGGCGACTTCGGCCTCAGCAACAGTACACGCCTCGCGCCACACAAAAGGCACACCTCCTCACCGCCGATCGACAGCGCGGTCCTGCTGGCTCACAGCTAGGCAGCAGGACGCTTGGGCGACTTTGAGAAAAACTTCCAGCACATACACGCAACGTGTTGGACGACCCCAGCAGTCATCGTGCGTTGTCTCCGCCGGGACGTAGCCTCGACCCTAACGTCGATCATTAAATTAGCCTGACTCGCTCGTACTACCTGAGAACGTAGTTTACTCTCAAAAGCGACACTTGGCACTCGCATGTATGCACTTCATCCGCCACAGCATAGCCCAACCTGACAGTCTTTCTTTCAGCATGACGATGATCTCGACTACCGAGCTCGCCCAGTTCAAGCGCTCGACGTCTGATCCCATCCAGATTCCGGCTCGCGGTCGCAAGCTCCGCGTCGAGGACCAAGAGTCACGACCCATGTCGCCCGAGCTCCTCTTCGAGATGTCCCCGCCCACCTCCGAGTTCGCCGCCATGCGCCTCCCCTTCGCGCCCTCGAACTCGCAAAACATGGCCCCGCCTATGGACGAGCCCCAGCCGCTCTACTCCTTCCCCTCGTTCTCGGCGCTCAGCCGCCGCAACAGTGCCAGCGGGAGTCCGACGCCGGATCTCAAGCCTCGCGGGCGCGGACGACGCACCTCTTCATGCGTGAGGCGTCCCTCGCTGATGAGGCGGCCGACGGGCGAGGGCAACACGCTCGTGCGGACGGCGTCAATGAACAAAAACGGCGGGTTTACGCCCATTGTATGCCCTGAGCCGCGCCCATACCGCACGCGGTACCCGCTCTATCCAATGCACACCGACTGCTACTCGCCGCCGCCGCCAACGTCGCCTCCTGCTGTGCCCTCGCCTGCAGCCGTCACATCGCCGACCTCCCCCACCCTCACGCCCTCGCGGTCCATGGCCGCCTCGCCCCCGTGGACCTCGTCGCCCTGGTACCTTCCCGGCCGACAGGACTCGATGCCAGGCGATGACGCGGAGTCGACCGACGGCGAGCCCTTTGTGGACTTCCGTGATTACCTGCTGGCGTGTATTGAGAATGGGCGGCCCCTGCGGTCGAGGCGAGGGGCAGGTGGGGCGTGGTGAACATGTAGCCCCAGGCTCCTATGGGTAGTCCCATACTCTTGTGAACGAGGTGAGTCATACTATAATGGGGCGGTTCGCCGAGAAGCATGTCAGCTAATATAGCGCCTCCACAGTCGTTGATGCCTGGTCGCACTGGCTTTGTCTCGGTCTGGCCGCGGCCCACGTCTCGTCGCTCGTCTTGCGCCACGCTTCATCGCCGTCTTGCGCCACTCTTCTTCGCACGTCTGGCTCTTCTTCGCACGTCTGGCTCTTCATCGTCCGTCTGGCGTCATCCACCGCTCTATGCCCTCCCCACAGCTCCCGTACCTTAGGTCCCCATACTAGAATAAGTCTCCCTCCACTCGCATCGGTCTCCATCACCCCTCTCGCCTCGGTCTTCCCCTCAACTCAATTCCCTCCGCATCGGTTCTTGTCATTGCATCATCCTTGTACACACAACGCATTCATCTTGTACATACACATAGTATACGTCCGCATTCATAGTACACTCTCGCATCATCATCGGCCATCCAAGCAACGCATTCATCCACACGCAACTCTTTCCATTGGTCCACCCCTCCGTACAACGCATTCATCGACCTCTCGGTTCTGCCGCACGCTTCACTCTTCCTTTTACACGCCTTCCTTCCATTACAACGCACTTCCCTTCTCACTCCAACGCAACTTCCCTTTCACGTTCAACGCACTCGTCTTCTCTTTCCACTACACCATTATTCTCTTTTCATCGTTCAGCACTCTTCTTCCTTTCCCGTGCCAACATTTTTTCCTCTTCTAGGCCTCTTCCCGCTCATGCATTGTTACACCACCCGTCTCCTTGTCCGCCAAGTCCACAACGTGTCTCATAGAAAAACATACAACATCTGTCATTATAGTAGTATCCTCGGCACCCATAGAATAGCACCCTTTGGCACAGTACCTCTTCGAGGGCGTTCACGATAGCTTCAAGGACGTTTACAATATCCTCCTCAACGCTTGGACGCTAGTCATCCCTCAACCCACGTACATTTTCAACCCCTCAACCACGCGCGCATACAATATCTTCCTCGACGCATATTAATACATCAGTCCCTTCATCACGCATAATAGGCAATAGTTCCTTCCCTCGTACATCATCACCTCACGGACTCGTACATGACTTCCCCATCACGGACTGGTACACGACAGCATGGACTGGTACTCTAGTCACTAGCACTCGGACTACTTAGTACGCGGCACGGACGGTCATAGTAACGCCATAGTACGGACAGTGATTGGACAAGCAATGGACAGTTGTGGTCCGCGATTTGGACGGTCGTTTGGGACGCTTTGGGACGATGATGAAGGCAAGCGCTCCTTGCCACTCAAGAGTCAAAACAGTAAGCTTGCGAGGGACACAGTATACTTCCCTTCCCTTCATATCAGATGTAACCTCGTAATGGCACATCTGCTAGCGTCGGTGCTGGACGACTCCCGATAGCTCATCGACTCCGCGAGCTCACATCTCTTGGCCTGATGCTCGCAAGGGTCATAGACTCGAGAGCATCGCGGGATGATGTGACTGTGTGGGTGTCAGGAAGTGTGTAGTGATGATCGAGAGGATGCGGCATACACATTGAGTCGAGGTACGGCACCTAGACTGATGCAGAAGATGATGTCCTTCTTTTAGGGTGCGCCAGAAGCCCTTGCGAGCTCCCGATGCTTACAGTCATCATTGCACAGACTCGAGATCGCGTCGCTCTTATACATGCACAGGGACGGATGGGGTAAAAGCCTGCGGACAGAGACATGTACCCTCGGGAATGTAACGAAGTATTCTGCGCATGACTTTCACGTTGCTGTGTTGAACTTCCACTGTGGCGTGAGAAGATTCGGTATTCGCCGACGGAGGCAAACTGATCCTGGCCGTAAATCCGGAGACCTGTCTGTGGAAGATGTGGCCCGATATAATGAGGAGAGGTATGGTATGGAAGGTTTTCAGGGCCGTATGGGCGTTCGCGAGGTCAGGCTTCCATGCAGGCACGGAAAGCGCTCGAGCACGCAGCTCTGTGCTACTGGTGATGGCGATGTATATCTTCGAGCAGGGGATGGTAAGGAAGCTGGCGCTGTGAAAGGAAGTTGCGGGGACCTCGCAGGTGGTAAGCGCACTTCCGTGGCCAGATCATGTGAGCCGCACGATAGGCGCCTCGCTCTGCTCTCAAGCGCCGGAAAGCATGGTGCAAAGCATCACAATTAAATGAGAAGTGCTTGAATATCCGCACGCTCAAGAAACCCTTCAGAGCCATCGGATCAGGAATCAACCCCCTTCCTACATACCAATGACTCGGTAGAGGGGACCTAGTGACGCAGAAGGGCGATAGACCGCGCGATAGAAGCAATCCTCTTGGGCACCCTGTTTGATAGGATTAAAGGTGATGAATACCCGTAATTATGCCTGAGAAGTTCAGGACTCGGGTGAAGCAGTGCACCGGCGAATGCCAAGGAGTGCGTCGGCGAAGTCTAACAGGCTCGGAAAGGACATTTAGATCAATAGATGGCCGAGATAGATTTCGACGACGAGGGTATAGACTCGGGTAGGTTTTGCATGGACTCTGACAGGGTTTGCACAGGTTCGACGGCGGATGATCGAGCCCTATGAAACCGGAGCAGAAGGGGTTTATTAAGGACCTCATCCATCCTATTCGCGGGAGTTGAAATTAGATCGTCGAAGTCAATAGCCCGTTTGGGGTCCACGTAGATGTCGATGAAGTGGCTCGGCGGCTCGGTAGAGGAGGCTGCATGTGAGCATCAGCATAATTAAGGGCGACTGCCCATTCAGACGAAGTCGTGGCGGCGCGATGAGGGCGATAGGGTGGCTCTCATAGATCCAATGACGCAGGGTTCTGTATCAGCGGTAGTGAAGGAGCAGAGTGAAGAGGGATCGGTAAGAGCCTATCCATGCCACCTTCGCTGCTGAGTCAAGGATGGGGCGTAGTCCCTCGCGGATGGACACACAAGGTCGTCTGTCCAAGTCATTTCCATTCGTAGCGATCGTTCTCATACAAGCACATTGCAAGTTTCCCACAACCCACTCGAAGCAAATCATCTTCACGCCTTCGCCGCCTTTGCCTGATACCATCAGCCATTTCATCTCTCGCGCACCCAAACCACTCACCTCCTTCCCTTGCTGCCTCCTCCCCCTCCTCCCAAACGTCAACACCCCCATAAACATCAGCGCGCCGAACATCGCCAGCATGACCGCGATCGTGAGCCCCGCGCCAAGGAAGCCCGCACCGACGGGGCTGATATTGTCGCTGTGGGCGGCGACGGCTTCGTTGGCGGCCTTAGTGAGTGCGCCGCACCCGCGGTCCTTGGTGTTGCCGCAGGCGGAGCACCAGGCGGCGGTGGTGTTGATGGCGGCGGGCTGGGGTAGGGTGCGAGTAAGATACAATTACTTATAGTCAGTAGAGATGAGGAGGGAGGGGACTCACCGCCAACTTATCGACGAAAGTCGACAGCGGGACGTCGCCATCCTGGCCCAGAATCGTATAAGTCGTGAAGTCATTTTCGTCAGTGCCGTTCTTGAAGTTGAAGCGCAGGACGTGGTCTCCGTCGCTAGTCTCGCGGACCTCAAAGACGACGGCGGCAGCGTAGTTTACTGGGGTGGAGTATCAGTAACGACTCATGCGCGCCGAATATGAGCGGCAGGCCCGAAGAACCGTCTCACGAAGGGACGCCTATGAAGGCATATTTACTCACCAATCGCCTCCAACTCCCCATGCATCTCCGCTGCCTGCGTCATATTGAAGAGCGACAGGAACGGCTTGTACGAGACGCCGACGTACACGAACTGCGTCGCGTCCTTCTCATCCACGATGCTCGCGAAGCCGTCGAGGATGTTGGGGAGGACGGTCCGGCCGGCGACTATGAATACGTTAGCCATTGTCTGCGGTAACACGCATGGGGGTACGACAGGATGCGCGGAAGTACGACTCAACGCTTGAAAACGCAAGAACACAAGATACCGCACAAGAACCCAAACTCACTATTCCCAATCCCATCTACGTCCGGGGACGTGAAGACCCCGTATTCGTGGTAGTTGGCCAAAGCCCGAGCCCGCGCAATGGTCTCCTCGGGCACGACCTGCGCGAATTGCTCGTTGTGGATCCAGTTGACGTTCATGAAGTCGAAGATCTGTCAGGAGGATATTGATACGCGGCCTCTCCAGTTCAGTATTCGGTTGTGCACGTACGTTCCACTGTAAAGTCCTGCATCAGCAAAAGGTCACCCAGCATGGAGCCCTTGCCATGATACAGGAATAGATGAAGCACTGGACATCACTCACCATATTCTGCAAGCTCACTGGCCGGCCATCCAGGTACGGAGGGAGAGACTTCAGGAAGTCATCGTTGTCGGACGCCACCTGCTGGAACGCGCTCGAATTATAGAAGTCGTTCGTCCAGTCGGAGAATGCGCCGCAGCTCGTCCAGCCCTCGAGGGAGATGTCGTTGTCGGGTTCGACGGATTCGACTAGAGGGTGAGATGAGATTCGACGAGCGTCGGTTTGGCAGAGGAAGCAGACGTACTGGGGATGTACTGCAGACCAAAACCAATTCATGAGAAATCCAACGGACTTCAAGACGATCCGCCGCGCACCTGATAACCCCCCAACGGCCCCACGATCGTCGTCCCATTCGCCAACGTCGTATTATACGCCGTCGTGTCTGGGTACAGCCCCTGCATGAACGACACCGCCGAGTCGTAGATCACGCCCCCCTCCCCGCCCGCATCCGCCCGCGCGGCGATCTGGCTCGCGTTCACGACGTCGTGGCTCATGCCCGCGAGGTTCGTGGGCGAGGAGGAGTTGAGGTAGAGGGCGCGCAGCTTTTGGCCGAGTTGGTATTCTTGTTGCTGGGTGAGATGTTAGGAAAAGAGTAAGGGAGTGGAAAGGGAAGGGAGGAGAGGGAGGGGAGTGGGGATAGTCGACTGACGTTCCCCAGCGGTGTGATCACCGTCCCGCTCGCGGTGTACGAGTCAGGGTCCTGGTAAAAGCCTGCGATAGCTCAGCCAACGTTCATCTGAAGCAGCACAGCACGCACCTTGCCGATCCCCATGGCGCGTCAGAACCACCACACCCAAGAGCGTCGTATCGTCGGACATTTTTGCTGGCTATTCGTGAACGTGACGGGGCGAAAGCGCGATCAGTCGTCTGCTGGTTGTCCCTTTATACCGATCTCGGGTCTTGCTCGCACCCCTGGTGGGAGGGCTATCAGCTCATGGCTTCGACAGCAGATGGACAGCGGGAGTCATGGGGGCAAAAGACACGAGGATGGGAACTGAAAGCTCACCTGTGCTATCTTCAGGCTATCGTATATACGATGATCACGGGCTTCAGCAAGCAGTCGCTGGACAAGGAGGCAAGCGCGCGCTGCTCAAGGTCCAGACGATGGTGGCCACGTCGAATGACTCGTCGAGTCGGGCACGATGTGGGGGACTCATTGATGATTGCCAAATGCCAGCCGGGAGGTAAAGCGCTGATCGAGGTCAAGGCGGCCGTTATCTAATCTCATCCCGATCGTATCACACCGGTCACTTCTAACGGGCGCTTATGTTCTGCTCTAGGTCACCGGTGTCCTCGTATCCTTTTCGTATGTAGCATACAGAAACAGCTGACTATACCGGCGGCTCGGCGACGATGATTCCGCTCTATAATGTCCCGCCAACAGACTCCATCGTCTGCCATAGTGGTCAGCATCACCCTGCAATCAAATCGCTGACGACTCACGAAGGGCGACGCTGTCGGCGCGTCCAATATCGCCAGCTCTTCCTCCGTGAACGGCAGTCGCGGGACCACTAGCACCCGCAGCGGTATGAACAGCATGATGATCACCGGAAACCCAATCGCAGCTGCATTATAGCAATGTTCATTAGTGCCCTTTGGCGTCTTCTCAACTGAACCCGACTCACCTATCGTCTGCGTGATCGCGAACGTCGCGCCAAACCCGACAAGCTGCAGCGCCACAAACAGCACGATGCGCGACTTGCGCACCCGGCGCAAAGGCTCGGAAGGCGTGATAAACCTCCTATCCTGGATGAGGTAGTAGAGCTTCTGCGTGATGCCGTTGCCGTTCAGCGCGTCGGCGCCCATGTACCAGCTAGAGGTAGCGGCGATCAGCAAGGCGCGTAAATCAGTGTGCGCCGAAAGTGGAGGACGGAAAAAAAAGTAGGAGATGGGAAGAAAGTAGAAGACGGAGAAGGAAAGCATACGCACAACAGCCCCGCCAGCACCCCCCTCGGGATCAGGTTCAGCAAATGCAAGAACGGCCCCGTCAGCAGCACCAGACACAGAGACCCCTGCGCCAGATTCGATACGCGCTGCTCAACGACGCCGATGGGGTACTCGTGTAGCGCAGCGGCCCCATCGTGGGGGTCCGGTGGTGTAGCCTCTGGATCCCTCTTCTCCCTCTTGCCCATCACCACCAGCGACGTCGTGTGTATCGGCGCCTGCGGGATGAGGCCGTTCGGCGCGGGCAAGCCCAGAAGGCCCGCGATAAACGTCGTCACGCCGAGCAGGAAGAAATCCCAATGAAACCCCGGCGGCTTGCGCAGGGGGAAGTCCGAGCTCTGCGCCATTAGGGACTGCGAAATGGGGTTCAGTCAGGCCGACTCTTCGCAGATGATAAAACCGCCTACCGACACATTGTGATCAAAAAAGAACAGCACCCATAGGATGAAGCCGAAGGGCAGCGCGATCCCCACCCACTTCCCCTCCAGCTGCCAAAATTTCACCAGCCACTCCCTCCCCCCAGCCGGCTGGAAGGCCCCGCTGATAGGCAGCGTCTGCGCATTCGCGGCGTTGAACCTCCCCCAATACGCTACGCCGCTCGACGCAACAAGGGAAATGGGCATCCCATAATCTGCGAGGAAGCGCCTGACATGGCGATGGAAGAAGGTTTTCTGCGAGAGGGACTGGAAGAGGAAGGCGGTGACAAGCATGAGGAGGGCGACGATGATGGAGACGAGGGGGCCGGCGGCGTCTGCAGGGCCGGCGGACTGGGAGAGCTGTCGGGTGATGACTTGGATGCCGTATTGGAGGTAGACCCAGGAGACATAGAAGCCGAAGGTGTCGCAGGAGAAGAGGGTGACGTATTTGAGGAAATTGCACCCTGGCGGAGGGGTGAGTGCAAGGTGAAAGTGGAAGGGGAAGGGGAAGGAAGGAAGGGGAACGCACAATTAAGTATAGCAGTTATCCAGTGGATGATTGCGGCCCATAGGTATACCCAGCCGATGAAGGGGAAGGAAGGAAGGGGAACGCACAATTAAGTATAGCAGTTATCCAGTGGATGATTGCGGCCCATAGGTATACCCAGCCGATGAAGTGGAGGTAGTTTGGGGCATTGTCTTCCTTCTCGATGATGTCGTATATCGTCTTGTTAAAGACAGTGATGGGTCCTGGGGTAGGGTGAGGGAATATAGCTGTAGCTTCTGCGGAACACATACCAGTCACGCCGGCGATAGTGAGGGGCTGCGCGCCGAAGACCGAGAATATGAAGGCGGCCATGAAGGAGGACATGAGGACCTCGGATACGCCGTACATCTGCGTGGTCTCTATGAGGTCCAGGGAGAAGGCGATGCCAGGGAGGACACTGGGGTGTAGTGTGAGGCTCAGATTGATGGGAGAGTTGAGCATACGCACTTGGCGAAGAATATGAGCGCTGTAGCAGGTATGACGCGGTAATTGTATGCGTCCTTCCAGTCGCTCCAGTAGTACGGGGCTCTGGCCCGTATATCTCTTCGTATACCCCGTCCAAGGGTCCGCAGCTCATGAGTCCAGCCCCTGCTAGAGGTCGCAGTAGCCGATGAGGGAGCGGTCGATCGCTCGACCTCGACGGGTCTCTTCTCCAAGGGAGCAGCAACAGCGTCTAGCGAAGACATCGTAGGAGTAGTGATGTTCGTTCAGGCCGTGATCGTCATGAGCGGTACTTCTCCAAAGCCAGACCGCAGTCCTCTCGCGGACGTGGCTCTGTGCAGATGAGAGTTCGGGAAGACCCTGGGGAATGCGGGGAAGCAGATCGGCGGGAACAATGGGATAATGTGCTTGGCGTTATTTGCACCGCATCAATTCGCGATCACCTGACCACAAAGTTGAGGACCGTGGCTGCTCGGCTCATTGTTCTCTCACGCCCTCTCACGTCTTGACGCTCATCATGGATTCTTTCTTGGACTTCCTCACGAAAACGATTCTTGGACGGAACAATGGACGGAGTGATTACATGGATATGGTCCTCAGGAAGACTCCTCACGTAGCGCTGGGCGCCACAGCTCTATACCTCAGCGCGGTCGGACTGCTGTCGGTGCCGTACATTCAAAAACAGTGAGTTAGTTGCCTACAGTGCATGACTCGATACTGAACTGAATGCAGAGCACTCTACTGCAATGGAATCCGCCGCTCACGACTAGGCGTCTACGAACGACCGGAGAAGTACGGTCTCGCGCGTACGTTCGCGTTCCCTCCTCCCGAGAAAATCCCCATCTGACACCCGCTGCAGCCAGCAAAGCCCTCAACGTACAACTCCCCACCCCCGACGGTCAGACCCTCGGCGCCTGGTTCATCCTCTCCGATGCCTACTACCACTCCATCCTTAAGCACGACTGGGAAATCGACCTCCGCCAGGCCCTCAGCTCCCTCCCCACCATTCTCTACCTCCACGACGCCGGCGCCTCGCGCTCCGCCAAGCCCTGCGTTATCCAGTGCTCCATGTTCTCTTCACGCTTGTCAGCCAACGTCTTCGCGATCGACTACCGCGGCTTCGGCGACTCGACGGGCGCGCCCTCGGAGGAGGGGCTTGCGACGGACGCGCGGGCGGCGTGGGAGTGGCTCCTGCGCAACGGCGCGAATCCGGCGGATGTGGTGATTGTGGGGCAGGCGCTGGGGAGCAGCGTAGCGGCAAGGTTGGGCGCGGAGATTGAGAAGGACGGGCTGAGGCCGAGGGGGATTGTCCTGCTAAGCCCTTTCTCGAGTGTGAAGGACGCGGCTAGGAGCGTGGGCTTACACGGGTCTGTGCCTTTCCTGAAGCCGTTGAACTTGATCCCGAAAGCCACAGGTGCGATCTTTCATGATATGCAGGAGGGTTTGTGTGCTGACGCACTGCCAGATCTGCTGTTGAAAAGGGTTAAGCCAAGCTTCGATACCCTCGCCTACGCCTCCGTAAGCTGAGTCTCCTTTGACCCCCCAACTCACCCCTAACCCACCCCCAGACCATCAAAGTCGCCGACATCCTCATCGCCCACAGTGAAGACGACCCCGAGATCCCCCTCACCCACTCCGAATCCCTCTTCCATACCTTTCTCGAGCCCCTCCTCCCGCCCGAGGTCACCCTCCCCTCGAACCCTGGCTCCCTCTCGAAAGACGACTGGGACAAGTTCACGCACGATGTCACCGCGCGCCGGCAGGCGGAGAAGAATCTGGTCATCACGAACGAGATTAGGGACTTTGGCGTGACGAGCGAGTTCGTGGACTCAGATCATGGGGACAGGCGGGTGATGCTGGTGAAGACGCTCGCGGGGGGACATGATGCGGTGGGCTTGCAGGAGGGCGTGCAGGATGTGATGGGGAAGTTCTTTGGGTTTCTGCCTTGAGCCAGGGGCCGAAGTTTGCCCCAGACTAGACATAACGATGGAGGGATGTGATGGTCACGCTACTTGCTCTGCTTACGAACCATCTATGGTTACCCTATCTACGCTACTGATACCAAGTTGACGATTATACCTGTATATGCTTACCTTTCATGAAACCTTGCTGTTACGATGACCAGCCTTGAAAGATGGCTTTTCGACATGACCAAATACCGTCTTGGGATGACCTATGCCTCGCACACCCAGTACGACGGACTTGGTCTCTACCAACCTTTCTGAAAGCCAAACGTTCGTCTTTGAGTTGTGGGACCACCTCGATCGGGAGTTGCCGATCCACGTGCTTTACGTGCTTGCCACGACGCGTCGGTTCATCCCGACGTTCATCTTGACCTGAAACTTAAAGCTCAGCAGCGTCGACTTTGAATCTTCCCGAAGCTCTCACATTGACTCTAACAAAGGCTTCGACTCTAGCTCTGCAGAAGCTTCGACTTGGAATCCGCCAAACAGCTTCTACCTTGGCTCTCTAACTTCGCGTACGATGTCTGACTGGCTTCATGACCATGGCTTCGGGCAACTAGATTTCTCTCTATTCGACCGCTACCGTCCGACCATCTTCGACGCTGTCGGCTTCTCTTTAGGCTCTGGAATTGGCAAGCTGCTTGTGGGCGTCGTAGCCGCCTACGCAAGTGCTGTGTTGCTTCTGTCAATTCCGTGCTTCCAAGGACAGTAAGTGGAGGTACATGCTGAATGTGAACAGAGGCTCAGTTGGCCAGTGTGCTCTACCTCAATAAGATAAAGTTGCCCTTTTTTGCGAGGTTCGACATGCCTGAGAAGTACGGTCTTGCGCGTAAGCTTTTTCCTTCATGTGTCTCGAAGCCCAGAACTTACTTGGGCTCCGCGATCTCTTCGCCTTCTATTGACGCCTTACCAGCAAACAAAACCCTCAACTTCAAACTCCTCACCCCCGACGGCGAGAAACTGGGCGCCTGGTTCATCCTCGCCGATCCTTACCAGCGCGCCCACCCCAGCCTCTCCACCACGCGCGACTGGGACACCGACGTCCCAGCTGCCCTCCGCACCTACCCCACCATCCTTTTCTTCCACGGCAACGCCGCCACGCGCGCCTTCCCCGCCCGCCTGCAGCACTACATCATGTTTTCCTCACGACTCGCCGCGAACGTGCTCGCCATCGACTACCGCGGCTTCGCGGACTCGACGGGGACGCCGTCGGAAGAGGGACTGACGACGGACGCGTACGAGGCGTGGTGTTGGCTGGTTAAGAATGGCGCGAAACCGGAGAATATTGTCGTGATTGGGCACTCATTGGGTGGGTTGTTAGGCTTGCGTATCTTTTCTTGAAACTTACGGACGTGGATAGGTACGGGTGTAACGGCTCGCCTTGGGGTCGTTCTTGAGCGCGCTGGCGTCAAACCTCGAGGCCTCGTGCTCATGAGCCCGTTCTCGAGTATCGCGGAGGTGGTGAAGACGTACAGTATCCTCGGGTTCATCCCGCTCATGAGACCTTTATCCTTCATCCCCGGCGCAACTAGTTCGTCCATTCTACTCATCGTCCACTAAACACTTATTTCATCTCGCGTTTTTGTAGGCCTCATTGGAAAGCTAATTGTTCACCGCTTCGATACTCTCCGCGCCGTCTCGGTGAGTGACACACTTCTCTATCTTTTGCAGTGACGCTGACTATCCTTAGGACCTCACGTCGGCAGATATAATTGTCGCCCACAGCGAGAACGACCTCGACATTCCGCATACGCACTCGGAAACGCTCTTCGAGGCCTTCCTCACTCCGGTACTGCCCACAATAAGCGACGCAGAACACCCACAGGCGAATGGTCGCGAAGGCCGGCGGGCTCTCCGTCGTGAAGATATTGTCAAGACTATATCTATCCGCAACTTTGGCACCGTGCAGGAATTCGAGGACACTCGGAGTGGCGGGCGTAGGGTTATTTTCGTGAAGGCGTTAGCGGGTGCGCATGATTACCTTGGCATACAGGAGGGGCTACAGGACATCCTGGCGAGAACGTTTGATCTGGGGCATGCCCTGTAGATGGTAGGAGAGTCGTCCTATTTGCAATGTACATTGCATGGGTTTCGAGGGACGACCTCGAAGTCGATAAGAGGCAACGCTTCTTTCAAAGGAAGATGCGGGTGCAATTCCTATACAACACATGCACGCATGACCCTGAGCCGCAGTAGAAGGCGTGTACACGATGCTAGTGCCCATCCGTTGGGTCGCCAGATAGCGGGAAGTGAGTACGAATCGTAGCCAGTGCTTTTCGTTCGAATTTTCCTACGTGAAACTAGTGAGGATACGTACAATATGCGTCCGCCTCTCTCATTCCCGTGCAAAGCTGTAGACGCTAGCAAAGCAACCTTCTGATCCAAGCTAAGCGATGACTGCATATCTTCGTCAGTCCCAAGCCGTGAAGATCGCGTTCAGCGCACCTCAGTGTTTGCTGCACAAAGCCGTAATGGACATGTTCCGCCCACTCCCCGTCGCCTGATCGAACAAGTTCTCAATGGTCACCGTCATCGGATCATGCCCCGCATGTGCTCCCTCAATCGTTCCCGCCCCCAATTCCACCCCGCTACCCCCCGCAGAGCCATCGCTCCCATCCGCAGAGCCGCCCGCCCCATTCAGCTGCTCCACCAGCCACACCTTGCGGTCCAGCACGATCAGGCTCTCGACGAGGGGCCCAATCATGCAACGTAGGGTGTGCAGCACGGAGAGCTGGCTCTCGCGCGCGGCACGCTGTTCTGGATCGTGTCCAGGGCGTCGATCCTGGGTAGGTGAGAAGCCCATCTTCGCGGCAGCCGCAGCCACAAATTCATCCCAGTTGTCGTAAAACCTCTTGTTCAGCTTTCCGAGCCGCTGCATCTCCGGCCTCATGCCGGTGCCCTCGGTGCCCAAGCAGCTTTTCCTCAGGTCCGAGGGTCGCTCCTCATCTGCAGGCCGAGTCCCGCGCTGATCGCCAGATCCCTGCTCGGCGGGTCGCGCGTCCGCGGAGCCCAAAGCGTACTCGCTGGAGAGCAACGCGCGCCATACGATCTTGCGCACGGCGAGCATCGCGTCAGCGAGCGCCTCCGAGGTGCGAGGCCACGTCCCTGGGATCTGCGTCGCCAGATGATAAGCGGACGCAGGCAGCGCTGGTGCCGGTGGGGCCTGGTTCCTGCGGTAATTACTGAGGGCAGCGGACATGGGAAAATCTGGAGATCACGATCGCCACACATTCAACAAACACACAGCGCAGAAGCAGAAGCGCGCACGCACCTCCAGGCTGCAGGAGATTGTAGCAACAGCCCACGGCAACCATCCCCGCAGGGCGCCAGGTGGGGATAGTACCTTCACAGGAATAATGTCGGCGTCTCGCGGCTACGAAGGTGCGCAGAATGGTAGGCGTGAGCGATCCGCATGCGTGCAGGGCGACGAGGAAGACGGGTATGGGCTCGTCTTCGCTACGCCGCATAACCCTGATCCATTCGTCGATGGTCTCCAGCAGATTGGATGGCGTTATCCATATCGTCCGGTGCGTTACTGAATCTTCGATCCCCAGCTTCCTCTCCCACTTCTTGGCGCCTGCCGTCTGCAAGTCGTCTGCGTCCAATGCAAGGACGCCTCTACAGCGAAGGTGTACTTGGAGCGTTCTCGTAAGATAGCCCTATCAATGTAGGCGTCAGATACCGATCCAATGTAAGCCTGGGAGCTTCGCCTGCTAACCTGACCAGCGCCAACGTCTACGATGCAAGCAGCTGATGGGTCTATCCCGCTATCGCGAATGACGGATTCGACATACGCAGTCATGCGGAAGACTTCGTGTGACTTCTTGGGGGACATTCCAACGGCGGATGCCTGTATGTTGGGCACTGAAGAAGAGCGTGAGGTCAGCGAAGCACCGCAGAAAATCTCACAAACCATGTAGCGTCATTGGGGTCCTATCTAGAGAAAGGCGGCACACTCTATCTATTAATTCTCTAAGTTCTCCTGGTAATTCATCGCCCTGGCTAAGACGTTATAGGCAAGAACTCCTTCTGCTTGAGACCATGGGAAGTACTCACCAAATGGTCCGCGTCCGGTGCTATGCGCAGCTTCTCACAGTAATACATGAGCAAGCGTATCCAGGGCGCGCACAGCTCATATTTTTCCGCTTCGGATGAAGGTACAGAGCCGCTTGCCGCCCATGCCCACCAAAAGGTCCATGATTCCGATATAATGCTTATGTCGTTTGGGTGCGTGCGAAGCAAGCCGTCTATGAGTTCGGAGGAGACAGCATCTTGTATTTCATGTAGTCTCCGAGTATCGCCGCAGTCCATAGTTGTTCGCGAAGCCATAAATCCGGCGTATAGGTTACTGGTGTTGGGCGGTGTCGCAGTTAAAGTCAAGGTTCAGGAAAATGAACACTGATGCGATCATTCGGCGATAGCCGACGGCAATCCCCGACCGACATGTTGAACTTCAGCTCGAGCACACAAGCACTTCCGACCAAATAGCCTTGCGCTTGCATCGCAAACCAAACCGGGGGGTCAGGTCATTGCGATTGTATGTGCTGTACTTCAGCAATCATCTGACTCCAAGTGAACGCGCGGTCCGTACGCTAGCCCCCTCCTTGGTTCCCTGTCGTGTCAGCGAAAGCCCGATGCTCTTCCTTCTGAACCCTCGCAGTGGTACGCATGCAAGTTTTCGCAGAAATGTCGGCGTAGTGCATTGCAAGCGTACAGGCACTGCCTCCCACCATCGACTGCTGCCCACTCCAACGAGTAGACAGATATATTGACAGGCCCGGGCGGGCCGGGCGGCCCAGCAGTAGCGAGCGCTTGCGGAACATAGCACAGTACATGCAGTCGGTTCATACATACACTCTATAGCATGTATAGAGACCGTCGAGCGGCGTATACAGCAGAAGACTCGATACAGTAGAAGCCCCGCGATGCATCTTCTCCTGTCAATTACTCGGCGGCAATGGCGTCTACCGCCAGTCCCCCGAGCAGCGCGGACTTTCGAGCGTGAACTGTCCTAGCCACCTCTACTGCTTCAATATTCCCCGTCACTTCGAAAGGGAATCGGGGGAGTGAAGTGCCGATCCGAGAGGGATCGTGCACCGCATGGAATGGATCGCGTATTGCATGAAAGTGATCGCGCACCGCTCGAGGCAGTCGTGCACCGCTCCTTTGACATTTCCCGTCTAACTGTATCAACAGGTCAACATGGACATCACTGTCAGTGTCGGACAGTTCAAATTTACCTTGTGTATATCCTGGAGGGGAACTGATTTTAACAGCTTGGATGATGAACCTCACGAGGAAATCGGCGGTCGATTGTAGTGCTGTTGTCGACCTGGTCTGCGGGTCAATCGCAGGATCCTCGTTCGACTCACCTGACGCACTCTGAACGCGAGGGTTTCACCGACACGTAGCGCGTGCTATGCGCCGGCTTATGCACAACGGTGTGTCCCGGTCGATGCGCCGCATCCAGCTCCGGAAGACGTACCGCGTGCTGCGTTTGGGGCGATGCTCCTCGGGGATGCATCATGCTGCTTCTGAGGGACGTATCTCGTGCCGGCTCAGTCGAAGCATCCCGTGCCGTCGGTCCTGTTTTGAACGGCGTCGGTCCTGTTTGAGCAGCGATGCACCCATATTAGGGAGCTGTCATCACGCTCGGGAAGCTAGGAAGGAATCGTTCTCATACTAGATCGCCCTCCGGGCAATTTGGGTGTGGTATTCGGACCGGGCATGGGCAGGACAAGTCATCACTGCATACACCAAAGCAAGCGCAGTACCGCTAGCGCTAAGCACATAGTCCTTGAGGTATAGACGCAGTCGATAAGGACCAGGTTCGGGCAACTCGGACACCTGCGCATGCATTGTGGCGCGCATAAGGAGCAAGCACAGAACGAAAAATTCTGATGGGGCGCGCATCGAGAGTCGACGGCGCACAATGTCGCTGATTTCATCCAGCAAGAAGGTTCCGCACGGTTAGTACCGCTTTTGACTCGCAGTCACCAGCGCGCGAGACCCAGCTTTACTCTTCTCCCCATTAGCATCCGCGGTCGAGGTCCGGGGTGAGACGTACTATCACGTTTCCCGAAGACCAAGGACGATCCCGGAAAGCAAGGACGGCCCCGGAAGAGCAAAGACGGGGTTGCTGTCCAGGTAAAACAGCAATTTACAGAGCAAATCTGGACCTCGAAGCTCTAGCTTGCGTCCGAATCCTTGGGAGAAGGGCTCTCTTCCCTAACAAAGGCTGTCGGCTAGTGCGTGGCGCCGTGATAAATTGGAGCGGAAGGACGCAAGAGCACCGAATAGAGTGAGAGCTTGCGCAATGTAGATGTACCTCGACAAGGGAGTATATTCCGGGTAGAGCAAAGGACGAGTAGGGCTGAACAGCGACCATGAGCTGCGTCGACGCGGAGACTCTGTCCACAAGGTTCGCAAACGTAAAGTGCCATCAGGGCCAAGAGCAAGGCCAAATAAGGAAGGTAATCAACGGTCGCGTCCGGATGCAATTATCGGCCGGCCCCTGTGTAAATTACCTGAAATTACCGATCACTCGTGATGCGCCGAAGCTCATGTGACCGACCCTTATATGGATCGCAGATCTCCGTGGCTTTTCTTCCGCATCTCGCGACACGTTCCCCGCGGGGGGAGGCACGGTGGCGAGGGGGGAGGAGGGGAGGGGAAGAGAGGCAGGAATCTGGAGGGAAGAGGTCGCGCAATTCATAGCTCACTTCGTCTCCATCGTGACGCCGGACATGCAAGCCCACGAGCTGATTGATTGCATCCATAATCGGGAAATGCGCGGGTTCGTTTGAAGCCCTCCCTACTTCCTCCCGCAGTTGCCGCCCCCGGGGCTCCGGCATCGGTTCGTACGTCCCTCTGGGCACCTAGCCGCCGCGTCTGGCATGTTGAAGTATTTTCTGTGGGTCTGTGGCGAACAAGAGCGGTGGCCGACCGTGTAAATTGTTGAGCCCGTCAGGTAAGTAGGCTCGCCACCGTTTCACGGCCGTTAAGACCGGCGTGCTGTCCGTAACTCAGCGGCTGCACTCCGGAACCAACCTGCTCAAGGTCGCCTTCCCAACAAACAAATACATATATCATCGGTTTTCTCACAGCTGTCGACCGCACCTGGTCCGCACGGTGTTGGGAAGGCCCTTGGGACTCCGGCCACACACGCACGCATGCTGCAGCGCGCACGTAACCTGAACATCAGTCGTTATCCCCCAGATGAGCGCCCAGCGCACCTCTTCTCTGACTCTGCACGCGGGATCGATCCCCAATAGGCCCCCAGCCGACCTTAGCCTCGAGCCGGCTCGTTTGCATCATGCGCTACGCGCGACATTCATCCTGTTTACCGAATGCCCCAAGACCCCTCCCATCAAGCTTCCGACGCCATCTGCCACCCAACCGCGCCCTCAGCGTACACGCACGTCTCCCGCAGAAAGGATCGTCGCCCCCAGCCGAAATGAAGCAAAATTAGTGAGCCCAGACGCACCAAAAGACGACACCACTGCCCGGCTGTCGCCCAGCCCTGCAGAGCTGATGTCGCACGCATGGCACTGGGTGGCACGCCGCAGGGTTCGCCTTACTGCATCGCCCCGCCCGCGCTATCCGGTCAGTCGCACGCATAATGGGACAGTCATCAGCGCGGGAGGATCCGCGTCTTCTCCTCGCGTAAACAGGCGCCGCCGACCCCACCGGGGGACGAGCACGAATCGGCTGGTAGCAGATAACAATCTTGAGCCTTCTGCCCGAGCCGCGAGAATAGCAGCAGGCCCAGGAGCGCACCAGCCCCGAGTGAGCGAGTCCCATGCCTCATCACCAAGCGCAGAGAGCTCTCGTACAGCGCCTCGCCTGCGCCAACAGACCGGATATGCACCGGCCCGCCTGAGCACCCACCCCACGATCGCCCGCCGCATCCCCCATCGCAGCGAGCCCTCACCAAACACGCTGATTGCGCGCCTGAGAACGAGCACTCCGTGCGAGCAACGCGGCAGCCTCCCCTCCGTCCTCGCGCCCCGAGACAGACAGGACCTGTCATCCGAGGCTCGAGGAGTTGGGCAGTTTCTGTCAATCTTGACTTATGTCTGTCAAAGGCTATGTCAGCCGGAGGGTTATAGCTTCACGGAGACAAAGCGTGCGGGCACTGACAGAGGGGACGTACCCCGCGTCGCATCCGTCCCCCGGCTGGCGCGATTTGTTACGCTGCGCAGGTGGCACCGCGGTGGAGAGCTGGCGTGCCTGGGGCCCGGCAGCTCCCACAGGCCGCATCGATCCAGCGTGGTGAATCCGCCGCCTGGCTCTTCACGTACGCGCAAGAAGAGCCGCGCCGGACCCTGTAAACAACCGCGCGCGTGAGCCAGCATCCCCTGTGAGCAGGTCGCGTCCCAGACCAGCTGCGTCCACAAGCGCACACGCTCATTGATCCATCATGAAGGCACGCACCCGCGCACGCGCTCCGTGACATCTGCCTCCGGGGCTTCGAATTCCATCGCGCCCTTCCGATCCTTCGAGCGCATTTTGATCTTTCGGTAGTCGCCTAGCAACTGCATTATCGGGATCCCCCAACGAACCCGCAATTCCCGATCAGGACGAGCCTGCGCTGCTCCTCAAACGCCAATAAATGGCCCTGCGAACCTCGCGCCTGGTGGATCAGTCGGCGCTGCTCTCAGGGTCGGCGAGCTCCAAGCAACCGCAGCAACAGACGCCGCAAAACCCGCCGGCGTGAATTTATTTCTCGCAGCCTCGTGAGGCGCACTCCCACATGCCTGCAGACAGCGTGTCATCCCCGAGCCAGCCTAGAGTCAGGAAAAACGTACGTCTAGCCCATCACTCGCTATACACTCCCCCGTTAGTCCGTAGAAAAATTCCACTGGACCACCGGCCGTCCTAGAGCCCGAGGTTGAGCCACTGGCGGCCCGCTGCAGTAGAGCTCGCAATTTCGCCGGTTGAATGAAGGGATGATTGCTCTTTGTATGGAAGAAAAAGTATCACTGCTCGCATGCGAAAGGCCTGGCCAAGAACCATGCATTGTTTCCAGCAGACCTACGGACAAAATAAATGGATCAACGACTAGAAGAACCATAAGGTACCAGGTGCAATGCCAGACTGCGAGCGGCGACGACGGTAAGACAAGCGAGAACACGGCGGACGGCGGATAGCGACCGGGGAAGGGGAGCAGAAGGTGTCAATGAAGACCGGGTAAGAAGCAGGAAAAATCGAGGGGAAGAAGGAAAACCGGGTGAAGAGCGGTCAAGCTCGTGAATGAATACGCCTGGTGAGAAGCGAGAAGAGCGGCGAGGAAGCAGAAAGACCGGGGTGGAAGCAGGAAGCCGGGTTAAAAGCAGGACGACCGGGGCATGGGAGCAGACACTGGGGTGGTATGCGCGAGACTTGGTCCGCAGCGAGAATTCTGTGCCATAAGCGGGCAGCTGGCACACCACAGGCGGGCAGATTGCGCCACGAGCGGGCAGACTGTCATGAGCAGGAAGACTGCGATCATGAGCACGACGACAGAACAAGAGCACGAGCAGGACGACGGACCATGAGGAGAAGCAAAGGATACAGAGGTTCTTGTGTTGGCATAATTATTACATTTGCTGAGCGTGCATGGGTTCGATGTGAAGAGGTCCATCACAGGCGGGACGAGGAGTCCAATATCGCAGGCGTTTTAAACGACACAGTCGCTGGCTATAAGGTAGAGTCGAAGACGGGCGATCGGAGGTATATATACACAGATGCAGTTGCCGGGGCACAAGATGGTGTGAGATGAGGACGGCGCGGCAATGAGCACGACGACGAGAACGCGCGCGGCAGTAGAGCGCAGATGGCGAGGGTATGGGGGAGTATACGAAGGCGGGAGCGGAGAGCGCAGATGAAGGCAAGCCTGAAGATACTGTAAATCCATGCTCGACAACGACGGCTAATCACACACCTTGTCGCGCGGCGTTAACGCCCATTCTCCCCCCTACTCCCCGACCTCGTCTCCGAGCCGTCGTACGGCGACGTGGAGAACGCATTGTTGCCACCACCGCTGAGGCTCCCGCCGCCGCTGCCCGTGAGGCTGCCGGCACCCCCACCGCCCAGCCCATACGGCGGCGTCGGCGAATAATTCGTGTGCGGCGGGGACGCGTACTGGCCAGGAGGGGTGCTGTTCGAGTAGCTGCCCATGGAGTGCGACTGAGAAAGGCCGCCAGATTGCGAAGGTCCGCCGAGATGTGAAAGTCCGCTCGATTGCGAGGGACCGCTCAGATGCGATAAGCTTCCCATCGAGGAGTAGCCGCCCGCACCGCCATATCCGCTCGTGCTCTCTGACGCGAAGGAGCCGTTGGTGAAGGGCGCGGACAAGCTGTTGCTGTGCGAAAGGCTGTTACCGTGCGACGAATAGCTGCCGCCGTCACCGCCTCCCAGCCCGTAAGAAAAATCATCCTTCGCGACCTTGCTGCTGCCGTACATCGTGCTCGAGCCGTAGCCTTCCTCGCGCTTCGACGCGAAGATGTCGTCCGCGCCTGACGAGCCGAAGCGATCGTTCGGATAGCGCAGAGGGGGTAGTCCGAGGCGGTGCGACTGAGAGCCCATATGGCGGCTCATCGACGTGTCCAACGGAAGACCAGGAAGCCCCAAGCCGCCTGACGATCCCAGACCAGACGATGAACCTAGGCTGCCGAGTCCGCCACCGCCTCCGCCCATGCCCCCGCTGCTCATCCCTCCTAAGCCGTTGAAATCGACAGGTGGGCGCCTGTACTCGGGGGCGGTGCTGAGCGTCATCGGGTTGTAGATCTGCAGCGATGTGTGGTGCGGCTCAGGCATGCTTGCGCGGCGGTGGTCGTAGCGCGAGTAGGAGTTGTATCCCAGGCTCTGGCCGCCGGACGACATGTACGGATGCGCGGAATGGGGCATGCCCCCGCCGGACGCGGACTGCGACTGCGAGAAGGGTGCGGTGGTCGTCGGCCCCGCCTGCGCGCGGTTAGCGGGCGCGAGAATGCGCCGACGGGCCTGGGTAATATATTGAGGATACTAGGAAGGAAGGGGGGTGTCGGTTGCACATACGTTGATCATCCAATTCGACACCTGGCTCATGGAGAGACCGGTGGCATGGCAGAGCTGCTTTTTCTCCTCCTCGCTCGGGTATGGGTGGTCGGCATGCCGGTGCAGCCAGGCCTTGAGAAAATCGGTGGTTTCTTTGGGGAGCTTGCCCCGCTTGCGTGTCGGCTGCACGGTGACTGCTGGCGGCGTGGGCCGCTGTGTGGCGCCTGCGGAGGCGGAGGGAGGTGTGGCGGACGAGCGCGAGTCTTGGGTGTCCGAGGGCGCCCAGTCGTGCGGTTTTGCGCGGTTCGCTGCGTCCTCGAAGAGGCCGCCGCTGCTTGCGCTGGAGAGCGAGCTGTGGCGTGGGACAGTTGCGGGGTCGGCCTCGTACTTGATGCCGGGGGTCGAGCTGGGGCGCACGATGGAGGGCGACGAGTCGGAGGGCTGGTCCTGGGTGTTTGCTGCCCAGGTGTCGTCGGGCGAAAAGGGCGGGAAGGAGGTGGAGGCGGAGGAGGAGTTGGTGGAGGTGGAGAAGCCGGGCGTGTACGGGGACGAGTCTGCAAAGTTGTTTGTGTTTGTGGTCGTGTGTGTGGGGGACGCGCGGGTGTCGAGGCGCGCAGGCCGCGCCTTCTCGGGGGGAAAGGCGTAGTCGGTGAGGCCGGCGTATGCCGGACCGTGGCCGTGGCCGTGACGGGTCGCGGGCGGGGGGTAGGGGGTGTGCCGAGCGGGGTGTCGGGCCGGAAGGGAGGCGCGGCGGGCGCTGTGGTCGGCGTCGAGGAGGTCCATCATGAGCGCAGCGGCGGGATCGACGAACGGACGGCATGGCGCTCCTTATAAAGGCGTCCGCGATTAAGGCCCATGCCCGATCCGATCTCTTGCCGCATCCGGTTGTCCCCTTCTCGTTTTAGGTATATTAAACCCTTTCATTGCAGGTACGCGATCAACGCGGCGTCGCGACCCGAACACGGTCCGTCGCCCCCCGCCCGCGGTCGCTGCTAGCCTCCGCGGCCGACTCATCTACGCCCGACCCGGTCCCGTCCCGGCCGTCGTCCCCGCCCCCGCCGCCGTCGCCGCCGCCGATCCCGAACCCCCGCCGCCCGCTGCCCCTGTCCCCGCCGTCCCCGCCCCCCGCACCGCGCTCAGCAGCCGCCCCGCCTTGCGACTCTCCTTCTCCGTCACGCCCACCCCGTCCAGCGTCCGCAGCTGCCCGCACCGCTGCATCATCAGCCCACGATATGCAAGCCGCCCAATGTACGCCTCATCAGGCAGGTCCCGTCGGAATTTCGCATCCATCTCCGCCCACTCCCCCGCCGCGGACGGCGACAGCGCCCCAGGGACGTCCTTCACAAGCAGAGGCAGGTACCATCCCAGCGTACACGGATTCATCCTACCACATCAATCACCATCAGCCGCAAAGAAAGACTATCACGATCCTCAATCACGCACCGAAAGTCGACGCTCTCCACTTCGTGCATCCCGCTCACGATTCCTACCAAAACCTGCAAAAGCCCCTCGTCAGTACCACTCATCATGATGCACACGATATGGGCAATATAAGCGCCCAGCATTTATCAGAGAAGCGCCTGCACAGCAGCTGACCGCTGCGAGGCTACCTGCGACCCCGACGGATGATTGCCAGTCCCGCAAGCAATACACCCCGCACCAGGTCAACCATTAGCCTGCAAGCTGCCGCTGCCCCGGTGCCATATCACCGACCGCAGATCTCTTCTCACCATCCTCGACCCCTCGTCATCCAGACAGGATACCCATCTTCGAGGGCGTACACAACGGCAATGACCTCAGTACTTCCTCTGCCCATCTCCGCAGCATCAACTCCAGGGCCAAACCAATTGCTCTTCGACCATCGCCCTCGAGGCTCCCCTTCCTCAATTGATCCTCGTTGTACGCCCTCCCCATCATGCGTCCCAAAACCCTATCAAGCACCCAAACGACGGAACACGCATCACTCACCTTCGCGTCTCCGACCCGCCCACCAACCATACTCAATCTCCTCAACCTTACCAAGCCCCTCAGCTTCGCCGCCTCTGGATCCGCCAGGAAATTGTAGTTGAGGTTCAACACTCGCACGTTCGGAAAGAGGCCCGCGAACGCGTCCGGCAACGCGGTCAGTCGGCACGCCGCGAGCTCAAGGTAGACGAGGCTGTAGCACGGCACGGCGCGCGAAACGGGTGAGTATGAGATGGCGTTGCCTGTCGGTTCGTGGTCAGTATCGGTTGAGTGGAACGTGCAGAGGAAGATGTAGGAAATAAAGAGTATTTGCGAGAATACTTCACTAGGCGAGAGCCTTTCGGCGGAAGTGGAAGGATGCACTCACCACTCAAGTACAACCTCTTCACATCTCGCACATCGCTCGTTAACGCCATCAAGTCCACCGCATCCCTCCTCTTCCTCGCCGCGCCTCGCTCGCGACACTGATTCCGCAGACTCAGATTCTCCAGCTTCACCGGCCAGCGCCTCGCAGACGACCCCGACGCTGTCCTCGGTCCATCCGTTGCACCCGACGAGCTACTTCTCCGCAAATCGAGGTCGCTCAACCTCGGTGCGCGGCGCAAGCTTAGGTTGTTCTCATCTGGGTCGCCTGGTACGTCCTCAATGCTCCTGTCTGCTCGGACATCCCGGTTGCTCTCAGGGCCAACGAGCGCCCCAACCTCCATCCTGCACCCGTCCGCGTAGAACACCCTTAGCGACGGGAGTCGGTCCACCCCGTCGACCCTCCGCACGCGCGCATTCCCGCTGAGCCGGAGGATGCGGAGCCGCGTCAAAGCGCCGCGCGGGAGAACAAGCTCGGCGAGGTCGTTGTTGTCTGTGGGGTGCGCGGATCAGTTCCTCGGTTACCAGGTCAGGTGAAGAACAAAGGGAATGCCGAATAAGGAGAGAAAAAACAAAACAGAACAGCGGACTGGCAAATACACGTAAAGAAACAAAATTGCCGAGAGGGAGGAAGAGCAAAGACGCTAGTGCTCCGATGAACGTGGAAAAATCAACAAAAAAGCGGCGACCCGACAGGAGATTGCACTTCATGAATGAAAACGTACCGATATCCAAGACCACCAGCGCCGGCATCCGGTCGAGGCCCTGGAGGTGTGTGATCTTGTTGTCGGAGAGGTTCAGGTACTCCAGTTTGGGCCTATAGCGCATGTATCGTCAGTCACAAACCCCCAATCAAGCGGGAAAGACGTAAGAAGGGGATGCACGGGCTTGGCTACGCACACCTGGCTACGTAGCGCGAGGCCTAACTGCGTAGCACAAGGCCTGATCGTGCGGCGCACCAGGCCGGGGAATGCGGCGCATGATGCAGTATCGCAACACGAGCCAGCCTACGTAGCACAAGGCAGGACTGCGCAGCATGACCCCCGGGCATAGCACGGCGCGCAAATAGGCATGGCGCGGCGCACAAACGTCGCCGAGCAGGCCGGCGTATGCCTCACCACACCACCCAGCCCCGGCCAAGAAGAACGCCTGCGCGCTAGTCGAGGAACAAAGCACAGGTACAAGGGCACGCCGCAAGGAGGTGATGTTCCACTCACCAATCGCCAATCTGCACTTTCCCCTCGATCCGGTTCCCGTGCAGGTCAAGGCGCACGAGATTACGCAGCCGCTGCAGCCCCGCCACGGAGGTCAGCCGGTTCTTGGATGCGTCCAGCGTACGCAGCGCCTGTAGCGGTGCCAGATTGTCCGCGCCGCCCGCGAGCCGGTTCCCGCGCACATCGAGGGCCTCGACGCGCGCGCAGCATTCCCCGAAGCTCGTCGTCTCCGAGAGCTGGTTGTGCGCGGCGTCGAGGCGCAGCACCGTACGAGGGAGGCCCGTGAGGTACGTCAGCGCGTTGTTCGCTCTGGAAGGGATAGGTCAGCCACAGATGACCGCGCCACCATCGAGCTTTACTCACACTCGCACACCTACGAGCACCGGGCAGCAGTCCTCAAGGCCTACCAGACTTTCCAGCTTCTGTCCGCGGCGACCGTGCTTCATCTCTCCGCTGGCGGCAAGGCTCATCTCGGCGTCCCGGTTCGTAGACCCCGTGTCGTCCTCGTCCCTCTCTTCGCGCGCTGCTTGTTGGCGGCGTACTTCCATACCAGCTGCTCCGCTACCGTCTCGTGGTGCGCCGGTTGTGGGCCCTGTGTTGTCTTCAGGTGCACCGAGGACTGTCAAGTCGACTTCACGCAGCGTGTCCCAGTACGGTATGAACGGCACCACGTCCGTCAACGCGCGAATCAACGCCGACCTGGCCAGAGAGAACGATGGGAAAGCAGACATCGCCGTCCCACGAGTCACGTTTGGCGTGTTCGTCTGTGTCCTCAGAACACGCTCTTCGTGGCTCAAGGGCCTGCCGGGTGGCACGGGGAACGCAGAGGGCGAAACATCGACGACGACGGATGTCACGCGCATCGAGTGTGAGGACGAAGTGTCGGGGCCCAACCGGCTGAAGCTGTGGCGCGGGCCCGAGCTCGCATCCGCGTCGTCGCCATTGAACTGCAGGGCCGAGCTGGAGATGGTTCGCTGGAAGGAACGATTGCGCTGCGGCGCGTCCGGCTCGCCAATCACGCTGTCCTCAAGCGCGAGCCCCTGCAGATCCCGCAGGAGGCGATTGGTACGCGTGCTCTGCTCCAACCACACCTCATCATCCTCGTCGCCCTCGACCGCCTGGTCATTGTCTTGCGTGTCCGCAGAGGATGTCGAGTCCCCGAGGCCAAGGATCGGACCGTCCAAGCGCCCGTCCGAGAAACTGACGCTGCGACGGTGTGGCCTCCTATCCCTGCCCGCGTAACCTGAACCAGACGGCTGCGAGGCTTGTGCCCCCGAGTTGAGGGGATTGGATTTGAGCGCAGACCGGAGCGTACCTGCGGAAGGACTTTGAGACATGGGGGAGGAACCGGGGTGAGACGAAGGCGGCGGAGCCAAATATCCTAGGCCAGCTGGGGACGTCTCTTCGATCTTGGTCTGAGGATGCTCAGGCTTCGGAGCATAGAGATGGGGTCGCTCCGTATCGTCGTCGTCGTCTTCCTCTTCTTCCTCCTCGTCCTCTGGTGGAAGATCGTCGTCGAACCCATCCTCGTCGTCCATGATCTCTTCAACATGAGCATATGGCTCGGGTTCGTCGCCAGCGTCGGTAGAATCACTGGATGCGTCCGCACTCCTTGTCCTCGCGCGGAACTGCGCCAGTTGCTGCTGTTGCTCCAGATAAGGACGATCGGTATGAGTCACGTCGTCCACATCCGAATCCGAGGACGACGTGGTGAAGGACGAGTAGCGCTGCTCCTGACCAGGCGACTGCTGAACCATGTAGCTATAGTCGATATACTCGCCTTCCTCTTCGTCAATGAACGACATCTGCCCCGTCATGACGGGTACAACATGGCCAGTAGGAGGTTCTGAAGAGATGTCGATGTCGAATTCTTCCTGAGGTAGGTACTCGTCGCTCAAGAACGACGACTCGGGGAGATGGGAATGTAGTAGTTCGTCCTGGTCAGCGTATCCGCTGGCGTCTGGGAGTGGTAGCGACCTTGACTCGGTCGAGCTTGTACTCTGCCCGAAACCGCTGACACTGGCGTTGTCCCCGCTTCGCAAGCTGTCTATATCTCCGAAGACGTCCGTTGTATCGTCTATACACGGTGTAAGTAGACATTCTAACGAAGGAAGACGCCATTGGCATACCTGAAGAATCATGGCCCTGCCTCACCCATCTGCCCGTAGCATGATCGAAGACCATGGTCCCAACGCGCTCCGGTATAGGCATACCCAAATCAGACGGCGCAATCGTAGTAATCCGCCTCCCAGCTCTGGGCCCAATCGCCGATGGATGCGCATTCGACGGCCTCTGTGGCGAAAGTTCACCTAACGCAGCAGTACGCGGATCAGCCGGGCTCGGAGGGGCAACCAGCACATTCGGCGGTGCCAAATTGCCCGTGTTGTAGCCCTGCGCAGGAATGAAGCCGCGCCGAGGCTGAGCTGCACCCGTGACATTGCCAAAGCTCCCGTGCTTCACGCCACTCTCGACGGTGGCCGCCGTGCCATTCGTGGAGGCTGCAGAGACGAACCGACGGAGGTCATCGCGGGTCGCAGTACCGCCGGTCTGATGAATGGGGTCTGCAACGGTGGCGTCCGAAGGCGCAGAACCAAGCGAAGGTGGCGCGTTGTCCGAAGGCACACGAGAGAAAGAAGAGCGCATGGACGAGCTGAAAGACGGAGGCTTGTTCGAAGGACCAGGGTCCAGCGCCGTCGCATCAGAGGAGCCGGAAACCGTCCTCTGAGTGCTAGCCGAAACCACGCGGCGCGTCGACGGCACTCTCGCGCGCGAGGTCGACGCCGCGAGAGCATTGCTCGACGACTTGCGCAAACTCGAGCCCAGCGTCGTGCCAGTCATCCCCGTCTCCGTCCGAATGTGCGTCGTCAGACCAACAGACGTTTGCAACCGCTGCGTGGTACTCTCAGCAAGTTCCTGCCGCCCCGCACTCGTCGCATCGGAGGGATTTCTCGAGTGCGTAGCCAGGGACTCTCGCCGACTGGTTGTGTCGACAGAGCTGACCGTGATATCGTCCTTGAGTGCGGCCATGGCTCTTTGAGCTCGCTGCAAATACCAATTGGTCGACGAAGTTGGGCGCTGAGCCTTGTTCTCCTCCTCTGCCTCCTCCTGAGGCACATCTAACGATAGGTTAGCAAATCATATTTTTTGAGAGGCGCAAGGGGCACATACCATCATGGACAATCACCGAGCCCTGCTGAAGCTCCCGACCAGGCGTCCCAAGCGAAGACCTCGGCGTCCGCTCGCGCCCCGCACTCGCAAACGTCTCATTCCCCACCCCAGATCTCGTACTCGAGATCGTCGAGAAGTTATGCTCCTTCTGCTGTGATGCGATCTGCTGCATCAGAGACCTCGACGCCTGCAGATAGTCCGCCCCCTGCAGCTTCTTCTGCGGGCTAGACTGCGTCGACGAGTTCTGCGCGGGCGACGGCGTCCGAGACACGCGGGGCGGCGCCTCCGGGACCGCCAGCCGGGGCAGTCGCGGATCGCTACCTGCCGGGCGGACGCTCACCGAGGACCGCAACACCGGCGACGTGGGCTCCTGCTGCGATCCGCGGCCTTTCGAGGGCGACGGTGAGCTGACCATGACGTGCGACGAAAGAGGGCTCGGGCGGTAGCTCCCCCTGCCATTCACGCTGCGCCGATTGAGTGAATTGTGCGTCGAGAGGTGCCCTGTGGGCAGCGGGCTAGGGCGATGGCCCTTGACACCTGCGCCAGACCTTTCGAGCGCGGGGCTGTGGATGAATCCCTTGGCTGGCGTGGCAGCGGCGCGCGGGCGGCTGATGCTAGCGCCAGCTCCGGCGCCCTCCCCATAGCTGGCCTCCGTCCTGAGCATGCGTACGTGGTCATCCTCATCTCCGAAGTCAGAAGCTGGCGATAGGCGAACGCGCTTGACATGGCGTTTGTCCGGTATACGGCCATCGGATTCCTCCCGTGCCGAACCGGGCGGGGACGGACCCATGTCACCTTGAGAGAAGCCTGTCGAGGACGACGTGATAGGGCTAAGTCCAAACGGATGTCGATCCTGCGTGTGATCTCCGGAGTCGGGCCAAGGGCTGAGCGAGGCGGAACCGACTCGTGGACTGGATCCATCACTCGCGCCGGAGGAAGGGACTACTGCATCAGCAAGAGCAGACAGGTGTTCTTTCGTGTAGGTGTCATACTGGCCGAATAGTCGAAGGGGCGTAGTCTGTATCGAAAGCCTGGCCTGTCCATTGTCTCGACGGGCCGGAGTTTGCTGAACAGTAGTCCGAGACGCAGATGCAGCGTTGTTCGAACCCGAGGATTGCTGCTGCTGCTGCTGTTGTTGTGTGCTGTAGGGTGTACTTTGCGCAAGCGGACCCTGACCAGAAGTGCAAGTGAACGTGAAAGGATGCGGGGAAGGTGTCCGCGACATAGAGGGTGGCGCAAGTGCACCTTCCCCATTCGGAGCTAGATTCGTCGACGAATGGTTATCTGCTGCTTGGGCGCCCTCGTCTTGGTTCTGCGGCTCTTCCTCGGGCTCTTCGGGAATGGGGGACGCTCGAATCTCTGGCGCGTTGAGATTGACAGGAGGGCTGGGCGGCTCAAACATCCTCTCTAGCGGGAGAGGAGCGAAAATGTCCTTGACTTTGTTTTTGCCGCCGAATGGGTTCTTCTGGGCGAATGGCATAGGCGCGTCGGGGACATCATCGCGTACGACGAATGTTCCAGCCGGACGTGGGGACTCCGAGCGGGAGCTATGAGCGATCACCGAACCGGCAGGGGAGACTGGCGCTGTAGCATAACCCGCGCCTTGGGATGTTGAACGCGAGCCGCGAAATGAGCCTGAAGCGCGCAGGGATACAGATGTGGCAAAGGCGGCTCGACCGGGCGACGAGTACGGAGACGGCGTGGTGTGTATGTGCGATGGAAGAGGGGCTGTGAAGGAGATTTCGCCGTCATCCGCGTCAACCAGGAAGCTGTCCTCTTCTCCATCGGAATGGGGCGCTCGATCGTTCGCTCCACGCTGCTCGACGCTGAGCTCTTCCTCCTCGTCTGGCCACTCGTCCGCGAGCTCTTCAGTTTGCCATGCGGGTCTATTCATGTTCGTCGGGGTGGAGTTCGAGGGGTTGTAAAGTTGGTTAGCGTGTGGAATATATGGCAATAATATATGCGAGGAGATGCGAAAACACTGTTTATTGTCGATCTATCAGCTTGATAACGCGTCATATAGAGTCCTCCACGCACCAAAGCAAGACGGAATAGATAGACACGAGTTCGTCCTCCCTATCGATGTATATTGATTGAGCGTCGGTCAGCGGCTCCTGGTGCGTGATGGGGGAGACAGATGCGACCACGAAATTCAACGCGCGCAGAATAAAAGTACTGTAGAGCGATATGTCTGAGCGAGAGGAAAGGCGCGCAGGTGCTCGGAGTGGGCGTGTAGCCGAGGGCTGGCCGAGGTCTCGGAGGAGGACAAGTTCAGGCGAGGCCACGTGACGGCACTCGTTCGCGTTGTTGACGCATGTTTCGTTCTTGCCCAAAACGGACCAACGCTCATGTGTGCCGATACTCTCTTCTGGCCTCTGCTCTAACGCTTTCGTAGCACAGCACTTTTTGAAACATTGCCAGTAGCTACTCAATATTTTTACTACCCTCTCGTGTGGCTACGTCGAACTCAGCCGCATTTGGCTAGAGCAAAGTCACGATTCTGAATCCTCCCGCAGCGGCAGAGCACAAGGGCCATCCATGATGATTGTTAGAAAGCTACCCACCCCATGCGTAACTTCGTGCTCCTTATATATATGGCCAATGGCTTCTGCGCTTTGACTCGTGCCCGTAATGCCCTTATGCATCAGCGACTTCACGCTGAACCTCGGAACGAGATGAGCTGGATAGGCTCTGCCCGTTATCTCCTCAATGTACTCTTTCAATGCCACTGATACAGTATCCTGCGTCATCGGATCTTTGACGGTCTGCCTATCGCACCATCGCGCCGCCACGCTTTCATCTCGCCCTTAATCATGCTGCTTACCGTCTCCGGCTCGGCTTTGTCGAATCTCGCACACCACTTCAACATCTACGCGGCCCCCGAACTAGCTATCAACTTGCGGATACTTCGACGATCTTACCTCAACTCCCCTATCCTTAATGAACCTTTCTGCTCCGGTTTTATAGGGTTTGATCGCTTACCGTCGAACCTATATGACCCATCCCCGAACCTGTGCAAACCCTCTCCGAGTCTATACCCTCATCGTTGAACTCTATCTTGCTCGGCGTCTGCCATCCCTTGATTCCGATTGCCTTCAAGAGCCTGTTAGTCTTCGCCGACGCACTTCGTCGGCACACTGCCTCACCTGAGTCCTCGACTTCCCAGGCAAAATTGCAGGTGTTCATCAGCTTTGATTCTATCAAACAGGGCCTCGGGCAAGGGCGTTCCCTCTGTCGCGCGGTCTATCGCCCACCCCGTTACCTGGTCGTCATCTTCGTAGGGGTTGAGATGTATGCCCTGGAAGGCTTCTTGTCCGTGCGGGTATTCATGCACTTGTCGATTAATTGCGATGCTTTGCACGAAGCATACCGGCGCTCGCAGGAACGCACAGGCGCCCATCGTGTGGCTGGGCACGGAGATGCACCCACCGCCTGCGATAGAGACGGAACATCTCGATGAGAAGTCACTGTTTCTGTACCATTCCCTGCTCAAATATTTATATCGCCGTTACCGGTAGCATAGGTTACGTGCTCGAGCGCTTCCCATCCCTGCATGGAAGCCAGACTTCACAAGCGCCCATACTGCTCGCTAGCACTTCCATACCATACCTTTCCCCAATACGTATCGGACCGCATCTTCCACCGATAGGCCCTCCGGAACTACGGCCAGGACCAGTTTTTCCGCCGTCGGCGAATGCCGGCGCCTCTCACGCTACACCGAAAGTTCAACATTGCACGTGAAAGTCACGGGGCGTTTTGGACTTTTGTGCGGCAAAACCCGAAAACGGGCATATCACGTGTCTTGGCCTCGGCAGGTACCGAGGTACGTGACCGAGAAAAGAAGCTTGAAGTTGTTGCTCGACCGTCGGCGCAGCCCTCGGGAAAGGTGAGATAGTATAGATGGCCTACATACTCACTCATCTCCTGAGTATATCTGGGCCAAGGTTTGGCCTCTGATCCACAATGGAGACCAGGCCCTGTCCTTATTTGAAGGTTCGTCTGTTGGCTGGGTCCTCAATATGATTCACCTGACTGTCTACATGATAGCAAGGCGTCTCCTTCATCAAGGCTGCGACGGAAGCAGACCGGAGACAAGACTACGCATGCGCTTACGAGCGATACGAGGATGGTAAACGCTTGCTCAGATCAGCCTACCAAAGTGAGTGAAACCGCCCCTCGAATTGCATCGATACACATATCCTCATCGACCAGAGGAGAAAGATTCGGACCACGAGAATGAGATAGCGGCCATGTATGCCAAAGTGTGGCATAGGGCGCGGGTTTTGAAGGCATACCTTGACGCACCTGATGGTCCCAAACCGCCACCACTTCCTTATGCGTTCGAAGAGAGTATTGCCTGGAAGTTCAAACCCAAAGCCAACTGGCTGGCGGACGAGCGCGACATTCGGTCGCGGGAGCAGGAGGAGTGGACAGGAAATGCATTGGCATGCGCGACGTATGTTGCGGCCACCGTCGTCGTGTTCTCTCAGCGGTCAGTCCTTTTCCATATCCTCGACCGTATGAGAGTTGTAGCTATGCGGCTCAATTATACGCTCTGAGTACGAGCAAATCTCGAAAGAAATGTATCGTGCATCATTTCCAAAGGGCAAGCGGAAGATTGGTGTGAGTCACCTCAAAGTTCCAACTTCGCCCCGAACATCCGAGAATGTCCAAACATGGGGAAACAACGAGCGTCGTAGCCGCCACAGCAGCCTTAGCTTTTGTTCCTGACCACCATTGCGTATAACGCACTCGAACACCCTTTCACGTTGTAATCTCTCAATATGTCTGCTTTGCAACACCTCGCGGAAGCGGCGTTGTCCATGGACGTAGATCCGCCACAGTACCAGCCATACACCCTGCTACGTGTGAAGCGCAAGCGGAATGAGGAGCCTATGGAGGGTCTCGGTACGTAGATCCATATACGTGCAATGTAGCAAGGAATGCTCACCGAGCGTGCTTCTAGTCATCGAGTCTCGCGCACGGAGCAAGAAGAAGCGCGGAACGGTTGACCTGTTCTCTTATGCGAAGACGATGGAGGATAGCGAATGGCAGGAAGGAGTGGAACAGTCCTTGAGGGTGCGTGTCATGCAGTACTTCTCGACCAGTGGTATTAATACAGCCACAGGACGAAGTTAGTCGCCTCAATCGCGAAGCTAAGGAGAAAGCAGCCCAAGTAGCTGCAGACGCTACAGCAAAAGCCGACGCCGAGAAGGCTGCTCTCGCTGCCCCACCCTCACCACGTACCTTGCGAGCACAACGCTACACCATCGTCGCCAAAGACGACGAAGAAACCCCATCCCGAACCCGCGCGCCTACTTCCCCGTACGTCCCTCTGCCATCCTTCCCGGGCGCTCATTCCTGACCTACGCACAGACCGAAAGTATGGTCGTCCAAAGAGCTCGAGCAGCAATCATCAGCACCGGACATCAAGATGTACGACGCTGTACCGGACGATGGCTCGGACGAGAAGTCTGCAAGCCCCATGGACTCCGAGATCGACAAGTTCATCCCCTTGCTGGACGAGTATCTGAAGAGTACGCATCCCCCCTTCACCATTGATCTCATCTGTATAACTGATATCCTCTCAGTGAACGACATCCACACCAAAGACCAAGCCGCCGACAAGAAAGAAGACGGCGCTGACGACTACGTCTGGGACGTCTTCTACCGCCGCACCGCCAACCCCGGCGACGTTCCTGCACACACAAACTGGGCCACCGTCACCGGCCTCCCGCCCTCGTCCGGGGACTACGACTCCGCGTCCGACTCGGATGAAGAGTCAGACGAGGCGGACGAAGACTCGAATGCGGAGGACTGGTACGCGAACGACTACCCGGAGGAGGAGATGACGGATGAGGATGATTTGTCGTCGGATGGGTATCATGAGACGTCCGAGCACGAGGAGATTGTCCGCGGTCGGGGGAGCTTTGCTGACGATGGGGACTGGTAGCAGGAAGGTGCAGCGCGGATGCGCGTTCAAACTATCTGGGTACTTGATGGAAACGAATGACCTCTTACGCATGACAACAGATATATTGGGGTCCCCTTCGAATGCCTTATTGCATCACAGAGGCGTCCCGATCTCCTTTCGAGTTCACATTACATGTATTATCAAGCCTAATGACAATTCACGTTCTATTCACCCCATCTTCAGTCGCCTCCCCGAGCCTGCTTCAACCATTCCTCGTCCCGCGCGTCCAGACCATACTCGAAAGCCTGCAAAGTCGGTGTAGCGTCAACCTTGAAAGCTTTCTCAATGGCCTTCGCGCGTTCTTCGCTGCGCGGGCGGATGGAGCACTCGAAGGGGAGCGGGCCTTCGACGAAGGTCTGGTCGTCTTCGCTGTCAGTGTCCTTGTACGAAAGTGATGGCTGACTGTACGTACGGTCTTCCAATGCGACCTGTCAAGCGGGACATCTGCCCCGGATGCATCCTTCGCTGGCTCGAAAGAGAAGGCCCATAGAAGACGCATCGTTGCGATCATCTGTATGCCAGCAGTAATTAGTCTAGCTGGCTATTCGAAGGGTAAACGTATACTGACAATCGTGTTAGACGCAAGATGCATGCCGGGGCAGATTCTCTGAACGAAGATCAGGGCGACACAACTGAGGTATCTAGGTTCAGCGGCTCACCCGTCCGGCCCCAAACATGAGAGTCGACCTGAAGGCACTATCGTCCACGCTAGGCTTTGTCCCGTAGGGCGTCAAGAGGAAGCGCTCGGGTTTGAAGACATGCGGCTCGTCGAAGATCTCTTGCAACGGGCATATCATCAGTATCTCAGAGCTATCGCAGGGCGAAGGCGGCCATACCTTCATCGTGATAGATCGCGTCTGCGCAAGAGATTCAGCCAATGCTGGGGACTTATCAAGCTATAGAGAAAGTTGTGGAGGACGCACACAAGTTCCCAACGATGACAGATCCCTTCGGCAGGATATACCCTTTGTACTGTTCTCGCAATCAGCTACAAAGCGAGGTCAATACGCCAAAGCAACGCACCTCGACATCGCCGGTCGTGGCGTGGGGCACATTCAACGGCGCCAGTACATGATGGCGATGGATCTCCTTAATCAGTGCCTGCACATACGGCAAGGTCTCTGCATCTTCGTAGCTCGGAAGGTCATTGACGACACGATCAATTTCCTGTTGGGCTTTCTCTTGGATCTCCGGCCGCGTGACCATGATCCAGACGAGCGTTTGCAGGATTGTGGAGGTCGAATCCATACCCGCCCCAAAAAGGTCTCCGCCCAGGAACCTGTAGCAGCATATTGTGAAGGGGGGGTAATGCGCAGAAGAAGAACGTACGCAAGCTGTTCCCTCTCAAGGCCCAAGGCGTCCTTGCTCTTAAGTACGTCCGCCATGTAGAAAGTCGCGTCCTCCTCCGCCGCCATACGCTCCTCGCACTCGTCAAGAAGCTTCTTGTAGAGCTCGCGCCGCTGCCGCCGCACCTCGCGGGCTTCCCGCTTCCAAGGGCTGATACACTCCGGTAGGTCGCGCGAGCTGGGGAATGCGTCCAAGAAAAGGTTGAGAACAGGTCCCACAAGTGCGTCAAACCTACAGAGCATAATTCATATGAGCTCCGTGCAACCACCGTGTGCAAAGTGCCAGACTGTACCTTTGTATGTTGGACAGAAGAGCCTGCGTGACTGACGAGTTGTGCCGAACGCTTCTTCGCCCGTATGTGATGGACAGAACGGAGGACCCCGCGTAGCGCTCGAGGTGGTGGTAGAAGTCCTGACAGGTGCAAGGATGCCTCAGTTCGGTAGAGCGCTCTGCTAGCGCGCTGGCCTTACCTTGGGAGTCGTCGCGATATTGTATAGCAACTGGGTCGACTCCGCTTCTTGAATGGGAATGTACTTCCGTACGGTGCTGATTGACAAGAGCAGGTGCTCCGCCTTCCTGACGCGACGCCACTTATCAGCTTTGGCAACAAAGTAGTTAGCAAGGACAGTAAACAGTACAGAGGTATGACGACCCACTATAATGAGCAAAGACGATACCGTTGTCGCCCGCGATGTACTCGTTGACGTAGAGAAGTGGGCGGTCCGCGGTGAGCCCACTCTGGCGGTCTAGGATTTCCTTGACTGCTTCTGCACTGGATAGTACGAATAGGTGCTGTGGCCCCATCATGACCTAGAGTTGGGTCAGTCCAACAGGTCAGCCTGCATTCCGTACATACTGTGATGATATCCGAGCTATACTTCTTGGCCCACTGCAGAAACCTGATGCAGTCAAAGTCGTGAGCATCTGCACGTGAAGCATATGGCTACTTCACCTCAGATGAGTCCTATGGCGGGTCATTTGCAGCATGTTACCCACGATGGGCGCCGACGGTGGGCCTGGAGGTAGGTGCTGTACGTTCCTGCGCATCAGCTGCAGTAGTAGCACCGAGACTGACGCCGCAATCACGACGACGAAAGCAATTGCACTCGGCATTTTCACCAATCAGGTTGGCCGCGGGCGAGGAGCACACTGCACAGAGCATCCCGAGCATTCCCTATAAGTACCGCCATGGCCAGCATTCCTACGTCAGAGGCGGATCGAGCGTGGCAGTAGACGCAACAAGCTCAGACCAACGTCAGCGCTAGCCTCCCCATGACCGGCATGCCGAACGAATAGGGCACATCGTGGAAGTTCCGTACCGGTTGTTAGTAGGGATCACCGTATGGATAGAGTCACCACCGAAGGTTAAGTGAGAGCAAGCAGATACATCGCTCGATGTTGGCTTGTACGACATTAATTCCGCATTCCTTCTCGGACCTGCCTCAACCAGTCTTCGTCACTTTCGTCCAATCGGTATTCAAACGCCTTTAGCGTCGGTGCCGCATCGACCTTGAACGCTCTCTCGATGTCTTCGATCCTTTCTGCATATCGCGGGACGATAGAGCACTCGTAGGCAAGGGGACCTTCGACAAATGCCTTGGCCAGAGAAGTCAGAGAAGGAGCGCGTAACTGAACGCCGAAAGTACGTACCGTCTTCCATCGCGACGTGTCCAGAGGAATCGTCGTACCCGACTCATCTTTCGCTAGGTCGAACGAAAAGGTCCACAAGAGGCGCATCGCAGCAATCATCTGGCCCTCCAACCTGAGCCGTAGAATGCATCTTAAAGGCGACAAACTCACGACAGTGTTCGAAGCTAGATGCATGCCAGGACAGATCCTCTGAAGGCGCGTCAATAGAATCTTCCAAATATTCAGTCACTTTCACCCACGCGCCCACTTCCGAACATTAGGGTCGAGCGGAAAGCACTGTCATCATACCCCGGCTTTGTTCCATGCGGCGTCAAGAGAAAGCGCTCAGGCCTAAAGGTATTCGGCTCATCGAAGGCATCCTCGTCGCGATATGCTGCATCTGCGCATACCGTTTAGCTAGCGAAACCTTCATCAGACCTCGCGACGCTTACATGTATTTTGCAGTAATAAGGCGCCCTTCGGGATGATGTAGCCATTGTACTGGACTTGGTCAGCTCCCATCATGACGACCGTCGTCGAGAGACAGCTCACCTCGACGTTTTCCGACGCCGCATGCGGTACAGCCATCGGCAGGATCACACACAGGCGGTGCAGCTCCTTGATCACGGCTTGCAGGTAAGGCAAGTCCTTCGCATCTTCCTGTACTGGCAGACGCCCGACAACGCGATCAATCTCCTCTTGCGCCTTCTTTTGCACCTCCGGGTATTTCACCATTAACCAGACAAACACATGCAGAGTCGTCGCCGTCGTGTCGGTTCCAGCGGCGAAGAGATCGCCACCAAGGTAGCTGCAGCGCGAGTTAGCGCCCGAACTTGTGAAGTGCGAGTGTGCGAGGCTTACGCAATTTGTTCCCTGTCCAGACCGAGGCTTTCCTTACACTTAAGGATGTCAGCCATATAGAAGGGTGTCTCCTCTCCTTTGGCAACGCGCTCCTCGCACTCCTCGAGAAGCCGCATGAAGAGACCTCGCTGTAGCTCTCGCACCTCGCGCGCCTCTGTCTTCCAGGACGCCATGAACTCGGGTAGCTTTTGTAAAAATGGCAGCATGTCGATGGGCGGATGATTCCCAGGATCCATCAGGGCCATCCATCTGCGGGAGGTCAGTTGTTTGAGGCGCGCAGTAAAAGGATCGTGTACTTACCTATGCAAGTCCCTATTGAACTCTCCTAGCAGGGCGGAGTTATATCGCACGCTTCGCTTCCCATAAGCGATCGATAGAACGGTGGACGCCGCATAGCGCTCGATGTGGTGGTAAAAAGCCTGCGAAGGTAGGTCAACGTAGTGAATCTAAGTACACGTCCACTTATAGCGCTGAGCACGCACCTTCGGTGCCGTCGCGAACTCATACAACAGCTGCGCAGATTCGCTTCTTGGATAGGGACGAACTTATGCACTGTGGACGTCGACAGCAGCATATGTTCCGCCTTCCGAAGACGACGCCATCTTTCCGCTGAAGGATCACTCAGCTCTAAAGACGGCTGCGAGACAAGAGAAAATGCGCACTGTACCGCGCAAACACAACATCGTTATCGTGAGTGACGACTGTGTTGATGAAGACGGAAGGGCGATCTGACGTGCTGCTGCTTTGCTTGTCCAGCACCTCCTTGATGGCGCGAGCGCTCGAGAGCACAATAGCAACCTGAGGGCCAAACTTGACCTACGAGCTGATCAGCTGATTGAGACCGACTAGCTGACAGCTGGAGACGTACTGTGATAACATCCGATCCGCACTCCTTCGCCCACTGTGCGAATCTAGAAGCAGTAAAGATACAGGACACGAGGCCACCTAAGCACCCACCGTAGATGGGCCCGCGAGCGCGGTATCTGTAGCAAGTTGCCTAAAATCGGGAACGTTGGGGGTCCTGGCGGTAGTCCACCACGCTTTCCAGTGCGTTCTCGGCGTGAGCGCAATGCAAGCCACACCACCACCGTCGCAGCCGCGACAACCAAGAAATTACTCGTCGTGATCATCTGCTAGTGCAAGAAGGCGAGATCAAGAGCAGGCAATTCGACTTCGTATATATACTTGTGAGGCTTCAAGGCTACGTCAGTGATGAAGTGAATGAGAAAATATCGGTTACTGCAGCCCTGGTCAGTGCGCTCGTGAACGTCCATGAGAAAAGAAGGCAGGCGGAGTTGCAAAGAAGCCGGTTCACGTTCTCGTGGGCGACTCCAGACTGAGAAATGTCCACATAGTGAGCAGGACGGGTAAACAAAGGAGCAGTCGTTGCATCCATGGAGAGTATACCTCAAGGTGGAAATTTGAAGTGGCGACTGAGATGCTGAGGTCGTTTCACCGGACACGGTGGCTCTGGACTCTTCGTCAGAACGTAGCCAATGCTACGGGGTCCTTCTAGGCTAGGTTCCTCAAGTAGCTCTATAGTGGTAAATGCACCCGGGGATCGGCCTTCCCATCTTCGTGCATCCGTGATGAGAGTTAGGGAAGAGTCCGAAGAGAATGAACCGTGGGACAGAAGGCACGTGGTGAACCACGAGGTGCCTATTTGCTTAGGCTACAGCGCGTCTTGCCTACCGTATATCGTTCTCTAAGCTCGTCTTCCTTGACTCGTGGATCCCCCCCCCCCCAAAGCCGATGCAGCCCCCCGGTGTCCGTCAGACCCAAGCACGATGAAGATCATGCTCCCGCCATCTCAGTAGTTCAGCTTCACAGCGCAGCGTCCTGGGTTCAACATATCCGTCGCAAGCTTACGAGAGCGCTTCGTGCCCTATCTTCCGGACGATTTATATGCGTCTGATTGAAGAAGGTACGATGTACGGCTCCTTACGCAGTCCGAGTGCGCGATACTATCATTACGAGCAACGGTTATTGTTTGCCATGTCTTGCTATCACACTGTTTCGCGGACTCTGACTACGTGCACGTTACGCGCTAAGTCTGCACACTTAGTCGTATTTGATCTAGCCATGCCTCGTCACGTTCGTCCAGTCCGTATTCAAATGTCTTCAGTGTCGGCGTAGCGTCGACCTTGAACGCTCGCCCGACGATTTTCGTACGCTCGACACTTCGCGGTAGAACAGTGCAGTCGAAAGGCAGAGGTCCCTCAACGAAAGCCTAAGCATCGACCTTCAGGATGCGACAGAGATAGCGCAAGGGAGCGACACGCACGGTCTTCCAGCGCGACATGTCGAGAGGTATTTCCCGGCCTGCCGCGTCTCTCGCCGGCTCAAACGAGAATGCCCACAGCAGACGCATCGCGGCGATTATCTATACGACTGATCAGACCTCATGAATATGGATGTCAACAAGGAGAAATGCTTACAACCGTGTTGGAAGCCAGGTGCATGCCTGGGCAGATCCTCTGAAGGCGCGTCAGTAGACCGACTCTAGCCGCGCCAAATGAAATCACTCACCCGTCCGCCACCGAACATGAGCGTCGCCCGAAAAGCGCTGTCATCGTATCCGGGCTTCGTCCCATGAGGTGTCAGGAGATAACGCTCGGGCTTGAAGGCCTCCGGCTCGTCGAAAGCTTCCTCGTCGTGGTAGATCGCATCTGCACAAACACATCAGGGGGTGACCGTTCAGGAATACATCTCAATACCAACAGATATTCGGCAAGATGAAAGCTCCCTTCGGGATAATGTAGCCGTCGTACTGATCTTTGTTAGCACTGGCGAAAGAAGTGACGGAACGAAAGCTGGCTCGCCTCAACATCCTCCGATGCCGCGTGCGGCGCCGCCATTGGCGCCAGCACATGTAGACGATGCAACTCCTGGATTACGGCCTGCAGATATGGCATATTCCTGGCGTCCTTCTGGCCTGGCAGACGCTCGACGACGCGATCGATCTCTTGCTGCGCCTTCTTCTGCACTTCTGGGTATTTCGCCATCAACCAGACAAACATCTGCAGAGCAGTCGCCGTCGTGTCCGTTCCGGCACCGAAGAGGTCACCGCCAAGGTAGCTGCAGCGCGAGTGAGTGCGTGTAAGCTTTCATGGTGGGAAGTGGGATCAGACGAAGGGGTCGAATAAGACTCACGCTAACTGCTCCCTGTCGAGCCCGAGACTTTCCTTGCTCCTGATGATGTCGGCCATGTAAAAGGGCGTATTCCCACCCGTAGTGACACGCTCCTCGCATTCTTCGAGAAGCCGCATGAAAAGACCGCGCTGCAGCCGCCTTACCTCGCGCGCCTCGGTCTTCCAGGGTGCCATGAATTCGGGCAGTCTCTGCAGGAACGGAAAGATGTCGACGGGCGGGTGATTGCCCGGTTCCATCAGGGTTAGCCATCTGAATAGCGAAAGCGTTCGTGAGTTGAGATCAGGCATGCTGCGGGTGCATGTACCGATTGAAGTCCCTGGTGAACTCTTCCGCTACGGAGGACTCGTATCGCACACTGCGCTTGCCGTAGGTGATGGATAGTACCGTGGATGCGGCGTAGCGCTCGAGGTGATGGTAGAACTCCTGCGTAAAGCGCGCCTTAGCGAACTCGGACGCGCGCCTCTTCAACACGGAGCGCTCACCTTTGGCGCTGTTGAAAACTCATACAGTAACTGTGCTGACTCCGCTTCCTGAATAGGAATAAATTTCTGCACCGTGGTTGTCGATAGCAGCAGGTGTTCCGCCTTTCGGATACGCCGCCAGCGCTCTGCTGAAAGCATGGTCAGCACAAGAAGAAAGGTCGTGACGAGTGAGATGAAGTGCATACTATACCGCGCTAGCACAATGTCGAGATCACCGGTGACGACCATGTTGATGTCGAGGGGTGGGCGGTCTGAGGTACTGCCGCTTTGCTTGTCGAGAACCTCCCTGACCGCGCGGGCGCTCGAAAGAACAATCGCTGGTGCGGGTCCAAGCATAACCTGCGATTCGAAGATGAGTTTTCTCGAGAGGAATAATTGATTAGCAACATACAGTGATGATATCCGAGTTATACTTCTTCGCCCACTCGGTGAATCTGTACAAATGAGGGACAGGTTCATATGCAGCAGATTTGCTCTCACCGTAGATGCATACGGGAGCTCGACGTTTGCAGCAGATTGCCGAGGATTGGGACAGTCGGCGGACCCGGCGGTAGTCGACTACGCGGGGTACTGCGCGCGGCGCGCAGAAGATATACTAGTCCAGCCAAGGCAGCGGCGAGAGCGAGGGTCAGCAGCGTACTTGGCATGAGGCGCGTTCCCAAAGATGAAGATGGAGTACAGGACCAGTGCTTTCCGGGCCATATAAGTACTTCCTCGGTGATCCTACGTCAACGGGAGACTATATGAAGGAACACCGGCGGCAGCGTCTGTCAGAGGCCCGACGTATACAGGAGCGCTTGCAGCCAAAGTATTCAGCAAAAGTGTATATTATCTCGTTGATAGGTGACACATGCTGAGCGCGCTCTGCAAGAGCGAGGTATACAGTTCAATATGAGGAGGCGAAGAAAGCAGGACAGTTTCGTACCGTGTACAACGCGCAGAAAAATAGCTTCGGAGCTATTAGCGGAGTAAGTGCACGCCGTTATGCCAATTGACACTTGGATTCATCCGTTGTCAAGATTGAAGGCTTTGACTCACAGCCGTGTCGTGGTTGGGGAGGCCTGCTGCTCGAGTAGTAGACCATTGGCGAGCGTGTTTGCGTCACGTATGTTATTTCGGCTGTAGGTCGCTAAGATCGAGCGACGTAAGGAAATACTCGGATGCACATACGTGGGCAGGATAGTGCGTTGTGAGTCAGCATCAGATGATTGCTAAGCAGATGTCAATGGTTCAGACCACACCTCAGACTGGAGGCTAAATCGAGGGTACCCTTCGGATATCGAGGATGAGCAACAGCGTGCGGTTGAGGCGAGCATACAGAACAGACCACGCATGGTGACATAGGATAAGGCTTAGCTACAGCAATGATATTTTTCCTCGCCTGCTCATGCTATGGTTTCGAGACGTATTGTGCAGACGCCATCACCGTTCACGAGCTGTCGGTCCAGGGCCGGTCGCCAGATCCAGAGAGTGCGAGGTGAGGCGTTGCAGACTGCTCCGTAATCTTCTGAGCCATGATTCGACGGCCAGAGCGTTATTTGCGGCGAGGAGGTGAGGGTCAAGAGCAAAAGACGAACGATGGTCTGGTGGCGCAACGGGCGCTGGTCCAAACAAGGCCAAAGGGCGGGCGGGAGCACGTGTTATGGGCGGGCCGAATTTACATGGAATTTTGGAATTGGAGAGGTCTTTGCCTCCCGCATTCAATGAACTCCAGCGCACCCGCATGGTCTCCAAAAGCGCCACGACGTACGCAGCGCCGTCGCCTCCCCTCTGATCTCGAGCTCACTGTGGCGCGCAGCATCCAGGCGCTGGACGCTTTCATTGAGCAGCAACGGCAGGCCCTCGCCCGCACCCAGTCCGACCTAGGACGTCTTCGCTCCTTGCAACAAGAGACGGCGGCGCGGCCAGAGAGCTCGCTCCGGAATGTGCGTGATACGACCCAGCTTGCGAATGTGGCTGACCAGGCACAGTTCTCCAAGCTTACCGACGGCGGTTTCGGCCTTGCGAGCGTCGCAGAGTGCTTGGTGGACGTACCGAAGGAGATCGACTGGTCGCTCTACGACTCACACGGTGCGTGCTTGCGCTCAGGGATAGCAGACGCTCACCCCGCCCCCACAGACGCGAGCGCGCTCCAACAGCTCACCGCCAAGACCAAGGAAGCGCAAGCCGCACGACGGGCACCCACAAAGACGCAAACCTCCCCCCTATCCAGCCTCCAGCAGCTCGTCAAAGATGCCCGCACCCGCATCGTCGATCCCGTCTTCGCCATGTACCCCGATCTCGCCACCCTGTCGGAGCCACCGCCGGCCGAACCTCCCAAGCCGCCAGACGCCGCCACACTCAAGAAGCAGCGCGAGCACGATAAGCTGCGCGATATGCGCACCCGCCGACTCGTCTGCGACCCGCCCGCTGCCAACGCCAACGGGCAGGAGCCGGGCGTATTCGTCCGCCGCGACGCCGATGACGAAAGCATGGATGTCGACGTCGCCGACGACGCCCTCGCTCGACATCCCACCCCACGACTGGATCCAGACTCGTCCACTGCATCAGCGGCATCGCCGTCGAGCGCCGGCCTTCCCACTCCACCACCACCTTCAGCATCCGGTTTCAAGATCATTATACCCAAGGGTGCCGCTCGCCAATTACCGCCTGAGACACTGGATGCACCTATACGCTCCCGCCGACAACGCAAAGATACGCTGAGAATGTCCGCGCTCATTCAGGACCAGCCCGATCCTGAACCACCTCCGGCTTCCTGCCTTGGAAAGCGCACGCGGCAGCGCAGCAGTCCCTCGCCGCGAGTCGTCATTCCTACTACATCTGCATCTGCATCCTTCCCGACCCCCACATCCATTGCCACTCCTGCATCCCTCGCCGCTTCCGCTTCTCTTGCGACACCCTCCTCCCCTTGTGCCTCCACCTCTCAGCTTGACACGCCGATCGAACCGCCAACCGACACTTCGCCGAAGAAGAAAGGTCGCCCAAAGTCCTCCACATACAAGGTACCCTGGACGGACGAGGAGCAGCGCCTGCTCGAGCGTCTATTGCAGGAAATTCCGGAGGGCGAGAGTTTCCGGTGCGTCATTCTCGTCCAATACTCTTACCATCGGCCTTTGTGTCACTCGATCCTCTCATCACGTCATGACATCTCTCCCCATCACCCCACCTCCCAATCCCGTCGAATTTGCCGTCCACTTTCACCACTTTCCCTTACGCGTCCTGCATTCCGCCCCTTCTTCCAAACGTCGCCATCCTCGCCTGCATAAATGTTGTCATCCTCGCCTGCATCTCACCACCCGCACATCCTGTGACTTACCATCCACTCCAGATGGCAGAAGATCTCGCGCGCGATGGGCGGGAAGCGAACACCGCGGCAGGTCTCGAGTCGCGTGCAGAAATACTTCGAGAAGCTGAAGGCGTTCGGCGTGGGCGACGTGGGGGAGGAGGACGAGGCGATTGATGTGGATTGAGGGTGGCGAGGGATGGGCGCGAGTCTGTTCATGCAGTCGACTGAGGATGGGGGAATGAGGCTGGGATGATGATGATGATTGAGGCCAGGAGGCGGATGTGCCGAGATGGGTGGCGAGAGGGCGAGATGCTCGCGAGGGATAACGGACAATCTTGGTGTACGGGCATTGGCGGTGTACGGTGCTCATGGCTTTTTTGACTCAGCGGTCGCCCAGAATGTACTACGGGCGGCGCTTTAGGCGCACCCTGGGGTGGTGCGCAGACGCACCTCTTGGTGGTGCACCGACGCTCCTCGAAGTGGTGCACAGACGCACTTCAGGGCGTCTCATACGCAACTAACTTATGCGAATATTGACTAATTGTGTACTTTACGCTACCATGATAGATGTTCGGTCGGTCTCGATGGATGTTGTGGCCGTTGACGTGCGAGGATGAGAAGCCTGATTCCAACATTTACTGCACTTTGCGCTATTCGCTCGCAGCGAACTGCGGCGTGACATGTTTGGTTTCAGCCTCCCGGCGATTGCCGTGGATGAAGCGCCATGCTCTTTCTTTCCTTTTACTTCATCCTAGCAAGCATATGCATATGTGATTGCAGCTCTGACATGGATCAACTTCAAGCTGGAGGATGCGAATCCAGGGAAGAGCAATCCACGCTGGAAGCGCTCACGCCACGCTGTTTCTCGGCGGCTTCCGAGCGCACATGCGCGGCTCTCGGACCGATCCCTGGCGTAGGCCAATGCCATGCTCATTGACCTTTCTCCGGCCCATTCCTTCTGTGAGCAGCTCTGAGACGCCATAAGAGCTCTATATACCCGTGATTGCAGGCTCATTGGCGAAGGAAAGCACGAAGTCAGTCGAGGGTCAGTGCGCGGCGGCAGCTGCCGGGAAGGTGTAGCCAAGCATGGCACGCCGCAGTTGGTTGCGAGCGATTCCGCAGAATAGCGCAAAGCGCTGTGAGTACATCTCCCTGTATATCTATGTTCTCCGACCTCTGGCGACCTACAGTATTGGTAACAAGCGTTCCGTTACCGCACTCGTCAACAGTCAATCGCCCAAGTAGTCCGGCGTTCACGACAACGCCGTGAGTCAACGGCTTTGTTCCCAACCACGGATGACTCCAAGTGTCAATGGGCGGAACGATGCGCACTTGCTCCGCTACTAGACCAAAAGCTATCTTCTCGCGACCTGCTCTCTTCGCTATTGCAGCGCTCGTCCGTGACGTGTCTTGTAACGACATCAGTTCACTCTTTTGCGCATTTCATTGCTCTGCAAGCGCGCCCGTATACGCTGAGATCCTGATGAACACTGCCTCCGGTGTTCCTTCATTCAGTCTCCCGTTGACGTAGGATCACCGAGAGAGTACTTATATGGCCTTGAATGCACTTCTTCTCTATCTCATCTGTCCTTCTCATAACGCGCCCCCTATGGCAAGCACATCACTGACCCTGGGTATTGCCGCCGCCTTCGCTTGGCTCGCGTATTCTCTGCGTGCGCGGAATGGCAAGCGTGATCGACTACCGCCAGGTCCGCCAACCGTCCCAATTCTTGGCAACTTGCTGCAGGTGTCGAGTCCTCAGATGCATCTACAGTGAGCGCAGATCTACACCGCGCGAACTGCAAACTCATCGTGTCCAGATTCACGGAGTGGGCGAAGAAGTACAATTCGGATATCATCACCGTATGTCGCCAGCTCGATGCCCCTTTCTACGGGCCGCACACCGATCCTCGAGCCTCAGGTCATGCTCGGACCCGCCCCGGCCATCGTTCTCTCGAGCGCACGCGCCGTCAAGGAGGTGCTTGACAAGCAAAGCGGCAGCACCTCAGATCGCCCACCCCTGCATATCAACGTGGTCGTCACCGGTGACCTCGACATCGTGCTAGCGCGCTACAGTGCGTTGTTTTATCCTCCTGATCCATCCGCTCTCATAGCTTATTGGCTCTCAGCGGAACGATGGCGGCGTATCCGAAAGGCGGAACACCTACTGCTATCGACAACTACGGTGCAGAAGTTCATCCCCATCCAGGAGGCCGAGTCGGCACAGTTGCTGTACGAATTCGCGACGGCGCCGAAGGTGAGCGCTCCGTGTCGGTGATTTGCGCGTCTAAACGCTAATTCCTTGCCATCCCCACACAGGACTTCTACCACCACCTCGAACGCTACGCGGCATCTACCGTGCTGTCCATCACCTACGGCAAGCGCAGCGTGCGGTACGAATCCTCCGTTGCCGAAGAGTTCACCAGGGATTTCAATCGGTGCGTACATCCGCCGCTTGCCTTTTTATCATCAGAATCTTACCCTTGCAAACGCTCTTCCCCTACCAGATGGCTCACCCTAATGGCCCCGGGAAATCACCCGCCCGTCGACATGTTCCCCTTCTTACAAAAACTCCCCGAATTCATGGCACCCTGGAAGACCGAGGCACGCGAAGTGCGCAGGCTACAGCGCGGTCTCTTCATGCGGCTCCTCGAAGAGTGCGAAGAGCGCGTCGCCGCGGGCGAGGACACGCCGCTCTATATGGCCGATATCATTAGGAGCCAGGAGGGCCTCGGGCTCGAGAGGGAGCAGTTAGCGTGCGTCGCATCTCCTCGTCCCCTAGGCCCGGGGTACCCCTCGACCTACAGCCCACGATCCCCACACCTAACCCACTCCCCAGCTACCTCGGCGGCGACCTCTTTGGCGCCGGCACCGACACGACAGCGACCACGCTGCAGATGTTCGTCTGGCTCATGGTGAAGTACCCCGCGGTGCAGAAAAAGGCGCAAGAAGAGATCGACCGCGTCATCGGGCGTCTGCCGGTGCAGGAAGACGCGAAGGATTTACCATATCTCCAAGCGGTAATCCAGGAGCTGCACCGTCTGCATGTGCTGTTGCCCATGGCCGCGCCGCATGCGGCGTCGGAGGACGTTGAGGTAGGTTGTTTTCTCGATTGTATGTCAGAGTGCTCAGAGCGCTGACAAACGACAGTACGACGGTTATATCATCCCCAAGGGTGCCATCATCCTACCGAATATCTGTAAGCATCCGACGTATTCTATCAAATCCCTCGACCAATTCATGCTCGCAGACGCCATATACCACGACGGCGACCTCTTCGACGAGCCCGACGCCTTCAAACCCGAGCGCTACCTCCAGACGCCGCACGGAACGAAGCCCGGCGTCGATGACAGCGCATTTCGGGCCACGCTCATGTTTGGTGGCGGACGGGTGAGTGATTCCATTCGACGCGGCTAGAGTAGGTGTACTGACGCGCGCCTTCAGAGGATCTGCCCGGGCATGCATCTCGCATCCAACACGGTGGTAAGCCATCTACCCTACTGACATTCATGTTTTATGAGGCCTGATCGACTGTACAGATGATCGCCGCGATGCGCCTACTGTGGGCATTCTCATTTGAGCCGGCGAGGGACGCGGCAGATCGGGAAATACCTCTGGACATGTCGCACTGGAAGACCGTGCGTGTCGCTCCCTTTTGCTGTCTCTGTCACATCCTGACAGTCAATGCTTAGGCTTTCGTTGAGGGACCTCTGCCTTTCGATTGCACTGTTCTACCGCGAAGTGCCGAGCGCACGAAAATCGTCGGGCGAGCGTTCCAAGTCGACGCTACGCCGACACTGCAGGAATTCGAATATGGATTGGACGAACGCGACAAGGCATGGCTGAAGCAAATACGACGAAGTGTGCAGACGTAGCACGGAACGCATACATAGATCTTCGGGTCTGCAATATGTAACGGCAAGACATGGCAAACAATGATAGGTACTATTGGGGTCATTTCGGCCAAGCCATATCATATGCTCGACAAAGCGTGAATGTAGTGATACAGTACGGTACGGAAGAGAGAGGGACAGATGACTTGGTATGAGGATGGGCGACGCGTTCCGATATGGCCCTTTACTCGAGGATTTCAGGCCGAAAAGTTGCGACTGCTATCAGCCTATGCAGCATCTCAAGATCGAGCCCAAGCCTAGATGATCATGCAATGCACACCATCATTGTCAATGAGCTGATCCCACCCGTATACATGTTCACTCAAAACAAGGCGCGCGCGTATTGGAAGACGCCATCCTCGTCGCTATCATAGCACCATGAAACATTGTCCTGCGATTCGTTCAGCCTTTGGTCAGTACAAGATTCGCACCTCACGAGAGTCCTCGACAACTGGATCTTCAAATGCCCAGTCCATCACCCGTACCCGAGTGGTGCCCTGAAAAGTCGCATAGATGTCGCCGACGAGGTCGCGGTAGCGTGCTACATCATCTTTTGGTATGCCGAACTCAAGGTCGGTCAGGCGAGGTGGCTGCATGGCGGCCAGTCGGTGTACCAGACGCTGGAGAGCGGGACTAGGGATGATGCGATCCGCGTCTTTGGTAATAATCCTCAGCACCCGAAGTTCGGGGAGCAGGCCGGCGCCTCCTGCTACCGCGTCCGCCAAGTCGCTGAAGACGCGCGCATCCTTTCCTTCTTCCAGAGAGTCTGACACGAGGAGCTCGAGCGTACGAACACTGGGGCAGAACTCTAGCATGGTGGGCGCGTCTTCGCTGCCCGTCAAAACAGCCACGCTGAGGTGAACCAGGGTCGAGTGACATCCAATGTCTTTGATTAGTTTTCGGGTCTGAAGGCAGCACGAAGACGGTTGCAAGATGCGCAAGGTTTCAACATGCGGGGCGCTGAAGTACCAACCGGCTTCGAAGACTTGGCCATCACAAGCGTTCAATTGCAATGTGCGTGCATTATTAAGCATTGCCGATCGGGATGGCAAGTCTTCAAGACGATAAAAACGGCCATTGTCGTCGAAGATGATCGTACACTTCTCGAGGTTGGGCATGTCTCGAAGGACGTTGATGGAGTAGTTGCCAACAATAGGCCCGAAGTATGTCGTGATGTACTTCAGGGTCTGCGATAAGTCCTTCGACATGGCGCTCAGGACTGGTGGAAGCACGATACTTCGAAGTGCTGGGGCAGGAAAGATGAACGACAGGTCTGAGACGACATAAGGCGAGCATCTCGAGAGATCGAGATGCTCTAGCAACGGAAAACCTTTCTCTGATTCATCCTTGAGCCAAGATTGCCCAACAAAGGGATGTCCAGATATTGCTTCCAGATTGCGTACTCGATGACATTCCGCCAGAAAAGGACTGCAAGCCAAGCGTACCGGCTCCGGTAGGGTCGCAGAAGGACACATTATGATGAGAGGTAGGTTTTTAGAATAACCTAGAAACGCTGAGAGGATGGAGGATGCGCCTTTGTTATACAAACGTCCCCTTTTTGAGTATCCACGGGGGCAGGTCGCCGTCGCATCTATGTGAGACCATATCGTTGGTTCCTCATGGGCGATAGAGCGCCAGCGACGACAGACGTGCGTGAGCAACCCAGGAGAAGCATCGTAGCAGAGTGGAATCGCCTCTTCGCGGACGCAGAAGCGGAACACGAGGGCCAAGAGCTCCGACGGCAGCTGGTGCACCGGCGCCATGCGCGAGTGCAAACGACAAGCCACATCATCCAAACCAGCATTCAAGGCATCCATTCCTCGAAGCAGGCTGGCGACCTGCTCTCGATGAGCACGCATTGCCTCCCGATCGCGCTCGATGCTGGCGAGGCCTTCGCACACATCATTGGCGTAGGGTGCAATCGCATCGCGTCCGTTCAAGTCCGACTCCCAGAGCTCCTCGGGAAGGCCGGGCACGTAGCGCTGCCGCAGGGATGGCGCAGACGCCCCGATCCAGGGCGCGACATCCGAGAAGTCGAACCTCTGAGATGGTGGGAGGTTGACCGAAGCCATATTCTGAGCCCGTACGTACTTGTTGCAGATCTGTGTCATATCAAGGGTTGCCCAGGGAAATGGATGATATACACACCGCGGCTGATGAAGGGGATGAGAGCAGGAAGCAAGCCTAGCGCAGCCATGCGCCCATGTAACGCCAGTCATTATGCACGTGACTGAGTTGTCACAGTTCGACAAGTTCGCTCGAGAACTGGAAGGTAAGGGTCCCGGCTCTCCTCTAGTCACGCTTAGGTTGAGATTGAGTTTTTTTTACTCTGGCGTTAACTCTGATACTTTGAGCGCCATGGCAGGCCTGCCACCGAACATCCTCGCCAGGAGACATTTAAATCATAAAGCCTCTAGTCTCCCTATAATGACACGCCTGTCAACGGTCGAGATTCACGCATCTCTGTCTCAAATGAGAGTATCAGTAATAGTACGCCCGTGATTTTGTTCGCACGGTTCCATTTTCATGTCACGCTCGCACACCGATTTTTGCCCGCCTTCGCTTTCAAAATATCTTGCGCCGGCACAGGTACATCAACGCGAAGCAGCAAGAAGTTTCATGTACAACAGGTCTAAACCGATGTCTGTTCGATACACATTTGATTGACTACTGCGTCTTCTTATCTTTTTCGCTACCCTTATCAACCTCTTGCTTCGCACTGTTCCCGCCCTCACTTCCCCACCCAAACAGCAACCCACCTGCAAACACCATCACCGCGCCCACCACCAGCCGCGCGTTCCACGCGTTGCCGAACCACCAGACGGAGAAGCACAGGCTCAGCGCTTTGCGAATCGTCAGGACGAGGTTCGTCGAGACGGACGAGACTTGCTGTGGGGAGGTTAGTGGTGGGATAATCGGGGCAAAGTGAACGGCGGGCAGATGCGGAGCGAAGTGGATGGTGAAGAAGTGAGAGAAGCGCGAAGCAACAGATGTGCGCCATAGAAAAGAAGGACGCACCGATGTAAGTCTGTTCACACCGCGCACGCAGACCAATTGCGAGAGCAAGTTTGTCATGAGCATAGCGAAGGCGATAGGCGGAGATCGGTCGTTCTTGGGTGCCGAAAGACTTTGCATTCCCTGCTGGATGTCGGGTATGAGGAAGAGGAAGAAGGGGAGGGAGAGAAAGTGCTATCAACGGTCGTCAGTATGCAAAGCGGCGGGAAAAATATGTCAAATAAATTGATCTGGTATCACGCGCGACACGGCGCGCCCTCGCAGCTGCCAACAGCGTTCACCACGTCGCTCGGGGAAGATGAACATCCCATCTGCTTACCGTATAGAACACCCCTTCCCGCCAACACGGTCCATACTTCTTGTACGTGCGCTCTTGCAGGATTCCCAGAATGCCGGTGACGAACAGCGAGGAAGCGAGCATAATGATACCCAGGGTGTATCTACGCAGGTCCTCGGCGTTATCGGGTGTGAGTTCGGTAGAAGAGGCAGAGGCGGAGGAGCGAGATAATGTTGCGAGGACGACACCAACGGTCACTAGGGCGGCGGAGAACTGGAACGAGTCGTTTTGGTAAATATAGCAGTGGGAATTAGACTCACGATTTGGGTGGCATTGTAGCGTTTCTTGAGTACAAAGTATCCTAGCAACATCGATACCGCCAGACCTTCGGTGAACTCAAGTCAGCAGCCTTTTCCCTGCCTCTGAGCGACGTGGAGCTCACCAGCTGAGCGGAACACGATCATGACAGTCAGCGGCACTTTGTATGCGTACACCCAGTTGTTGAAGAGCGAGCCGACGGTGACAAGTATTACTTGTGCTGCCCAGTTCGATAAGGGGACCTGCCGTGGCTTCAAGCGGGGCACTCCGCCTCTGAAAGAGAGGAAGGATGGGAGGGCTTGCAAAGTGATGAAGAGCATTTGAGAGAAGGTTAGGGCCGATCCTGATAGCACATAGTGCGGTCAGCATACGAGGGGGACACCTGCTAGGAAGAGTACGGTAACGCGCCTATTCGGGGGTTCATGAGCAGCAGCTCTTCATACGCCCATACATTGCTGCCACGCGATCAGACGCTGGTAATTCTTGGTCGGACCACGGGATAGCATACGTGCAGCAACCGCCCAATACCATTCCTATCGCCTTAGTGGAATTCTCATTCAGTTTTGGCGCACGTAGAGGAGATGGGGAACACACCGAATAGTAGTCGAAGAGCACCGGGGCCGCCTGAGCAAGCTGGGACCCCGCCTTCCTCGATCTCGCTACGCTGTTCACTATCTGTCCATTCCCTCGTCGCGCCATGGTGAGAGTAGGAGAAGAGAGCGAGCGAAGGGGTGGCGTCGATACGTCTGAGATAAAGCGTCGAAGGCAAGCGAGGTTCCGAGGTCGGTCACTTCCAGTTCCGTTGATCGCGTCCCCGCGCCACGTGGGCTTTATCACCGCGGCCTGCTCGGCGTTCCTGACAGCGAGACGCGTCATTGTTCTCTGCGCGTCTCTTCGCTCGAGCCCCCATTGTTCTTTCCTTCCCCCATCATGGTGCGTATGAAGGCATCGTCTGATCACATTTCGTCTTCTGAACACCCTTCGATAGCTAGGAAACGACGTCGACCCTCTCGGCGATGCGCCAGCGCCGCGACATGCGATCGAATCCGACGAGGAAGAGGACGAGTACAACCCTCTGGGTGAACGACATGTTACACCAAATCTGGGCACATCTGTACGCGTAGAGTACAGCGAAGGCCCTCTTGAGGGTGGCCAGCCTCTAGCAGTAGTGACGGGACTCACGTCCGTGCTCCTTCCCCTCAACGAGAAGGACAAGCGGGGAGAGATCGTAGTGAATGGAGTGACGGTATGTCTCGCTTCATTTTGCCGTCTCATAAGAAAGCCTCATACATATGAGTAGGTCGGAAGCCTGCATACCCCGAAGTATACTCCCGTGGTGATTTTGGCATCGGAGACGAACGTCCGGTTACCAATATGGGCGATGAACGCGTACGCCAAGGCAGTACTAGCCCAGTTGCAACCATCTTCGTGGGTACCCTTACCATCTCAATGAACGCCCTACTAACTTTAAGCCCCAGCGTGAACATCCTCGACACCTACGCCGTACCTTCGTATATCACGGACACTCCAGAACCATCCCCGCGATCCGCACCCATCCGCTACCTCCGTACACCCAGCGCAGCCAGAAAACCATCCCCTGTAAGCCTCTTCACCTCACCCACACCCATCGCTCTCCCTAACCTCTTCTCCCCTCCCCACAGCCGCCCTCCCTCGCCCACCCCTTCGCGCCACCCAACCTCCTCCAATCCACCACCGCCTCCTTCCTCTCCATTCTCAACTTCGCCTACCCCGACATGCCAGCTACCGCCGTCCTCCTTCCCGCCCAGCACATCCCGCACCCTGCGCCAAAAGACCTGGCGCCCTCGACGATACCCTCGACAGACTACCTCGCGACGGATTACCTCGACGAGCAAGGCTGGGACGCGGAGATGCTGAGCAAGGCGGTGGAGATGACGCTCTGTCACGAAGTGCCTAACGATGTGTTGCTGACGTCGATGACCCCGAAGCAAAGGGCTGAGCTGCAGGGCAGGCGGACCAGGGGAGCGGCGGTAGGAGAGGGCGGCATGTATATCTGATCCAGCGGTCCTCGCGACAAACAAAATGTACATCTAGGCTATACTTGTGCAGCTCCATCTATTCTCTCTAGTTTCCGTCCAGCGTTCTTATCGCCCCAGCTTTGCTTCATTGATGGTTCTTCATTGACAATTCTATCGCTTCGTCACCCCCTACCACCTCGACTCCTTCCCCTCCTGCCAAAACCCGCCCGTTTTGCCCTGTAAATCTCCCAACGCCAACAACACCGGCGTCTCCGCCCCCTGGTCGATCGTCTTGTACCCGCGCCCCTTCGACATGTCCGTGTTCACCCAGCCCGGGCAGCAGCTGTTGATGAGGGGATATTGGTTGCTGCCCCGCTTCTGAAGGTCGAAATGGCGTCAGGTCACGGTGGCGAGCGTCCCCGCCTTGTAGAAAGAGACCCATTTGCTGAATCGCTCACCTTCGCACTCTCTGCCACACTCCGCGCCACCGCCCGCGTCGCCGCGATGAGGCCCGCTTTGCTCACCGCGTACGCCGCGGAAGGGTAGCCTAACTTCTCGTGCGTCCCCGTCTTCACACCCTCCTCGAACTCTCGCATGAGAGCGGTCGCGGCGGAAGGTGCGTGGGTGATGTCGGGTGTGATTACTAGGGGTGGGTTAGCGGAAGGACTGATTGCAAAGAATCAAGAAAGGACAGCGAGAAATGAGGGCATGAAGAGAGTGAGAGATAGTATTGAAAAGATAGCGAGACATGGTGTTGGAAGGATAGCGAGAGATAGATAGTGGCGGAAGGGCACGAAGAATCCAAGAGATATCACCCACCTTCACTTGCCTCCACAAATCGCTGGCGCAGCGGCGGCGGATACTTGCTAAGCGCGCCGGCTATAGAGGCGACGTTGACGATGCGCGAAGTAGACGTCGGCCGCAAGATTGAGAGGAAGCGCAGCGTAGCGTACACCGTGCCGTGGTAGTTGGTCTTGAGCGTCGTAGTGGCGACATTAGCGTCTGATCAGAGCGTTGGATGTCAGCCAGCACAGGCGCAAAAAGAAAGACGAAACGGATGAAGGAAATACATTGGATGGACTATGTAGGGCACGTACTCACCAAACCCATCCATCGCGATCCCAGCATTATTCACAACCACGTCAATCTCGCCGTGCTCCTCCTTCAGATAATCCACAAACGCATCAATTCTCTTCTCCTCGCTAACGTCCAAGACATGAAATTTGAGGTCGACGAGCCCGCCATCCGGCTTGAGGACCTTTGCCTTACTCAGCTGAGGGTCCGAGCGCAAGGCCTCAAGGGCGGCTTGTCCCCTAGACTCGTTCCGTGCGGTAAGGTAGAGGCAGAGAGGCCCGTTGTTGAGAGGCGAGGAGGGGTACTGAAGGGCGAGTTTGCGGACTGCGTGTAAAACGGGCACGAAGGTTGGAAAAGCCAGCGAGACCGAGTGAGCTCGCGCTTACCAATCGCAAAACCAATTCCTTTGTTGGCGCCCGTAACGACCGCAACTCTGGCGTACTTGCTCATTGTATGCTGGAGAATGACCCTCAGTATGAGATAGTGACAACGGCGTGCTCTCCACGTACCTCAATGCAAGAGCGCTAGTTAGCAACAACCCAACCTTAGTCAGTGACCTGTGACGCATGTCACTGTGGGTCCATCTCGGCATCTTCCGCAGCCGGTTGATGTTCGCCATTGAGCCCGATTCGCTCGCCTTCCCGCGCCCATGACCTCCTTCATCATCAAGGCGCACCTGAACCGCCGCATTCACCCCGACTGGCTTCGAGAAGACGCGCAGGTGAAGATGATCGACGACGACCCCGCGACCTGCACGTTCTGCCGGATTATCCGGGGCGAGCTGCCTGCGAGGAAGGTGTTTGAAAATGAGGAGGTGGTGGCGTTTTTGGGTGAGGTTCACAATTACTGCTGTCCGTGGGAGGGAAGGTCATTAGGCTTACGGAGATAGATATCATGCCAATACGAAGGGGGCACACGCTGGTTGTGCCGAAGGCGCACTTTATGAGGCTGTCGGATTTACCCGAGGTGCAGGCAGGCGCGTTGGGAGCAGCTGTGAGCAAGGTCTGCAATGCGCTGGTCAAAGGTATAATTCTGGGCCAGGAAAAGCTGCAGTATGCTCACCCTCGCGATGATTGTAGCCCTGGACCATACCGCGCTGAATGTTGTGTGCAACCAAGAATATGCACAAGCCGTACCACATGTATGGCATTCCCTCTGCTCATCGCTCTCACCTGACAAAGTCAAATTCTCTTGGAAAGGTCCACTATCACATCATACCAGCTCCGAAGCTTGGCTCTGCGACGGAAGAGGTGTCGTACAGCTCTTCCCAGCCGCCTATTTCGCTAGGAGCTGTTCACCGGATGGAGCTTGAGGGAAGAGACGAGCTGGATGATGAGGAAGCTTCCTCACTAGTGAAGGCAATCACGTCACGCTTATAGCATGCCACCAGCGCAGCGCATGCCCTTGCAACATTTACCTCAGTTGAAGTTGAACTTTGTTGAACCTGATTTTGTTGGTCACGCGGCAAAATTCCCACGCTCGCGGAGTCGACATCTGAGCGCCGTGGTCATTACCATTAACGGCGGCGGCGACGACGGCGAGAAGGAGGTCCCGCGACTTAGGTGTCCTACTGGCCTGAGCTTGTATGCATCGTAAATCCATCACGCCGGCGTCGTCGCGCGTCCGCCCTTCACTCGAGACCGCGCAGCAGGCCCAAATCACCGACCTCGTCCAGCGCAATCGCACGCTCGAGCATACCGTCAAGAAGCTCACCGAGCAGGTCCATTCCGAACAGCGCCGCGCAGACGAACGTGTAGATGCTGAGCGGGAAGCGAAGCGCGCCGCCATCGACGATGTCAAAAACAAGTGGCGCGTCGAGTACGATCGCTGGAAGGGCGCGAGCGCCGACCTGCACGTCTGCCACACCATCGTGCAGGCCATGACGTACGACGAGATGCTCGAAGCAGAGGCGGACATACTCAAGGCGCGGCAGGCTACCGAGCGGGAGATAGCGCGCCGTGTCGAGATCGAGTGCGAGAAGCTCAGGCTCGAAAGGCGGTCGGTGGAACTGGAGGTCGACCTCGAGATTGCGCAGGCGGAGTGGGAGGTGACAGTGGCGGCACAGCAGGCAGAGATCGACAAACTACGAGCACGCCTGGCCGATGGGAGGGCGGACGCCACCAGCGTCGAGCGGGAACGTGATGAACTCGAGGTGCGTGTGCTATACCCCTGTGCTCAGTGCCCATCTAAGACACCCCTCTAGGAAAAGCTCGCTGAGCTTCGCGAGCAGCACGCCAATGCCCTCGCATCCCACGAAGGCTGCTCCAGCACCATCGAGCGCTCCGCCCTGCAGATCGAGAGCCTCAAGACCAAAGTGGCCGACGTCGAACGCACCGCCGAGGAGCTGCGCCGCACCAACACCGATCTCCAGCGCCAAGTCGACAAGTGGCAGAGTTTCGAGACGCGTGGGTCTGAGGAGTCTGCCACCCTGCGTCGCGAGAAAGTTCAGCTCGAGATACGCGTGCGCGAGCTTGAGGACCGGCTGGAGAAGAAAGAGGAAACGATAAACAAGCTAAAGCAAAAGATACGGGATAACAAGGAGGTGGTCGAGCAGTGGCAGGTTCGGCGACCGTCTTTGTTCAGGCCACTGAATGCTGATGTCGATTGTGTCAGTCATATGTCGCCGAGCGAGATGCAGACTTCAAGCGTCTGGAAGCCGAGTCTGTGGACCTGAAAAAGGTCATAGCGAAGCTGCAGAAGAAGCTGGAGGCTGCGCAAGAGCAGGCGGAGCAGATGCTGGCTGAGCGGCAGACCACCGAGCCTGAGCCGAGCGACGAGCCTGCAAAACCCAAGGTATGTGCTCTGCGTCCCATCTGATCATCGTCTGAACCCTTGTAGAAGACCAGCAAAGCGCGCACAAAGAAGAAAGAAGCTATCGTATGTGTACAACATTTACCACGAGGCTACTGTCCTAAAAGAAATATAGCAACCTATACCAGAGGAGGATGAAGAGGAAGAAGAAGACGATTCTGCAGGAGCTGGTCCATCGCGGTCGCCGCCTGCAGAGGAGATCGCCGAAGAAGAGCCCAAGCCACGGCGCAAGCGCCAGGCAAAGGCGCGCAAGGAGCCAGTCGAAGAGGAATTCACATTCGTCGAGGCCCCTACCGAAGCCAATGTGGACGAGGACGAAGCGGCAGTCGCCGAGGCAGTCGCGGACCCGACGCCCGAGGTCGATGGCGACGCCGACCCTCCTCGAAAAACCAAGCGCAAGCGCCCCACGCCTGAGGAGGCAGTCGAGTCAGAAGAATCGCAACCCAAGAAAGCGTCGAAGCGCCGCGCTACGAGCACTGCGACCGATAGCACCACGACGGACGACACATCGCGCAAGCGTGCCGGCTCTCGCAAACCAGAGCCCGCACCTGCATCGAAGGCGAAGAAACCGCCGCCGTCAAGCAGGAAAGTCGCGCGAGGCGAATCCGTCACGGCTCAGCCCGCACCGTCAAGAAAAGCGTCGGCGGCGCCGGAGGAGGGCAGAGACGCGCCCGCGAAGAAGATGAAGAAGATCAACATCTTCCCGACGCAGCCGGCACCTATGTTCGATTTTTCGGCCAAGCCTCAGGTGCGTAGATATCTAGGAGGGTGTTCTTCACGAGCTTACGAGGAAACAGGTGCCGACAAACGGGCTCGACATCCCGAGCGTGTTGTCGCCAATCAAGGCGGACGACCGCGTGCCGGCGCGCTCAACATCGGGCATCGTGTCCTCCCTCGGACTTGGTAGTTTCGGTGGACTCTTTGGCAGAGGACGTTAGCTTCTTGCGGATTTTGTATCCTCCTATCGTCAGTCCTTTGCACATGTACTCTTCGTCGTAAGTATGTCAGCTACACCCTGTCCCTTCTCTATCCACCTCATACCACCCATCTTCCCTTATTTGTACTTCACCCTAGTTCCTACGTCCCTACCCTTAATGTACATGCTACTTATGCATTCATGCATTCCACCTTGGGGCGTCTATGTTCAGTTTTATAGGTGCCCGCCCTTGCTTCACGGGCGTCTTTTCCATGACCGCCGAGTGCTTGATCGCCTTGAGGACAGGTTGGCCTGCGGGGTCGTGCCATACCCCCGAAAGCTCTTGAATCTCTGGCGCGTGAGGCAAAGATGGTGGCGGAAGAGGGGTGGCGTGCAAAAACGCGTCTTCAGGCGATAACCGGCCCAGGCTTCGGATCCATTGTCCGACGCCGGCGAGGGAGACGCGGACTTCCCAGGAACCGCCCTCCTATACGAATGTTGAGTGAGTGAGAGGAGTTATCTCGAATGAGGGGAGTGATCTCCGAGTGAAAGGACTCGGCATACGCACCGTGATCGTCTTGCAGAGCGCAGCATTGATACCGAAGGCCAGTAAATACCCCGCTGCGTGGTCTAGCGCCTGTACCGGAAGCGGGCGAGGCTTCCAGTCCTCTCCTTCGTGCGCGGCTGCATAGGCCTCACCTTCAGCCGCATTGAAGCCAGTCGCGGTCTGCACGAGGGAGTCAAACTAATTCGTACGAAAAAAATCAGCGACGCTGCCATGATCATTTGTGGCACCTACCCCGCGCCTATCCTTCCACGGCCCCTCCCAGCCCCACGCGCATAGGCTAGCGTATACGACCCCGGGGCGTGTTTTGGCGAGGTCCGCGGGTCCGAAGCCTTTCGCTGCAAGTGCGCCAGGGCGGTAGGATTGCAGGAATACGTCACAGGTGGAGGCGAGTTCGGTGAGCGTACGCTTGTCGGCGTCTTTGTTGAGATCAAGCTGCGTCGTCCGCTTGCCACGCGAGGTGTCGACGTCGAGGGCGGGGAGGTCCGGAAGGTTGGGCGATGTGACGAGGAGGACGTCCGCGCCGTGGGCTGGGAAGATTGTTGGCGTGTGAGCTTTCATAGTTATAGCAGGGAGATGAGAAATGTACTGACCTGCCAAAGTTCTCCCCGCCACAGGCCCCGCAATCACGCGCGTAAGATCGAGGACGCGCATGCCCTCTAGCGCATACCGTGGCTTTACACCAGCCCCAACCTCCCGCTTCGGAGCTTCCCCGATCTTGATCAGCTGCACAGGCGGTACCTCCTTCAGTGCCTCCGCCTGCGGGTGCGCATCCCATTCCGCGAACGTGCGCAAAGCTGTGGCGCACATACCCCTCTTCGCTGCCTCGGTCTCGAATTCGACGGCTTTCCAGCGCGCGAGGCGAGTTTGTACGTCGGACCTGGTGACGGATGGGTGGTCGGGGATCTCGAGGATCTCGAGGATACCGCGACGATGGCTAGATGAGGAAGGGGTCAGGTTAGAATTTGTAAGTTAGAGAAATGGGGTAGATGCGAAGGCTCACTGTGAAAAATTCGTATGAATTCGAACATGACCGTCCGCAGTCGAGTAAAGCCCTGCGATTGCGTCCCAGAGTGCTGGCGGTGGTTTGTCGTAGAGTGTGTAGTATACTTCGCTGTCTGCTGATAGTTAGAGCATGCTGTTCAGGTGATTTACTTAGACAATGATTCCACCCACGAAATTCTATCGCAGCATGCCTCGCGTCAACGCTGACTTCTTGCTCAACACCGGCCCTCAGCTTGTGAAAATATGCTGCTGACTGCGCAGACAGGCCAATGGATGTCTAACAAATAGAACGCAAAGTTAGGTGCACTACTGCGGTGGTGAAGGAGGAACAAACCTGCGCCGCCTCACCGACTTTGAATGAGGAATTTACGACTAGGTCCGGGCGAGGAGAAAGTTTCAGCGTCTGCGCCTCACTCAAAGGCAGGCCCAATGATGTCCATAAAGCCCTGGCTGGTTTGAGATGAGCCATCTTGGGCAGTTACGCGTGGTAATTCAAGTTGATGCTGGGAGAGCGTAAAGTCGCGAGGGCCGGCGGATGAGTTGAAAGCGAAGTCCCTCTCCAGGTCCCTTGAGGTCTGAGTCAAACCGGAACTATGCATCGACTGTTCATCCTCGGGATTGGGAACCGGCGTCACCCGCCGGAACGCCGGCGGTCCTATAAATTGACCTCTGCTCTGCATGGGAGCAATCAGATAATTTCTCAAAATGACTGCTCCGGAGAGATGAAAGTGTTTTCATGAGAAGAAAAGAAATAAATCGAAGACCCAAAATTTGATAGCCGCGAATCTGGCCATAAATATGATCAGCGTCGAAAGAAACACTGGTGCAAAGAAAGACAAACAAACATCCCATCACATGCCACACGTTCCCACGCCGTGCAGTTTGGCCTTGCTTTCCCCCACATCAACGAACCACTGTTGAAAGCCTGGTTGTACGACGTCCAGACCCAGAGCCAATGTATAGAGCTACCCCGTCTACGCCGGAAAACGCGCCGGGTAGTAAGGGCACAGTCAGAGCTTACAAATCTTAGGAATCTCGACTCTGCGCCCGTAAGCAACTGCAATGGACCGAGTCGGTAGGTTGCCTTGTCGCGATACTGAGCAGGTCGGCGTATAGCTGCATTGTATATAACTGCCTTCAACAATGTGTCTTTCGATCTAATCTCTGGCGCCAATCCGCTTGACGACTCGCTCACCCGCTCGCACCGACCGCCATGTCATCGCAGTCCACCCCCAAGCTCTTCCAGCCCATCAAGGTTGGCAACCTTACGCTCTCGCACCGTATCGCCATGGCGCCCATGACGCGGATGCGCTGCACGGACGACCACGTCCCGCTGCCCATCGTTAAGGAGTACTACGCGCAGCGAGCCCAAACTCCTGGGACACTGCTCATTTCCGAGGTCGCGCAGATCTCGCCCGCGGGCGGAGGTATGGCAAACACGCCTGGAATCCATAACGAGGAGCAGATCAAGGCATGGAGAGAGGTATGGTCAGCTTCCCTCATCACTCTTCACTCGCCAGCCATTCCTCCTTTGACCGTCACCCGACTGCCTACTCATACTCTCCCAGATCGCCGACACCGTCCACGCCCGCGGCAGCTACATCTTCATGCAGCTCTGGGGCACCGGCGCAGGCGGCGTACCCGAGACCCTCAAGGCCGAAGGCAACCCCTACGTCGCCGCGTCCGCCATCAAGCGTCCCGACAAGGACGAGACTCCGCGCCCGCTGACAAAGGAGGAGATCAAGCAATATATCGAGTGGTTCGGACAGGCCGCGAAGAACGCTATCGAGGCGGGCATCGACGGCGTGGAGGTGCATGGCGCGCATGGGTATCTGGTGGATGAGGTGGGTATTGGTGTCCTAGCATCTGTTCAGGATTGATGTCCTACGGTCTGTTTCCCGGATGGATAAGCTCACGGTTACCCAGTTCCTTCAAGACGTCTCCAACAATCGCACAGACGAATACGGCGGCAGCATTGAGAACCGGGCACGGTTCGGGCTCGAGGTCATCGACTCCATAGTCAACGCCGTCGGCGCGGAACGCACCGCCATCCGCCTCAGCCCCTGGAGTGAGCTCGTCGGTACGTCTGTTTCCTTTTCTTTCTCCCATTCTCCCATTCTCCCTCCCTTCCCTCCCTCACCCTTCACCACCACCCGCTAACCTCGCCCTCACCTCCAGGCATGGGCATGAAAGACCCCGTCCCCCAATTCTCCTACTTCGTCGAGCAGCTCAAAGCCCGCCACCCCGCCCTCGCCTACATCCACGTCGTCGAGGCGCGCGTCAAGGGCTACATGACTGTCCCGCCCGAAGAGTACGACCCGCGCAAGTCGAACGACTTCATCAGGAAAATCTGGGCACCGCGCCCGATCATCAGCTGCGGGGCGTACTCCCGGCCGCTTGCGCTCGAGATCGCGGAGGCGAAGGGTGATATCATTGGGGTTGGGCGGCCTTGGATATCGAATGTGCGTGCTAAAGTCTTTTTGAGTGTTTGGGAGTCAGGAAAGTCGATGCTGATTCTTTCTGTAGCCCGATCTTGTCGAGCGATGGAAGAACGACTGGCAGCTGTCGCCATACAAGCGGGAATTCTTCTACTCTCCTGGCGCAGGGGTTGAGGGATACCTCGACTACGATCTTGTTACCGAAGAGCAGAAGGTCAAGGCCTCCGCTCGGCCGTAAAATTCACCTTGATCTATCTATAGATCGCTTCGCTTCCAAGGAGTATCTTCGCAACCGACCCTACTTTCTCTCCGCCGCATAGCTTGTAAGTTTGGCAAGCCCCGAGGCATGAGGGATGGGCCGGAGGTAGGTCTACGGACGACGGGAGTGATCGAAGATACCGATCGCTGTCCTTGACTTGATGAGCCATCTTTGTCCCTCGAGTCAGGCTTTCGCAAGCACACACCCTCCACACCCTTGCAAACTGCTTCACATGAGTCTAAGTCGGCTCTTAGATGCGGGTCGGGATGTCCAGCTCGCGCGCTGCACCCCGAGACCTTTCAAGCCTGTCGCCACTCTCCGCTGACCACCGCAGGGAGCGACGTCCCCCGAACACTGATAAAGCGCACGAGTCCATAGAAGAACCTCAACTTGCTGTCCGCGTGATTGACACGTGACGCCGGTACCGAACCATCACGTTACTGCATAATTTGAAGTTCAACTTCTAGTGTTAGGTCCTGTCACGTCCCTTCGTCACATATTTCCTTCGCCGAGGTGTCGGCCTCCTTCCGTGTGTTAGCTGGAACTACCGTCTACCTTGGGCCTTGGCTCTCTCGTCGCTCTGCAGCTTCGGTCGTCGGGTAAATTACAGCCTCATCGTTCCCTGTCAGCAGTGCGATCGATAAGCAAGCCGGCCTCGACACGTACATACGTACCTCCTCATGATCACAATCTGCATCCTGCTAATTGGGTGCAGGATAAACCTGCAGAAATCCAGAAAAACGCAAGAACCAGGGGGTTAAACCTTTTGCGACTGGATTTACTATCAGACGACGGTTCTGTCGGTCGTCTAACAGACTCGGGCTTTATCCCAAGCTGCATATATGTAAATTCAATTGTTAGCAGCATTCGCTGATAATAAGCGAGCAGTCGACGCGTGAGGACAACGTGAGGGCGCGTTGATTATTGTCACGTTGTAGTGGCTGTGCTCCATTGACCTTCGTAATCAATTCTGCGTTGCTTGCTTCCTCCGTCTAGTCGCTGCGTGGAAGAGATCTTCAACCATGGTTCCCAGTCGAATTTCTCCCATCCTAACACCGCTCATATCGGGAAAACATACGACACAAGCTCGATTTGTCATCTTTCTCAGCAGCTCTCATTTGATAAGCGGCCAGACAAGTCGGCTGTAGATCCACCTCGTCTACCTGTATAAAAGCACCCATGAAGGACAACTATCCTCAAGCTGCTTCTGCTCCCTTTTCCGCCCTCACAGACTCGCCGCACGTCTCCTCGCCACCATGTCTATCCCCAAGCTTTTCCAGCCCCTGAAGGTCGGCGCCATTACGCTGCAGCACCGCATCGCTCTCGCGCCCATGACCCGTATGCGCTGCACGGCAGACAACGTCCCTCTGCCCATCGTGAAAGAGTACTACGCCCAGCGCGGTAGCAGCCCTGGCACCCTCCTTGTCACGGAAGCTACGCAGATTGCCCCAGGCACCTGTGGCATGCCCAACATTCCAGGTATCCACAGCGATGCGCAGATTGCCGCGTGGAAGGAGGTATGCTACTGATTATTTATCGCGATGTATCCTGTGCTGAATGACCCAGGTCGTAGACGCCGTCCACGCCAAGCAGAGCTTCATCTTCCTGCAGCTCTGGGCGACCGGCCGCGCTGCTATCCCGGCCATTTTAAAGGCTAGCGGGCACCCCTATGTCTCCGCATCACCTATCAAGCTCGAGGACAAGGACGAGACGCCGCGCGAGCTCACAAAGGACGAGATCAGACAGTACGTCGAGTGGTACGCGCAGGCCGCCGCGAATGCGATGAAGGCCGGTTTCGACGGCGTCGAGATCCACGGAGCGAACGGGTATCTTGTCGACCAGGTTGATTGGTTCTGGCTACCGGATTGACACGGGGAACGCTAACGGTCGACGTAGTTCCTGCAAGACGTTTCGAATGTCCGGAGCGACGAATACGGCGGCAGCATTGAAAACCGCGCCCGCTTCGGCCTCGAGGTCGCCGACGCTGTCGTCAAGGCCGTCGGCGCCGAGCGCACCGCTATCCGCCTCAGCCCCTGGAGTGAGATGCAGGGTGCGTTCCCCCTGCCAACTCGCTTCTAATGCCTCACACTCACGCACCCACGCACCCACCTTTCCAACCACCCTCCTCACAGGTATGGGCATGAAAGACCCCAAGCCCCAGTTCGGGTACTTCGTCGAGCAGCTTAAGGCCCGCCACCCCTCCCTCGCCTACATCCACGTCGTCGAGTCGCGCGTCAAGGGCGTCATGACCGTCCCGCCCGAAGAGTACGATCCAACCAAGTCCAACGACTTCATCCGCAACATCTGGGCACCGAGACCCCTCATCAGCTGCGGCGCGTACTCGCGGGAGCTCGCGATCGAGACCGCGGAAAAGAAGGGGGACATCATCGCGGTGGGGAGGATTTATACTTCGAATGTACGTCTTTTCGTTGAGGGCTTGCACCGTCCCTTTGTTGTGGCTCTTGCGGACTGCTAGCTTGATGCTGACTATCTCTCTAGCCCGACATTGTCGAGCGGTGGAGGCACGACTGGCAGTTGACGCCCTACAAGCGCGATCTCTTCTACATCCCCGGTGGTGGCCCTGAGGGTTATTCAGACTACCCTTTCGTCACCGAGGCGCAGAAGGTGAAGATCGTTGCGTGATGACCATTGAAGACATTCGCACAGCGGATGAGGATCTAGTCATTGTAAGTAGGCATGGACAATAGATCCTGTAGTCTGATCCTAGAGTCGAGGAAACAGAATGTTCAGCGCTCAGCCATTACTCGACCGAGGGCCCGTTTAGCAGTGCGAACCCGACCGTCTCGGGAAATTGCGATTTGTCAGCCGATGCGTAAGGTTCTGTGCGACTCGGACATTTCCCGCTTTGCGCGATATGCGTCCACAGCTATCTGCCTCTATAAAAAGGTGGGCGAAGGATATATTGGCCTCCATCTCATTTTCCTTGGCCGGGTTGACCCCGCGAGCGCCTCCCTCCAGCCCCGTTCCTCCCACATCGCTCACCTTGTCGCCACGTCGACTCTGGAGATCATGTCGACTCCCAAGCTCTTTCAGCCAACACGAGTCGGCGCGCTCACCTTGCAGCACCGGATTGTTCTAGCACCCATGGGCCGCATGCGTTGCTCGACGGACCACGTTCCATTTCCCATCATGAAGGAGTACTACGCCCAGCGAGGCAGTACGCCCGGGACTCTATTGGTCTCTGAAGCTACCCAAATCGCACCAGGGGCTGCGGGCATGCCCAACATTCCCGGCTTCCACAGCGAAGCGCAGATCGCGGCGTGGAAGGAGGTGAGCCTGGCCTTTCAAGGTCCTCTCTGCGTCACGAATATGCTCACGCATTACATGGTGTAGATTGCCGACGCCGTGCACGCCAACCAGAGCTTCCTCTTTATTCAGCTGTGGGCAACCGGACGGGCGGGAATGCCTGCCGTATTCAAGGCTGAGGGCTTCCCGTATGTTTCCTCGTCGGCCATAAAGCTGGAAGAGAACGAAGAAACCCCGCGCGAGCTCACGAAAGGGGAGATAAAGGAATATATAGCATGGTACGCTCAGGCAGCGAAGAACGCAATTGCGGCTGGCGCCGACGGTGTCGAAATCCATGCGGCGAATGGGTATCTTATTGATCAGGTTCGTCAGGTGTTTTCTTCGGGCCAGGCTTTTGCTAGGGTGCTGACGGTTGTACAGTTCCTTCAGGACGTGACCAACGTCCGCAGCGATGAGTATGGCGGCAGCGTGGAAAATCGAGCCCGCTTTGGGCTTGAAGTTGTTGACGCCGTCGTTGGAGCCATTGGCGCCGATCGTACAGGCATTCGGTTCAGCCCATGGGGCACCATCGCTGGTAACATCGCTCGCCTCCATATCGATGTCTCGCATGCTGAGCCCTCCGCAGGCATGGGCATGAAAGATCCGAAGTCCCAGTTCGGCTACGTCGTCGAACAACTGAAGGCAAAGCACCCCAACCTCGCCTACGTCCATGTCATCGAATCGCGCGTCCACGGCGTTCTGACTGTCCCTCCCGAGGAGTACGATCCCACTCGATCCAACGATTTCATCCGTGCGATCTGGGCTCCTCGCCCGCTCATCAGCTGCGGCGCCTACTCGCGAAAGCTGGCACTCGAGATCGCGGAAAGCAAGGGCGATATCATAGCGGTTGGGCGCCCGTTCATTTCGAATGTAGGTCATCCCTTCGAGCACCGTCTCCGCAGGTCGTTGACGCGAACTTTTGACCGGACCTTGTAGAGAGGTGGAGGAACGACTGGGACCTGTCACCGTACAAGCGCGAGTTCTTCTATATCCCAGGCGGCGGTGTCGAGGGATATCTGGACTACCCATTTGTTACCGAGGCGCAGATGGTCAAGGCAGCAGACGCCTCTGCAGTGGAAACCTTGGATAGAAATTAGAATGGCAACAAGCAATCCGTTCCGGTAGACATAGAACATACGATGGCATGGACTCGAAAGCTGCAATACGACGCTGTGAATGAGTAAAGGGTGAGAACTACCGTCAGACTAGTCCTGAGTACTGTATTTCGATGCAGGATCGTTGATGAGAAGGGGCGATCGGTGGCGAGTAACACTTCCCGCAGACATGGATGACGCTTCAAACTGTTTGGCGAGATCGGGCCCCAATAAGCAATGAACGGTATGATCAGGTTGACAATGCGCATTGCCTTGAAGTGCCAATAGTGATGAGGCATCGAAGAGACTAGATGGGATCTTCGAGGGCTACACAACTCAAGGATTCAATATGAGTCTGACTTGATGTGAAGTCGTCTGCTGTACGTCGTCTTTCGAGACCGAGCGATAAGTGTGAAAGCAATGCCAAAGACGTGGTGAAAAATACGTTAAGGGAGTCGTTCGTTATAAGGAGTATGCTCTACCAGGGCATGATGGTGGTTCAGAGCAAAGCCCGTTCGATGCTCGGTGTCACACTTCACCTCCCGATCACGCGCCCGTGACCGACGCGTTCCCATTTCTCCTCAACCTCTACGCGTCGCGCACCCTGACCATCTATCATGGAAATTCAAGAAACCATCGCCGTCACCGAGATCGAAGTCGACGAACCGTCAATACCCGCCGAAGATGATGCCCTTGACGAGGAAGAGACGCAGGAGACCGCCCCCGCTGACGATGGCGAGGAGCCCATCGAGGAGAGCGCGCCTTTGGAGGGAAGCGCTCCCACCGAAGAAGTTGCTGACCCCAAGGGGAAGAAGAAGCGGAAAGCGCCAGCACCGGAGGCTGAGCGCGAGCCGGGGAAGACGTTGCTGCCCTTCACGCGCGTGCAGAAGATCATCAAGGCGGATAAGGTGTGTGCATGATGCATATAGTCGAAAGGAGAGGGAGAACTGACGCAAGGATTGGGCAACAGGAGATACAAATGATTGCGCGCGACGCTACTTTCTTGATATCCCTCGCAGCAGAAGAGTTCATACGCCGCTTCGTCCAGGCAGGGCAGCGCGTCGCAGAGCGCGAGAAGCGCGCCACGGTGCAACATAGGGATCTCGGTAGGCTCTTAACGTCCTTCTATTTGACCCACACTCACCCACGCCACTTACAGCCACCGTCGTTCGGAAAGCGGACGAGTTCATCTTCCTGGAAGGTGCGCATCCCCCTTCATCCTCTCCCCTTCCCACCACTTCCCACCATCATTCCTCTTCCTTCTCACCCCGCCTAACCACTTCCCCAGAAATCATCCCCTGGACCTCCCCCGATCCCGCCCCCAAGCGCGGCAAGAAGAAAAAGGAGGACGAAGAGGCCAAGAAGAACGCCGCCGCCGCGCCTCCGACCATCCTCGACACCTTTGTAGGCGCAAGATCAGCGAAGGAGACGGCTGGACGGGAGGATAACGGTACTGGTAGTGCTTCTAGCGCAGTCGAAACGCAAGGCGCGTCTATCACAGGAACCCCTGCGCCAGCAAGTGCCATGGGCGACATCGTCATGACGGAGGACGGGACGGTGGATCAGCACGACAGCGATTAAGCGTACTCCAGCCTATCCCTGTCCCGCCCCGTGGCCCTTTCCAGCACGCGCGCGAGCACGACAAATCGGCTCACCGTTGTCCACGCCCACCGCCTATGAGCAAGGACGCTGGCCGCGCCACTATTGCAGCAATCAAGAAGAGCGCTGGAAGTCCGTCTTGTTGACGCTCAATGGGGTCACGCCTGTCGACCAGCGCGCTGCCACCTATGGCGCCATAACACCCTCTCCCGCATCGCGGCGCATCATGTACTAATAGAGCACAATGTACATTGGCCCCCCAGAAAGCATCGTCTGAGCACGCAAACAATCTACACAATCCATATCACAACCCCTTCCCCTCCAGTCTTCCAACACGTCTGCATCGAGCACTACCCGTCCCCAGCCATCCTCCTCGGATCCGGCAAGATGACAAACCGCGTGCAGAACACCGTTCTGTCGGGTATCATCTCTTCTCCAACCCCTTCCTCGCCCTTTTCCTCTTCTTCCTCCTTTCCCTGACTCGACTGCACCTGACTTGACCCCTGACTCCCCTCGCTCTGGCTCGAAAACCCGAATGGTGGCGGCTGGGGCTTGCGCACCGGCGGTCTAGCAGGTAGCTGACCTGACTTCCTCCCTCCACCCGCTCCTTCCGCTTCCCCATCCATCCCCCGCCCCTCCCCCCTCGCCTCCCCAAACGGCTTCCACACCCACACCTCCCTCCCCACCTCGAACGCCGCCGCCTCCCTCACCACGGCGCGCGTCGCCTCGCGCATCCGCACCTCGCGCGCCGCCTGCCGTTTGGCATCGTACGCGGTCGCTTGGTGCTTGGCGTCGTACGCGCGCTCGCGCGCGTCGAAGGCGAGGACGGCGGTAAGGAGGTTGGGGGTGGAGGTCTTTGAAGAGTTCGTTGCAGACCTGTGCGAGTTCGCCGTGGTCCCATGCGAGGTCGAGGCTTCGCGTGAGAGAGAGAATCCACGTTTACGCTTCTTGTGAACGTGTACCGTCTCTTTCCCCTTCCCTTCCCCCTTTTCCACTCCCTCCACCACCTCACAAACCGCGATTCCCGCGCTCCACTTGTCCGGCACGTTCCCCGCGTAGGCGCCCTTCGACGGCTCTGGGGCGCGCACGATGCGCTTGATGCGCAGACGGAGGTCGGGGTGCAAGCGTGGTTGGGGCTTCTTGGTGGTAGCAGATGGGGGTTGAATGGCGGCAGAGGGAGATGTGGCAGAGGTCGAAGGCGTCTTCAGCGCCGAAGTGGAATGTGGTTTGACTGGCGTAGACAATGGTTTGGCAGGCGTACCCACAGACCTTCGTGTGGTAGAGTCGGCCTTGGCCGAGGTCGACGATGGTTTCCTTGGCGTCGACAGCCCCTTGACCGGCGTTGACAGTGCCGCCTTCTCCAGAGCAAATAGCGGTCTACTCAGAGCTGACACCGGCTTGCGCAAGGGCGCCGACTTAGCACTGCCGGTGATCTGCCTGTCCATATCTGTCTGCCACAATGCCACCGCTGACTGCGTGCTCGCAATGAGCGATGCCGCCCGTGCAGCCAACCCGCCTCTGAAAACATGTAAGCATTAAGCTCAGCATAGACCTCACCTTTCATATCGTGAAAGGAGAATGAAAAACTCACGGAACATGCCTCTCAGGCCTCACCCCATCCTTCTTCGACGGACTCCGATACAGCCCGCGCTCCTCCTCACTCAGCGGCAGCACCGGGACCACCGCATGCGACTGCAGCATCAACGACGCCACCTCCGCGTTCCCCGCCTCCGTCCCAAACTCGGTCGCCTTCGCGACATTTGTGGTCAGAATCGTCTTCGTGAACTTGGGAGGCGTCTTCGGTGCGGGTAAGGGTGGCGCCACTGCAGGTCTGAGTTTTGGTGTCGGTTTCGCCGCGGAGACGGGAGGAGGAAGGGGCGGTGGACGACGCGGAGTGGTTGTGTTGGTTGTTAGCGTAGTGAAGTTGGGTAGGTGCAAGTTTGGGGCGGACTTGATCGGCGTTTGACATCGCAAATCCACGACGCGCGAGCGTGGCTTTTTGCTAGATGTTGCAGGAGACGGAAGGGTATCATTCGTCCGATGGAAAGGGTTGACCAGCGAAGACGGCTTCAGCGGTTGCAGCGTCTTCCGCTTCGACGGCGGAGTTGAGGGGAAAGGAGGTGGGGGTAGCGGTAAAGGTAGCTTTCTCGCAGAGCACTGTTCTTTGTTGGCGCTAGAGCTAGTAGCGAAGCTCGATTGGAAGCCTTCCGAGTATATGCGCGCTTTCGGCCGCTTGCTCGACTTGCTCGACGTGATGAAGCCATCTGGGGTAGGGAAGCAGGATGGAGATGACTTCGTTGGGGTATGCCGTGCAGTTGCGTCTATTCTCGGGCGCTTGCTGGGCCGCGGATCCTGGATTCCCGGTCAGTATCTGCAAGACGCAGTCTTTGTCTATGTCGCTTACCGAGAACTCGTTTATCGGAATTCGCTTCATGACTGACGTCGTGAGAGAAGGTTGTTGTGGCGTAGCAGTCGAGAAATGTAGCAGCAGATGTTGCGTCGTCTAAGCAGAAGGGCGAGCGTGCATGATGGTGGTAAGAAGCAAGAGGCGACCTGGGGAAGGATGTTCGGGCCGAACGCTGATACGCGCGTAACAAGGTAATGACGTCACGCGTCACAGCCGAGTCAGATGGGCGCGTTTCCTCTACGCGTCGAACTTGCAAACGGAGAAAACTCTGTTTCAACAAGAGACATTTCGCACATATGTTTTCTCCTTCGAAATCTCCGTCGAAATCATGGTACATATAGACATACATTCAGCACTTACAACGAAGGTTACTTGCTCTCCCTCTGCTTGAAGAAATCCTCAATCTTATCCTCATCCATATCCGTCGTACTCCAGATCGGCTCATACGCCTCCACATTCTCCTTCATCAACTGCAGCTTCCCCAATATCCGCTTTCCCGCATCCGGGCCCAGAGGCAGCCTCCGCCACTGCGGCTTTAGCTCCGCCGCCGCCGTGCCCTCGACGACCTCGAATATGCGCTGCACGGCCTTCTTCGTGTCGCCGACCTGTTTGGCTTTGATGTGGAGGTCGTCGTAGGTCTGGAGCTGGCCGACGAATTCGGGGTACTCGGTCTTGTCAGTGGAAGTGGCGCGCTGAGTTGTCGCAGCGGTGCCCAGGAAACCGGTAGGGAAGTAGCCGGCCTCGACAATCGTGACTGAGATGTTCCAGCGCTCGACTTCGCGTGCAAGGGCTTCCGAGATGGCTAGTTGGATGCGTCAGCATTGTCGCCCTGAGAAGGAAAAGTCATCTACGCACCCTCCAAAGCCGCCTTCGACGAGTTGTACGCCGCAAACGGCGACATGCCAGCCATCGCCGCCACGGACGACATCATATAAACCTGCCCCGACTTCTGCTTCTTCATGATAGGCAAGATCGCCTGCGTCACAGAGATATGGCCAAAGAAGTTCACTTTGAACTGCTTCTCGAGCTCGTCTAGCCTGCGAAGCCGCTGGTCAGCATCGCGTTCCCTCTAGGCCCTCCTTCCACGCCCTTCCCGCCCTTCCGATCCCCCCCCTCTTCCCTCACTGCCGACGTCGACAAACCAGACCTCACACTCACAGCAACTCCTCCACCGGCGACACCAGCGGCCACCCCGCGTTATTGAACAGCACATCCACGCGCCCGTAGATACCCTCCACGTCCTTCAGCGCGGTCTTGATCTCGCTGTCCGGCCAGCTGAGATCGAGCTGCAAGGGTGTGGCCTGCGCAATGGACGCGGGGATCTTCTTAAGGTCGCGCGCGCAGGCGATAACCTAGTTGTATAGACCCGAGAAGGGGTGGGGAAAGGGGAACAGCGACCGCAGGAGAGGTAGAGCGCAGAAGAGGGAAGGGCGGATAGAAGGAAGAAAGTTAGCATGCATATACCTCTCCACAGCGGACTCCGCAAGCGCACCTTATGCCCCCGCGAAAGCACCAACTCCGCGAGCGCGAGCCCGAAGCCAGAGTTGGACCCAGTGATCAGCCAGACTTTCTCGTTGGCCATCGCAAGTAGCTTATAGAATTCAATGGTCTTCGCAACCGTTCGATCGTCGTAGAGCCGCTCGCGTCGCCTGCAGATCGCGTATAGGAAAGGAAAGGAAACAGGTTATTCCGACGTAGATCCCAGAGACCTCCACTAGCCGAGTGAAGGTAGAGAACAAGCCCCCGGAGACAGGCTAGCGGCGACCATATGGACGATCAGGCAGTTTACAATTGTCGGGAACGCCATCCTGCGTTTGAGGTGCAGCATCGATGATAGCGCGAGATAGGCACGCAGTTACCCCATTCTATGGGCAGGGGACCCTCTGGCGAGTCCGAGGGAGGACGGACTGTAGGCTGCGTTCTCGAGCAGCGCGATGGTCGCGGACAAGAAGGCTGCTGAAGGTGGACGCCGAAAGCAAAGCAGCGTGGCGTCGGCCAAACACGCTTCCCCGCATCGACATCCTGTCATCCTCGCCTACAACGCCCTTAGCAGCTTCTCACGATACACACGAAAGCGGACAGTCTACGAGATCCAATGTATTAAATAGTTCTATGTGCCGACTATCATGAACACCCAGCTCCAGCCAGGGTCGCCTGCGGTAACGAGAGGTGGGGTCAAAGGTGTAACATATGTACAGAAAGCGGGTCGTGCCAGCTATGTGCAGATAGCGGGTCATCCCAACCCGTTTTCCGACGAGCCATTGTTGTCCGAGCCATCGTTTTCCAGCTACCGCGCCCAGCGCACGGTAGCATAGTGTGTAAGTGTAGGTGAGAGGGTCAGGGCTGAGCGGTTGAGGGTTCGATCCAGGGAGAAGTCGGGAAGAGGAGGAAGGTGACGATCCAAGAGCAGAGGGCGAACCGTCTAACTCCAGACATCGAGGAGCAAGCGCGAGCGCTCCTTCAAGAGCTTCAACTCCGCCGCGCCCTCAACCTCCGCCGATCCACCCTTCGCCTCACCGAGAATCCGCGCCAGCGTGTCCTCCACCGACTTCGCCATGTTCTTCGCGTCGCCGCAAATATACACGTAGCCCTTCCCATTCAGCACCGCGTCCGCGATCCGGTCCTTGTCCTCCCAAATGAGATCCTGCACGTAAATCTTCCCCCCATCCGGCTTGTACGGCGGCTCGCGCGAGAACGCGCAGCGCATCTGGAACTTGCCCTTCAGCTCCGCCTCGTACTGCGGCCACTCATCCTTGTACAGGAAGTCCTCGTCCGACCGCCGGCAGCCGTAGTACAGCGTGATACTGCCCCAGTCCGCGAGTGCGTCCTCGCCGTTCTTCTCGATCGACCGCCGCGCGAGCGCGATGCGCTCCTGCACGAAGCCGCGGAAGGGCGCGACGCCGGTGCCGGGGCCGACCATGATGACCGCGCTCTTCGGGTTCGTCGGCAGGCGGAAGGTCGAGCGCCGCACGTGAACGGGGACCTTGTAGATGGTCTCCTCCCGGTATGCGCCGCGCGGGCCCTCGATGCAGTATCGTGGGAAGTCGGTCGACTCGGCCGCGCTAGGGTCGTCGGAGCTGATAAGCGGGACGTTGTCCTCGCCGTTGGCGGCAGCCTTGAGATTGAGGAGGAAGTTGGAGCCAGTGCCGTAGACCCACTTGTGCTGGACCTTTTCGGACGGGATGTTCTCATACTTGAGAACGACGCAGGTGACGTGAATGGCGTTGGGGTGCAGCTTCGGGCTGGAGGAGATGGAGTAGTAGCGGGGCTGGAGGCGGGGAATGGAGGAGACGATCATGTCGAAGGGTATATCCCAAGCAGTGGTGTTCTCGGGTGTCGGTCTTGCCTTAATGTCGTTACCGGCGGCAAGCTGGAGGACCTCGGCTACTCGCAAGCAGCCATCAGTGACGACCTTAGCGAAAAGCTCCTTGTTGGAGTTGAGTTCCCGCATGTAGTCGCCTGCCTCAGGGGTAGGCGCATACTTCGCGAGGTTGCCGAGTATTTGGCGACCAGCGACAGCGCTGATGTCGATGTAATGCCGGACGACAGTGCCGTAGGTGGTAGGGACGGGGAAGGGCACCTTGGCAAGGGCCGGGTCGAGGGATTCGATGTTGATGACCGTATCCTTCTTATTGTGGAGGCCGAGGGCGCAAAGAATGCGGTCAACCTCGACATCCGCGTTGGTAGGCCAAACGCCGACGTGGTCGCCGTGCTGGTAGGACATACCAGAACCTTCAATGCCGAGCTCCATGTGCACGCAATTCCGGTCCTTGACATCCTGGAACAGCTCACGGGCGACAAGGACGGGCGCGGGGTATGGGTTCTTCGCATCGTGGATGCCCTTCGTCTTCGTCAAGGCGCGGGCGGAGAGTTCGCCTGATATGGAGATGAGCGGGACGCTGGGCGCTAGTTTCGGGAATACGTACCAAGATAGACCTTGTCTTCTGGATGAGTCTCAAGCTCCGATACGACGAAGTCCGCACTGTCGCCGCCCTGACCCTCCTCGACACCCATCGCCTCGGCGAACGCCTCCCACATCCCATCTTTCCACGCAAGGTAGTCCTCCTCCATGCTCTTGTCATCGTCACCCTCTCCGCGCTCGCCGATGCGGACGGCGCCCATGTCCTCGAGCATCTTGTCCATCTTGCGCGCCATGAGGTTGTAGTGCTCGTACGTCTTGTTCCCCAGGCCAAACATGACGTACTTGAGACCATCGAGCTTGTGCTCCCCGTTGGAGAACTCGAAGGACTCATCCTCGAAGTTCTGCAGGAGGGTGACGGCATTGTCGGTGGGCTCGCCCTCGCCGTACGTCGCGAGCACAAAGATGACGGCGCAATCCTCGGGCACCTGGTCGAGGTTCTCGAAGTCGTAGTCCTCCGGGTCGCACACGAGTGATGCGAGGCCGAACTTCGTCTTCGCTTCCTTCGCCAGGCGGATAGCGTACTCCTCAGCCGTACCGGTCTGCGAACCGTAGAAGATGACAAGACGCTTGTTCTATAAATTAGGCGCTTCAGTAACATGTCCTTTACGACAGGGAGTAGCCGACACACCCCGGCCTTCATCTTCGCGACAAAGTCTCTCGGGTTCCCCTCGCCTGCGGCTGCCTTCGTGGTGGGGACGGGGACGGAGGACGTTTTTGAGGAGAAGATCTGGTCACGGAAGAGATAGAGGACAGCTGCGGCGCCCCCGACGCCGAGGATGGCCACATCTTGCGAGGAGAGGTTCATGACGGAGGGAAAACGAGGAAAAACTGCTGGAAATGCATGTTGAGTGGAGGACATGTTATGAGTGTCGTGCGTGCGTACCAAGAGCAACCAAGACGTGTCCCGCGCGCTATATACGTGCTGCTAAGGATCGTGTTGAGTCGGGGGTCCGTATTCGCCGCGCGGACTGGTGCGTGATGGAGGCAAGAGACAACGAGTCGGGGCGCTCAGCTCCGTTCGCTCAATTTCACCTGGCGCATCGGCCCGACTGCCTCTGGCTTCCCCGAAAGACACCCGAAAGATGTGCAGCCCGAATATCAGCTCATTTTCGAAGCCATCAGGCCTAGTCCTCACGCAGACCCTGCTCATTCTCAAGGTAGACAAGCTCCGACGCCGCTGACAAGCTCATCCGCACAAATGACCGCTTCAGACAGGGAATTTACTAGCGCAGACAAGCGTCAAGTGCCGCGGGCCCGAGAGCCGCATCTGAATCCCACGCGTGGGCCCGGATATCAACTCCGTGCAAGCGCACCATAACATCCCAAAGCGTCCACGTCGGCGATGGCATGTACACGTAGCGTCTCAAAGTTCGAATAGATCTGCAACGGCTAGTCACTTGAACGGGCCCTTCACTATTGCAACAGGGACTGGACATCTCCGGCGGCATCACGGCAGGCAATGAAGGACCCCCGACTGCCTCTCGGGGACATCAGAGTCGTGATGGCGGGCTCTGCGGGGACGTCAACGCCGGCGACGGAGGAGGCATCGCAAGCAATGAGAACATGATATGGACGAAATCAATGCCTGCCTGAACCCATACTTCCTTCAAGGCCTAAGCAGGGGCGCCAAAGCCACGAAGGTAGCCTTTGTCCCAATATTTGTGAAATGACACCAGTGTTTCAAAGAATTTTTGCCAGTGTTGAACGTGGCACTCAGCAGCTAGCCAGGTCCATGCAGCAGAATACGGCTTTTTCCACCTTCTAACAATGCGTGGTCCAGCTTGTATGGAGTGTATAGCGGTGACGCTTTACTCCCCACCTACCCAGCTGACACCAATAAATTATCGTCCCAAGTTGAACTTCGCGGAAAATGCCGAGCATGTAACGTGACCGCCGAGGAGCGCGAATGAGATCAAGTTCGTGCACCCGTTTTCCTCCCCTCACTGCGCTCGCCCTATGTACGGCATCGCCGACAAGCGGGATATCCGCGCCACTCATACTCATCTCTGTTGGACGATACCTCGACATCAAGTCCTCAAGTATACCTCTCGTATAACTTTCGCAACATGACACTATGCGCGCCCGAATAGGATGCGCCTGGGTCAGCTACTGTCTTGTGCGCGACATATGTAACAAACCAGTGAGCGGCTAGTAACTGGAAAAGTCTTCCCCGAGCCCCACCCAGCGTATAGTCTCACACCCTTACCCCAATGCTGCGTACCGCGCAAGCCAGGTGAGCACTCAGTGCAGGAGTTAGGCTTACCATGCGTAGTTCCTCAGCCATAGCGAATCCCCAACGCACTCTTCTGCTCTGCCCCCTCCCCACTCGCTCCTCCCATCCCTCGAATGGAATGGCTTCTGCGGCGACATTGCGTATCACGGGGGATGCACATGAGGCGAGTACGGTGACGCGGAGAGCGGGCCGGGCTCGGCTCACGGAGATGATGAAGAAGATTCCCACGAGGTTACTCTGTAACGAAGTCTCGATTGAAAACCTTGCCCTCCTCCCTTGGAGGAGGGCCCTTTTATACCTACAGCTGTAAGTAGTCATAACTAGTCACGGAGTATATATACGAGTCATAAGAAACCAGGAGAACCTCAAGGAACTCCAAAGGAAATACCCCCGCGAGGGGTGAAGGCAGAGCACGTGGCGTCGGCTAAGGCCGAGGCGTCACATACCCCCCTCCAGCGCCTTCTAAGGCGCTCTGTAAGTACAGTAGCAACCAGTAAGTAGCACGTATGTATAGAATAGAAACGAGTCTTTGTTTTTGTATATATTTCGAACCTTTTCTGTAAGTAACTTTCGAGCCGTTGTTCTGATGATCTCTAGTAAGTAGTAAGTAACTACTGGTTCCCCTTGCCCTCGCGCCGCTTGGCACGGTTCGCCTCGAAGGCCTGCTGGCGGCGGGCGTTCGACAAGCGCCCCTGCATCGCCTCGATGGCCGTCACCTCACGAAGGAGGAGCTCCTCGTTGGTGGGCTCGGGCACCTTGCCCTCCACCTCGTCCATGTAGCGATGCGCGGCCGCTCCGCTGCTGATGTCGAGGATCTGACGCACCCAGAAGGTCCGATCAATGCGCTGCTCGTCGGGGATGGGTCGGACTTTGCCGGTCGCGAGGTCGATCGGGCACATGTGCTTGCCGAAGTCGGCGCGCTGGAGGATTTCCACGAACTCGGCATAGCCGGACGGGACCTCAACAACGTCGTGGCGGATTCCAGTAGCAGTGATGCCGTCGCTGAAGCGCATGTACTCGACGAGGATGGTGAGTGGGATGCGGTAACTGAAGAGGTATTCTTCAGGGTCGTTGCGCGCGTAGATAGGGATGACGAGGCGGCGTCCGCGGATCTCCCACGTCATGGGAACGATGCGGCGGTGGGCGAATTGGGCCGGGCCACGTGGCTTGGCGCGGCCGAGGAGGAAGCCGTCGTCCTCGGAGGCGCGCTTGGCGGGCGTCGTCTCAGCGGCGGCGGACGGAGGCGCGGTCTTATCCGCACCAGCGTCGGCGGCGGCGTTGACGCGCGGGATGGGTTGCTTCATGACGTCGGAGCGCGCGGCTTCCTGCTGGCGGATGCGGTCGGCGATGATACCGGCATTGTACTTGGCGCGGGCGGCCTCCTTTGCGCGGAGCGCGGCGGCGGTGTCGACAGGCGGCTCGCTGTCGATGAGAGTGGAGGCGGCAGAGCCGGCGGCGTCGAGGACGGACGACATCGTCTTGGGCGCGGGTGCCGGCGGGGCGGCCTCGGAACTGGGTGGGTCGACATCCATCGGTTGGACCGAGTCCGCCTTGTTGCCATTTTTGATCGCCGGCGCCGTTTTGGCCTTGGTGTGGGAACGGGTACCGACACGGTTGACGTTGGGCGAAGGGGAAGGAGAGTTGGGAAGCGGAGGTAAGGTAGAAGTATCCATAGTATGTATGTAGAGAGAGGAAGAGGAAATGGAGTTGGTTTGGCATACTGACTGTCCATCCCTTTTAAGGGGATCCCAGCTAAGCCCATTACCCGATTCGTCGTGAATCTCGCCATCGGGAACACGAGGCTCGATCGTGAGTTCGAGATTCCCTACATACAATTGGATATCCCCGGGGTCTGGTTCAGATCCAGCCGGGAGATCACCCGCTTTGTCAACGCCAAGCGCCTCAAGGTACTGCTTGACCTTCTCGAGGGTGGCAACATTCTTGATCGGGATCCAGGACATGTCGCCTGGCTTCCACTTCACCTTGAGTACTGCATCAGCACCCTTGCCGTGATGTCCCACAATCTCCTCAATTGCCCATTCTTTCTCCCAGGCACCGAAGTCGGCCACCTGAGTCTCAAGGCGGCCCGGAAATAGCCGATCATCATTGGGAATATGAATTCTCAATAGAGACGCGTGGAAGCGCGGGTGTATTCCCCGCTGCTTCAACTCCTTCGGGAGATCAAGAAGGAAGGCCTCATTGCCTAGATCCTTCAGGATGCGGTATGGTCCAATGAACTTGGGAAGTAGCTTACGAACGCGGCCCTTCGGGAAGTTCATGTTGGCAGTTGAGACATATACTAGATCGTTCTCGGCAAAAGGCGCGCGGATGCGGCGTCGATTGGCATCACGTGTCTGCTTGACACGCGCGGCGAGCACTGCGTCATGAGCCTGCATGATGGCCTGCTTGACGCGGCGCGCATAAGTCCGCACCCCGGGATATTCCGTCGTGGGTGCGTCCTCCCAGATCATGGCGCGGGGCATGCGACCAGTATTCAGGAAGAACGGTGCATACCCCGTGCTCTCCGAGCGCACGGAGTTGATCGCAAACTCAACCGCCGGCAATTTCAGGACCCAGTCCGATTGAGCGGGCTCGACGCATTCGCGTATCATCTGGACAACTGTCCGATTGGCCCGTTCAGTTGATCCGTCGGTCTGCGGATGGTATGCAGTTGACATGCGCAGCTCCGTTCCGATCAACTTGTGCAGGTGAGTCCAGAATATGCTCGTGAAGAGCGAATCCCGGTCACTGACTATGTACTTGGGGAGCCCATGTAGCTTATAGACTTCCGCAAAGATAATGTATGCCAGAGTCTTGGCAGTCACATTAGTACGCGTCGGAATAAGATGTACCATGCCGGTCAGCAGGCAGATCACGACGAGAAGGTAATTGAAGGTCCCATTGTGATTCTCGCTCTCGGGAAAGGGACCCGTGAAGTCTATCCCGATAGCTTCCCAAGGCGTGCCAGGCACCGGCAGGGGATTCAATAGCCCGTACGGCTTGTGATTGCTGGGCTTATTCCAAGCGCACGTGGTGCATGATGCGATGAACTTCTGCACATCAGGCACCAGCGTCTTCCACCACACCTGATCACGGAGCACGGGGATAACCTTAGCGGCACCGAGATGCGCGAGTAAGGTGTGTGCTTCCTGAATAATGAGTCCTCGCACGGAGCGACCACTTTCCTTGATGTTCGGAATGCACAGCAGACGACGAGAGTCCTGCTTCAGGAAGATGAGTCCGTCAACCACCTCAAAGTTTCGGAAGTGACTGGGTTCTTCCAATATCTTGGCAAAGAACGGATCGTCCTGATACTTATCCCGGATCAAATCTTCAATGCGTACACCCCGTGTGTGATTGGGTATAGCCGTCAAGATAGGTTCCGTGAGGCTAGGAGGTGCGATATCATTATCTTCGTCACCTTCCGCGCCGACCGAGGTCGAGACACGTGTTTCCTCTGCTGAGGCTGGTGTCTCGCCTGTCGGGTGTTCTGGTTCGGATTCCGACATCTGGACAGCACTAGGTATGTCTATATTCGCATCCTCTGTGATTGGGCTGCCGACGTCGGGCGACGACGGGCTGTCTTCGACAGCGCGCGAGTGCGCGTTCTCTCGGGTACCCGAGGGGTACTCGGAAGATGCCGAATGTGATGTTCCGCTGACATCACCTCGCGTGGCTTGATCGGAAGCAAACGCGTGATGAGCTGGCAGCGCGTTCTGCGCTGCTT